CCGTCTATATGCAAAGAATATATGTGTTAAAAGCTATTAGCACAATAAACTAATAAATTAATTCCACTTACAATCTCGGCATAATCTAGATATATATCAGATTACTTATAAAATATTTTATATATGCCGCCTACCGCCTGAGATATCCAAACAAGGTAGGTTAGTAATTTTATACTTTCACAGGTTTAACCAATATAACTTACACTCTATACCATATAAAAAACACATTAGTAAGGCTTAACCTTAAGTTTTAGTATTTGCAGTCACATACAGTCTGTGTTATATTATTAAAATCAGCCAACACAGGTTAGATGTTTATAATTCTCAAAGTTTATAAAGCAGAGCCACATACAATCTAAGGCCATGCCATCCACCCAGGTTATAGTGCCCTTAATATATGTATATATATTTCACATACAGGCTATTGCCAACCAACATAGACAAGTAAATATAAGTTGGTATATAATTTTATTTAGAGCAACATACAGGCTATATCTCATTTAAGTCACTATTGTATTAACAATTAACATTAGAGGGGTATAATACTTACAGCCTATCTCCCAATTACTTAGTAATATTAAATCATTCTCTCACTCTATAATGCCACTCACAAGCTATACCCCATCCCACCCCTGGTATTAGTAAAACTGCTAGCTGGTAGCTGTGTTATAAGAACCACTTACATTCTATATCCCATTCCACCAGGCCTAGTATTAGTAAAACCTATAAGCTTATAGTCTTAAAGTATAAATAACTTACTCCCTATATCCCATCCCAATTCATTATTAGTAAAAGACTTATAGTTCGTTATCAGAATCACTTACGTGCTATATCCCATGCCACCCCTGGTATTAGTAATATGTATAGTTCTGCCATCAGGAGCACTTACAAGCTACATCCCATGCCACCTCTGGTATTAGTAAATATATATAGTTGTTCCATCAGAATCACTTACAGACTATGTCCCATCCCACCCCTAGCATTAGTAGAATATATATAGTTCTGCCATCAGAACCACTTACAGACTATATCCCATGCCACCCCTGGTATTAGTAATATGTATAGTTCTGCCATCAGGATCACTTACAGACTATATCCCATCCCACGTCTGGTATTAATAAATATGTATACTTCTGCCATCAGAACCACTTACTTCCTATGTCCCATCCCACCTCTGGTATTAGTGGAATATATATAGTTCTGCCATCAGAACCGCTTACATACTATATCCCATCCCACCTCTGGTATTAGTGGAATATATATAGTTGTGCTATCAGAATCACTTACAACCTATATCCCATCCCACCCCTGATATTAGTAAATATATATAGTTCTGCCATCAGAATCACTTACAAGCTATATCCCATCGCATCTCTGGTATTAGTAATATATATATAGTTCTGCCATCAGAATCACTTACAACCTATATCCCATCCCACCCCTGGTATTAGTAAATATCTATAGTTCCGTTATAAGAATCACTTACTTCCTATATCCCATCCCACCTCTGGTATTTAATAGAATATATATAGTTCTGCCATCAGAACCACTTACATACTATATCCCGTGCCACCTCTGGTATTAGTAGAATATATATAGTTCTGCCATGAGAATCACTTACATACTATATCCCATCCCACCCCTGGTATTAGTAATATGTATAGTTCTGCCATCAGGATCACTTACAGACTATATCCCATCCCACCTCTGGTATTAGTAATATGTATAGTTCTGCCATGAGAATCACTTACTTCCTATATCCCATCCCACCCCTGATATTAGTAGAATATATATAGTTCTGCCATCAGAATCACTTACTCCCTATATTCCATCCCGCCCCTCGTATTAGTAAATATATATAGTTCTGCCATCAGAATCACTTACAACCTATATCCCATCCCACCTCTGGTATGAGTAAATATATAGTTGTGCCATCAGAATCACTTACTCCCTATATCCCATCCCACCTCTGGTATGAGTAAATATATATAGTACTGCCATCAGAACCACTTACAGACTATATCCCATGCCACCTCTGGTATTAGTGGAATATATATAGTACTGCCATCAGAATCACTTACTCCCTATATCCCATGCCACCTCTGGTATGAGTAAATATATATAGTTCTGCCATCAGAACCACTTACAGACTATATCCCATGCCACCTCTGGTATTAGTGGAATATATATAGTACTGCCATCAGAACCACTTACAGACTATATCCCATGCCACCTCTGGTATTAGTGGAATATATATAGTTCTGCCATCAGAACCACTTACAGACTATATCCCATGCCACCTCTGGTATTAGTGGAATATATATAGTTCTGCCATCAGAACCACTTACATACTAGATCCCATGCCACCTCTGGTATTAGTGGAATATATATAGTTGTGCCATCAGAATCACTTACAAACTATATCCCATGCCACCTCTGGTATTAGTGGACTATATATAGTTCTGCCATGAGAATCACTTACAAGCTATATCCCATCCCACCTCTGGTATTAGTAAATATATATAATTCTGCCATCAGAATCACTTACTCCCTATATCCCATCCCACCTTTCGTATTAGTAAATATTTTATAGTTCTGCCACAGAATCACTTACTTCCTATATCCCATCCCACCTTTCGTATTAGTAAATATATATAGTTCTGCCATCAGAATCACTTACAACCTATATCCCATCCCACCTCTGGTATGAGTAAATATATAGTTGTGCCATCAGAATCACTTACTCCCTATATCCCATCCCACCTCTGGTATGAGTAAATATATATAGTTCTGCCATCAGAATCACTTACTCCCTATATCCCATCCCACCTTTCGTATTAGTAAATATATATAGTTCTGCCATCAGAATCACTTACAACCTATATCCCATCCCACCTCTGGTATGAGTAAATATATAGTTGTGCCATCAGAATCTTACTCCCTATATCCCATCCCACCTCTGGTATTAGTAAATATATATAGTTGTGCCATCAGAATCACTTACGTACTATGTTCCATCCCACCTCTCGTATTAGTAAATATATATAGTTCTGTCATCAGAATCCACTTACAACCTATATTCCATCCCGCCCCTCGTATTAGTAAATATATATAGTTCTGCCATCAGAATCACTTACAACCTATATCCCATCCCACCCCTGGTATTAGTAATATATATAGTTGTGCCATCAGAATCACTTACAGGCTGTATCCCATCCATTTATATATTAGCGAAATTCTAAGCTTATAGTTGTGTTATAGGAATCACTTACATACTATATCCCATCCCACCACTGGTATTAGTAAAACTCTAAGCTTATAGTCTTGTAGAAAGGATCACTTACTTCCTATACACCACCAAACCAGTAGTTTTTAGTAGGTATTAGAGTGTTAAAAATTATTTGGAGGACAAAGGAGGCAAACCTGAGCTGTACAGGTTGGTGCTGATCTTCAGCAAGAGCCATAGCACCTGTGGTTAGAAGGTAGTACAAGTACTGGGGTCTCATGTTAAATAATCAATTTGTGAGTGTGGAAACTAATCCTTTTGCTGAATTCACACGTTAATCGTTGGCAGATAAAAAGGCGGACTGTTGGCAATCGAGTAGATAGTGCTGGAGAAACCGAACCCTGCGAAAAGTCACCGATATAAATCTTCAAAGTTGACCTAATAAGTGACGTAGCCAGGTAGTAATTCTGAATGCGGTTCATAGCTGGTGTAATCATATGTTTCCGGGCAGCCGGCCATTCCCGGATTACGTCAGGATTCAAATCCATCCATCCTCCCATCCCACAGGTTGCAGGTCGGATAGGCATTCGGAATGGCTCGGGCGATCCAAAAATTTGCTTGGCAGTCACTGACAGTCACTGACCCACAACCTGTGTCAAGGTGCTACATCCAAGATCCCCACTCAGGCACGGAACATAGTTGTTCCAGAGCCGGGGGTCAACATGACTCCTGAAGGTAGACTAGCGTACAATACACAACCCATCACCTCAACACCTGCAATACAGACAGTTATGAAGAATGACTGCTTTGGCAAAGAATGTAAGTATAAACCAGCAAAATCTGCTTATATTAAGGTTATTAATTAGCTAATTCAAATAACTAATGCGGAAATGGTACCAATGGTACTTGACAGAGGTATCCTCTGATCGGCTTACCCTTCCGGGGCCTTCCGCCTACAGTCACTTTACCTTAACGTAGATTACCAGCTGCCGCCGGATTTGGCCCCTCACCGCAATTTGCACCCACCAACTTCACCACTTCATAACTTATTTAATATGACTCCTCTTGAATCAGCGTTAGCAGCAATCGAATCGGCGGGCCCAGATGCATCAGTTAACTATGCAAAAACTGCGAAAGAGTTTGGTGTTGACCCAGGAACATTATCACGGCATCACCGCGGCATTCAAGGGCAGGCTGACCGTTGGGAAGGGAAATTCCCATGGGAAATCGGGATGGGATTCCCTTCCCAAAAAATCGGGACGATTTTTTTGAAATTTTTGGGAAAGGGAATATCCCGTCCCGTGCCAAGATCGGGAAGGGATTATTTCGGGACATTAAAAATTTAGGAGGGAAATTCCCATACTCTTATTTTCTAAAGGGATTCCCATCCCATGGGACTCCCTGATACAAACAGGACCAGAATTTTTAAGTATATGGGAATGGGAATATCCCATCCCGAATCCCATATAATGGGAATCCCTTCCCGAAAGTCTTGGCAAGGGAAGGGAAACTTCTGGGATTCTACCTTTACTGTTACTAAAGTCTGTTACCTTGTTTCTAATGTACATAATACCCATTTATTAATCCTTCATATATTCAGTGAGTAGTGAGGCATGAAACTTAAACTAAAGTAACAGAATTTTGTAACAGTATTCACATAAAATATAAACACCATAGAACAGTCCCACCGATCTGTCACCTACTAGCCTTGTCCCTATGCACCGTCGCTTTACTCACTCTCGCCCTGCTCACTGTTGCCTTGCTCACTCTCACCCTACTCACTGTCGCCTTGCCCACCTTCGCTCTGCTCACCGTCGCCCTGCTCTCCAAATTCCGTTGATGAATTAGAGCTTGACTCTAAGTCTGATTCTGATTTATCAAGGTCCATTTCACCCTCGAATTCGGGATCCTCGTCTGAATTAATATCAGAATCATGCACCATAATATAACTGGGTTCGTAACAAAATTGAGTACAGTATCGTCCTGATAAGAGCTATTATGTCTCGTATTCTGTTCGGTAGTATTCTGGTAAGCAAGAGCACGGCGACGACTGTCCTCCCTCAAGTTGCAAAATCTGAGATGTAGTCAATGGTCGTGGGGGCATACGACCTTCATGACCACTATAGCAGCATCTCGAAGGAAAAGCGCAGTGTCATGTAATCTGTATTAATATGTTTGATTGCTTCCCTTTTCTTTGTAGTAAGTTTTTTGGGGGCATTAGAAGGGCCCTGAGGTTGCAAGCCAACCATCTGTAAAATTCCTGGATAATCTCGAGAACAAGACGCATGTCTTCAACCATAAGAGTTGCACGTTTTCCATGACGTGTAAGTTTATTTGAACCTATTAAAATTAGTAGTCTATACTGTTACTAGAAACCGTTACTTACAGGCAAACAAATAGTTATGCTTATTTAGTAACTTCCTGCAGAGCATCAATTACCTGGGGTTCACACGAAACTCGGGGTGATTTTTTCACGCTTCACGGACAAGGCGTCCAAATTAGATTTGGGAATAAAAAAGCCAGTTTGTTGCATAGTGACGAATTTCCCGCTCAGACTCTAAAGCGATTATTAGTAAAATATGATACTAAATAGATTAGTTAATACTTACTGGGAAGGATCTCGTTGGAAAGGTCTGGGACAGGCGCTGGTTCAATAGAGGTATAATCATCCACAGTACGACCATTCTCCTCAAGAACCCATTCAGCTGCGCGAACATGCCATGCTTTGTACTGTTCAATAAAAGCCTCGTTTAAATCATCGTTATCCTTTTAAAGGCTAAAAACTGTTACTATATTTCGTTACTAAAGAAGCAAGCTTCCCTTACCTTAACACTGAGTACCTTGGGCTTTTTTAAGCAGTTTTCCAGCATCTGACCTGGTAATCTCTTCCCACCAGTATTCCTTCTACCTTTTGGTGGCATTTTGTCAAGAAAATCACTGGTAACAGACCAATGTAACAAGAAAATGCAGGAAAGAGGTGAAAAGATATGAAGAAAGGAGACAACAAAGGCAAGAAGAGTAAATAAAAGAATGTATTAGTAGTAAAAGGAGGTAAGAAAGGTTAAATAAGTAAACAAAACCTCATTTATTCACTAAGTCCTAGGCAACCAATTGTTTTTCTTTTGTCTCCTTTGTTTCTTTACTTACCTTATATTCTCTTCCTAGCCTGGTCCTCTATTACTCTTAGCATCTAATTTCTTCATTTTCCAGCTTGCAGTTTAACCACCCTCTCTTTATATTTGTTACCAAGCGCTGTTACCACCAGTTCTCAATGCCTCGCAAAATATCTACTGTTGAACGAGTGGTGAAGGCAAGGAACCGTCGTCAAGCAAAGACTGGACCTGAGAAGGAGTTGCAGAAAAGACATGATGCTGACCGCAAAGCGAAATTCGACTGTCTTAAAAAGCTCAAGGAAACTGGAATCTGGTATGTAGTAACGGCTTTTAGTAACAACCATGGAGCCTAAGAAATATATAGGAAATCAGCACCTGAGTCACTGAAACAACAGCTTGAGGATAATGCCCTTGCGCAGTTATGGCAAGAGAGGTTTGATGCTAAGAGGTCCAAAGAGTGGTATGAAAAGCAGCTTCAGCTTCAGGAGGCTCAGAAAGAAGCAGTAATAGCTACAAAAAAGAACATGAAGCAGCTCGCAAGATTTTGGCTGAGATCTCCTCTAAGCCAGCTACTATAACCACCCCAAAGGTAATAATCTTTGGTAACAGATTAAGAAAAAGACACTTACGTTAATTAGGATTCTATTCTTTCATTCTGGAAGCATCGCCAGTCCTGCCTGGTTAATTCTCTTGAAGAACGAGTTTTAAGACACGGTCGCGATGAACTAAAATTAATTAGCGCTTCTAGTAAGGCCTTGGATCAAGAACTTCATAATTTCTATAACCAGAAATCCCCAATTGAACCAATTTGGGCGGGTGATGATGAAGAATTTTCTGGTAGTGAAGTTGAGGTATCTGGGGGAAGAAAGTGAGGACTCGGAAGAATTTGAGGACAAGTAGTAGGTTATTAGGAAAGTCCAATTATTGTTGATTAGTCACTCGAGGCAAGTTTTTTCAATGGTCTAGTTTAGTATAAAATCAACAATCTTTTCAATTTTTTATCAGGCTGTTACTGCAAAGTGTTACGTACTTGAGCTTAGGAAAATAATATAAGTTTAAATTCCTATTGGGAGAGAACAATTAAAAATAAAACAAAAATAACATAAAAAAAGCACCAGGTCTATGTAATATTAAATGCAATACTATATATAATATATAAATATATCTCTCTCTGAAACAACTGACCAAAGTATACTTTATAAATATACCACTAAACACGTAATATTCTCGCGTTTTCTGAATACACCATAGCTAATTTCCCTAAATATCTAGTTTAACCTTAAATACTTATTTCTGTACCTTCTAATTACGCGACTATTTATAAAAATTGTGTTTATTGAAACGCGTTGGCTACATGAGGTTTGATACTATTTGTGATAGATCATAAATGTATCCCGGCCTAATAATAGACAGGCTTCCCACTAAGATTCTGCGACCGTAGAACTTCTTATCCTATTTATTATTCTTTGCTGCTTAAATTTCTTTTATCAGGTTTTATTCTATTATTTATATACTTACTGTTACTTTCTACTGTTACAAAATTATTATAAGAAGCCAATCTCTAAGCTTTACTAGAAAATCTCCGTAACTCCTTTTCAAGCAATCTTCTAAGCCTCTGCGTTCTGCTTTATCCTAAAGGGACATTTTCAAACCCACAGTATCTGAGTTCTTCCCCCACACCTTTATCCTATATTAAACCCTCTGGAAATATTGAAACTGTATCAATTGACGGCGTTGAATATGTGAAGTGGGAGAAGTCCTCCCATTCTGATTTTACAGACTGGTGGAAGAAAACACCTACTGGTATAGGAATTTCTAACGGCAAGCCAAATGAGAAATTCTCTCACCCGAACTGGAATAAAAGCAGAAGTCGAGGTGATTTATGGGATCAGTTTGATCAACACGCCGAGCTTTATACTGGGAAGCCTGTTCTTCAATCTTCAATGCCATACATGTCAGAGCATTATTCAGCATGGGATCTACTATAACAATGGGACGTCAGGAATGAATAAGCATCTTAAAAGCAGGGAGTGTAAAAAAAAACAGAGTCCTGATTCACGGCAATCAATAATCACAGTGAGTACAGCCCATTATTTGGTAACAGTATTTAGTAACAGTTTTAGTGGGAAACACGCAAGCAGAGAAAACGACCTCACTCCCAGTTATCATGCAGTACTTCAATAATCCCTCCAAAGACTGATAACAATATTACTGAACAGATTCTTAAAACATTTCTTGCACTGAATCTATCCTTCCGAGCTATTGAATGTCCTCAATTTATCAGTCTCCTTTCTCTCCTTGATCCAACCATTAATATTCCTCGCTGAACAAAGCTCCGAAAACTGTTAGACAGCAAATTTGAGGCAGTCCAGGACAAGATCTTGTTAGGATATTCATCTCGAGGGAAAATATCCTTAACATTGGATGCATGGATAAGTCCAAATCATCTTCCATTTCTAGGAGTTATTGGTTCTTATATAACATCTCGGTGGGAGCGGAAGGAGGTTCTTCTTGGGTTTGAGCCTCTAGCAGGAGTTCATAGTGGCTCTTCTTTTGCTGAGACTGTTCTTCAACTTCTTAAGACATGGTATTGAGGATCAATTGTTAGTTATTACTACAGACAATGCTAGTAATAATAAAACTCTATGTGAATCATTATCAGAGTCTCTAAGTTTAAAGAATATATCTTGGTCAGCAGAGCAGAACCATCTACCCTGCCTTGCTCATGTTATCCAGCTTGTCGCGAAGAGAGTTATTCAAGCACTTAATATTGAATCATTGGATGAGACCCTTCCTCTTTTTAATGATGAAGGAATCGAATTAACACTTTCAAAACGCAAAGATATTTTTGGAAAGACATTACACAAGGTAAGTGCTATAGTGAAGTAGTAACAGTATTTAGTAACAGTATGCTAACTATCTTGACTACTTAGATTCGACTACTTGCAAACGCAATTAATGCCTCTCCTCAACGTCGTGAACTCTTTCAAAAGGTCCAATCTCGGAATCCACCACTCCACATAGTCCAGGATGTTGCTACTCGCTGGAATTCAACATATAATATGGCAATCCGAGCATTACTATTGCGAGGTCCTCTTACTGAGTTCCTTAATAAATGCAATAATCCTACACTTCAGGCACTTGAGCTCACCGATGATGAATAGAAACAGATTCGTTATATTATTATTATATTATTTCCGTTCTGGCAATATACATAGTCACTCTCTATCTCCCATAGCATTATTATTCATCGAGCATGGCCTATCTACAACAGACTCTTTCAACATCTGGAGGCACGATATAGAGAAGCTGAGAAAGAAAGGCATTGGAAGGAACCTCTCCAAATTGCATTACAAGCTGCAAAGGATAAATTATCAAGTTACTACTCACAGACTGATAATAACTTTGGTATTTATTATGCAGTTGCATCAGTTCTTGATCCAACTCAACGCATGAATGCATTTCATGAGGATGACTGGACAAAGGATGAGCGGCGATATCAGAAAGGCCGGATTCTTCAGTTCTACAAAGAGAACTACCTACAATTTGAGCCTCCAAAATTGCTTCCTGAGGATGAGGGAGATGTCTCTCCAATTGAGGTAACAGTATTTGTAACAGTTTGGTTTTCATATTGCTAACTTTGTTCTAGGATATTGATACCCTATTCTGCCGTCAAAGGCCAGCACAAAAGATACCACACAACAGAATGAGATGGAACAATATCTATCTACCAACCACTTTCATGTATTCAAAGATTGATATACTTGAGCATTGGAGATCTATCGAGTCGGTTTATCCTACTGTTGCCGAATGGCTCGTGATATTCTTGCAATATTCCTCACAGGTGTCGCTATTGAACGCCAATTTAATATTGGTCGTGATATCTGCCAATACCGCCGTGGGAAACTTCAGGGTCCAACAATAAAAAAAATCATGATCCTCAAAGATGCCAATCCGATCTTATAGATCAAGATCTTGCTAATGATAGTATCTTCTGTTGAGTGGGATGATAGGAGGCTGTGCAGAAGCATGAGAATATTGTTGCTCGTCAGGCAATAACTAAGGAGAAAATACTTGCACAATCATTAACGTTTGATTACTCTGGCATAGAATTAGATGATCAGCCACCAGCGGCAAGAACTCGCCATTTTAAGACTCGTTGTTGAGCCATTAACTGTTACATTAATCTGTTACCTTTTCTTTGTTCTTGATTATGCATCCTTTCAATAATAATTCATCTCCCGTGTTTAAACTAGCCAAGTATTGTTACCTGAATCTGTTAGAAGATATATTTAGGAAAATCCTATAGGGAAATTCCCGTTTTCTATTGGGAATATCCCACTTCCCATAATGGGATGGGAATTTCCTTTCCTCTAACTGAGCGGGAAGGGAATTTCCTTTTCTAATCCTAATTCCCAAGGGAAATTCTCATATGGGAAATGGGACGGGAAATGGGACGTGATTTTTAAGATAAGAGGGAATGGGAATATCCCTTCCCGAATAGCTTGGCATGGGAAGGGAATTAAAATTTAATTCCCATTGGGAATATGGGACGGGACTTGAACCCTTTCGGGATCCCGATTCCCTCCCAACGGTCAGCCTAGCTCAGCCTTCCACCATATCCTCGCTCGTCATGACAACTCCCTTCTACCTTCTCCCTCTCCTCCCCATCTTTAGTATTCTCGATATAGGACTCAATGTGATCTTATCCATCTGATTTGCCTGCCGTCACAAATTTTTGGATAGATTCTGTAACGGAAACACTATAATCCGCCCGACTTGGCGGTGCGGAGTATTCCTTGCGGATTCAACCCCTGAATCCTTTAGTTAGTTGAACACCTCAATGAGAATAGAGGGAACCGCTTAGTAGGCTCAGTTGGTTGAGATACTGCGATTCCTGGTGTTTCCACTGAATGACATCTATTTCCTAGTTAGGCTAGTTGGCCTGTAGCTGATAGAATAGCTCCCTGCGCCCCGTTTCCCCTGATTCCACAACAGATTCTAAGGGGGAAAGATGATAGATAGTGCGAATAGTATCAAATTTTGGTTTCCGGTGTGAATTGGGCTACCGGTGTGGTGCACCCCCACCGCCTTCGCGATGGGGGGCACTGGATGGCACTAATATGTGATCTTACTGAATAAGTGCCCCAGCGATGGGTAGACACCTCTACGTGGTGCTGGGGACAAGTATTCAAGCAGCTTGGTCTGGTGCTGCTTGAAGAAACCAAGATCTGCCCAAAGGAGATGGAAATGGTGGTCTGGGATGGTTGGACGCGACTTCGACGTGGCCGTGAAAACTCTGACAAGCAGTGAACAACACCAACGACAAATAGCCAAGATGCTTGGTTTCCATCTTGCCTCGCTACAATCGATGAACTGATGAATCCTGCCGATCCCTCGAATATGCGGTGACTAGACGTGTTCCGGGGTCTATCCTGTTACTGATACTCGAGTGATGTGAATTTTCGAGGCGCATCCAGCCCGTACCAACCACACCAACGATGATGAAGAATAGCTAAGGCCTGTCGCATGACCTTATCTCACTAGGATCAACTCAATGGCTACCATCTGAGCCCTGAATTCGTGGAAGATTTCTAGACCCCTCTCGCCAGGGTCTATCGCGACATCTTCACGTCCGGCATCCCCTTCTCCAGTCCTACCCCGACTTCTGCCTCCCGCCTTGTGATGATGATGATGATGATGAGGCTATATACACAATGGTTCCGATAAATGAGATACTTCGGTGCCTGTCTCCTCACCTTTCCAACTGTTCGCCCGCGGTCCTAATGGTGCAACTACAGTTGAAACAACAAAATCTTCCCAGTATGGTCTCTAAAAGAGTCCGTATTACTGCTTGTCCCTGGCTTTAAATGGTACACACGCAACTGGTATACAACAAAATCTGATATGGTGTGTAGTGTGTGATGTGTGATGTGTGGTGGGGTGCTATACTTGATATTTCTAACTCAAGACAACTGTGAATGGTCTCCACCGCCCTTGTGAGGGAGGTTGCAATGGCTTCTGGGAAAGATCTCTTTGAGTGATCCCTGAATTTCCTATGGTTTTTCTTTTTGCTTGCGATTGTGATTCTGTTTTTCTACCTGTTTTGCTTATATTCTTTCCATTTCCTTTCCAAGAGGCCTACCAAAACCGCAGTCAGAAGGGCTGCAGAACAGAACACCAGGCAAGAAGGCCACCACAGGCCTCGACGAGGCTCCAAGTTCGTCCGTAAGTAATGGTTTACTGTACATAGAAGTATTTAAAGATAGCTATAGTGGATACCTGCATATCGCCTAAGGCGAGGGGTCCTCGTCAGGGTATGAATTCTACTACTACTACTACTACTGAATAAGTACTAGGGCTTTTTAAGTACCACACTGAGGTATTAATCATATCGCCAGAACGTTTCACGAGTGTTGTAAATACATACATGTTGACAACACAACCAAACCTCTGCATTCGCAAACAGTATGGGGAAAACCTGAAATAGGAGAAAAACCCATACTAAGGCAATGATTTGTCTGATATTGAAAAAGTACGCTTACAGTAATTTCACAGCATAATAGTGGAAATCCGATAACGCCCTTTGGTATTAACTAGTTTCTCAATTGTGATGCCCTTTAATACTCTATTAGTTAGAGCTACTTTGTTGCTTAGCGCCAAAAGGATATACTCACATCTCAAAAAGTCGCGAGGAGGTCTACAGTAGTCGTTGCCTCCATACGGTCCAGTTTCCTTGCAACCATATTGGCAATAGTCCAAACCCAAAATTTCGGTACTAGCTGTGCATTCGAAAAGAACATTATCAGGGTCATTCCTAGCTGGCCTAGGAAGATCGCTTCTGTCGATCGAATCTATAAGGTCCCCGTAAGTCCAGCCTGCTTTCAGTTAGCAAAATTGACCATAGGAATTTATGAAACATCCACGGCTAACCCCTGTGCCTCACAAGATAGTGCCCGCAGTAGTTCTCGCCCTTGTTACACGTCCCCTCAAACCTGACTAGGGCACTAGCGCTAGCTAAAAGAGCCGTGAGTGTGAGAAGGAAAGCGGATTTCATGTTGAGTTTATTATTAGTAGAAGTCGTATTATCGTCCACAACAAAATTAAAATCTTCTGAGCTTGCGGGTAATACAAACAGAGGGTTAGATATTATCAGTTCGACTTATTTATATTTTGAGTTATAGAGCCGCAGATATAAGTCTATGACCTCAGACATAAGTCTATGACCTTCAGAGATACATCTATGATGAAATAATATCGTGTTACACGTACTGTACACTTTACATTGCCAAGCTAGGTTCCATTCTATATCATAAAGTTGACATTTCGCTCCAAAGGATTAAGTCTCGCTTGAAGGGCACCTATACTTGGCCGGAAAGGGAAAGAGTTGTTCCTTCTCTACTGTGTGATGAAACTTTCACATCAGATCATAGGATTCTAGATTGTAGTTCCAAGACAGTTCTATACTACCAAGAACGGCAGGTGCCGCCATCAGCACGTGGAAGAGCCATTTTCCAGATACATAAAAAGTCCCAGTAATAAGTAATAATAGTATGATCATCTTCTTCACATATTATGTACAGCAGGACTAAAAATGGAAGGGCGCTCGAAACTGTGATGATCCCCACTTGGTTTGGCTGGTGTTAGATATACGGCTGGTCCCGAAGAGGAAATAGAGTACGATAGGTAAAACGGTCTTATTTAAATGAATTGAGCTGGGTTGGGCTCTTCTTGATTGCTCTTCTTTGTTATTATTTTTTGTTATATGCTCCACGGGGGTTTTACCCCAATTTAGTCACATAATTCTAGACCACCCACGGTCGTATTATTTGACAGCTGGTTGTTCAATGGCCCCACTTCTTTGACCACATATTGTTGAGCAAGCCATGTTCAATCAATATAATTACTGCAATTTTAGTCGCGAGCAATATTGGTTGGTACTGCCTCAAACTTTGCGCTGCTATGAGCAGACCATGTTACTTCTCATGATTCGCAATTTTCTTAGAAAGTAAGGGATATAGCATAGTTATTTTGATTAAGTGAATTGAAATGAAGCGCCCTAGGCGACTTTTCAAACTCATTGCAGATTCACAGTTTTGCGCTAGTGGGTGTGTTTTCTAGAACAACCATCAATTTACTAAAAGCGATCGTAAAATGATTATGGAACAGGTGGATGGATAAAGATATCGTTAATGCTGTGGTTGCAATGTCTCACCATTGTACATGGATGAAACTTGCGTCAACGATTGTCTCATAATGCGAGGTCCAGGCCACCTGATGATTGTTGTATATAGGCGATGAAATGGCTGTTACCGAAGCCAGGGTTGGAGCTAGCTGGATCCAATGATGTAGCACAAGCTCCCCATAAAAAGAAAGTGATTACCATTACACGCATTATCCGGAGTTACCGAAAGCAGCCTTGAGAGCTAACTGGATCCACTTGTGTAACACAACATCTATGAAAACAAAATGATGAACGTCACACAACATTTTCTGGTGTCGCCGAAAATGGAGAACGGCCGTTGCAGTCAGCCCGTTGGTTCTCTTGCGTACGCAACTGGCTGAACTGTATTTACCAAAATCCTAGTTCCCTCCTTGTTCCCTCCTTGTTGATACTGTTGGATGCGCAGCTCTATTATAGATCCCTTCCATCCATACCTTGCTCTCTTTAATAACTTTTATAGCAGTCGCATCGGCACGCCCCGGGCCGGAGCTTCGATAACCATTTAGCACGAGCATTATATTCTTTAGAATTACATTGGACCGTTGCAAGAGCAGAACTGCATTTTTCCTCTAAAATTAGTATATTTTTTAACTATCTGCACGCTTGACTTTCTTGGAGAGCCCCCGAATAATTTTAGAGTCGGCTCGCCCTTAAAGGTCCAATGGACCCCGCCTTCGATCACATTTATCGCCACTCGGATATTTCTTTCCCGGGCAAACACCATGTTCCGGGCCTGAATAATAAAGAAGCGTGCTTCCGAACTAAACCCTTCCGCTTTTGCGCTCTCGCTGCGGTAAAGCAAGTTTGATATACCCATCCAGGACAATCACCCCAATCCCCATCTCTGTAGGATGACTGGCTGCACGAATGGACTGGTTTGCTCAAGAAGTTCCAGTTTATGAAATGACCGTAGTAGTTCGGAGACGAGGTATGTCCATTGCTTGGAAAGTTTGGTGTAGGTGTATCTTGATGGCATGGCAAGATGATTGTGCTTATATATGAGCAGAATCAGTTCCATCCGCTGCAAAGAGAGAGTTTTATTTGTTGAATTCTGGTGGGCTGCATAACGAAGTTCAATACATGCTTTGCTACTAGAATCGCACACAATAGTGAATTACATTATTCTAAGGTAATGCCTCGATTATTGTTGGCCCAGGGGATCCTGTTACAGAGCCCAGGAGAATGTCCCACTCAGAAATATCCGGGCCCGACTATCTTCCCTATACAAGTGGTATAACAGCTGAACTAGAGTAACTAAAAAAGTATTATGTATGATATATAAGTATTTATCCCAGCTAATGTTATTTAAGATGGAGCCCTAAGATGATACTCCCCCGCAATTTTCCCTCCATGCCGATGCTGTGACCCACATGATACTATTACAAAACCATGCTGTATCTCTTCATCCAGTAGGAGGATGTATTGAGACATAATCCCTAACATACCTGTTCGCTACGACAACGGTAGGCGCTGCAGACGTTGCAGAATATCTCTGGAGGAAATACGGAGGTTACACTGGTGACTAGAGCCGCGGCAATAGAAGTAAGCTAAGAATTAACTATGTACTGCTCCAGATACAATAGTTAATGAGGTTGAGTTTTGAGGGTCACGGGCGGGGTGCGGGCGAAGTCAAGACGAGCGCAACCGCCCGACCACTTTCACTCCATAACATACTGTAATATAACGGGCATATGGAAGTTATTGTTAGGCATTCCTGGTGGCATCTGCTGCCTGCAATGCCTTCTTCACGCATTCCAACATGCTATGTTTTTCCACCATTCCAACTGAAATGCGCACTAGCGTCTCGCTCAAACCATGGCTCGAAGCCCAGGTCTTCTCCTGCTGAAGAACCAGCTGCACATAGGGAATAGAGATAGGAATATCAGCTCCAAAAGACGGTCCCTTGTAGAAGGGCAGGCTATCAAAAAAGGACAGAAGCAGCAGCGACGGTAGTTAAAGTACAACTAGAGAACGAAAACCCCCACTATCCTGGTGTGAAGTCCTCAGTTGCGGGTCGCATGACATCTTGATAATTTGTCTTAGACCAGCACACCTTCGGATAGTAGACTGTAGCCAAGGTGCTCTTGGCGTCACTCGTGTAAGGGCATAGGAAGTCAACAGCGGAGGCAGTGTCGTTTTGCTGTGTAAAACGCTCGAGGTAGCCCCGACTGTTAAGCTCGAGCCGCATCGCGTCCGCAAGATACAGGTTATTGGTATATTCGGCATTAAAGGCATTCTTCAACTCCGGGTAGTGTGGAAAGTTAGAGTTTAGGAAAATGCTGTGTTAACGTGTTAGTTTTCAAGCCTGCAAAGTTTAGTCCCCTGAAGGGGGATTTGGAGACTCACCTGCCCGCAAGAACATCGGCAAACCCGTTGAAATATTTTGAAAGCGAGGTCACAACAATATCTGCAACATCAATTACATCCACATTCGCAAAGCTTCCGATCGTATCATCCACTACAAAAGTGAAATCATACTGGTTGGCCAGTTTCCGTACACGTTTCAGGTTTGAAGTCCGCAGCATTGGGTTATTCGGGCACTCGCACCATACCGACTGAATCTTCTGACCTTTGCGACTCTTTTCAACCAATAATCTCTCCAGCTCATCAATATCGCCCTCAGTTCCAGCGCTCAAAACCGGTGCGGGACATTCATGGCCTCAATCATCTTGATGGTAAGCTCGTAAGGAAAGCCCAGCATCATAATATCAGAATCCCGCCATTTCGGTAGTGCATGATGAACGTGGTAAATAGCCGCTATTCCCGACGGGTAAAGATACACATCGTCGCTTTTTGCGCGCTGTGCTCGTCCAGGATTAGTGGGAGCACGGTTTAGAAACTCGGCCACTCTCTTCCGGATTGTGTCATAGACTGGCAATTCAGCGGGAGGGGGCTGTTTTAAGGGTGGTTCTGAGACTCTCGTGATTGTGAAGTCTTTCCTGAGGCAGAACTCGGCCAACCGGGACGAGATCCCCGTGCCGGTGAGTCGCCAAAACGTCATTTTTACCTTGCGAAATTCGGCGGGGTGCACGACGCCGTACAGTCGAGGAATAAAAAGAATGTCCTCGGCGCTGGATGCATCTTGGGCCTTGTTAAATTCCACGAGCACAAGCAATACATCTCTAGGGTTCGCAGCATTGGCCGAATGAACTCTTTGAGAAGTAATAAATATCTTGCAGTCCTCCGCCGTCTGATAGTCTGAAAACAACACCAACTCTTCAGATGGGGCGACAAATTCCCGTCCACATTTGGCAAAAAGCTATCTCTCAAGCTACATTAAGAAAAACAACAAAAAATAGGGTTTGCCAGTCACATACTGCTTGGTTATATTTGTGTAAGTGCGATCTTGGATATCCATTTTGAAGAGCGTTGGCAACACGAGGCTTTCCTGCTCCATAGTCGCGGACGTCGTCCCATGTAGGGAAATGGACGGATATCGCATGATCTCGGTCAGGGGATTGGGTCACCAAGAGCTTTTAGCTGGGGAAGGGCAGACATTTTGCGGGAAGGAAGCACTGGCGCAATGACAGACCTTAAAAAAAAAAGGAGCTGGGATGATAGAGACAGAGAGGTGTGATTTGGCCCACGGACAGAGTACTTCTGACTACTATTTATGCTGTGAGCAAGCCAGAATAATTGCGAGATTGCCACTATCTTCCGCGCCCAGCAGACGCATTCTTGTATCTATGATTGCGGTATGCTCCGCCTGCAATATAAGTCGTACAGCATTTTCGATTTTATTGTCTGAAACTGGGCTGAGAAATAGAACACCCGAATGGTAGACAGGCATGTCTAACACCTCATTCTGTTGTCGTCGCTATGTTCCAGCTTCCGGTATGGCATTGCGAGGGGTGCTAATCGTCCAAGGGATAGATTTATTTTGGACTGTGGCATTTAATTAACTCTTGGTGACTGTCAAGCTACATGAATTATCATTCCTTGAGCACGCACCGACCAAGAATTACTATAGTATGCACTCCATGGTTCAGCGGACGCCAAGGGTTGGGGATTGAATAGGTGTTGTACGATCTTTCATGTTAGACCCCTTGGCGCTATCCACACTGGGAGTATACTGCGGAGTAAATACTTTAGGCATTCATTTCGGCCAATCACCTTGAGGATCTTCTTGGCATCCAAAGTATTTACTGAATCAGCTGTTCGTTTGCGGCAGGCAACCTTTTCATAACAAGCACCGGCCAACACTATTAAGCAGGTAGGTTATCCTGTAAGATGGCCGGTTTACGTACCTTTGGTGACCCAATCTAGAACCGGTCGAGTCGATGGACGCTGTTTAACGTTAATGGCTTTACACAGGTCGTAAATTATTAATACTTCCGGGGCGTTCCGAGTACTAGTGCACGGCCCTCCCTACTATGTACTCGGGGTAACTAGCGTACCCGAGAATAGGGGTCGATTAGAGATTTTCCGTATACATACCTGAAAGTACATTCCAGAAATTTACCCATTGCTTCCGTCTCGAACAAGAATTCCTCAGCTTTGAGGTCGTCAATTGATTGCATTGGCCACAAAGAAGCTAGCAGGACTGCGAGAATTATATATTCAGAGAAAATCTGGGCATGAAATGAAGTCGAAATTTACAACAAATTCAATTCGTGAATCGTGTTAGTAAGCGAAAAATCTTAATTTATCTTATTCATATTCGTGCCCAACAGCTGCTTAAGTTATTCATCGTCGAAGAAAAATTCTTCGTCTCTCTACACCTCTGCTTTCTCGCTTATATTGTATACTTACTATATTAACAGCTGCCCCATCCGCCTTCTATCTACTACCAGGACGGGTTGTTTGCAGCCTTAATCTCGCCCCCGCTATACTTAACGCGATGAATGAGTCAGTCTCGTGGCATACAAGACTCTGGCGTAAGATAGTCTCCCTGACGGGTCTGGACAGCTTCCGCTCCATGCATCGCGACGTGATATACTTATTCTTGCAGAGAATTGTGGCATGTTTGCTTTGGAGGATCAACCCTTGTATTATCTATTTTTCTTTCTGCTCTGGGAAATTCAGAAAAGAGGATTGGTTTTTCATGTCGTGGACTCTAGTCGGCGACGTGGTTATTAGTTTATCCATCAGTGTGTATTCGACCGCGCGGGGCGCAGGCGGTTCTTGCTTGGGATCATTGTTGATGGCAATGAGTGGATATGTCTTCGCACCTGTGACAATTTCTGGTTGTTGCTCGGAGCTAGCGTCGTTGGAGTTTAGCCCCAGGTAAGTCCTGGCATATCCAACAGGTTCAGTCTCGCCCTGCAGCATTAACCGATTATCTCATCTCCCCTCCACAGTGGCGCAGATGTCGGTCCGTTCAAAGCCGTGGAAGAATCGGCCATGGCGCAATTAATGCCAGCTCACAATTACAACGTGATCCTCTCATGGTACTATATGCTGGGCTCCTGGGGAGCAATGATTGGGACGTTGTCGTGTGGCTGGTTGTTACAGTTGCTCGAGGATCAAGGCTGGGGAATAGTAGATGCATACCGCTGCGTTTTCTGGATATACGCAGCGATGGGACTAGTGAAGCTCGCCTTATCGGTCATCCTTAGCCGAGAGTATGAAAGCCATTTGACCCAAAATAAAATAGCTAACAGTGAGAATGAAGTACACGACCAAAGTGATAGAGAGACTGAACCACTTCTCCACCCCAGCGATGACTCTCTCATCCATGCTGAGGAGCCACCCACCCTTGTTCCGTCAATGAACGCAAGCACGAGAAACTTCGTATGGAAACTGTGCCTTGTCCTGATCCTGGACAGCATTGGAAGTGGTCTGTCTAATAATTCTTGGATGGCCTATTACTTCAACGATGCACAATGGCCTGTGTTGGCTACCCAAAACAAAGGTGTACGGCCGAAATTGCCATTAGGCCGGTAATCCACTTGTAAGAACTGCAGAAGTAGAATTACATATTTAGATATGCAATTCCATAACAAACGATACGATATGTCAAGGTTGATGCATGCTTAGTAACAGAAAGCTTTTTATTTTATCCGGAGCAAAATCCACACGCATTCTGTATACCCTCTCTAGATACTTATAAAAGGCTGTTAACGATATCATTGTTAAAGGCCGCGGAGAAACTCGGCTATTTTTTAATTGCAAGGAAGTTGGAATCGATGACTGTCCAAGGCCGCTCACGTAACTGACTAACCAAAGCTGTCTTATCCTCCGTGATCGCATGAGACAATTCACATTCCCCTAGAATGCTGGGTCTAATGTTCTGGATCTCCTCAATAAGATCCATTGGCAATTCGCCAAGTATGGGTGGCTTCGCGATCGACTCCAACCGTTGAAATAAGCGGACGGTTCCCGGGTGAGTATTAGACACATAGGTAACAAGAGCATCGATTTAGGCATTAATAAATTTGTGATTCACCCTGCAAGTGTTTGTTAGCCGCTCACCTAGGAGATAAAGGGGTTAATAATAAAAAGGCAGTTTGAGTTAATAGGCGCTAGGGTGGGGTAACTATTTAGAAACGTGAATATATTTCGTACATTAGAGTCACTAGTTTATCGCCAAATGTCAGCGACACGCCAATTCCAATCGTACCCGCAAGTCTCCAACACCATCTGCCCAGTCGCATATGGCCGGTCACAAAGTCACGACGCTGTTTGACTGCAACTTGACTGGAGATCCCATAGTATGCATTCGCGACAGTGTCAAGCATCAGATTAATTCTTCCTCGAACCACCGCAAAGCTTATAATAATTCATGAAAAATAACAATCGTGCACAAAACCTGCTGCCAGCGTCTGTAATCTGATGGGAAGCAAGCAAATTTATATATTTTGCGGCTGCCTCTGCGCCTTTCCAGAAGGGGCAGACCAAGCTTGGGACTTATTGTACCTCTCTGAGCTAAGTCGCTCTTGAACCTTAAACAATGTCGACAATGAGCCAGGGTCCGGATCACATTCACAGTACCCAGGATTGCAGTTCGCTCTTTCGGCCCCACTGATTGAGATATAAAGGTCTGTCGCGATGGTTGATAGAAATCAATAAAGGTTGCTTGAAGTAGGAGCAGGATGATAGCGACAACGAGTTGACTGGGGACAGGAAGTAAAAAGCGCAGTGGATGCCAGAGTATGACCTAAGACCATAGTTTTAATTAACCCAATATGTCTTACGGAAGGAATCGAAAGCACATTAGACAGCGCCGTCAGAAAATTGAAGCCGGAGAAAATGGAGCCTAGGATCCCAGGTTCGACCTGGAACTTCTGGTTGAACTACTGGTCTCGCAAAATGCTCTTCTTGACATCTCTCTCAACCTAAATTAGGAAAGCAAGAATGTAAGCAAGGTTATTAGCGCAGAGCAAAAAATCATCTTTATGATGCTTCATACATGGGAGATGTCCAATCAGTTCGGGCTGAGTGGCTGTGGGAGCGATCCCCAAGGAAGCCCCTCTGGAACAGTCCCAGCCCACTTACGCCAGCTGTGAAAATGGGGCAGGGTGAAAGAATGAAATTTTTTGCTTTAAGCCAGAGCTTAGTGTGATGATCCTATACACGTTGGTAAAATGGATAGATTCTATCTAAGGTGGCGATCTAACGAAACATCAAACGTAGAGAAGGAAGGAAGAAAGAATTCTATCGTACAAGAAATGTGGGAAATCTCTACATTGTGGAATCAACAGTGAATAAAGCGGACTTGGTGCCTCAGGCAAGGTTCGACCTAGGCCCTGACACTTAGCTGATTTCTATAGTCACACGGGATACACACTCTTGCTGCAGAGCTAAGGCACGCTGGGGTTCCTCACTTCTAGAATGCTCTACATATCAAGGAAATGTGTCAACAGCCGAGTACATAGCCAGTATTTCCAGGAATTGTCAAGTGTGCCTAATATTCAAAGGTGATACGCACTGCCAGCGCTTCTCTAATATCGGAAGGATACTTCAGCAATTTAAAATGGTATAGGTTCCAGCCAGGGAAATCGTGGTGGGTTTAAATATTGCTATCCACTGGATCGTTTACGTATTTAGGTTTCGATATAAGATGAAAATGAATCAGTCTCCCTATCAATCGCTATATCATAGTCAGATAGAACATAATTATAGGGGCTATTCGTAGGCTCAGTCTCAAGAAGAATCTAAGCGTTTCTGATGGAAATCAATATTTTTACTGTCGCAGCTTGATATCATGCTCTTTGAGAAAATCGTCCGCAACCTGCTCCGAAGTTGCACGAAACCGAGTTAGCTGCATCTCAGATGCCCACAGTGAGCTTAATGCAGTGCTCTCGCTCTTAACAGGTGCTAGAGGGTTTGATGATAATGGTTCAGGCTTCACAAAGGGAGGGATGCCGACGAGGTCAGTACTCTGTGAGTCCTTGATAAATTTCTCAATACTTTCCTCAATATCCCCGTGAGATCGATTACGCACGCCCAGTCCAGGATCTTATTATGCGCCATCTCGAATCCGAATGCCGCGGGGACGGTGTCAGGTTATGGAGGTTCGGCGATCCGTGGAGAGACATTTGCAGTCAAAGAAGGTGCACATCGCATGCGCCAATTTGCGGACAAAGGTCTCATTCATGACTCGCTTGGAGCTGTCCTTGGTGTTGGTAATAGTCACCTCGCTTCTTCCTCCGTACTGTGCTTTGCTTTCGCTGTCAGACCAGCAATCAGATCCGCCTGGGTGACATTATATCGGCTCATCAGTTATGGGCGATAAAAGGGCGGTTTTAGCTTCTGACTCGTTTCTGGCTGTGTGGTTGGCTGTCGTTAGGCATTTCTGGATTTTATCCAGAACCTCTATCAACTGTCTCGGTGGTATCCCTGATGCTCTTTGTAGCAGTCTTTTCCACCATTGCTTTCTGAAGTGGCTCCCTTTTCTGCCTCGTTTCCCTTTGGGTAAGGCCATGATGAAACCTTTGCGCCGTAGTTATCGACATGGCGGAGGGGTTGGACTGCCCAATTTCCGTGATGTGCAAGAGTAGTGTAAGAATACTTGGAGTAGTAGGACATGCCGCCCTTTTGAACTTTCACACTGGTTCTCATCACAGTAACCCCCGTTCGGAGCCACGAGCACCGCCCTTTTACTTAGTGGCCGAAGCCAGCATCCATTTGCACCACCTTCTGAACGCAGGCCAATAATCTCTCTACTAAACACTGTGGCATATGTTTCCCAGGACATCATTTTTATCAACTAAGACATCACATGATTTATTTCCACCATAAAAGTCAGTGAACACATTTACGACGAAGGTCAACGCCAGCTTTCGCTGGATATATTTGTGGGTTGTCTATGCATAGCACAAGTCCATTCGCTTCAGCCTTGCTGATTGCACTTTGGTTATAGATCAGTTTGCGCCATGTTGGGCACCCTCATGTTCCGTATTTAATAGGCTTTTTATCTGCTCATTACCTATGACTTGCGTCGTGACGGCAGTAGTCCTGGACTAGGGGCTACAAATGAGACATGGTGTAGAGATCCGTTTTCTCTTCCTACTCGTTAAGCGGTACTGAAAAAGGTTGGATAACTCCCTGGTGGTTCCTCGTGCAGCGAGAGGGCGAGGCGCAATGTTCCTTGGAAGCTTATGAAGAGTTGAAAATACTGGGTACAGTACTTTTCTTGGCCATTTCATCCATCAAGCCTCCGGCTTGCAGGGAGAAAAGTTTCGGCCTTTTAATTCGCTCTATAGCTCTCTTGGCCCGCCCTTTACCATCTCCGCTGCTTCGCTGACAGTTTCCCACTTAGGGCGAAGAAAGTGTACAAGTAGCCAGAGAAAATCCATGACGCCAACTGCGGCGAGGCCAGAAAAGACCTATACTACAGCCGTGAAACGACCCTGTGTTCTCTAAGAAGGAGGTTACTTCTCCGAGCCCAGTGACGAATTTGTTTGCTGTTTGCTTCGGTCTTGTTCTGGCTGGCCCTCAATGTGGTGAACTTGCCTGCTGAGCCATTTTATCACAAATATGTCACATGGCATTCTTAGTTGTACACAGATATTAATCCTTCCACTTCCACTTCCTTCCTTTTTCCATATCCTGTAGTCCGCCTCAAAACATAGCCATTACATCCCGCATAAGTAATAAGATCACACAATTGCCCCATTAGTACCTGCTTTAATAGCGGCATCTACCTCGTCAGTTGAATAGCCCTTAGGCAAAGCAGGTGCAAGTGCGGAATCGAAAAAGAAAATAGAAATTTCATAGTGGAGGTCGAACCAGGCCTCCCAACTCCTTACACCGTTCCGATTTTTAGTGTCGCTACCAGCACCTGTAACAGAGGGCAGCTTCAAAAACTCTCCTTGACGTGCAATCGTTCCTCCAAGGTCACCTTTTACAAAATCACCACACCTAACAGCTGTAGTATCCGGCAGACCCGCCATGAAGGTGCCAAGGTTGCTTTCAACACTCCTCCGGGCCTCTGCATAAGCCCACTCCGGCCGCGACCTCACCCCTTTGTGGTAAAAGTGGTATGAACCCTTAAGAGGACCAACAGTAGTGAAATTAGACATTGTCCTATAATGAAGTACGTTAGCCAACCTCTAGTGTGCGTTGTAATGGCCTACTAGTACCCTATGAGGTTGATCTTAGCAGCCTTGTACTGTTGAGTCCGCGTCAGCTTCGGTTTGGTAGGTGTTGTGGAATCAGGGGAAACGGTGCGCAGGGAGCCATTCTATCAGCTACAGGCCAACTAACCTAACTAGGAAGTAGATGTCACTCAGTGGAATCACCAGGAATCGCAGTATCTCGGTCAACTGAGCCTACTAAGCCGTTCCCTCTATTCTCATCGAGGTGTTCAACTATCTAAAGGATTCAGGGGTTGAATCGTTCGTCAGATACTCCGCACCGCCAAGTCGGGCGGATATAGTGTTTCCGTAACAGTAGGTATAGGTATATTGTATAAAGGCCTACAGTGAATCAAAAGTTCGCATACTATGCCACACTCCTCGACTTTGAAGCTTAAACCAGAGTTCATCTTGACAAGAGAAGGGAACGTATTATTTCAGCAAAGATTTAAATAGCAATAACAACTACAGGTCTATGGGAAGTAGGGATTATATCTCTTATGTATTGGGAGGGGGACTCACCTGTGCATATTAGCTTGTAAATCTATTGCAGGATCTGGTGACAAAGCTGGACTCAACAGCTGAGTCTAGAATCCCTGAGAGACTCATAATTCTGTCATAATCATCTAGCTCCTTGGATCACTGGTCAGCTGAGTGACACTTTTATCAACATGATAATCATTTTAAAAACATTTATCGGCCTAGGCCTCGCTGGATCTTTCTGTCACCGTGGTATGGGCGGTGGCTATAGATGATACTAACAAGTGGGTATGTTCAAAGCTAATCTAAGCTTTATTCCTAAATGCTGCAAATTAGCCACCAGGCAAGAAAGTCCAAATTGTGGTAGTATCCTTACCGAGTGCTTCACTCTCAAAACTCCTCGCGTTATCAGCAAAGCCCACGGGCTAGACAACGTTGCTGTTCATGTTCAAACCTAGGACCTATTAAACCTTATTATCTAAAAGACTTAGTGTAAATTTATAGGCATTGGGATGATGTATTATAGGATGTTGGGTGCCAATTGGCACAGTCGTGTAACAAAGGGTGCACAGAACATCTCAGATGTCTGTTTTGCAACCATTTAATAACCTTAAGAAGACGGCACCATCTTTAACTCTAACCTACCAACCACATACATGGTCATCGGGCAATATCATATAGCTGACTGGTCTTATCAAATCATTATAAACTAGTATCTTAATTAGTATTGCTGCACATATTCTAGTGGACCACTCAAAACCGGAATTAACTCTCGTACTTCACTTTCTTGCCCATTTACAGGCCCAACTATTATTTCTCGATATCAAGAAGATCTGAATTTTTCGTTTCCAACGCTACGGCTGTGGAAATGGACAGGTCAAAAATTAGCGAAGGTAAGATACCGTAAAGCCTTCCAATTCCGCTGAGTTACTGAGGTTGCAGAACTTCTTCAACAACTCAGACAGGACATATATTATGGAAACCAAATAAGATTTCAACAAGATTTTGAAAATTTTAAGCTTATTGAAGTCCAAAAACAACACAAGCTAATAAAACAACGATGCCTGTTACACACAGCTGCAGAGAAGGGCTCCTCGAACATTGTCCAACTGCTCCTAAATGCTAAAGTAGAACCAAACGCAAAGAATAGCTCCGGCAAGACTGCTCTACACGTTGCTGCATCCTCAAATAACGAAAATGCACACAGAATTATATCCAGTATCATCCAACACGGAGGCAACGTTGGAGTAAATGATTCTGAACAGCGTACGCCATTGCATTGCTCATTGGGAATTGAAAAAAACATGTCAGAACTTATCAGGAGTGGTGCAGACGTAAACGCAACAGGTCCCGAATTAAGTGCACCCTTACACTTAGCAGTCCGTACACCAAAAAGCGAGCATAGGAGATCCATTATAGCGAGGCTCCTTGAAGCAGGAGCATACGTTAATTCGAAAGACAGCGAGGGCGCGACTCCTCTCCACTATGCTGTGCGAAACAAAGACGCCGAACTAGTCGAGTGGCTTCTGGAAGCTGGAGGTGATCCAACGGCGGTAGATAACTTTGGCTCCTCCCCGGAGCTAACTGCAGCGCTTTTTGATTTCCGTGATATACGTCTTTTGTTAGGAAAGCCCAGATCTATTGAGAGGCCAAACACAGCCCCTTCGTACCAACCAATTCGGCCTTCAGAATCGGACGATCAACGAGCAAAAGTATGCAAAGATTTCAAAGGTGTAGTGCTTCACTGGACGAAAAATGATAGCTGTGAAAGGAAGATGTCATCTATGAAACCTACTGTGTTTGATATGTTGTACGGCGACATACTTACGGAAGAGTATCAGAACCATGCCACAGAATGGCTGCGGTGGTTCCACCTACCTGCTACAAATGTAAGTATGCATGTTCATAATTCAAGAGCCGATAATATTGACGAGCAGCTAGGAATTATGGACTGAAGTATGATTACTGTAGTATTATTGACTAGAGATCTGATATTTGAGTAGCACCTGGCCAAGTCCATGTGCAACGTGGACCGCAATCCGCCGGAAGACTGCGAGCACGGTACCGTCGGAGAAAAGAAGACCGAACAAGAGGGCGGCAATGGCTGTTAGTTAAGCCCTCTGTCTCCCTCAGTGACTTACTAATTTGATAGATTCCTGTTATTGATGTTAATCACTGCGCTGAGGAACGAAGCCAATTGGAGCAAGAGGTGAAGGAGTCCAAAACTGATAAAATGAGCGTACACCTGAAACAGGCAGAAAAGATGACTATGCTAAAGGATAGTTACGAGTCTGACTGTAGGCTACATCTTCCACGCAGTCTCGACGAGTCAAGCTATGGCTTTCTGGAGAAAGAAGAACTGGAGGATCACAATAATGAACAAGTACTTACAAGATATCTCAAGAAACAACAAGGGAAACCAACCCAGAGAAGTTCAGGTGCCCGCGTAGCTGCAGGACTTGGAGGTTGCAGACGTGCTTTGCGAGGGCTGTTTACTGCAACAAACCAGGACAATTGCAACTAGCCAATGAAGTGGGGGGAAAGTTGCGAAGGGATCAACAGATGTTGATGGTTCCCGAGCTCTGACTTTGGAAGATTGACAAAAGTGCCATCCCTCCCAAGCCCTATTAGATAGTAGCGGGTTTCCATTATTGTCACTAACCATATTCAAGGAACAAAATCACAGCTTTCCCAGATAGATGGAATCTACAGGGTCAGGGTATTTCTGACAAGATTTCGCGGAAGCTTCCAGGGACTAGAACGATAGATGATGCCATCGAGAACATCGCAGGCATCTGCATCAACCACATTGAAGAACCAATTCCGGGGAAACAAACGTCAATTATCGATGTGTATGAGCACGCAATTGCAGCTGTTGTAGGTATTTTCTTGTATTCCCGTCGGGTCCGTCGTACTACTAAGTCAATCCTTTTAGCAAGTGAAGTCATGGAAGGGTACAAGCAATTCGAGAAGTCAGTCGGATTGTCATACGAAACAATCCAGTCAGAAGTTAAAAATGAAGCTAAACTTCTGGTAGAGATAAACGATATTCTGGACGAGGTCGGCATGATCAGGAACGTTCTGAGTGCTCAAAGTGTGCAATGAATAATATCCTGCGGTGGGACTGTAATGCAAGTGTTAAAAGGACTGGGGAAGTCCAAGGCACTGATTATTCCCATCAACCTCTAGAGTATTTCATGCAACTTGAAGAGAACGCAAGCAGAGTGCAGCGCTTAGTATGTCGCATGCAAAACAAATATAGCTTCACAGTTATCACCGCTCTTTTCGTACGTGAGCCCTCGGTAATCCGTGGTGCCAATGGATACTGACACTAAAGGCAGGTTCCTCTATCATTCACTGAACAACTATTGGCTCTTCCAATTCGAGAGTATGGGGATGAATTCCCGGCTATGCTGGTGGTACAAATAGCTGGTAAGTCTAGGTGTTTTGAAAACGGAACAAAATTACTGATGACTCTGGCCATAGTCTTCACCATACTTGGTACTCTGCTACTCACAGTAGTTATCTATTGTCTGTATTTTTTTGGCTTACGGACAATTTTGTCTGCTTTGTATTCAGTATTTGTTTCCGCTACCTCAGATAACCCCAGCCACAGCGCGGCTCAGATGGTTCCGCAAAAAAAGGAAGCCAGTATACCTACCTGCTGCCACATTGTCTAAAGAAGACGACAAAGTCGAGACACAAAGCATGGTTCTGACATGGAACGTAGTGAGAACTGATGATTGAGAGTTAAAAATAAAATTGTTGGCCAATCCTGAGCCTACAGGTCGGTTGAGTTGTAGGGTCATTATCAGAATAATCGTAAGCTATACCTCAAGCAAAAACTACGGACGCCAAGACCATTGCCTTTCTCGCTCAAGTACGTGAGCAGTGCCGCCCTGAAGTCGCGCGACCGGGGGTGAGTGAGTGGGTGAGCGCTAGGGGTGACCGTCGCGCGACGGTCACCCAATCCAGCACGACTGGGTGATCAGCCAAGCCGCCGTCGATTCCTTCGTGTCAACTAGTTTCAGAGTCCCCACATAAGACCAAGTATAGATATTTCATTGGCCTATAGAAAACAGGCTTCTTATTGGTCAGTTATGGCAGATTTCTTTCTTGTTGTTTTAAGGAGGTGTTGATAAATACACAGGCAAAACTCCTAGTTTCACAGGTGACTATACCTAATTGGGAAGTGCTTAGTGTTCGAAGCTATTGCTTGTTCTATTGAATGGGTGGCCGGCGGGTGGCCGCTACTAGTATTAACTAGTTAACTATGTCACGGGCTACGCCTGTATGTTGCTTGGCTTCACCTTCGCTGCGATTGACACATATGATTGGTCCGCTTATCGTAGTCACATGACTCCTTGTAGTATGAGAACGCACACTTCCCTTTACTTTCTCCCTTTCAGCGATTCCTCTTTGTGTATATCTAGTTATTAGATAGCAAGGCATTTCGCCCCTTTACAAACTACTAAGAACTAGCTTACATAAATGATGACTAAGCGAGGTCGAAACCTAGGCACAGCGGTTTCAGGCTCGCTTTAGGGGGGGAACTTTGGGAGGTCGGCCGACCTGTAACCACAAAAACGAGGCCTCGTCATCTGCAACCACGTGATGATGGATTGCTCCGGTGATCCCGGATTGCTCCGTTCCGGAAAAGAAAAAGAAAAGTCCCCTGTTAACCAACAGCAGCGGCACCTGACCTGTGTACTCGTGCTCTTTCGTGTTAGCGCAGCAAGGCAGGTGTGTACACGGTCAGATTACCAGCCGAGTCGGGGGCAACCCAAAACGGCTTGCGGACAGCTACTCTTTCGAATCTACTGATCCCAATCTAGCACTTGCATGAGGTCTCCGCTACGGCCAGATCGCTTTCTAATCAACAGACTTCTCACGTACAGATTTCCCTATGAGTCCGCTTGAGGACCTGTCTACTGACGGGCCCGCGTTTATGATGATGACTTCATTTGGCCGACGTAGCTCGCTTTGAATACACGCTGCTATGCGAGAGTGCTGTCAGGCCAGAAGGCGCTCACCAGCCCACCGGACTACCGCTTTGTGGCTCGCAGTGCAAGTCCCTAATTTGATCATCTCTGATCGAGCATGAGCGATGAAAGCAGAGTGCAAACATGACAAAAGGAAAACAAAGCAAAAAAAAAAAAAAAAGGAGATGCGAACATAATAAAAAGGGACCTGCTCGGAAAGGAAGGTCAATGCACCCACGCCTTCCGTCCTACTTCGCCGAATCCTCCCATTTTCAGCGCAACCGCTACCAGTATTGTTGTGGAACTCAGGGGAAATGGGGCGTAGGGAGCTATTCTATCAACTACAGGCCAACTAGCCTAATTAGGAAGTAGATGTCATTCAGTGGAAACACCAGGAATCACAGTATCTCAACCAACTGAGCCTACTAAGCGGTTCCCTATATTCTCATTGAGGTGTTCACCTATCTAAAGGATTCAGGGGTTGAATCGATCGTCAGATACTCCGCACCGCCAAGTCGGGCGGATTATAGTGTTTCCGTAACAAGTATACTTGTCCATAACGGGCGTTCATTTCTTCCAACTCTCTCCATTATAACCCTTCAGCCTGTGGCTAGCCAAATAGTCGCTCTTGCTCTGGGGAGAGACAACTGCATTTACTCCTCGCGTACTGTCATAAGACGATAACGCTGACACACCCCTCACCGGACAAAAGAAGACCACCTCTTGTGTACACCCACCCGGTCTTTAACAAAAGAGCCTGGATGATTTTCTTCTCATCTCAGAACCTATATAGCCTATTAAGAGCCTCCCAAAAGGCTGGCTCCCAGCGAGTGAGAAGCTCGGATGAAGAGTGTTAAGAACAACAAATTGCGAATTAAATGCAACTTCCATTCATGAACAAAAACTAAATGTTATCTAGCTCCTCTCCCTTGATATTCTTGCTTTCGTCGCAGCCTTGACCACGAAGACGTCGGTTCTCAGCTTTGAGCTCATCGCACAATTCTGGAGCCTTTCTTTCTCTCGCTCGATCTTCTCACAGCGATCGTCCAAAGCAGAAGCAAGAGACTCATTTCTCTGTATCCAGTAGGGGCACTGTGAGTGACTAGATTCCAGTTCATCATAATCTCCTTGAGCTTTTGCCAGCTCTCTCCGTGTTTCCGCGAGCTCAGACCTGAGCCTCTTGTTCGATTCCGTGGTGGTGCTGATCAAATGGTCGCAAAGCTGATGGTCCTCGATCGTTCCATCGGACTCCTAGTACAATTAGCCTGTCATCCAGGGGCAGGATTATGGTTAGACGCCCGACTCACTGAGAGAATCGTGTCGAATTCACATCGTAGACGTCGTCTCTTTCCTGGTCGAGGCAGATCAACAGGGTTCCGACCGGGTATGGCTGCATTTGGCATGATGTAAAATTTGAGAGAAAATGAAGGCCGAAGCTGAAGACACAAAACTTTGCCAAGCACCAGATTCTCGTGATTCCGAAGGCCACACAGAACAAGACGCTTGAATGAGTGACTGGCGTAAATCCGACTTCTTTGCGGGGCAAAAGAACAGGCTTTGCGCTTTATAACTTGGTTGTATTTTTTGGACCCCAACGTATGTAATTATGACTCGACCAGTTAGGCTTAGCGGGTGCTTAAGGGCGCCGGAGCTTTGTCTGGGTTCCATGGGATGCTATCGGCGCTGAGTGGGACGCTGGCTAAAGCTATCTCTTTCCTAGTCTAAATACGGCTTCCTATGCACAACATAAAGAACTATCCATTCTTAACATTATTTCAGTTTTGGATGATTCTTCCGCCGTATGTCAGACATAGGAATGAGAGAGCTCGGACGCAGATCAGCTTTTAGTTCAGAGATTATCAGACCCAACTCATGGCCGTTTAAATTCGTCGGCGGCATGGCCGCATTTATCGATTGGCAAGATGGGTCTCATTCTACTAGGAGGGAGGCTAGTTATCTGGGTGGCTACGTCTCATAAAAAAGGGCAAAATGTTTTTAGGATAGGAATTTCCCCACAATAGCACTGGTAATCTACCGCGTCACGCCAAATCGACGTATCCACGTAGATGTGTCGCTTCTGAGTTTCCAGCTCAATTCAGGGATGCGCTTACTGCTTCCACTGCAATCGGAGTATGGTTCTTGTCCGGAGTTCACCAGTTTTAGCGAGATTGCATCGTCGCATTTCTCACCGTTGTCGGATGCCGCTCTCATCTTTTTTTTTTGATTGTCCGCTGATAGTCCTAGACAAGTCCCGTGAATGTGGTCCCGCCTTGGCGCTAAGACGGGACTGAAGCTCTTCTGCAAGATCGAGCCATGATTCACAACAATCGGAAGCACCGAAGTGTCCTCGACAAGTGTATATTGCATCTCACCAGATCCAAGAGATTTTAAACCTCAACAGTCAAGCAAATTGTTTCATAATTTAGTTCATGATTGCATTACCCGTCTCCTCCAGCTCACCGCCCGGCAGACCCCTGTGGGGGTCTGCCCCGGTTCAACGCAATTCCCGGCTCAACGCAAAAAAATCAATATATTCAAAACACCTTGTATTTGAAGCCATTCCCACCATCTAAACCATGAAGTCAACATATAAAGAGGAAGAGGCCATTGTTCAAAGGCTCTACACGTGTACGAAGCTCAAAAACGAAAAATCGCGTACAAATATTGCAAAAAAATGCGCGTGATCATGGGATCAGCTATCACCGGCTTCATAGAAGAATTCAAGGCAAAAAGAGCAAAATCACAAGGAAACCGGCTAACCAACGCCTCGATCCTGCCCAATATGAAGCTTTATTTGATTATACTGATCGATATGACGACGTTGGGGCTCCAATTAGTATACCTGCCATTCGAAAGGTAGCCAACACTATTCTGCAGAATAGCCATGAAGATTCATCAAAAGCTCCATCAAAAGTTGGTAAAAATTGGCCATACCGCTTCTTGCAACAAAATAAGCAATATTTTAAAGGAAAACGGCGTGTTATTATATTGATCGGGCTGAGGCAGAGGATGAGGTCTTGGTGTCTCAGTGGTATAATTATCTTCAACTTCAGACGGAGATATATTCTCTTCTTCACGAAGATATCTGGAATTTTGATGAAACTGGCTTCCGAATCGGTCAAGGTCGTGTTGAGTCGATTGTGACTCAATGTTCTACAAGAAACAATGATATTGCAAGCGCTTCAACCCGTACAACTGTGACATTAGTTGAATGTGTTAATTCTACTGGTGAGAGGATTCCACCAGTGTTAATTATACCAGGCAAGGTCCACCTGCAGGATTGGTATACTCTTTCAGATCTTCCAGATATTATATCATAGAGGTATCTGAAAAAGGCTATATAAATTGCAATTGCATTTAGTTGGCTTTATCATTTTAATTATTTCTCTGCCCAACGTCAACGAGGCCGGTATCGGCTCCTTTTAATGGATAATCATGAGGCTCATCTAACTGTTGAATTTGTCCAATATTGCCAAGATCACAGGATTCTACTACTATCCTTTCCACCTCACCTAACTCACCGACTTCAACCGCTTGATTCGTCCCTTTTCAGCAGCTTAAATTAGCTCACGGTCTTGCAGTCAACTCCGTCTCTCGTTTCCGTGTGAAAATATGATAAATTGGAGTTTTTATATGATATTGACAAGATCGCATGTTATGTGTGGGGTTGGTAACGAGCTGAATGGTGCGCTACGGTGCGAGAGGGGGTGTCTATATGGGAGAGAAGATAGAACCACGTATATTGCAGAACCAATCGCTGGCCTTTAAGAGTTCAGGCCCGCGGGTGCGAATATAAGTTAGGTTAGCTAGTTAACTATGCTATTTTGCCTGGTTCCTGTGTCACCCCGTACCCCCCGAATCCCAGACTCCCATCGCTTCCAACATTTGAACGATTGGTTACAACCACACCCTTCCATTGTTTATTAACGCGGTTGGAACGAGGCGGGGAAATCATGGGCCGTTAGCGCTATGAGCAGATGGTCACATGGTTCGGTGCAGCCAGCACCTCAGGGTCGATGGTCGACAGTGGACAGATTGTGTCTTTTCTATCTCGGAAGTACCACGCCATCTTTTACCTTCCGACAGTTATGATCAGGGTAAAGAAGGCCGATACAATGCATATCACGCAGAAATTGATCCAGAAGACCACGATTGCTTAATACCACCAGGATGCATTGGTGAACTGCTGCTCGAAGGGCCGCTTGTTGGCCGTGGCTACTTGAAAGACTTAAAAAAAGCCATGGCGGCATTTATTGAGGACCCGGACTGGCTGCTTCAAGGCTCGCATAGTCAGCCAGGGCGTCACGGGCGCCTTTATAAGACAGGTGACCTGGCACAATACAACGAAGACGGGAGGCTGACGTATGTCGGCCGCAAGGATAGCCAAGTCAAGATTAGAGGGCAGCGGGTCGAGCTTGGAGAAGTTGAACACTATGTTCGGGAGTCTTTGACAACAGAAGTGCGCCAAGGCCCACGAGTGACGCATCGAGAATATCTTCTGGACCAGAGTGTACGCTGGCTGCTCGGTCTCTAATATAGACGCCCCCCCAGCTGTACCATAAAGGGGTCGTTCCGACGCACCGAGCTCTCGCTCTGCCTCGACCATGATCGGGCATCTTTCAACTCATGGTTCGATCTCCGTCGACCTCATGGTCGGGATCAGCCGACATGATTCCAAGATTGCTGCTACCCAACAATTACCGGCAAGATTGAACGGGGCCAATGGCAAGCTGCTTACGTACAGAATTAAGCCTTTCACTGTCCTCCTCACTGGCGCCAACGGTTTTATCGGCACACACAAATCCTGCGCCAGCTCCTCGAACACCACGATGTCGGTTGCGTCGTTGCCCTCGTACGGGGTGAGACGGAAGACGCAGCGAGACGCCGCACTATCGACGGGGCTGTGAAGGCCCTCTGGTGGAGTAACTGCTATGCGGAGAAGCTGGAGGTCTGGCCGGGTGACCTGTCGCTGCCACGCTTGGGACTGGAACCTGTGCGCTGGAATTCACTCGGTGACGGCAAAATGGTTGATGTCATCATCCATAACGGCGCTACAGTGCATTGGGTGGAGAGTTATGCAGCCCTCGAGGCCACCAACGTCAGCTCGACCATGGAGCTGTTGCAACCCTCCTTGGCCTCCCATGTAAGGTTCATCTACATAACTGGCGGTCGGCGTTGGGACTCCCGGGAGGAACGGGAGGAGGATGTGGCGAAGGAACTTTCAGCTACTAACGCCACTGGGTATAGCCAGACTAAGTTTGTCGCCGAGGCTGTGGTCAAGCGCGCTGCGCGTCGCAGTGTATCAATAAGTCGTTCCACAGTTGTGAGTCCTGGCCTCGTCATCGGGACGCCCACCGAGGGTGTCACCAACGCCGATGACTATATCTGGCGGCTAACGGCAGCGTGCATCAGAGTAGGTGCGTACAATGCCAACGAGGCTGATGCGTGGCTTTCACTGTCCGACGTGGCGACCACGGCTACCACGGTCGTTGACGCTGGATTGGCCGCAGAGGCAGAGACAATCGAGGCGCATTTTATGGATGGCATGACATGTAGGGAGTTTTGGGAAATTCTTGGGGAACTAGGCTACCGGCTGGAGGCCAAGTGCTCGGCAGGGTGGCTGGCTGCCCTTCGTGCGGATATTGAGGCTGGCAGGGAAATACATGCCCTATGGCCACTGGCACACATGCTCAGTAACCGAGTTGCGCAGGAAGGGGCACTATTGGCGGGTAGTTGGCGAGAGAAGCGCGGTGACACGCCTTTGAGGTTGAAAATGGGCGTAAGGAGGAGCGCCGAGTTTCGTCGGGTTTCTACCCATGCCTGCGGGTAAAGGTCCAAGAGGCAACGCATAGGAATTGCGGGCCATTCCTCAGGTCAAGGCTACAGATGAAACAAGTAACATGAAGTAAATTCAAGTAAGATATACTCCACCCGCTCTTTGTTTTTTTTTTTTTTTTTTTTATAAAGAAAAAATCATTCTTGCCGTCTCGACCGCCCCATAGGCAGCGAACATGCGGCATGCGTCTGTCGAGGCCCTTGCCTGGGACAAGAGCATCTATCCAGCTATCTTTTTTTACATCTACAGTGCACCCAGGCGTCATCTGTACATCTGTTGCTATTGTACAATTGCTAACATGTTGCCGAACTATTCTGTGGTATCACAGCTCCGGAATTGCCCGTGTTGTGATTCAGAGGAAGGTTAAATTGTTATACTCTCATCTGAAAACTTCAGGGTTTATATACAGAGTGAACACCAGATTTATTTCCGATCAATCAGGTTCTAGAATCTATTGTGAAACTCTTCTACCAGATCAAGCCTTGATTCACAACATTCCCCCTCAGGATCACTGTGCGAGCATGGCGATACTGCACTAGCGACGATCGACTAGGTCTCGGTAAAACCACTAAAACCCTGTCGGGAGAAGAAGTGGAAAGAGCGCCCGTCCTTGTATGATCGCAATATCTTTCTTGGCTTTTCTAGAGCACCCCCTTTGCTGTCCAACGCGGGGCATTTTCGGCAACCAGATTAGAAAAATCACCTCTCCCCTACCTGCCACCGAGTTACCCGAGCCACTCCTGCAAATTTGTCGTCTTATCGTGCGATCCGACATTCTCGCAATCAGTCTGCTCCTACCGTTGTAATTATTTCTCTTTGTCACCACATCCCCTGTCGCCTCAACATAGGGTGCCTGTTGGAATCAACTAGCCTGTCGGTATATGCCCCCTATAATATTAGAAAAGAGGGTTCCTGGATGGAGTCCTCAGTTTACTACTCCAATGACATTAATTACGAGTGGTTCGAAATGTATTTAGCGTATAATTTTGTGGAAGAATGGGTTGTTTGCCTTTAGATCATCCATATTGCGACATTTGTTTACTCAAACCACAGCCACCAAATCTACTCCCTTCCAAACAAAAGTGGCCAATTAGCTAGTCCTCTTTTGTATAGAGAGACCCGTTGATTGGCCATTCTTGCTCCACAGTGCCCAATCACTGTGTAAACTACGGGGATCCCCCACAAATGAGAATGAAAGAAAGAGTCATCGGGGATGACATATAATTATCAAGTCAGACGTAACTTAGTCCTTTTCTTTGGCTCCCCTCGTCACGACGTTCAATCTTGTATTTCGCTCACTCTCTGCCAATAATGAGAGTTTCCCAGCTGAAAATTCAATATGGCGAAACGCAGGGCTCTGATGACCCTGGAGCAGATGGAGGAAAAGCTAGGCTATAAAGTTGCCTCCCTATATGATACTCATGTGCAACATTTCTATTCTGACCTTACAACGGTCCCCAAGAACGTCTACGAGAAGACCAGAGATGAGCTTGACGAATGCTTCAGGACAAAATATCAAGAAGAGTCTGGGCCAGGCTCAGAACCTAAATTCCCTAAACCTGGTATAACTCAGGTGCGTTACTTATATTCTCCCTTCATCCGCTCTAAGGCTTACCGGAGCCCAGAAAATTGCCAACGGTCCGTGTATTACAATCCTTGAGTGCAGAAGTGTTACCTGCCAGTATAGCTTCATCGCGGATATTAGCTACGACTCTGAATTTGACTTACCTCTGCAATTAACCAAAAATGAAGGATTAGCCACAATGTCAGTTGCAAATGTGAGTTTCACGCAGTTTCTGCCTTACAATGCTTACATTGCGTAGCTAAATGAATTCATAGCTACCACACGGCGACTCTTCTGACGTGGTGTCCCATTTCTTTATGCTTCCTAGAGAGCTCCGTGATGAGATTTATGTATGCGCTATTCCAAGGGCAGATCTGTTAGATGGTGACCCCGGATATCCGAGTGAGCTCAGTCTAGTCAGAGGCATAGGTGATCCTAGTGGTCTTTATTTTCCGTTCAGGAGCAACCTCAGCATTCTTGCAGTAAATAGACAAATGCGGGAAGAGGCCCTAGGACTAACTTACCGCAGGACATTCATCCAATTGAATGATATGGATGACTTTATAAAGTTTGCTGTCTCGATTGGCAATGTAGGCCGCGAAAATGTGGAATCAATCAGTTTCACCTGGGAGAGTAGAAGTGACACGGCATCCATGGAGAATGTCTTGGCTGAAAGTAGCTGTATCAAGCTGCCCAATCTTCATACTACACGATGTGTTCAGCTTCTCAAGAATTTCAGACGATTAAATTATCTTCGGCTATATTTTGAGAATGACCTCATAGCGAGTTTATCTTACGACGACTTCAGGAATGACCCTGGCCTCCGCAAACTTTGTTCACTTCAAAGTGTGGATACGATTGAAATCTTCAATCAGTCCGGAGAGTCACTTGACCAACATGAATCGATTCGGTGGTTAAAAGAGGAAATGGAATCGTTAAAAAGTGTAACTGCTATAGCTGAGCGTGACTGAAAATTCAATCTACATTAAGTTCGGGAGTGGTGCCATACTCAATCTGCAATATCACTTTGCTCTCTTTTACAAATGCGCAGCTTGTGGGGTCGTGCTTATCCGTGGGCATAGCGTGAGATCTTTGCCCTTTTGACATTGTGGTAGGATTTCAGTGACGTCCTCCGTAATTGTTCCTTTTTTGGGGAAAGGAGGGGGGGGGGTCCGAATTCATTGTATTCAGAAGGATGTTGTCGACAATTAAGTTATGGTAATATTGATTATTCAGCACCTTTCTCGGTCAGGTGGTTGATGATACAACATCATCAGATCGCATATATTTCCTAAGTTAGTTTGTTGCATTCTTCATTTGTTTACCTCGCCTTTATAAACGCGAATGTCACGGCAAGAGCAAGTCGTGGGCCCGGGGCCCACAACCTCGAGGAGACCTAATTCAATGAAGGATCGATACTTGCGAATGCGCGTAATTTTATGGTTCACAGATGTTCTGCCCAGCCCCTCTGTGAGATATATTGGGTAACGTACTTTTACTGTCTGCCGCCCGAATTCCCAACACCAACACCACATTGAAATTGAAGCTTTAGAGCCACATACAATTAGAATTATACAGAGATCTTTTGAAGTAATAAAATGGAACACCTAATACGCCTATATAACTATTTTTTAGTTCCGAAAGCGCTGTGGTAGCCGGATCTGCCTGCCTCGACGATTCATGATGGGAGGGGCCTCATCAACAACTTCAGGCGCTGGGGCAGCAACAACTTCTTGGTTCTTTAATTTTGATGTTGCTGGGGACTTCTTCTTGCCTATTCTGGCCATTTTGAAGTCATTTTGAAGCTGTACAGATGCTTCCTTGGCCAGGCGCTCCTCCTCCTTTTGGAGCTTTTTTCCCTCTGCCTCATGGAGGCGGGCTTCTCGTGCAAAGGCCCATATATCCTTCCGTTCTTGCAACTTTCGTTGTTTCTCTTCCTTTGCCTGTTGACGGTGTAGCTTCTGTTCCTCTTTTGAGGCCTTAGCAAGCTGTATTTGTAGAGCCTTCTCCTGGTCAAGCTACTGAACCTGATGGACTTTCCCTGGAGAGTAAAAACTGCACCACCACCCTTAGGGGCCTGGATTTCAAACTGCAGAGGTCTTTCCACGCTGGCGGCGCTTCTTCTTATTCTCACATGTCTTTCTGAGGCCTGCATTCTCCATTTTAAGCAAGATATTCTCTGTAGAGAGGTGGTGCATGGTACGGCTTAACATCTTAGTGTTTTCATCTTTAATATCTGCAAAAATCTCTCTAATAAGCCGCTCGATCTTTCTCCAATCTTCTGCATGCAAAACAGACCTAGAAGAGCCACTGGAAGAGGGCCGTTGGTCCTCTATTTTTTTTTTTTTTAAACGGGCCAATACAACTTCAGGATTAAAAGACTATAAGCCAACCGATCTCCATGCACTTTCAATATTTCTTGCAGATAAGGCCTTCTTCCATGCAGGCCAGACTAGCCTGAAGAAGTCCCGCTTCGTAATAGTGCTTAGGCCCTGGCATTCTTGCAGATATGCCTCCAAACTATTGCTGTAAGCGGTTGCAAGCGGCCCAAAGATACTGACATCTAGCGGTTGCAAGGAATGAGTAGAATGAGGCGGATAAGTAGCCACAAGGATCCTATTAGTTTCACAATAGTCCAAGAACTTCATGGTAACATGAGAACCGTGACTATCTAAGATTAGAAGCCTCCAACGCCTGCCTGCTTTGGCCTTGGTCTCCCGGTTAAATACCTGCTTTAACCATGCAAATCCGAGGTCGTCGTTGGTCCAGCCGGTCTCTGAGGAGGCAAAGAAACATTGGTGTTCTGCAGGATCAAAGTCCTGCAGCCAGGTATCTTGAAGTTTTCCAGATGACGCTTGGTAAATTAAACCTGGAGATAAAGCAGTTTGATCTGCACATATACAAGCAATTGAAGTAATCCATTCCCGATTACCATCCTGAACGCGTTGAGTATTGCCTCCTTTGTTATATTGACGCCTAGAAAAGATCCTCTTGGCCTTAGAAAGTATACTAATAAGGAATCCTTTCTCGTCCATATTATATATATCCTGCTGTTGTATCTCATATTCCTTCATCTTCTGGCCCAGATATTCAAAATACAGAGAGTATTTGAATGCAGAATCAGCCCGCTTGCGTGCAGAATCAATACCAGTTGCATAGTGAGAGATAAGGTCTTTCTGGTGTCTCTTATAAAAGCGGCCTGGCCACTGTTTTCCAGGCTTGGTTCCAGTAATTTCCTTGGCAAAATTCCTCAGCATCTCATGCGTACAGTAAAGCTCTCTGGTCTGTTGGTTGTTGAGTAATCGCTGCTCTTCATATTGCTGCGTTCTTGGCTGCTGAACTCCGCGGTGATACCTTGAGAGAGTTGTTCGGTCAACACGAAATCGATTTGCAATTTCAGTATTAGTAATGAACTGGCTGAGGTACGTTATGAAATTCCGCGCAACCTCTCGCTGGCGGAACTGCCAATGAATTGGTAGTGATGCTTGTGAACGTATCAGGGCTGAATGACGGCTGCGTACTTGGCGGAGGTAAAAACTCGATGAAGGATGTTGGGTGAAGCGAACGTAGTGGCGGGCTTGACAAAAAGTCAATGAATTCAGTAGGTTGCAGGGACCGTACCGGGGACGTAGGGTTATTTGACATGAAGTCGACAAAATCTGCTGGACGAAGAGATTCGGTTGGTGTCGACGAACTTGGCAGGAAGTCTACGAAAAGTGCCGGATTGAGAGTAAGATTGATATTTCGGTCCAGTCGATTTTCATCGGACCAGTCTAACAGGGGTTCAAGTTGGTCTGCACGTGAACCAAATTCCCAGGGCCTAAACGTTAGAGTATCTCGAGTCAAGGCGTCTCCTCCGTTTATAGAAGAGGAAAAGTTCACATGCGAACCAGCTCGCTCTTCGACGAAATTGTTTGGTCCTGTTTGTCCGAGGCAAGTGCCTCTAAAATAAGAGCATTGGCCCCTTGGGGCCGTAAATTAAATGCGTTATTTCCCTCTTCGGTTTCGATAGGGCTGTAGTCTTGTTGGGCAGATAAAATTTGCTCCGATTCTGCCGCTGGAAATTTCTCGATAGTACGGGTTGTTGGACACTGGTAATTTCAGGCCGCGGTGTCATTTCATAGGTCTGTTGGTCATTCGCCTCTTGTTGTGTAAAATTTATGTATTTCTATGGTCACCATTTGAGCCAGCGTCTAATCGCCGACTTTCGTTTGCTTTTATGTGTGGAAGAAGAGGAGCCTTTCTGTGTAGGAACGTAACGGGTGTTAACACGCTCTTTTCGGTGAACAGCTGACAGAAGATTAGCAAACTACATGAGTAGGTACATGAATGCGGACATACTAATGCTTGGCGCTTGAGTCAAAGCTAATGGCAGTTGTTAGATTCGTATGAGCCAGTTGGGTTAAAATTCCTACCTGAAGTTGTTGTCAAGGTGTAAGAATATCCCTCGGGTTGGAAGTATTGAATATTAAAGCAATACAACTCGTCTATCCAAAAATCAACAACCTTTTGTGCCGCCAGCTGAACCGTAACGAGTTCATAGCCATCTGGGCTGATAATGGTTGACGATGCATCTTCAATTCCGCTGTCCAAAGTAATTTACTGACTTTGAGCGGGCAACGATGCAAACCCGGCGAATACCACTAGGGGGGATTCACCTAATCAGAAACGCAAGCGGGAGATCTGCTCCTGGGAGAAGAGTCCAAATAAGAATTTTAACTGTTTCAATCGTGAAAAGCGACGCATGAGACATGGATTATGTCGACCACTTAACGTTGCCGCCCATCTGCCGCCCGTCCCCGCCTGCCGCCCGATTTCACCGTTCTGCACCACTAACAAAAAATGAAGCTTTTGAGCCACATAGAATTAGTATATTAAATAGATATCTTGGTGTAGTGTTCTTGAGGTCCTAATGTTGCTATATACAAATTTTAAGCATCACGAAAGCGTTGTGGGAGGCGGATCTGCCGGCCTCGACGGTTTGTAGGCGTAGGGGTCTGTACAACCTCATCAAGCAGCGTAGGAGCGATATCTGCAGTATTTTGAACTGTAGAACGCTTAGCTGTCTTAGGCTTGCTCTTTTTAACAGATCTAAAGTTATTTTGAAGCTGTATAGAGGCCTCCTTAGCGATCCGCGCTTCCTCTTTCTCCCGCTGCTTCGCCTCTATCTCTTGCTGCTTTTTTGACCGCTGAATTTCTCGATTTCGCTTCCTTTCTTGAACTAAGCGCTGTTTCTCCTCCTTTTCCTGCTGACGGCGAAGCTTGTCTTGCTCTTTTGAAGCTTTAGCAAGCTCTATCTCACGATCCTTGGCTGCCTGAAGTTCCAGCGCTTGCTAAACTTTATTAGGCGAGTAAAATACTGCATATCCATCTTCAGGAGCGCGAAGCTCAGAGAGTAAAGGCTTTCCTCGCTGCCGCCGCTTTTTGTTTCATTGACCAAGGCGTTCTCGAGGCCGCTGCATTTATTCTTAAGCAAGATATTCTCTGTACAGAGGTTGTGCATCGTAGCAATAAGCTTCTGGGTGTTTTTATCAAGTACATTAGCAACAGCTTGCTCTAGCTTCGTTTCAATGCGTTGCCAGTCATTCGCAGCTAAGATAGAGCGGGTTGAAGAGCTGGTGGATGGCCTCACTTCCTCTTTTTGTAAAATCGCTTTAAAACAATCTCCGGGTTCCATGGTTCTAAGCCGCAAGATTTCCATGCAGATTCAATATTTTTGGTGACAAAGCTCTTTCCCAACTGGGAAAGAACAGGCGGAAGAAATCCCGCTTGCTTAGGCTGCAGAAGCCTTGAGATTCATATAAAAATGCCTCCAGATTGTCACTGTACGCCCGGGCAAGCGGTGCAAAGATACTAACATCAAGAGGCTGCAGAGTATGCGTAGAATGAGGTGGATAGGTTATCACAAAGATCTTGTTGTCCATACAGTAATTAAGAAAGCGTGTATTGATATGAGAATCATGGCCATCAAGTACTAAAAGCCTCCAGCGCCGCCGTGCTTTACTTTTAGTCTCTCTATTAAAGATATTTGTAAGCCATGCGTATCCTAGATCGTTATTTGTCCAACCAGATGGTGATGATGCAAAAAGCAGTGGTGTTTCTCTGTATCAAAGTCTTGCACCCAGGAATCTTGAATATTGCCCGAAGCAGCTTGATATATCAATCCCGGGGTTAGTGAGGTCTTGTCAGCGCAAATACAGGCTATACAAGTAATCCACTCCCTAGAGCTATCTTGTAGGCGTCTCTTGGAGCCATCTAGCTCAAATTGGCGGCGTGAAAAATTCTTTTGCCTTTCTACAAGATTCCGATAAGAAAGCCTTTTTCATCCATATTGTACATATTCTCCGGCTGAATTTCATACTGTGCAATCTTTTGAGCTAGCATCTTAAAGTATTTGTCATATTTAGCTGTAGAATCGGCGCGGAGGCGTGCCTTGTCCATACTTGATGTTATATTGCTGTCAATATCATTTTATTCGCTTTAAAAATCGCTCCGGCCAGTGGTTTCCCGGCTTCTTTCCTGTAATATCCTTTGCGAAATTCCGCAGCATTTCATGTGAGATATAAAGACCTCGATCTGTCAATTCATTGATGTATTTGATAAGAGTTTTGGCCTGCTGGTTGTTGAGTAGTTGCTGTCCTCTATTGCTGCTTCCTTGACTGCTGTTTTCCTTGATGACGTCTTCGCAGTGTATGTCGGTCAACATCAAACTCTTTCGCAACTTTAGTATAATTGATCGATTCGCCAATTTCCAGCGAATTGATTGCTTCTATCGCTGCTTTAATTGGATCCATATTCGTTGAGATAGGAGGTGTTGAAAACATGAAGTCTAAAAGTCGGTGAGTAAGAGCAATCGGGCGGCAGGCGGGGACGGGCGGCAGATGGGCGGCAATGTTACCAAATAGGCCTAGCGCCCTAGTAAAACGACCTCCCACAAAGGTGGAAGCACCTTCATGTGAGATAATTAAGATAGTCAAGGAATACAATCAAGACTCCATGAAGGATAATTTTGCTCATATCTATGAGCTTTGACAGATTATGATTATTTAATCCTATCTCTCGGGGCAGCACTTTCACAATGCATGACGGCGCCCAGTATGCAAAAGGCGCGTTTTGTTGAGTGCTTAGCGCTTCAATCTCAACGCCAGCCTATCAGTTCTGGTTTCCAGGAAAGCTAATAGCCATAAGATCTCCAATGAGCAGCGAAGTCATTCTCGTGGGTAGCCAATCTTTCGCACAATTTCCCAACTCCAAGGACATCTACAGTGCTACATTGTAGCCTGTAGCTTTATAAGCTGAGAGATTTTTGAGCTTTTTAAATTAATATTATAGATATCCGCAAGTTAAATCGTGCTACTTTTTATATGGGAATACAAGACTATTCCATTATCTTCTCAATCATGCCACTACTTTTGACTTATCTCTCTTTGTAGGTCTCTTAGTGACAGCGATAGCAAAGCTTGGCACTTGCGGACCCTTTTAGTTCTGTGGACCCTTTTGGTTCCGCAAGTGCCCAAGAGGTTATAAGTGGGATGTTTACGAATGTTGGTAGCCATATTCGTCAGGCACTACACCCCTTAGCCATCGCCCCGGATGACAGCATTGATAAAGAAGCGTTCCTACCATTAGCACTGCACCTTCTGAACTCAACTTCGACAAACCTTTTACCTAAATGGAGACATAATCTTCGAGAGCCATGAGAATACTCTGATGAGTCCAAAGTAGTTGCTGATATGAGCTCTTTGAGCCTATCGCAAAGACCAACCTCGACGCTCTGCTCGGCTAGCCAACAAACATTCGCAGCGCACTCAAAAGGACTTCACAATCAAGGTCTGTTCGTCTTCCACTGGACCAGTTCTATGTATACAGTAAGAAAATCTTCTGTACGTCTGCCATTTGGGTAGAATGCATACTTCACTGAACTGTGTTTCCCGTATTTTAACCACCGTGATTTGTTTTATAAACATTTTGCCCATCGTTGAGGTGCCACCTAAGTTAGTGCAAAATTATGAAGCTGTGTGAAAGATAAATGCACAATTGTTTCGTCACATGCAGTATGGAACTTCATATACATAAAGTTCTTCAGTGAACTATGTTAGACTTCTGGGCTTCATCTATGACAAGATTACGAACTAAAACACGGGTGATTTAAGCTTCACCTGTACTGAAGTGAAGTTTTGCTGGTGGAGCATGATTCACTGGTGCTGCTCCTGGTGGATATCGAGTCTTTCAGATCTCATTCCTCTCCCACTTCTCAACCTCTTCCTTTTTTTTTTTATCTCTCACCTCTCAACTTTGCGGCTTGTCCATTCCTTCTGCTCTTACCGCATGCTGTTCCCAGTCTGTTCTTTCAGATAATTCTCGTCTATCTTTCCTTTGGGGTTCTCTAGCTCTTTGGAGCTGAAGCTGTTCTGTATCTGAGGCTTTCTGATCCCCTCAGAGCTAGAGCTGCTGTAAAGCTCTAGAACTTTTCGGACCAGTGTTACTACAGTCCCTATAGCCGCCCCTTGCTTATTTCTTCGCGAAAATGTCCGCTCGCCGTGCCTGTGGCGCTTCTGCTGCTGCTGGCGCCTCTGGCCCAGCCTTCTCGCCTGGCTGCCTTGTGTCTCGTGAGTCTCTACAGAGCCTGTATGTGTTTTGCTCTGGCTAATGTACTTTTCTGCTCAGGCGAGATCGAAACTCCCCTTACTGAAGCCGGTGCCCAACTTTCTTATGCTGCGTCCCGTTTAGATGATGCTGCTTCCGTCCTGCGCTTGCCCGGTGCACATGCCGTGTCGCCTGCTTTTTCTGTCCATGAGGATTTGTCTACTGGTCATTTGGCCTTAGAAGATACTATTTCTGCTGTGGAAGTTGCGCTTGCCCACCTCCGCCAGGCGGAGGGTCGGATGACCGGGACCTGACCAGTGGTTTTGGGTTCCATTTCCTGTGTCCACTTCCTAGGAAGAGACTTCCCCGCGTCCTCTTAATAAGAGCAATACAACCTCTGTTTTCCTGTTGCTGATCCACTGTCCCCTTCAGTACTGCATCCACGTGCTTACGCTGTTCGGACGAATTCGAAAAGCTGCTTGTGATGTGTAGGTATGGTGTTTGGTTAAGGCTAGGGAGCGGTTTCGGTGGAGTAGATTCGATAAGCGAAGCGTAGATCTTATTCCAGACTATATCATCGGGTTCCTTATTAACGACCGCACGAAGCAATGGAATGAGTTTGTAGATATCATAGTCCTCGGAACTGATAGCAGAATTAAGCCATAAGATATCACTCAAAAGGCTCTTCCGACTATTGGCGGATGGCAGGGTTCGTATTTCAGGGACGCTTCCTACGCGGACACAAAGATCAAGTGCTAGATTTTGTAGGTATACAAAATTAGAAGAAGTCTTTATTTATCTGACGTTAGGTACGCACCTTCACTATCCCACTGATGAAGAGTCTGTCGCGCGAGATAGGCCTAAATTGTCGCAGGTCGACCTGAAATCACGAAAGCCATTTGATCTCTGATCGGGAGGGGGAACTTAAAGACTCTTTTGCTGCCATCGTTAGGTGGCTCGACGAAAAGAACGCGGAAAACAAAACGTGGTCCATGTAATTAACTCACGTAACCACAGAAAAATAGGAAGCCCATCACCCGAATCATGAATCTGAAAGAGGGCTCTTGATAGCGATGGTTGATAGCTTTGATATAAGTTAATTGAAAAGGACTTGCTAATTAGAGTTATCCAAGCTGCAGGCAGCTATTTTCTGCCAAGATAATATGGCGGTGGCGTCATCCCGACCCATCTCTGTCAAAGGCGCGATCCTTTAGTTACTAGCCAACTTTCTTTTGCAATTGTTTTGTGCTGTACTAATTTACCGCCTAAAGTTCCGCCTCTTGGATCTGGCCTCAAATTACTGAGGCTGATGCTATCTACAAATGTCTAACTATTCGTTAGATGGGATGAACAAGCAAGCCCCTGGTCCCTGAGTCTTTCTGTTGAGGTGATGGGTTGTTTATTATACGCTAGTCTACCTTCAGGAGTCATGTTGACCCCCGACTCTGGAACAACTATGTTCCGTGCCTGAGTGGGGATCTTGGATGTAGCACCTTGGCACTTTCCGAGAGCTCATGTGAGCTGTATATACACATGTGGTTAACCTATTGGGCTATCCGGCTGTGTAATCGGGCGCCACTATTTGCACAGGTCAATATTCTACCAAGGGGTGGATTTTATTTACACAGGTCCCCAGTCATATCCCAATTAGGAAATATGTACTTATCTTAAAGTGTTGAAACCAGGGATAAAAGTAAATATAATACTACTATTACAAACAAAATGGATCATTTCCCATATGATAATACTCCTTCTCAAATACCTTCTCCTGAATCCGGCACACAATTCAATACTGCTTTAGAGGCAGAAAAGGCCGCAAAAGCACATGCTCTACAATATGGCTATGCAGTAGTAGTTGTTCGACGCAACAAGAACCGCAATGGTATTATTGAAGCAGTCTATCTTGGCTGTGATCAAGGTTAAAAGCGTGCTTCAACATCCACTGGCCAGCGCGAGGCCAAATCTCGAAAAATTGGCTGCCCTTTTAGCATTCGAATTAGCTACTCAAAACATACAGCTAGATGGACCTTAGTTGTACGGAATAAAGATCATAATCATAAGGCATCATCAGCCATTGCACATCCTTCAATTCGGAGAGAGGAGATCAAGCAGAAAGGGGATCAAATTAAGGCCTTAATTAAAGTTGGTATACCAACGAGAGAGATTATTCGAATACTCCGTCAAGAAGATCAAAATACTCTTATCCAACGCCATGACATATACAACCTCCGGGCTGCAATATATAAGCAATTTCTTGCAGGACGAAGCCCCATGCAGGCCTTAATTTCTATTTTACCTGATGAAGGAAGTTGGATAATGCAGCTTGCTACTCAAAATGGTCGAGTTTCTGCACTATTTCTTACTCATAAAGTGTGCCTTCAGCAACTAAAGAAGAATCTATATATTCTTTGTATGGATTGCACTTATAAAACCAACCGGTTTAGGATGCCTCTTCTTAATATTGTTGGTGTATCAGCTACTGGAAGCACATTTTACGTTGCATTTGGCTTTTTAAGTGATGAACAAGAGGAGACCTATTCTTTTATTCTAGCTTTAATGCGAAGAGTATACCGGGTTCTCCAGCTTCCACTTCCTCTTGCTATTCTTACAGATAAAGAGAAGGCTTTAATAAATGCAGTTATGCATCTCTTTCCAGAAAGCAGCCATCTTCTCTGTATCTGGCATATTCTTAAGAATATTTCAGCAAAAAGCAAAGCCTATGATCGCTCGTACAGTTCAAAATCAAGATACAAAAAAAAAAAAATTGAAGAGATTGATAGGCAGACTCAAAGCCTAGAAAGAAAATGGACACAAGTTATCTTTGCAACAACAATTGAGGAGAAGAATCAGAGATGGGAAGAATTTAAACAGATATATAGCTCCTTTCCGGAGTTAATACACTATCTGAGCAGGGAATGGCTTCAATATTTTACTGCAAGGAAATTCCTCCATTGCTATACCAATTCCTATACTCATTTTGGAAATACTGCAACATCTCGAAATGAAGGCGCGCATCATAATTTTAAAAGGGATCTAAACACCTCAATAGGAGACCTTTTAACAGTGACACGGTCTCTTGAACGAACAGTGCTTGATAGAGATGCAGAGATAGAGAGGCAGATTACAGAGAACAAGATAAGATGGCCTATATCTCTTGATATGCCTCTTTATCGGGATGTGAAGTTTAAAATATCCTAATTTGCACTCTTTAAAGTTCATAAAATTTATAAGGACCACCTTCCGAAAGGCCCTGGCAAGAGGCTAATTAAGCCTTGTACTAAATCAGTACAGGTAACACTTGGAATTCCATGCATTCATATCATTCAGGAATATGTCGATGCCCAGAGGCCATTAAATATGGACCACTTTCATCGACAGTGGTGGATTACAGGCTATTCAATAGAGTCACTAGATCCTCGACTTCTAGTAATGGATCCACTTATACAGCCTTCCTTCGGCGGCCGTTTAAACAAGCGAGGATTATCATTATATGAGCGAGTGGACCGGGAGGTACGGATTGCTCAGAAAGGTGAGGCACTCAAAGCAATTGCAGCAGCGGCTATATCTGTGGAGGCAAGACCTGAAGAAGCAGCAAACAAGGCACCGCTTGAAGCATTGAATGAAGCATCAAGGCAAGGAATATCTCCGGCGATGCCTCGGGGACAGGGTAGAGGGAGGGGGCAAGCGGGCAGACGATCTGGGGATTTAACATGGGTGTTAGTGGAATTTTGATATCTGCATTCTGATTGGCTGGTCAAACTGTATTCTGAATTGGTATATTAATGTCTAATAATTGCGTCATGCTATGTTGCACTTTTATATAGAGAATCGAATAAAAAGCATTTCCATTCATACTATGATGCCTTCAAGGTTGTGGGTCACATGATACGTCCTAATGTAGTATAGTCTTGACCTGTGCAAATAGATGTTTCCTAATCGGGTTAGTGACTTGTGCAGGCAGAATTTTGACCTGTGCAAATAGTGGCGCCCGTGTAATCACAGGTCACGTGATAGTTCTTTATGAACTTGAATACTCGAACTTTAATCTTTTTTACTGTCCACCTGACCTGTGTACTCGAAGTTGAGTTGAGTGATGGAAATCAAATGTTGTGGCTTAGTCATTACTCTTTGAATTTCGGGTGCCGTCCACATTGAAGTTTGTCGGGCACCAACAGTATGAGAAGGCGGTCAAAACCTATATATATCAAGAGCTCCAGTTTTCCCCCGCGGATACCCCTCTTAAGATTCACTGTTAACAATCGCCCACTATTCAACTGCATCCATGTCTTTAACTTATACTCCTAGATAACTGATGTCGTGAGGTTATAGAGAAATCATTAATTATGTCATCGAGCGGGGGTAATTACGAGTTTATTAAAGCAATACCTAAAGCTGTCGAACTTAAAACCTGACAGCGACATGCTGGGCTGAAGTTTTTGTTTTCTTTCATTCTCTACGTCCCCAGCCATCTAGCACAATTGCGGTATTTCAACGGACGCGTGGTTTTGATCCGATTGTGGAACGTGTACTAGATTCAGACGAATATTCGAAAGTTAGGAGGCGTTTTTACCCGTCATTTATTTCTGGCTTCTAAAAGCTTATAGGTTTCATTCGAAAAAAACCGAAGCCGATATCGAGATATAAAACCAGCGGCCTTGTTTATTTCCCTCAGCAAAGTTCGATTGGAAAGTCATCAACGATACTGATACCACTTCACATTGACGGTACTGCGAGAATTGAGGGGAGAGCTATAGAGACAGACTGCTACTATCATGTATTCGGCCAATCTACAATTGATATTTCAGAGAATGGGAAGCTGGCTGCAGTGGTGATAATATACGAGTAGGGTACGGATAGGCCACACTTTGATTTTGTGATTGTTTTCTAGCACTCACATTATTGAAGTCACGCTGATGACACATGCTCGGTGTAAATTGACTTATTCATTCTTTGTATTAATCCTTTCGTTTTATACACCATTAACAATATTTTATAGGATATACTTGATTAACTAGCCTCCACTGTTCGATATTTTGGATTTTGTTAAGGATAACCTGAATACAATGCTTCTAGGTGACAGTGCCCGTTACCCTGGCATCAGAAGGGGCTAGATTATTGATATTTGAGTAAATGAAGCTTGGATTGCCATGTGCCTGATATATGCCATCTCGCAAGGCATTATCCGTATCGACCAAATTAGGACTCATGGAAAGGAAATTATCAGGCGGGCTGGATTGAGAAGCAGTTACATTAGACAAATGAGGCGAAGAGCTCATAAAAGAATGAACATGGGGTTGATAGGCCGTGTGCCGCATAGCGTCATCTGTATCAATTAAGATAGGATTTGCATACGAGGGATTATTCGATGAACGTGGTTGAAAGGGTAAATTATTGGCATCATCAACCTGACCAGTTAAGTCAACCAATGGTCCAATGAATGAATAACCGTGGTGGGTGAGCGACTGATAGACTGCATTCTGCAGAGCGTCATCTGTATCCATCAAAATAGGATTTGCGTTAGAGGAATTATCAGATGGGTGGGTTTGAGAAGTAGTCGTGTTAGCGAAATCAGGCGAAGAGCCCACAAAAGAATAAACATTGTGTTGATAGGCTGCGTGCTGCATAGCATCATCCGTATCAACGAGGCTCGTTGAGAAGGATGAGTAATGGAACATTGAGGATGAAGTATCGTCGCGGACGGGAGACCTTCGATGTGAGATATTGGCGTCTTCGCTGCTGATGTGGGGTTGAGATGGGATTCTCTCTAACGGAGATGTTGAGGCAGGTTCAATTCTCCAGACTGAATTTTCTGACGATATTTGCTCCGCTTCAATGGCCTGGAAATTACTCTGTATCACTTCTGGAATGCTCGGATCGGGTGCAGACATAGTGGGTGGTAAGGAAGCCTGGTTCAATGAACCTGCTGTGCACATTTTTGGCTATTCTCCAAATGGTCACCGTTTAAATTGACGCCTAGCCGCCGACAATTTCGCTTTCGTTTCTTCGAAGACTGACGTGTGCTAACCGCACACGATGAGCCTAGAGTGTCTTGCGTTTGTTGCACACTCCCGCCACCATTTCTGGCGGCTCTTGAACGGCCAGCAGTGGGTGCTTTATTTTTGCGCGTTTCAATTTCTCAGTTGGCCTTTCAGGGGAAAACACGGTTCGGCACATCCTGTGGCTTCTGATATAATTCGTGAGCCGAGATCCTGCAGTTCATAATGTGTTGCCATTTCCTGGACTTTGATGGATTTAAAATGGGAAACAACATATTCCAAGTCGTCGCTTTTGTTCAAGGATATCTCATACCTTTTATGTTCAGCCAACAGAAGAATACTCGGGTACGAAAACTTACATCCACGAAGGAACGACACCGATCAGGAAAAATGCACCGTATCCGCCCAAATGTCCCGCGTAGGTGTTCCATACGTTACCAGCCCTGTAGTCAGCCTTAATGTCATCTTCCACCTTTTGTCTTCTCTCTTTTTAGTAACATGCTGGTCCGTGACCAATCCGGAGCAATATCGTAGGACTCGGGGCGTCAGATTTGTCACCTCGAAATTTTGACATAATCGTTGAACAAGCAAGTATGTGGCGGTTGTAGTAAATGCCCGATACAATACTTCCAACATATTATTCCGTCTGTTTTGCCAGTAAAAGTAACGAAAAAGACCTTCAGTGTCCCGACTGAACTCGGCTGATCCTAAGTCGGTTGGTCCTAATTTTACTGAAGATTCGGCAGTCCAGAAAGTGGACGGAGATCTCTTATACTCGGTAATGGATGAGAGCAGTTCAGGGGAGGGCAGGATGTCAATCTCTCCTATTTGAGAAATACGTTTTCGAGCCTCATTAGCTCTCAATCGACTTGATTCGGTGCTTGAGGGATTGTAACATTTCCCAAATGTATTCGATAACAAAAGTCGGGAGTCGTGAGGTATATGGTCCTTGTTGTGAATGATAAACCAGGTCACCTAATTTGTCAGCCTAGGTTTCCTGGAGAATACGATCGAGTCTCACATGTCGAAGAAAATCGCCCAGGTTCAGCCTGCCATTCTGCATATCAACTGCCCATGTTAAACAGGGATGAACGAGCGATTCCATTATTATTGTACAAGAGCACTCGATAACCCCAAGGTTTGCTGCAAGAGATGGTTGTGTTAGTTGAAGTTGGTTCCCCATGGACATGAAACTGGGGGCTGTCTTCATTTGACCGTAAACACCAGCGCCATTACCGGTAATTGACAAGTGGGGTAAGTACGTGACCCAGACCCACCGAGTTCTCTAATCTGGCCCGATCGGCCGTGCGTGCTGGATTGGGAATCTGTCTACCGCATGGTAAAATGATCAAACCCAGCGGTCTTCATTGAGCAGCGTTTAGATTATTTTGCATATCACAGCGGAAGACATACGGATAATGAAATCGGGAGCATTATTACAAAAGATAAAAGAGATCATAATACGTAAATATCAGAATCGTTCCCGCTAAGAAACAGCCGCCTCATCATTTCCTAGTATAATAGTAAACCCAAGTACGATTAAGTCTACCCTCACGGTAATCTTCAGGCTGTAGAAAGATTAGTCAACATTATCTAAACCGGTGCCAGAAACGTACCAAAGACTTAACAAAGTAATCCATCAACTCGTTTTCATCCTGGAGCTGCGTTTTTGTTGCGGTGAGAGATTATGTTCCGAAAGAAGCTGGGCGGAGTCGAAATCAATCCAAAGCACTCTATCTTGTTTTCCGCAACGACCAGGGCAAACCATCATATTCCTGGGATCGGGATCACCATGAAGAACCCCGCTCGGTGAATATCATGAAGAATGCGGTTGAGCTCGTTCAGACGATGCTCTGAAAATATAGATAAATCCATTTGACGCATATTCGGAATATATTCCAACAGAATGGCATTCGGAAGCAGTACATCGGCAGAAAACATGTGAAGGCTTGGCCAAAGATTTGGTTGTATTTTCACAATTGTCCCATAAAAGTCAGGAACGACGCCCCTTTTGCATAAACCCTTTTCCTTTAGCCGTCGATACGCCGAAGATTCACAAACAAAGGGATTCACTTCGCAGCCCGGGGAATCGTGTTCAGATGGGCGTCTATCATGATACTGAACGTGCTCAGTAAGATTCAGGAAGCGAATAGCAGACTACTAACCACTTTCATCACCTTTACCTCATCGCGGATAGCCACCTTAAAAATCACGGAGTATTTTGACTCCCCTAGTGTTTGCAAGAACACAACATCTGATGGGTTGACTTCGATATTATCAGACATGGCTGTTTTCGTATTAATTGAACAGCTGGATGGACCAGACTAAGCAAGGAGACGTGATCCCTTGGCTGATGTGCAGCCAATATTTAAATTAAGCTCACCGCTTTCTCAAGTTTCGTGCCTCAGGCAAGAAGTACTTTGACCAACGTGATGATTTACAAATCTTGTCAAAATCAAGGCGAGTACTTTTTCTTGGACCGAAGTGTTAGTCGGTCCATTTTTTATTCTGGTACATGGATGCCCCCAAGCACGCTATCCCTACCACAATCAGCCAGCCAGATTCTACATTAAAACGTGCGGTCTGCGCGATGTTAGATATAAAATGTATTGAAGACCACATTCGACTCTTCTTTCATTTTACTCACGTTCAATCTCTGTTATTTGTTGGTTTTAAAACAACAAAAATTTTACTGCAAATATCATGGCAAACCAAGTGAGCCTTATGGAATACCTCCAACATGGCTTTCAACCCATACCCATCATCGACCAAGAACAGTCGAAACAGAACACTCGAAACGACCGTTATAGGGCTTCCGATATTGCTAATGTGGGCCACTGGTCAACATTCAGTCTCTCTACGATCCAGCAGCGGTTTGGAGCAACCTTACAGGCTGCACTGATTCCAAACGAACCAGTACCACCTTCTCCCTCCAGGGCAATTAATTCTGAGGCAGCCGTTCGATCCCGGCTCGATGCTTATCTAACGAACCGGATCATACGCTCTCTTCGGTGCGGTTTTACATATATGAGATCCACGCAACAGCTCTCTGGCCTTACGGTGTTAAATTACGATGTTGGAACAATGGCCCAAATAATTGACTGCTACATACCCGATATCGCCTATTTTGACCCGAGTCTCTCTGCAGATATCAGACCAAATCGCGTTCCTGGAGACATCAAACCATCATACAAGTGGTCACTCGAAATGAAAACTAGTGACAACCCAAGGACTCGAACAGAATTCAAACAGGCACTATCTCAGGTCAATTTCTACATGAAACAGCACCATACACGCTTCAGCTTTATTCTCACAGATCGCGAGTTTGTAGCTATCCGGCGGCTTGATCGAAACGGAAATTTAGAACTTTCAGCTTCAATTCCATTAACGGTGCATGGGACAACATCTGAGCCGAAGTTAACCGCTGTACTTGGATTATGGTATCTTGGTATGCTTGCGGCTGATGACCAAAGCTGGTATCTCCAGTAGGAGCTTTTTCATGGTGAGCGAGCAGCCAATGCCATCGATCTGAAAGGCGGGATCCCAATCACATCAAACTGCTCTGGGAATTTGATCACCATGGGTGACGGATTGTGTATTTACACACCCTGTTATTTTATTTCGGGTTTCTTGTTCTCGATGAAACTCCTCTGTAAGATGACGTATTTTGATAACAAGCGGCTCGCTGTGACCCACATGACTAGCTTTTTTTTTTTTGCATTTTTTGCATCACTAATGCATACTTTGGCAACACTGTTGCCAAAGTATGCATTAGTGGATTTCTACAAGGGTGGGGATGGCAAGCTACTGTTGTTCTTGTACCATGCAATAAATGATTGCCTTATTATTATACGGGCAGGTAAAATTTAATTCATCTGGATCGCCATTAGGATGTGTTCTGGCTTCTTACTATTGACGGTACTACAGATTCTTCTCTCCACGGATTACCGTACAGGGTATACCTTTCGAGTTATTCTCACTAGCTATGATAGTGGATGATGGGACTTCCACACAGACCTCTGCGCTAAGCTGTGCGCTCTGCCAAAATAACTGATCACATTGTATTAGTACATATTGTTACTTGTTACCAGACTGGACCATACTGCACAAGAGTACGAGTTTGCTTCCGCGTCCATTTGAAAGCACACTAATGCATGAAACAGGCACAGAAGATGCCCTTACATAGTCAGTGCTTAGGACGACAACAAAAGCGAGGCCGGATGGGACCTTGAACACAATAGATATTTACTTGACACCCATGAGACTGAAATTAATTTTGTGTATTTATAAATATAGCATAAATATTTATAATATTCTACTTTTCCTTTACTTACGCAAAGCCCCAGCCTTCATTCCTCTAATATTTGTCTTTCAGCTTTGGGGGTTCTTAATGCCTAAATTAATATCTTTGAAATCCGAAGGTGAGTATACCCATATGCTGGTAAGATACTTGTTTGACTTGTCTCCTCGTTTAGAATGTGTTATAAATATACCTACGAATACGGGTGCGGTTGTAAAGCCAATGGCACGCTTCCATGTTTCAAATATCTATGCACTGGGAGTGAAAAGAAGAGACAAGCATTTTCTCAACCTTGCAAACAAAAGAACTGCCCAGCCCATAACACCCCGGCTAGGCGGTGACCTGGTGTATATAGCTCCCTGAATTGGAAAAAAATTTAGCAGTATTTATAGAGTAATTGGTTTTGATCTATCAGGTAACCTGGTACGTTGACGGTGTACATAAAGGTGCTGATTTTGTCGTGGAACTGTGTGTACGTTCAAGATCGGATTTACTTTCTTCCCTATCTTAGTCATATTGCTTGTGGGTTAGTTAACTAGATGGAGAACACTGCCGAAATCAATATTATCGAGGATTTTGTCCGTAAATCCGCACACGAGGAAATGGAGCGGGATGGTTATACCCGGTTCCCCCTCAGTAACCCAACGGGAGTTATGGAAATGGAACAAGACTGTGAAAAGTTCGAAAAAATAACCGCGCCATCCTTCCATTACTGTAAGTTGCCGGGTGCGGAGTTTCTGACGTCGGACCTAGAGGTACGCTCCACCCAGAATTCTCGGGATCTAGCTAAAGTTGAAAAGGTCAGGCGTCACCTCGAAACCCGATTCGGGAAAAAAGTCGAGGAGCTTATAATGCAGGGGCCCAGTATAGTGGAGTGCGTCGCGGTTCCCGAGTCTGACCAGAAGTCGCTACTTGACTTCATGACAGCACACCCCATTCACACCCGTGATGCGATTTCCTTCTTTATTCCGCTAACAGGAAATGCCGACTGGGATAACGGGTTGTTTGCGATTTGTACTGGCTCTCATCATCAGAGTCTCGAGCAATTTTACCGCCAGCCTGAGCGATATATTCACCGGATTGTGGTCGAGCAATACTGGGTCCTTCCAGTTGAAGGGGCGACCTTTGTTCAACCGTCGCCGAACGGTGGTATGAAGATGATTTGGGTGGGATTTTCTTCCCACCCAATGGGGCCTACATCCAATTGCCTTATGCATTTCCGTTTATGAAAGTTTGACTAGTTATAACTGGATCTCATGGCTTGAGCACGATTTCTTTCTTTGTGTAAGATAAGCCCGTATTGGTAACCTCGATCTATCCATTTACATCCACTGGTGGTTGAAAAGTGGATGTAGAGGGTGTATGCAAACTAACCCAAATTGGTAAAGCGTGTCCCTTCCCTCACCCCGAGATTCCGTGATCTCCAATGGACTCTTTCAGCTTGCAGGCTGCTGGACATTCTATCTGCCATGGCGGGAAGGAAGCCCCAGCGTATCATCCAGGCAAAGGATATCTTTGATTGCATGCTGCGCCAATTGAATAACGTCTCAAAATATTTTGAAAAGGACCACACCCAGTTAGTCTTGAGGATCGATCCCAAACCAGACCAAGACATCCGATTAGCTGCTCTGTTCATGAGTGGAGAAGACCCCTGGGATAGGAGTTTTTATCGACTACTGGGTTCAAGGTCTTTGGCATTGGAAGGGAGCAATGGCCCAACAATAGACCGTTGGATAGGGGTATGGTCATCCCAAAGACCTACGGCATGGTTAGCAAATTTCTGCGCAACCAAGGGCTAGAGGCCTCTACATTTGTTAGAGAGGCATTACGGTCTGGTCAGATCCTTCTCCGTATTGAGGAGGGTGTTGGAGTTCCGGGAATCTCCTTGTGTCTGCTCCCGGTATTCCCGAAACTCCAGCACTTGCCACGGGACGAAGAAGCCAAAGCCATACAGTTATTAAAAGGTAGTTCGATGATTCTAAGATTGGCTGCGCGCCTGTCCCCTCTGCTTGTTGGGCGTCATGGATACCAAGCATGGTACAACTATCACATCGGTCAGTGTACTGATCCACCATCTCTTTCGCTTATCCTGATGATTTGTAGGATCCCTCAAGATTAGTTTTCAGGCTTTGGAGTTAGAGGGTTCGCACACAACTCCAGCCTCGGATCCTATTCGCTGTACTTGAATACTGGGGAGCGCCGCCACAAGCCCAGAAATCCCATTATTGGCTGTGTTTGGGTCTACCGGTATATCCACTTGTCAATATAACTTTTACCCCATGATAGTTACTGATCATATTGAAGTAATAATTTGATTCGTGAGACTGACTGGCCTGCATCGTGCTCTTCCCTTTTGTGTAGGCTGTCTGCCACGTCTAGAACACGTATTATGTAGGCAACCAAGCATTTGCTCGAGCATCCACAAGAGATTAAAAAAATACGACCTACTACATTAGGGTTTTCGTATTTATCCCTACCTTCCTCGCTATAAGAATATGTCTACCTTTAATCTATTATTCCCAGTACTTGTGGCCCTACGAGCTGAACTCCTTAAGGGCAGAAATTTGTCAACATGGACTCCAATTCCTATCAGCCCACCGAGGAGGGTATCTTGTGTGGGGATTGCCATAAATTCATATTAAGAGTTTATTTAAATGGAGGCGAAAAGTACGCTTCCGTGCCAGCGAAGCGTCTCTGCGCCCTTTGTAAGAGAGAATGCGGATACGGGGTAATGGTATGTGAGCTATATTTAGTGAAGAATTAACAAAGTGACTGTTGCTGACCTCTCTAATGATGTCCGAAAACCTCACAAAAATCGTGCAAGATGCTCGTGAAATGAAGAAGCGGATTGAAGAGCTGGAGCATGAACACCAAATGCTTGAGCAAGATGCCTGCAGGTAGTTTCCCCTACTTATTTTGCGACTTGCTGCTAACCTTTACTGTAGCAGGTGAATCCATCCTAGACTGGCTGTACTTTTTTTTTTACGAAGATAGGAAGACTGGATTATTTTAGTGTCAGTTACCATGCTATTTTTTTTTTTAAAAAAAATGAAACTCTCTATCTTTTTTAGCTCTTGCTTTAAAAGAGAGAAGAAAAAAAAAAAAAAAAAAAAAAAAAAATAATTAGCTTCGTTCGGAGGTATTAGTCTTTATTAAAGGTAAGGAGGGGTTAGGTAATAAGTACCAGGCGGGGAGCTTATAAAGGGGCGGAGAAGCCCATACCAAGTTTAGCTCATGTCATTAGCTATGTTCACCCTTTAAATCCGTAAAAATCACCCAAATTGTCATTGCTAGAAGAATGGATACAGAGCCACTTGAAGCCAATGAATCTGACGAGGGATTTTATGATGGGTATATGTTCGCTATCATGGCTCTGTGTTTGGTCCCATTCTGATTTTTGCAGATCTAGGATAGAACTGGTCAGCTCAATATACGAAACAATCTACAAATACGGACGGCATTATCCGGCAACGAGCAAAGACCAGTATCCCTGGCCCGCTGACGAGGTATGTATTCCTTCACTTTCCAGGATGTTGTTAACCTGGTTATATTAAGATAGAGAAAGAACGGCAAGGTCAGTGCACTTTAATTTCTTAAGGCTTATTAACCAAATGAACAGCTGAGCAATTTCTCCTGTTTTGCAAGCTCTTTCAGAGCAGGCTGTCTCCGACTCCTGCTAGTCCACCTCGAGCTGTGCTTGATCTTAGAACTGGTATTGGCCACTGGGCTATTGAATTCGGTACTTATTTCCCATGACGTTTTCTCAATATGAAGTTGCTAATTTTCAAACCCTTTAGCTGATAGGAACCCGCATTCGCTTGTAAGCCCAAGTGATTCCTTTCCAAGAAATGAGAGTGACTAATTAGGTTTATGGGATTGATCTGGTTCATATGCAAGAGGAGTGGTATGGATTGTATTAAATTATTTAGCCAGAGTAATTAATCTGAAACAGGGTTCCAGTCAACTGCCAGTTCTTAATTGATGACCTTACTAAGCAGGACTGGCACACTCCCTTTCATAATATAGATATCATCCACATTGCGCGCTGGGTGGTGACTGCCAACTCTTAACATGCCTTATGGATGGAGCCTACCGGTAGTCCTCACAATGTCTATCACTTTTATATGTCTAACTCTCATTGTAGGTGCTGTGTGCCTGTAGGAGTGGTTGAGATTTGGGATACCATGATTTGGTTGCAAGAATCCGGCAAGAAAACGGGCCTCCATCATTTCTACCACAACATGCATGATGCCTATCAGAGAAGCGGGCGCTTTTAGACCTACCTCTCTTATATTCCAGAGAGTTTGGACGCCATGGCTTTATTAATGTGGTTGACCATGTCTACAACATACCTCTCGACCCAACATGTCCCAATCCTCTTGCAAGAGCGATATTCAAGAACTGGGCCGATGGATTTGAATCATATAGCTTGGAGCTCTTCGACAATGAACTCCAGAAGCGCTGCTTAGACAGTTTACTAGATTGCGCGACAGCACGTCAGGCTCTTAGGAAAGGAGTTAATGGCTTCCTGCAAGTGTAAGTACCTATCACTCCAGTATGCGTTGGATAATTTGCTAAGAGCCGTTTAATATCCGAGTTACATCAGGACTAAAGCCAGCTACAAACAACTGAGGTGACTTTAGTTGATGTTAAAGTAACTGCTGTATTAATAGTATCACTTCTGTATTTATTTTGGAGCAAAACAGTAGCTTGTACATTTATACTTAAAGGGATATCAGACTACTGGGATATAATATCTAGGCTGGTAATCCGTCACGACAAAAATATCACTAGTAGTTGTAAGCAGAAATGTAATTTTAAATGCATCACATACAACTGCAATAGATGGCTTGCCATAGGCCAGTTGCTACCCACTAGGGTAATGTTCTATTTCCGCTGACCCTTGTAAGTAGCCAAAGAAGTGGGCCACCGCATTGGTATATAAAGGGACAAGGCCATCACCCCATGGAAAATACATCTTTCCTTTCTCCCTACCCCAAAAGTTTTCGGCAAGTTGATTCCTTGCACAAAAAATCAAACAATCTTTACCAGATTTCACTGGAAGGACGCCAAGGGCCACAATTGCCATAGCTGCCAAGCTTCAATAAACTCGGATGATGAACAATTATCTTTCATGTCCACACAGTCCGGTTGGATAACAAGGGAAATAATTCATTCTACACCGAGAATGGATTGTCTGAATATGCTGGATGATGAGTGGATGGGTGGGTAAATTTTTAATTCTCTTGCACATATAGGGCTAAATAGACCTTAGGTGCAACAGGATACCAGCCTCATATCAGCGGACCTTCTAGTATCGAGGAGCCTGAAACTTCAAATTTCTCTCAAAATATGCTTAGTGAACAGATAATCTCTATCCCATATTTTGTGTGCCATAATTGTTGCAAGAGATTGAGTTCAGCCGTCTTTCCTGGCGCACAAGTCAACTATGAATGGATTATTGGAGAGCAATGGTGTATTGGAGAGCAATGGTGTATTGGAGAGCAATGGTGTATTTGTTGCAGAGAAAATTGCGACTATGGCATATTTGTAAGTAAACCATACCAACTAGGATTGCTGTTAACTAACCCTCCTCATGACCCCTGCACAACGAGCCGCTCAGATAGTGAAAGCTCGTGATAAAGAGATGTGGTCATTGTGGTTGTCTCAAAGTAATAAGAGCGAGGCACAAGCCTCTAAAGCACATAGCCCAGGAGCACCGCAGCCTTTCCAACCATTGGGTCCGCTACTCGGAGATACACATCACTTGCAGTTTTATCGTCAATTATTGGTTTCTCTTCTTCCAGAAAACACTTGGCACAAGCTTACACAACATATTGCTACCAAGTTTTCAGATAAAATAACACTGGACAATACTCTGTTGGAAAAGATTAACGGGCAGGCTGAGTTATCAAGCAATGGTAAGTCATTGCCAGGCTGCGAGTGGACTGCAACTTGGCTGAGTTGTAAGCAGATTATATCACAGCCCTGAAGTCCGCCCTGCTTCAGCTTCCATTTCAGGATCTGAAGTTGTCTGTATGCAACAACCGGAATGCATTTGGTGGAACAGAATATCGAGTGATAGAAAAATCCTAGACGCCTGGATGTTAGGAACGGGGAACCGTCAGCCGCAGCCAGGCTGGTTTTCGGGCTCCCGACAGTGCAAGGATGCTGGTGGAACTAACACTGAAAAATCTTGTTCTTATAGTATCGACGCAGTTGCCGCAGTCCAACACACGAAGCTTTCTCCGGCATCCACCTTACGGCCTAAAAAGCCCACAGGCGGAATTGAAAAACGGCGGAGAGGCAGGCCTTCCGGCTCCGGTACTCTATGGAGAAAGGGCCCTGGAAAAATAGAACCCGAAGACAAGAATCGTGTTCACGGTACATATGCAGAGCTTCTTCGGCAATGTATGCTGGCCGCACCAGACTGCAAACTAAAACTTAGGGACATATATGCCTGGTTCGAGCAAAATACCACAAAATGCAAGGCTGGGTCATTCAAAAATACGATCTGCCAGACTCTTTCCTTAAATCCTGTACGTTTCCCAAGCTATATACACTTGCTCGGTCTCCCCGACATGTTTTTTATAGGATAATACTTAACAGGCCTTCTAGGCATTCGAACAGGCTCCAGAAAAATCGTCAACTGGAAAAAGGCGGCATGCTGGCGCTTGACCAATGACGCAGCGGAGAATGGTGTGAAGCCAACACGTAAACAGGCCACTGGAGTTAATTGAGGCGGTGCGCCAAACGACAAGATAGGCAGGATGGGGTACAGAAGAGGCTTGTGTTAAGTATTAATCTAGGAGTCTGTTTAATTTATTTCTTATCTTCGAGCTTGTACGCTCATTGGCCAATTTTATTTGATTTTTCCGTTGTCATATTTCTAAAATTACTATGTCTGGCAAGATAAACATGCTATCCCGAAATGTCAAGGCCTGCGAAAATGCAATGGCTAAGATGGATCTCACAGGCCAGACCATACACAGCGCCGTGTAGAAGACTTGCCGAAAATTCTGCCCGGCATCAACCCTTTATGCTTCCAAATATTGATGAAGGAAATTTTGCTGTTGCACAGCATTACCACGTACGGTTCACCCGTTCTTATCGTGCCCCACTGGACAAATCAAGCCATTGGAATGCAGGGATGTCAACGAGCAAAACATATCCCTTCGCATATGTACTTCGTGCACCAGGTAAATGTACGTTTACCTGGTTTGTAGTCATCTGTCCCTGATAATTTTCACTCAATGCACGTATTATTTATATCTGTATAGTGCGAAGTCACTTCATCTGTACACTTTCCCTCGAACTAGCAAGGCTTGTTGCTTGCGGAGCCAAAGAGGTTCGAATCAATTCTCCAAATCCAAAAATTGTCCCAGGAATGATCAACATCCTTAATTTTCAGCTAGCGTTGCCATCAGAATTACTAGGCACCACATGGAACCGCGTAATAGACGCGATCATAACTATCCATGGGAGTACTGTGGCAAGGTACTTTGCTCTACATTCATTTGAAAGTAGTCTGTCTAATAATATCCGAACAGACTTTCAACCGCAAATCGGACCTCTGCAGACACTATCGAATACACATTAATGAAAGACCACATCACTGCCCAGTCAAGGACTGTAGCAAGAGCTTTATTCAAAGCAGCGCATTGACTGTCCACATCCGAACCCACACTGGGGAAAAGCCTCACATCTGTGAACACGAAGGTTGTCGAAAGGCATTCTCTGACGTTTGTGACTCCGTCATTGTGTTCGATCCCTGCAATTGCTGATAAATCTCTCCAGGCGTCAAGTCTAGCCCGCCATCGAAGAGTTCACACTGGGAAGCGGCTATACGTCTGCCAGGAACCTACATGCAAACTAAGGTGAGATTGGAATGTACGCATGGAGACCTGGCGTTGCTAACACGGTCACGTAGCTTTTGTCGCAAAACCACCCTGACCAAACATCAACATCGCTCGCATCCCCGGGCACGGAGACTCGACAACCGGAAGATGCAACATCCGAGCATTTGTGCCAGACTCCGATTATTAATACTTCCATAGCGAATGGCCGGTATCTCCTCGCCCAGCAACCCTATTACCCTCACTCATCTATGCTGGTGAACCAGCTCTACCCTCCAGAAAAGATGCCTATGACACCAGCTGCCATGCGGAAGGGATCTCAATTGTTGCCCACAATGTACCCGTGACATCCCCATGACATACGGCATGTTCGGCAACAATTAATGCTGCAACTCATGCATCAGCGGTACGCCCTATGCTGTTCAGGCCAGGTATTACCGGAGTTCCAGCATCCCTTTGTAGACGTGCCAACGGCGGAAGGACAACGCCCCATAGTTAAGTATCCTCTGAATTTCCGGTAATTCATTACAGCTGCGTCCGAATGAAGACGGTGGTTGCTCCTCTTCCTCCCCTTAATCTTGACATTCATCCGTCATCACCTGCAGCATCAAATAAGCCGGCTAATTAGTAATATTAAAGGTGTCCAACATTATGAGTCCCTTCCAACTATGCGACATATATATATTAAAGTTATAAATATACCACGCCTCCCAGGCCCTCCTTTGAACAGAATTTAGAAAATATAAGTGATGTAATGATAGGCTGATTTCTGTATTCATCACAGAATACTATGTCAGGACCCTGCTATTGACTCCGGAACCCGCCTTTTGAAGAGGTAGCATGGAGAGCGTTGCCGAATAGCCCGCCCTGTGTGTTGACACCGGCGCCTTTCTCTAGTGGTGGCTGGACGACCTCCTTGTTGCCTTGTGAGGAGGCAGCAGGGAGAGCGTTGTCGTCGTACCCCCTATCCCGCTCGTTGATATCGGCGCCTTTCTCTAGCGGCAGCTGCACGACCTCTTTGTGGCCTTGAGAAGAGGCAGAATAGAGAGTGTTGCCTCTGTACTTCCAACCCCGGCTTGACATCGGCGCCTTCTGCCCGCCATCTCCGATCCCGTCTTGTTTGACAATCCCGTTGAAGGAACACAATCAAGCTGGCAGGAAATAAATGACGCAGCTTCTCTTCGCAGGATGGGTTGCTGAACAGAATGTTCAGTGGCTTCTCGAGCCTACCCAAGGATAAGATAGAACTCACTTCCGGAAACCGGCATTGACATTAGCACCCTAGCCGTCTCCTCCGAAGACATTAGCCCGAGTCGTGAGAAGAAATTCTCTCCGTCTGGAGCTGGATTCTTCAGCCGTCGGCTTAACGAAGATCAGGGTCCGACTGGCGAGAAGAAGCGCAGGAGAAGTACTCTCACTAAAGCGGCGAGTTTCTTTATCAACGCGAAAAACTCCCTTACCCTGAACGGCACGCAGGAAACCCCTTCTATCAGCACCAGCCTGCGGGTCCCGGAAGGAAGCCCACTACAGACTGGGGAAGATGGACCCGGCCCTGAATGTCTCTCAAGGGTCATTCAATAACTCAGCCGGAGAATCAATACCCACACCTCGGTCATCTTTCCGTGTCTTATAACAAAAGCAGGCATGAGATTTCATAGGCCGATTCAGATGGATGCAATAAAGAAAAAGACCTTACAACCCCTTCGTTTAGTGGATATACAGAGCTGATGGTCCTAGGGAACCAACTCCAGCAAGAAAAATGGAGCTAAGAAAACTCAGCATAAGCAGGCTAAAGGGATTTGAGAAAGATGAAGAGGGAACAAAGAAAAGGTAGAAGAAACGAGCCCAATGATTAGCGCGCGGCCTAGATTCAAAATAGCTATGGAACTATGGCACTACCAAGAGCTATATGATACATGATCGAAATCGACAAAAGCAAAATATGACACTGGGTATAAAAGAATTCGTAGATCATGGTTGCCATTCCAGTGGGTAAACAACATTATACGTTGTATTGCCAAACATAAAATCAAGTAGTGAAGGTTTGGCAAGCCCAGTTTATCAGCGCAGCTCAAAAACCTATATCTATTCTTCCTGTCCTCCCCGAAGGCGATTACAAGATAAAGCGAATATACAACTCAGGCAAGTCGTAGCGCATGATGTATATGTCGTGGTCCAATTAACCTATCATTGACTGGAATGAGCAGACAGATTCTTCTCTCAATCTCCTCATCGAGAATATAAGCTTCGGATATTCAGAAGTGCCTGGACAGCAGGAATCGGCACCGGCTGCGTGGGTTAAAAATATGGAACCCTGATGGCTCTGTATTCGGGAATACAGAGGAGATGCCTCCCTTGTTCTCCAACGCGCTCGACGACTGTATTCCCCCCAGCCTGGCAGATAAAGAGGCCTTCAGTTCTCCACTATAGCCCACGACCTGCTTTTGTAGGATATTTGCAAGAGTCTGTGCAGTGCTCGCCGGACTTCCGTTTGCGCTGTTACAGGCAAAGAGAAAGAGTCTTCCGTACGGCTGCGCCGGATTCAATAAATGCGGAGCCACTACTCTCATGCCCTTAATAAATCTATCAGGCTCCATGAATAGAGCTTCGGCATAAATCCCAGTGTTCTGGCCCATTAGCTTACCCTCTGCCCCATGGGTAAGGATTCCCCGCCAGGCAGGGGGGTTACCTTCTATCCGCTCGAAATATATCAACGGGGTCTCCTCATTCATGACTCCCAAGACTTGCAGGGCGAGTGCCATATCTACAGAGTCATTGGAGGCACTCGAAAGCTTGCCCGCCACCTTGCCGAGGGTCTGGACGCCCTTTGCCAATGCTCGTGCGGCGAGGACTCCCGCCTCTGCACCGACACCTCCCCAGACGGCATCGGAAGCGAGGCTACTTCATGTCGGGAACTCTCGTTCCGATAAAGCATCATAGGTAATGCCAGCCGCGGCATCTGAAGCCGCGCCCACAGCGATGGCGACACCGACCTCGATGGCCAGCGAGGCACCACCTGTGAGGATGCCTGCCGCAATGCTGGCTAGTATGCCGACACCAGCTAGTGTTAATATTCGCCCGAGGGAGCTGGTACTGACGCTGCTGGATCGGCCTGAGGGATCGGAGCGGTTGATGGGATCTCTGAGGAATTACCCGTAGGGGTTGATCTCTCCTGTCTTAAAGGGACACCAGCCATCTGGAGAATGGAAGCGCCTCAGGACTGGATTGTACACGCGGTAACCATTGCTGAGATGGTACCACCCCGTGATGGGATCGCGCCACTGGCCATTGAGGCCAATTGGAGATCCTCCTGTGCTGAAGCCGTACAGAGTGTACTTCCGCTGGGAGACTTGGGCGGTGTTTTTGCTTGCACCGAGGCCAAGACGGACTGGTTCACATCACAGGCCCAAGCTGGGCATCTGTATTGCCCTTGCTATCCTTGCACGTCTGGCCCCAGTAGGTGCTCCTATCTGAGATGAAGCTCGTTTGACGGTGCCGTTGGTGGTTACCAGAAGCACTCCGCGATAGTGGAGATGCGTATCCGGCTTCCCATTGACTTGTTAACATACAAGCTTTCCAGTGGCGTCGTACTGGTAGCTGCACAGCTTCTTGCCAGCGGCGTCGTGCACAGCCCTTAAACGGCCCCTGGTGTCGTACTCCAGGCTTCTCCGGACTTTATCCTGGGTTAAGCAACCGTTTTTGTCATACTGCAGATCGGAACCAGCTGAGTCGGTCTCCCAAATTTGTCATAACGTAGCGTATGCTTCTGACCGTGACCATCCTCATAGGAGAGCAACTTCCCATTCAATAAATAGGATGACTTTGCATTAAGCTGAACTCTATTCTGCATCTCGATCCTCTCTAACGCGAGCTTTCCAGAGATTAGCATCTCGCGGCTGACGGTACTGTAGCTGTTTCTCATCTGAAGGACCGCCCCAGTCTGATTGTTATACTGGAATGGGTCAGTAAAGCCGGAACTCTTCATGCTCGTCATGGAGAACTGTGGAGCGGCCTTGTAGTCCATATCATGCGTGTTCCCTTTAGAGATGATTATCGGCTTTGGCTATGGCGCATTTGGCGCATAAGTAAGAGTGCCACTGCGTTACCAATACTCTGGTGTGCAAGACGATCTAGACCATCATAGTCTCGAAGGCCTTCTGTTTGGTTTTTGCACTTCACCGAAGCCGTGATAGGCGATGTGCTATGAGGCACATACTCGGTCTGCATAGACAACGACTCGCCGGGCCATGAAGTCTCAACAACGCGATTGAAGCTGTCTACCTTGTACTCTGTCGTCTGTCCCAAAGTATCGGTCTGATTGATTAGACGGCCCCAGCAGTTAAATTCAAAATCTTTATTGCCGTATATAGTACCATCTAACTTAAGAATAGCGAGCTGGATGACCTGCCCGGATGCTTGGTCGTGGACCTGGTCAGACTCTTGCCGTCAATGCCGGTTGTCTTGGCCTGGAGGATTGGATCGACGGATGAAATGGTGGCAACGCCAGCATGATTAATTGTCTTGCAGACTTGACCCCAGTAATCATATTCCATCATCCTCTTGGTGCGGAGTTCTGTCCCGGTGGAAGTGATCCAGTTAATGTCCTTAATATCGGTACACTGGCCTAGGGCATTATAATTGAGCTGCTGGACTATACGGAAGTCTCCGGCACCACCGTTTTCCGATTTATTATACTGGAACTTCCTCTCCATCGCATCGTGTATAATTCGCGTCCTGTACCCTCGGGCATCTGTCAGGGTGAGCTCGAGTCCCTTTCCGTCCTTAGAAAGGGTGTATTCGTGTTTCCGCATTGCTTTATACAGTGTGCCTGTGCCAATCTTCACCTTAACAACACGACCTATTGCACCGTGCTTGGATTCCACTCGCACCCTGTGTTGATCCGCCTGGCTCATAGTTGCTCCGGTGAACTGGCTACAGACCACCTCACTTTGGACAGCAAGGCCATCGAAGCTCATTATTTTGATCTTTGTCTTCAGGCAATGGGCTTGGGTATGGCCATACTCAAACAACCGCATACTTGGGTACTCCCCATTCAGCTTGTTAATGTGCTGCCGAACATGGCCATGGTCCACAGAGTCTGGATCGTTCACATAGGAGTGTTCTGTGCTCATAAAATGCTTGCCATTCTCTAGTGACTGCTACTCCTTTGCTACAACAAAATAATCGGCGTATTTCGCTGCTGCCGAAATAGAAGGCAAGCCGCCCGTATTTATACCCCTTTTACTCCTGATTGGACCTCCACCCATTGAAGCCTTGGTTTCAGTCTTCAGATATCGTACAAAACCATGTGGGTTAGGAGGACAACCGCCTTCTTCTCCCGTCGCAGGGAAGTACTAATTTCTAGACGTGATTCCATCCGGCATTTTGTCTCTGTTGGAGTTTCCCACTCGTCGAACGAGTACGAAATCTTTTAAGCAAAAGCTCCGTCCAGGGCCAAGTTAGCATACGTCGTTTCCACAAGGCTTGGCAGCTAATACTGTGCAGGTTGGTCTTCAAACCTCCGTCCGTCAGCAGCGTGGTAGGTGACGTCCTTTGTTGCACACTTTGTGTAATGCTGCCGCTTGATGCTGAGAGTTAGATGGAACTTGTTGTATGGGTATTTGGTCGTCGCACCGCCTTTAACTTGGACGGTCGAAGTGTACTTGTAATCGGCAGGGGAGGAGTAGTATATATTGTTACGTCTGTCACTCCAGTCGTTCACCCCGCCATACCCCAAGAAGTTATGATGGTCATTCCCTGAATATGAGTAGAAGGTTTTGATTGGAGGCTGTTTTTGCCAGGATATACTGTGTGGCTGAGGGGCACCTCTGGAAAGACAAAGCCCGTCGGCTTATAGGTCATCATCTTAACTAGGCCAGTCGGGCTGGTGACTTGGCTGAGGAGATGTAAATTTGTAATCTTTTTATAAATAAAATTCCAGCCTTGAGCATCAGTGCTAGACTTGCCATCTCCAGGCAGCTTTACATGAGACAGTCTCTTGTCTTTCTGGGTAAGAACGAAAGTACCGCTCTCGGGAGTTTCGGGGTGGCAAGTGACTGTGGAGGAGCCAGACTCGCATTTGATGGTGAGTAAATCCTGCGACCCATCGCTGACTTTGGTGAGCCGGGGAACCGACAGTACAGGCGTCCACGATAGCTTCAGCGATCGGCCGATGGCCGCAAAGATCTTAATAGGAACAGACCGCTTGTAGACATTGTTGACGTTTGACAAAATCTTGCGCTGTCCGGACTTGTAGATGACATGATAGTTGGAGCCCTGCTTCTCAAGCGGAAGCTTTTGAGCTTTTGGTCTGTGACACGGAGCTCGCGGAGTCATAGACCCGATACTGCTCGCCGGTTACCAGCGAGATTGTTCGGCCCTGACGATGCTGGTAGCGAGAGAGGTTAAAGGCCCAGCCCTTGCCAAACCCGATATCTTCCGGGTTGAGGGCGTTGTAATTGAGGAAAAGTTTAAAAGTTGGACAGTTCCGAGCTTCTGCGAGCACCTCATAGAGAGTAACGCTGCAGGTATATTGGTCTGTGCGGTTGTCCACCCCATGCAGAACGAAACTTCCAAAGTTAAAGCCTTGAGAATAAATCGTGGAGCCTTCAGATGGCATGATGAGAAGAGGAATAGGTTGGAGGCACTTAGGGATAAAAGACGATGCTCTGTAAGAGCTTGATCCTTCCCCTTCCTGTTAGCGGATATTAAATATCAGACAAAGATACCAGGCTATTCTCCCGATTGCCATGTCCAGTCTCCACCAGGTGGGGTTGCTCTTGGCCGAATGTTGCCAGTTAGACATTGATTGGCATCTAGGGCTTATTTTCAGCTCTTTTGTGCCTGCGCCACTATTCCTTCTAACGTGCTGATCGCCGTGATGTGTCCCGCCAGGTCGAGACGTGCAAAGGATTCCACCACAGTGTGACTGATGTCTTGTGGTCGCCAGTCATAGTCTTCTGTTCCTGCGTTGACTGGGGTATAGGTCTGTGCACACTCGTGTTCGTTTTCCTTGGTGTATCCTTCGATATCACTCTCGGGTTGCTGAGGATGAACCCGTGGCTGCACTACAGTCAAGTCAACCCCTGTTTATTTGATGCCCTACTTTCAGGAAAATAACATGGACTAACTGCGACTATCGTCTTACGGGGGGATTTTACATATAAGAGAGAATCGGTGCTGGAGATTTCTATCGTCTAAACGCGAAATTGTACTAAGTGGGGCATCGACTAAACGGGGAGGATATCCACTGGTCGCGCCGAGGCCTTGAACGGGGATCGGCAATGAACAGATGGTGGGCCTATGAGCGTGTCTCTCCCGCAACGGTGTGATGTGCAGATCACAGACGAGCATAGGGGCCTAGCCGTAGCACTGAAAAGCGGTGTGGGTAGGTGTGCTACGGCTATGTAGTAAATATGATCCGGTCGCACTACTGACGGGAAGGATTATTTATTTTGCACCTCTTGCCGCGTGAGACTTATGTGCTTGGCGTATCCAGGTAATACTCCAGGCTTGGTGGATCATGCCAACCTAGGTGACTGGGTTGGCCAAAAAATTACTATTTAACAATCCAATCAATTACATAGCTTACATACCGTAATCCAACAAAATGATCCTTCTAAAAATGGATCGCCCAATTGCTGATCTTTACGCTTGTCACTACAACACATATTATTACTATCTAGATGCTGCTTATAATGAACCATTACTTTAGATAAGGTCATAAGTAGATGTATATTTGGTCTAGGATGGTTGGGAGATCAGATCTGACAAGTATTGTAACTAGAAAGATCGTTCATGTTCGGGAGAAGCAACTAAAGGACAGTGAACGTAAGTATTCCGCTGTTTATTACAGTATTCTAATACTTACACAGTAACTCTCTTAAATTCTCCAAGGGACCGTCAATATACCCTTCTTTCTGATACTTGCTAATGAAATTATATCTGTGCTAGGTTAGGAGTAGGTGCTTATTCTCACATTGTTAAACTTACACGAAGCTAGAACAGTCATCGTTTAGTGTGTCCGGATATTCATGTGCACCCACCATGTATACAAAGTCTCTCATACTTGGGCATAAACGTTGGGGCTTAAACTCGAGACCTACAGAGCGTTTGGCGAGGATGTTGTCAACCCATTTCAGATTATATCCTCTATGTTTAGTCGCTGCGGCTTTCTGACGACCGTAATGAAAGATGAGAGTCCAGTGGTTCTGACAAGCTACCGACTTCCACGGGTCCGCAACTCCGAGATCCCAAGTACGTAAAGCTTCCATGGATAGATCACAATAAACTTCGATGCAGTCTATCTTGAGTTCGGGCTTGCAACGGGAAGCAAAGTCCAATGTATGAGACATGGTAAAGAAAACAAACGTTTAAGGAAACAAGAAAGAGCTTATGATTTTCTGAGGGACCTCTAGAGCAGTGAGAATAATTCAGATGGCTCACCAGTATGGAACTACCAGGGCAAATAGTGAGAATTTATATTTCACGAAAGACCGGCCTAAAACCCTCTACTAACAGCAGCGCGTTAGTCAAAGTTCCCAGGCGTGTTCCACTCCCCCAATTTAATTGATTAGAAAAGCAAATACCCCTTCGGAATTCATTTTACAGCCGAGCTCCAATAATACGCCTGGTGGGTATGTAACACCGGTAGTCACTTGGCCGATTAGCCTTGGGATATTTAACCTTATTGGATCCTTTCTGGTAAGAGCATCTAGCCAGGGAACAAAGCATGACTATTCATCCTTTCCTTATCTTTTGGGTTGCCAATATTCATGCATCTCACTGTTTCTATGTGGTACCAGGAGAGACAAGGGATGTTGGGACTAACTTCCCCGCTTTCCCACAGGGCTTTTACACGGCCTAGGTGTTATTTTAATACATATATTTTCAATACATCAGAATATGTTGGAAATGGGTCCAAGGAGGATGCAGCTGCGCATGATGGGATGACCACTACATAGCACGGGAATATTTTTGATACAGCTAATGAAATTTGGATCAGTCTATAGTCAACCACACTAGGGGGAAGGAAGGTGTCTTGTCTGACCTATTATAGGACATAAGATAAGTGTTCTGTCTATAAAGCAGCCTTCAGGTCCCTACTTTGATGTCATAGTTACCCCTTGCTTAGTTATCCTCTGATATTCTTTTCTCTAGCAACGACTGAACTTTGAACAGATTTTAAATCGGTAGCTTACCATGGTTGGTTAAAGGCCCATAAGATTGTTATAATGCTTGCTAAATGTTACTGTTCAAGGTTATTCTGCATGATTCTATGATTCGCTTTCCAGCCCTGTTGGCGCTAAAGTGTTTACAGTTACGGGGTCTGGGAATATTGGCTCTTAAGAGTAAGAGCTTCCTGCTTAATCTGAGCCCCGAAGCCAAATCCCTTCTGGATATCTGCCAGTCCCTTTGGGAAAGCAGATTCCGCAGTGCTGACGTCTGTCGTCTGTCGGAGGACAAGCTTCTCCACGAGTACGCTGAAGATTTCTTGGAAAAACTTAACTATGATGGGCTACTTATGCTCTCTCTCCTTACTTGGCACTTTAATGCGTCAGTTCACAACTTTCCGACGGCGGCCCTGCCTCCTCGAGAACTCCTAGAGTTTTTCTCGCGATCAACAGGGAATCTCGAGCAACTATGTGAGATTCTTTGGAGTCGATACAATGCATTTTCAGAGCGGAAATTGACGCTAGGGGCTTTTAAGGCCAAATTCAAGAAACTTGTGAGCTTTCTTGAGCATGGATCTGGCTTATACTTTCTTGCATCTTCTCGGTAGGAGATGGCGAGCAATATGTACTACAATATGTATGTATATTACTTTGCAACAATAAAAGTCAAGCAACCTGACATTCTTGAACCGTACTTTTCCATAAGTGAATGCACAGTATCTCATCTCCTTTTCGATGATCTTGCAATTTCATTTTTATTTGCTGGATGCTACCTTGCATGTACCCATGGCAGGTCGGCAAAAGGAAGAGAATAATAATAAGTATCTATATGTGCGACAATCGTTCATGGTTAGTTTTTAAGACTATCTTAGTGCCTATATGTGCCGTATTCTACTCCCTTCAACAATAGGTAGGGGGGGGATGTGGTTGGGGGGTCATCAGCAACGCACCCTGTGTGAAGGGTTCATAATTAATGCTCTCCTTGCCTTGGCCCTATACATCAATCCATTCCTACATAATAAGATATGAACATAGAAAAATAATTCTGAATATGGGCATTATATTGTTGGACAAAGTGGTGGCTGACTTATCTTTTCAGCTTGAATGTTCTGCCCAACAACTATCTCTGGTGATAGGGAATGAGACGGGCGGATAGGGTGGTCTGGCCATTGACCCAAATAGACTTGCCAAGGGTGATGTCCGTACGACCGATCAAGCCAGGTCCATCTACACGAAATGCAGTGTAGACAGCCTGAGAGATGTTCAGGGGAGTCAAGGTTGGTTTATACGTGCGGAGGAGGGTGAGTGTTCCCATCTAGTTAATACAGTCAGTGGAATTTCATCAACAGTCAAGCCACCACAGCCTTATGCCTTTGTATAGTAGGTCCCGGACGGGAATAAGGTGCACATCAATCTCAGTTTTTGGGGTAACAACGCCCGTGCAATCCGGTCCTATCTCATTCTCCTTGGCAGAGAAAGCGTCCCATCGAACCAGTTGTTTATCTGGGGAATAAAAATGAGTATTTTAGCTTCCACTTCCTTATCATCTAGGACTTGCAGACAATGTGAGCAGTTGCTCCAGCCCTTAGTAACTGGCTGCTGGGTAGCAAACTACAAGCCATATCTCTGCATTCACTGTCGACATTTTTGTGGCTACGCGGCTGGCGGTCGAAATGAACCGGGGCGGCATAATTCAGGCGATGGGGGAGAGCATAATTGTTCAGGCAAACAAATTTGGTAGACAGGTGCAATCGACCTTAGAAGTTTTCAATTTAATCTGTTTGATACCTCAGATAAAATGAATCTTAACAGTCTGCAATTGACTATGATCTGTGGTGGATGGGTTGTTGCTATGGGGCTTGTCCAAATCTTCGCCATAGTGTTCGAGTACTGTACATACTGAACATCAAAGCATTTATTGGCTAGCGGCAAGTCGTGAGCGGGGATTGAAGCCCCGAGGGGCATCTGATAGCAGTAAAGAAATGGTTTGAAATCGGATTTTCTCATACCGAGACCGTTGTGGGTTTCGTCTTTCTCCGTTCAAAAATGGTTATACAATGTATCCGAGCGAGCAAAACCACGAAGACATTTCGGACAAAGAAATCTGATCGGTGTCTTCTTCAGAGTATTAAACTGCCTCTCGGTCTTAGGCATTTTACATTTAGAACACAGGAGGAATACCAGCAGGTTGGAGTTATGAAAAGTTCGACTCTTCAGATTGTCCTGTTAGTCACAAGACGCGGTACGTAGTCCATCTTACCCCACTTGAAACAATACGTGGTTGCTGCGGGAAGATCAGGGCCGCTTCTGTCTCTCCCAACAGAGCAGTTTCTTGGCTGTGGATGCAGTACTAACGAAATCTTTAGGAGGCAGCAAGATCCAAAGCTCGACCAAATATGTTACTCCAGCTACCTAGCACATAATATTACAATACACATTAAGTACTAGGATACCATCACTAGTTAGTCGAAGATCCTTACAAAGCCGTCTACGTTTCTGTTCGAGTAGACTGGTCCAGCATGATCAGTCGTGAGAATAGCATACCGCACAAGCCCTTTCATAACCGCCGTACTCTTGACTGGTTTCTTGATGTCATCCTTAGCCTAACACTCATTCAATGCGGTATCATCAGGGCCGCCAAATGACCAGTTGTTCCAGCTCATGATATTGCTCTCAGCGTGGGTTATTTCGCCTTACGGTAGGTAATTGGATGGAATCGAGACCGGGTTTATATCAGAGAGTAAATCAAGCTCATGCGGCCATGCTGACTGGGTGGATATAAGCATCGGGTCTTAGAGTGGATTAGTTTTGTTGTTTTTATTACAGCAGTGAAGACATACCGGCCAAAGGACCACTGTCACTAGTTGTGTCTGGAGATGTACACTGACTCTCAATATCTTGTCCATAGTGCTTGACTATAAACAGGACCTCGAAGCGCTTAGAGCCAAATGGCAGCTCCTCAGCGGGGATTGAAGCCCTAAGAGCCTTTTGATAGCAGGAGAGGAACTTTTTAAAGTCAGTGTCTCCCACACTCAGGCCAGCATGGACCTCATCCTTTTCGTCTCGAAAGTGGCGGTATAAGGAATCTGAACGGGGGAAGCCTTGAAGACATTGGGGACAAATGAGCCTTATCGTATAATCTCTTTAAGAGTGTCATACTGTCTTTGCACGCTAGCCATGTTATCCAGGAAGAAGAGTGAATGGTCATTATTTCATTCTTCGGGGTTTCAAAGGAATAAATAATCTACTAGCCCAGGTAAATAGGTCATCTTCTCGTTTAACCTCCAACTCATGGATAAGTTAACGTACTGTCTCCAACTTTGAGAGGGAGTCACTTCATAGTGCTTGTGCACCATGTAGATGCACCTTTTGGGGCAAAAATAAGATGTACACTTGACTAGCGCAGCTCTGGTATATACAGTAGGAGACTACGTGTAATCCATGCAGCTAATTCCAGACGCTGTGGCTTCCAAAGCTCCTCTCCAGCATCATTCAAAGACGCTAACTGGATCAGAGGGATTACGGATAGAAACCCGCTTACGCTTGTCCCTGGCCTCTTCTCGAAGTTGATCCAATTCCTTCTCGAGGAAACGTCCCTTCGGTATTGATTCCGCAATCTTGTCCAATGCTCTGCAGCTCCACCCTGCAGAGACAACTGCACTTGTTGCTTGCGGTCCAATTGACTTTAGCTCGCTCCAAAGGAGATAGTCAGGGAAAAGACCGCGGCGAATCGTCACCACCAGATCGTCAGCGCCTCTTTCCACATCAATGAAGACTATAGCCTAAGCCATTATTAGACCAGCGATCTATGATGCAAGTATGATACTGACCTTGTCCTTTTGAACACTGCTTATAATTAATGCCAGTTTTTTTTTCATGTCCTTCCAACGCGGAATTATTCTAGCGAAACAATCCATTACTGCTCAGAAGCAAGTAAGGTAAGAGTTGCCAGCGTGAGAAGGGTTTAGTGGACGCAGAAGACACAGATAGAAGACGAATGCGAGGGAGGTATACATGCCCAATGCAAATAGCATACCTAGAGCATTATTTATAACCATTCCGGTGCTGAGCTGAGGTTGCCGCTTTCTCCACCAGACCGGCGACTCGTAGCATATGCACGTCTAATCTGATTCGACATCCCAGAATCTCCTCCATAAAGTTATCATGAAAAGGTTTCAAAAGCAAGGTCAAATGCTCGACTACGAGGCGCATCTAGTCTATAGATTTCGAGCTTAGTGGCAATAAATTACAAGTACGACCCGTAAGGTACAAACAAAGCCATTTAAATGAAAGTACAAGGAAGAATACCGATTGCCATTGGTCCTGATTGCTGGAATTAGCTAGTCACGTGCTCAATAGCCGTTTCAAGCGGTTCTATCAGTTTCTGTTGGGTTCTAATTAAGTTCATAAGTATCCAACTAACTCCAACTATTTCCAACTATTTCCAACTGGATCCAACTTTTTTTGATTCTTTTCTTTTGCGTTCAACAATATTTGAATGGATTTAATTTAAGCGTCTAGAATTCTGAGTGCCGCCCAATTGGCTTATCATCTTATCACTACGCCATTTTAGCAAAGAACGAAGAGGTCATAATTATGCCTAACCACAGTCTGACTGCGGATGAGGCTGTCACTAGACTCGTCAAATTTTCCAACCTGACACATCACCGAACCTATCTCAAAGATTCGGAACAAAAGCGAGTCGACGAGGCTCTTCAGCTTCTCACTAATGGACGACCTCCGGTTAATGCAAAAGGTGCCAAACAAAAAATAACTTATCTGGAGACCCAGCGGAACATAAGAAAGAAGTTCGGTGACACCGGAGTCGTTCTCTGTGCAGCTGGCCTGGGGCCTTCTATCATTGCTAATATGAGGGACGAGGAACGAGTGTACTTGCCTTCTAAGCTTAGCGAAAAGTGGAACGAATTAGAGATCGATGTATTCGAAAACCTTGCGAGTGGAGTAAATAAAGGTACTGTAGTTAATCTCTCACTGCATGGAATGAGTCTGACACAGGATAGACACATCTCTAACTTCTGTTCACGGTGACGTCTATGAGCTCTCCATGGAAGATTTGCAGAAAATCGCGGCAATGCCAGGCCAAATTACTGGCATAGTACGACTTACCGATCCTTACAATAGATATCAATCATCATTCGTCACAATCCCACTATCTAAAGAGCTGACGGATTCCTTAATAATAAATCGAGAAAGGATCGTGGAATGATTCTAACGTCATGCTTTATCTTTACCAATAACATATCCTACTTCGATTGATCCAGATCCCCTCAGACACCAGGTACTGTCCCAGGGGACGACCACCAAATGCCCAGCAAATTCAGTTCCAACCATGTCTATGTACGCTCCGCTATCATTTGTGATGTGAATGGCGCCCTGGCTTTTTGTGACGTCGACAATAACAGCGACAGATCTCGGGGGGGGTTTTATTCGAGTCGCTTTCGGAAGGGTAGTCCACTCTATGCTTTCGCAACTGTCAAGTTTCAGCTATAAAATAGTTAGCCGTATCTGGTGTCCTTCAACATTAGAAATACATACATTCTGGTTTATCGTCCCCAGAAGGCTGTCCCGCGGAATGGAACCAAATTTGTGTTTTTGTATCTCGTCAGTCATAGCTAAAATGATCCATTAGCTTAAAAACCACCCGGGAAAGTTTGCGTCTCAGCAAATAGTTCACTTTACCGAAAAGAAAAGAAAGAACTAACTTTGACTTACAGGCTCAGAGGGAGGTATGCCGTAAATCAGTGGAAATGGTTTGAAGGTATAGATATCATCAAGAACACTGTCGTGACTGTAAAAATCTGCCTTGCTCTCCTGAGAGTATTTGTATGTGCCAGGATTATCTTGCTATACAATTCGCATTTATGTCCCATCTAATGGGACCAAAACATAGGATAGCTAGGCAGAGTTTCTGGAAAAATCCTGTCCTGGTCGGCGAAGGATTAGGTATGACTGGGCTGTCATCCGATCAGGCAAGAGCGGTCCAGTCTTCGTAGATGGCAGGGAAAGAAGTGGACAAGTTTATTAGGTATCACTGCATACAGCCCATCGAATTATAAGGTGTTGATTTTGCATTGCAGTATCAGAACCTTTAAGAATGCCCAAGATAAAAAAAAAAAAAAAAAAAGCATGGTCAGGTTCTAAATTTGGAGGGGCATGAAGTGGGGAAAATAAGAAAGACGGAACGGGGTTTATTATTTCTCCATCTACCTCAAGTCATGCACATCTGTTGAAATTGTGCCAAGCCACGCTACCTGGCCGGCGCGGCCCATCTTAGTCAGCCATCCTATCCGTCGTCATAACCGTCTCCCATAAGATCTTGTACACAGGTCATAGAACGATGTCGCCCGGCCTATAACCTGACTAAGATGATACAGCGTCTGCACAGATGAAACATCCAAGTATACTTCTATCTCCAACGTTCTTCTACATAAGGACTGATAATAATAATAAATACGTTAGTTGAACTAGAAAGGTGTTCTATCTAGTCAAGAATTTTAGCAGCACTGTTTTGAACTTTTTTCTATAAGACCTTTGATAATCTGGCATAATGGGAAGAGAATCCAAGCAAGTTGGAATTAATAGTAAACACCTATAAATTCATTGTTTATCTACCAAGACTGACATTGCTTCGCAGCCATTGATAAAGGGGGAGCGAAAATGTGCTAGAAGGTTCACACATCCGACAGTCCATCACTGGTTAACCATTTGACACCTGATCTGGGACTTCCAGAGGCCTCATTACTTTTGGTCCTTATTCTCCGCCGCTGGTTCTTCGGGTCTGTAAACATGGTGGGTCGTGATATGGCTCCCATCTTCCTTTTTAAAATCCACAGTTAGGTGCTCTTGTGGGTCGTTGTCGTTGCCATGCCAGCTTCCACTATTTTATTATCAGCCGAAGTAAACAAGAACGGCGAATGTCTTACGTAGGGGCCGATCGAATATGCGCCTCATACACTCCTCGATGTTCCAGTTTCTGAGAATGTGTAGTCACCGCTGCGTCCGCAGAATCGGTTTTCTGATGGCCTTTGGAATAGGAAATCTTCTGGAGGGGCATCGTAAAGTAGCAGTCTTCAAAATTTTTGATTATTTTCAATAAATTATTGTATTTAACAGCCTTAGAGAGATTGATCAACTTGTGTTCTTTAGAGAGCCCTGGGAATTCACTTCTTTCAGCTTCCTTATATACATAGCGTTCGTTCTGCCATTGCTCCTTATCTGGCGCTTTGGACTTCGAGGTTGAGCGCGTCCTGGACCAATTGTAGGGTTCGCAAAGCCAAAGATTGTTTTCCAAGTGCTTTTTATGGTACTGGCTAGCAAGGGTGGTTCGTGTTTGTAGCGTAATAACTTGATTTTTCCGGACTAAGCGACTGGTCACATTTCATCACATCAGCTCAGGCTTTCCAAACCCAGAGCTTGACGGAGGGTATAAACCTTGCATGAGCTTTAAACCGATCATTTCCGAGATTGCGGTCTCGGTTAGGCTGAGGTGTTACCCATGTGACTTGTGAGATAACCTAACCGTGGTTTTGAATTAATATGCCGTGACCTAGTTATTAGCCAACACACCCTTCGCTTCCCTAGAAAGGCAGGCGGTAAGTAAAACTGACCAATGGTAGTGTACATGTAGCGCGGGACAAGGTTGTTGAAGCCTGAATCACGCCGAGTTGGCGCAGATCACAGCGAAGGCGGTGGAGTCATCCATGTGACGTGCGATCGCCGGTTCAGAGCAGTACTTGTTTCTTTAGTTTTCCACTGTTCTCCTTTCTGTTAAAGTGTTTGTGTTGGTTTTAAGTTGGTTTAATACTCTGATCAGGCCTTTATTTTTCAAGTATTGATCGGAAATTCTCCTTAAGAATTATGCCTTCTCAAGGGGATTGCCCTGATGCTGACCCTGTTCACATCAGCCAAGTTTTGCATAATAGATATCAAGTTCTGAAAAAACTTGGATTTGGGCGTTACTCGACTGTCTGGTTAACGAGGGACCAAAAGTAGGTTGTGATATAAAAGGTTTATAAAATAATACTTATCTATTGTTTTAGAGAATCGTCTTATAAGGCGATAAAAATACTGAAACAAGATTGTTATGACGGCAAACACGACTTGTTTGAGTTGGATGTCTTGAGGCACCTCTGCAAAGCCAATCCAAATCATCCGGGCTACCGACATATTTCCATTCTTCTTGATGATTTTGTTCACATTGGGCAACTCGGACGTCACGTATGCCTTGTGATGGAACCTATGGCAGAGGATATGAAGGGCTTCAGCTTTTTCTTCGCGGGTGCTAAGATTCCTAATCACATTATGAAGCGAGTCACCAAGCAGCTACTTTCCGCCTTAGAATATGCACACGCCTCGGGGGTTATCCATACTGGTGGGTGAAGCTACTGAATGTGCAAGAACTACGCAATCGCGCTAATTTTGTACTCGCCTTTAGACATCAAACAAGACAATATTATGGTAAAAGTCAGAGATTTCTCTGTTATTGATCGTTACCTGCAAGATTCAGTGTCCAGACCAGCTGTGAATCTTGGAGAGTATAACTTCAATGACACCTCTGAGCTCACCCAGATAAGCATCGCACTTTGTGACTGGGGATCAGCGAGCTGGGAGAGAAAGCACCTCACGGAGATGATTCAGCCCAAGCTACTTCGTGCACCAGAGGTTATATTGCAGGCACCATGGGGCAAGGAAGTTGATATTTGGAATTTAGGCGCCCTCCTTCCAGAGCTTCTAGATGCTGTCCGAATGTTTAATGGAAAAACTGATGTGACTGGAGGGATTTATCACACCAAGCACCATATTGAAGAAATTGATGCACTCTTCGGCCCATTCCCACAGGACTTACTTAGCGACGGAAAACCAAAAATTGTACAACAATTTTTTGATGAAAGGCTCCAGATCCGGGACCCCACTAAACGTCCGCCAGCAAGGCTGGAAAGATGGATACAGTGTCTCAGTGGTGTTGAAAAGGAGAATTTCCTTTCAATGCTCCGATCTATGTTAATGATCGACCCTAAACAGCGAATGACCGCACAGGCACTACAAAGTTCACTCTGGATTACCACTTAACTTGTATTACATACGATCACATATCCAGTAATGTCGGACCTGGACTTCACTCTCAAAGAATGTGGTAATAATAGTCGTTTTCCTGGCCATGCTTGTAGTCGGAAGGTAGATTTAGCTATTAATTTCTCGTTTTGAGCATTTCTCTCTTAGCAATGCATTGGACTTGACGATTTCTGGTCTAAGGTTCAGCTAAACCTAGATTCGCAACAGGCGAAACCGATTGGGAACGTACCAGCAGCTAGGACACATCTACAGTAGCAGTTCATCTTCGCGCGCATGTATTATGGTCGAAGCCTGATTCCGTGGACTGTCTAGGTATGGATCTTGAAATGGAGAATGCAGGGAAGGTATAAACTTGACATTCTGCAACACTACGGTGTGGGCTTCCTTTCGATCCTACCGTCGAATCATGAGACAGATATACTTCAATTAACAATGAGTTTCCTTATCCTCATATGCCTTGGCGGGGGCAGAGTACCGTAGAAGATGTACTAATTGCCCCATTAGTATCAGCTAGGTTTTGCTTTCCTAGCTATGGATCATTCACATCAGGCTCTAGGTCACCTAAAAACCTGGCTAATCTTCAGTATACCATAGCGGTAACCAAAGAGAGTTTGTTTCATCGGGCGAAGGAAAGCTGTGAGTAAAGGATATAGATAAGTCATTAAGACTGCCTATGTATAGAGATTATAAAATTCTAACATCTATCTACTATGCCTCAGGGAATGAGGAATTTGAGTCAAGGCTTTGTCAGACAATGATACTGAGAAATGCACCTCACGGTCGAAGACGGATTCCATGAACCGTTTGGGTATGGTTCTTATAATGAGGCACGCTGGAAGGGACAAAATAATCGTTTCTTATGCCACATAATCCACATCGACGAGTGCCAGTAGCAAATGCCGCAAGTTCTTTTCTATGCACGTTTTACACATGATCCCAGAGCTTATTAATTTTGTTCTTCTTTTTACGATAAGCGGGAGGGAGTCTATGGTCTAATAGGCAAAACGGACATTGTAATAGCTAAGGAGAATAGAGCACTGTTACGTAGTGCCAGTGCTAGGAGAATTGTCGTTGCAAATAGAACTGTTACAGCATGAATAAAAAAAAGAAAATTCAGGCGCAGAAATGGCGATATTAAAAATGTAGGTAGCTCTAGGCCAAGTCGATCTCTACAAGCGAGACCGGGACCGCTGACCCCTGTACGCGCCGAAGAGCACGATAGATATCTGCTTCACGCGACACCTCCTTCCGAAGTCGCAACATCGTTCCTTTGCCGACAATAGTGTAACCGCATGCAGCACAGGTAACCTTGAACGGCGGCCCGTACTACCACAGCGTCCTATCGGAGTGCAGTCATAGTCCAAGTTCTCATCCAGCTACTGCTTGTCCATTTGCACCAAACCTTCCGCACTGATATCAGTTACCATGTCCGCTGGACTAATGGAGCTCCACATTGGGGCAGCGAGCATCCAATGCACCACCTTGTTGCAGTCCTAGAAGGCACCGCTGCGTGCAAAACTGATTCTCTAAGGATGAGCTTGGCCGCCTTGGTTTCGCTGGGTGTTCGTTTGGGGTGTCAATGTCGTTCGTTGAGTTGGGGGAGAGGATGTGATTTGGCTGAACCCCCGCTGCGGAAGTAGCAGGGTCTACATCGGAGTCCGAAGAATCCTCACGGCGAGCGATATCGGGAGGTGCACAGCAAGACAGGGAATGGGTGGGCACTCAACGGCCTGGGCGACGGGAAATTTGACCGGAGACGACGGAAGGTACTCACTTGCAGTCTTTTCAGGACTGGTGGTCTCGGGTAAGGCATATTCTGAGTGATGGGGTTTCCATTGTAATTTATTTGCAGTGTGGTCGAAGCTGGTCTTCCAGATCTGGAGCTGGGCTACATTGCCATCTCCCAAGCATTGTCTCCCTGCTCGTCCACTAGCCGAAGTTTGCGTGCATGTCAGTGCAAACACTCAGCTATGTGCATCATTGAACCCTCCTATCTCAATCACAGGAGATATCTACACCATCACCCAATACACCACATCGGGGGAACTTCAAGCAAGCACAGTACCCCCACATGATCCAGCACATCACACTTCGAATTCGAGTCCAATTCCACCCCATGATTTCCAAGATGTTGCTACGTCCCGACTGAGTTGCGTTTCTTTCGGAGAGATACCCCAAGGGATAATCCATCATCGCCAAGTATATCAAGTTCGGATTATAGCTTGGAAGAGCCTTTCAGGCTGCAAGATGTGCAGAGCAACATTCCTACTGACCCAGCAATCCTCACCGATGATGGGTTCTGGGAGGCTCAAGATCCCCACCAACCTTTCCAGCAAGATGATAGTCTTATTATCCCAGGGACAATCCTCAAGTTACCCGCGAAGGGCGACGCTAATAAGGGGACCTCCTTGTTGTTGCGGTCCACCACCCAAGGTTTGCTACCTGCGTCAAAATAAACTGCTGCTGGAGCACCATAATCAATTTCCATCCATTTCTGCACGAAACTTTGTTGTCCAGCTCCAAAATGTGTGCTCCAGCATCTATAAGAATACGGATGCCCATCATGTCAAGCTTCTTGATGAACTGGATTTCAGATAAGCGTTTACCATGTGAGCGTGCAGCAAGCACATACAGCCGATTCCGCGGCTGTAGCAGGTATGTTAAAACTTCTGCATTTGTGTGAAATAACTCTGGCAAGTCATTCTGCCGGATCGTCAGAGGAAGAAGCCCACGGTTGTCGTTCGTGCCACTGAATCCCGTGGTTAATACGTGCGACAGGGAACCCTTGCATAGCACCGAATTTCCCTCGGTAGTAAATAATGGAATATCCCATCCAGACATTTGCAGTCTTTGTGGAAAGTGCCTTGCATGCATTGGAAACACCATATTATCCAAAATAGTTGATGACGGTCACTGAATAACGTAAATGGGTCCAGACTTCGCGAAGTTGGCCTTCATCGTCAGTACTAATCAGATTCCAGTGCTTCAAAGACTCCGGCAAGGTTTTTACATAACTGGTCAAGCGGTCATTTTCACTGGATGTATCATCGGAGTTGGAGACCCCCTCAAGAGACTGGCGTAGCTGGTCGAGCTTAAGACCACTATAATAAAACGATAGATAGGTGAGCACTATTGCGACATCAGGGTGGCCCCATTCAGCTTGTTCGGAAGGGACTCCCTTAGAAAAGGACCGCGACAGGATCCCTATTAGGATGCAAGCCGTACTGCACGTTCCACCTTTTTTAGGCACTGCAGAAGGATTCCATGGCCGAGTAGCCCGCGGAGAAGAAACATCTTTTTAATAGCAGCTGGTTCAACGAACGCTTGCATTGCAGCTGTGACCACCGACTGATCAACTGCACCATTGGAAATAAAACTCCGAAGTGCTTGTTGATGACCTACAGCCGGTGTAGAAAGGATTGATGCTCGGCCGGAACACAGATCATCAGCCAGTCTCTGATGGATGAAGGATTCCACATCCGGTCGGAGGATATGAATGAATAGAAAACCATCATTGGTACGCTTTGTGAGCTCAAAGCTTTCAGGGAATTCCTGTTGGGCTTCCTCTAAATGCTCCTTCACTAGGTTTAACAAAGCATGGGCGATCTTCCATCGATAAGGGTGACCATCTAGCGGCAGCTGTGATCCACTTGGATAAATTAGCTGTGTCTTAACAGCCAAAGAGAAACCTGACTCGTCAACAACAACCCGACAAACTCGTGTGAGCCAGTCCGTTATTGAAATTATGCGACTGGCCGATTCTAGGCGCAAATCCGAGAGACACTGAAGCCCACTAAGTTTGAAAAGAAGTTAGGTGCTCTGGAGTGGTGAGCACAATGCCGCATTTACCCATCGATTCCATATGTAGGGTTTGGTACTCTTGAACAGATGAAACCCCAGTTGGTGATTTCACGGAGAAAGGAATATGACAAACTTCGCGGCCAACGAGAGACCTCCCAGACGCGACTGAATAATTTGTGCAGTCTGTAGCAATAGAGCCTTGGGTACAATCAAGCGGGCAAGATTGCGGCCATTGGCTAGGGGACACGCCACCATAGGCATAATTACAGAAGTCTTGCCTATCGATAACGTAAGTATGTGCACCTTGAATAAAAGTTTTTGCCACTCTGTAGAATCCTACCTTGCCCCAAGTTCAGCTGAAGCACGGAATTGGATTTCGACACTGGAAGTATGGTTGCTCGCGCAACAGCGACTTGACATTTTGGATAAGCATGTTTGCTTCAATCTCCATCAGCAGCCAGTCTGGGAACTCACTGGGCTGCCAGTATTCATGTGCAGGGTTGTTATACTCGTCTTGCAAACGTTGAACATCGTTCTTCAGACTGGCATCGTGGATTCGTAAAAGCTGTTGCATATGGGTTATAGAGAGGCCATAGCTCAAAAGAGCGTGTTTTATCTTAGAATCAAAGCCATAGCAATTGGTTGATCTTAGCTGTTGAAGCACAGTTATCGGGATTAAGCAGGGCCATAGTTGAGCGGCATGTAGCCATTTATACCGCCTGTCGTTGACAGCAAGGAAAGCACGAATTTCAGCGAGTTGTTCTCTCAAATGGCTCCGAACTTTGGAAATAATAGCCGGAAGATTAACAGGAGTGGGAATTTCTTCTGTGTCGTGCTCTGTTGATTGATGTTAAAGCACGGCCAGACTATCCTTCATATTCTTCGCGTATGCTGTTCGTACAGCAGATTTGGAAGATGCAAGTTTTCTGATGATGCTTGTAAGCTCTTCAATCTCTGGAGAATCTGGTTTTTGTCGTGCTGTGCCATTCGATGCATGCTCAGAGCTATCAGCCGCCGAATTCACAAACTGCTCTCGTCTTGGCAATGTAGACCATAGAGAATATTTCAGCCGAAATATGTAGGGGGCCTTTTCTTTGAAAGCAAGTCAGATATTGTAGGAATCTCCACGTCTCGAATTGGAGCGGAAATACTGCAGGAGACGTGGTGAAGGTATTTCCGAGATCATCGGATTAGATCTACCCTGATATTGGTTAAGGACTTTTTGGAAATCCAGAAGAGTCTGTGCAAATTCAAAATTCTGGAAGAGCCGGAACCACTCCTCTTGAACCATGCTGAGGGCCTTATTGACATCAATGTGCGTTGCTGTTTGGTTGCTGTTGGAAGGTTATGGACACGGCCACTGCTGTAGAAGCTTCTTCGCGAGAGCGTGGCACTCATCCCTGCAAAGATCTTCAGATTCTGTCACAAAATTATAAGCCCTGTCGAAGCTTGCACCATCATTCAATATTTCAGGATAGCGGTCCATTAACGTTCCTAGAGATTCTTGTGTGGGTTTGTCATTCAATTGGAACCCAGAATATCCTGTATGGAGTGGCAGTTTCAGGTCCTTAGCGTCTTTCAAGATGCAGATCGCAGCCATACTTCGCAAAGGCTCATGTTCGCATTGTCTGCGAATGCGATTGTACCCAATGTGAACATGGCCTCTAGATGCTGATTATTGTAATCGCGACACAGATTTACCAATCTTCCCCACTCCGTGCCGATATCCAGACCGAAGAGATCGCTTAGCGGAGGATTCTGAAACTTCTCGTTATACCCTGTGATGTACGGGATTCCGTCCAGAAGCTGGGCCAAATCTGTAGTGATACAAATTCGAGAACGGACTGGTGTGAAGGATGCCCGGGGCCTGAATGTGCACCTGGAAGCATTGAACCATGAACCTTACTAGTGTAAACTGCTTCTACTGTCTAAGTAGTTGGGTGCCAATCCTAGAATGGCGATTCGCCAAAAAAGATCGAAATGCCACCGTTACATTGTCCTATGAGAAAAGACCGGAAAGACAAGAAACTAATACGTACAGAAACCGCTCCCGCATTCGCGTAACAGAGGGGAAAACCAACAATGGAGAAACCCCGCCGGAGCAGCAAAGGTATTCAAAATCAACGCAATTCCCGAAGGCTATCTTCTATGCCCTTTTTTAGTTGGGTTGCCTCAACACGCCGTTTACTAAGTTGAGGTGACTCCGCAGCCAGGCAGAGTAGATCTTCATCTGAATAGCCACTGACAGTCACCGGGCTGAATACATCCGGGAGTTTATTAATAATATGCCTCTCAATAACTTGGCGGCAGATATTATCGACAAAGGTTTTCATGGCAACCTAAGATACAATCAATAAAAGCGATGGAAATATCCGGGATATATGATAAACCTTATAGTAAGCACCTAGATCAGTTTGTGCTTCAGAGCACGCCCGCTCCTCCATATCAACGATGACACGATGATTCTGGAGAGATGTCGCAAGCCGACTGATCTCATAAGACGAGTTGCTAACGTGAAATCGACCTTTCCAATCTTCGTTGATAGCGTTGTCCAGAGAGGTGCCAAGGTCTTTCTTGGAACGGTCATTCCGCGCCTTCTCAACATTATCCGTATAATAATGGTTGTATGTGATTGGCGATCAGCCTCGTCCTCCAGCAGCTTGTCAAGTTCATTGAATGCTCCCTTGACATTCTCATCCAGTGTGGCGCTAATAGATCGAGAGATGGTTTCCCAGACATCGGTATCGTTTATAACAGAGACCAAAACAGATTGTACAAAGCGGGAAACCAAATCCGCAATGACATTAACATGGTCACGAGCAATGTCACTCCAACGTGCTGATTGCGCGTGAAATAATTCAGCTAATAAGACCGGGCTATAATTGCCAGGAAGTTCTCGGCCTCGAGTACGGTAGTATATCTGCAGCAGTTAGTTGCATTCTTTCGGAAATTGACAGTCACTGCACCTTCTTGATCCACATCGACATTTCCTCCTCGGTCACTAAGATCTGACCACTTTCCGGCTCAACATCTTCCTGGTCTTCGGCCGAAACCACTCTACGCTTTTGCCCATGCTCCCTCATATAGTTAGAAAATTTTCCATTTTCAATGTGAATAACAGCGCGGAGACGGTGAAATTCATTTTCGTTGGTGATTTCATGAAAGAATGCGTCTCGGCTACCGTATACTCCTTCAACTCCTGCCCTCACTAGGTTCTGAAAGTCTGTGCTGATGCGTGTGAGGTACATGCGTATTTGGGCAGGCGAGGTCCGTTCCGCCCCAAGATTCATCAATTCCTTGTTAATCTTATTTAGCAGTTGAGCGACATCCTTTCGAACTTTGGGCAATTCGCGCTCGATGTGACGGTCGAGGAGGTCCTGCATGAATGCCCGCAGATTGTCTATTCCGATACGTGAAGGATCGAGTCCAAGCTTCTTCCAAGGTTCATTCGCAAAAATTGCTGCTCCGCTTTCCGACGTTCCGCCATGGTCATGCCCTTCTGCAATTCGGAGGGCTTGGGGTTCTTGAGAAGGAAAAAGCCAAGCTTTAACTTTGTCCTATCGGCATTATTGGCCAGTTTCGCAACACGCGATTCAGTGCCATCATTAATGAGGTCAGGTTTCGTAATAATTCCAACAGTCCGGAGGCCATCCTTGTCGAAGCGACGAGCACGCTGGATGATACTCTGCGTGTCCACATCACTGCTTGCGGGGACCACGCCAGAATAATGGTCCGTGAATTCTCCAAATAAGAATTGACCAGATCGCCCACGAGCTGCACGTCTTCCTCATTTTCAGAGACGGAGATCAAACCAGGGAGGTCAACAAGGGTCAGATGCAAGCCAGTATCGCCGGCAACCTCTAAGCGGAGCACGTCAGCCGCAAAGGCTGGCGAGTCTTTCACACCCATAAGGCTTGCAGCCTGGTCAATGATGCCAGGCAAGTCTGCAAGGTCGCTTATGTCGCGGCGAAAGGCGCTTAACCTAGTCTTTTCGTCTTCCGCTCGCGACATGTTTGGTATGATGGTGGCTGTGGTTCGCTGCTCTCTCGGCTCATGTCGAAGGATGATTTCGGTAGCAAACCTTGTGCAAAGGCCATCCTGACGAGGAAATGGAATGCCACTGATCCCCACCAAGACAGAGCTCTTCCCTGCCGACTGATCACCACAGACAACAAGCTGCGGCAGTGGGATATGGTCTCCAACCCCGTTGGCGCGGACACAGTCCACCTGGTTGAGACGTTCAGATATCCTAGATGATCGAAGGCCAAGTCCGCTTAGGGCCTGGCCACTTTCCAGCGGCATCGAATCCTTTTTTGGCGGTGTATACGATGAAGGCGTAACCCTTGCTCGTATGTTGAAAAAGGTCTTAATAAGAAAAAGACAGACGGGGAAGATAAAAAGGGACCAGACTCTTTATAATCGCGATGGACAGCGGTCATGTCTGAACGACCCAATCAGATCAACTGTGTATTAGAGGCGCTATGCTAGGATCGGAGCGAAATCCGTTTGCACTTACTGTTTGGTTTATTAAGTTTGAAGCGAGGTCCGTTTGGGCTCCCTGTTTGGTTTATTACTTTTGGCTGCAGGGATAGCGGTCAGACATGATAGAATGTGTAGACATCTATGTGACTGGCTATCTTTATTCTCTTTCTTCCGTCCTCATGCTTAGTATTCTGTTGCACGCACAGAATAAGTTGATTTGGTTTCATTTCTATCTTTGTTTCGTAGGCCATAACAGGGTCGAAATCCAATCCGCAAACGATGAACAGGAATGTCTTGTGGAAGAATGGATGGACAAAGAATCATGCTATTTGTGCTCCTACCCTTGGTGCGGACGAATTTAGAGCGTCATCAGGGCCTGTAGTGGCCTATTTGCCTTTGTTTCCCGTCATGGCGGGCCCCTGGGCACGCGGGTGCGAAACCTACCAGATGTTTCCGCGAACTCCAGCACTGCACCTAGAGTACCGCTTTGGCCTAAGCTGTTCTGTTTGTCTTCTTTTCCTCGCTGGCCCTTTGCTCCCAGAAAAATAAGATGTCATCAAATCCTCCGCCAGCATCTTTCCGTAGCTTCTGTCAGGGCCCTCAATTTGGGGTAGCCCACGAGAACGTGCTCAACTGTCTCTTTCGCCCAGCATTCGCATTTGTCATCTCACGAAAACGATGGAGTTTGCCGTGGGGAGCGAGCCATGAATGGCCTGTCCATAGTTGTGCTAGTAAGTAGGCTCAGTTACAAGCTACCGAGTCATATAGTCGTTGGACATGGATATAGGGTAGCACGATATTGATTCGACGGAGATGTCCACCTTTCTTGGATGGGTTCCATTCACGTGCCCACTTCTTTAGAATTGTTCTCAAATAAATCCTCTTTCTCGCGAGACCAAGCGTCGTAATGGGTGCGTGCCTTTCGGGTGCACGCCTTCTTTGGCTAGGAGGTCCGCTCGTCATTCCCCAGATCGTCGCAATGCCCCGGGTTTCATTGATTGCAAAGGGGAAGTTCTCGTGCTTTTAATTCTCTTGTAGCCCTTAGGATGGCCTAGACGATCCGCTGACCTGACTTGTTAGACGGGTTCCTTATTTCCTGCAGTGCTGGCATGTTATCACAGAGAATTGTTGCTGGCTTCTAACTTGTTTTGACGGTCCCACCACATTTTGTGCGTTATACTGAGAGCTAGGCTTATGGCGTAGAATATTCCCATAAGGGATCCCCGGTGTCAGCGGCTTTTCTACAGCCTCAAGCCGTTTGAGGTTCCTGGTCTCATTGTCTGAGCCAGTGGGAAACGAAATCCGTTTTCTAGCCCTCTCAAGACATTTGTGTATTAATTGTTTACTCTGTATATACAAACTAGCGACTGTATTCTACGACCGTTGTTGGAGCCTTAAATGTGTTGGCAAGGTGTGTTTCCACTTCCAACGTTTGTGTTGCAACCGTCCTAAATGCGGGCACGACTTAGATCAGTGTGGTTCTTTGCACAGTGCTGAGAGCCCAATGATAAGTCTTGTCCTTTAGTGGGTTATGCCAGATTGTCGATGCGTAGTCCATAATGGGAGCCACACAAGCCCGATATACTGTAGTTGTCTCATCTGCCCTGGGCAGAGATATCCCAGACTACACAGTGCGATTGGACACGTTCCACCTTAGTTCCTGATCAAACACAAACTTTTAGTATGAACTTACGGCATTCCAACCCAAGATATCCTCCTCGGCGGGCTGATACGAATTAGAGTCCATGTCGACAAATCTTCTGCCCTCAAGGAATCCAGCACGTATGGCCTCAAGTCCTAAGAATAATAGAGTAAAGATAGTGCCAGCCAGGATAAAATACAGTATCATGCCTGAATTGGTGTCATGGCATCTTTTTAGTGCAGTGGTACTGTCGACAGATAGTTGTCAGATATACGGCTAGTCCCGATGAGGAAATAGAGTACTATTAGTGAAATGGTCTTGTTTGAATGAATTGAGCTGGTTGGACTCTTCTTGATTATTCTTCTAGAGTATTCTTGATTTGTTGTGTGCTCCGTGGGGGTTTTATCCCGATCTAGTCACATGATTCCGGTCCACCAACGGCCATATTATTTGACAGGTAATCACCTAAGATGCAAACCATTACTTTATCATGGTTCGGCGCAGCCGAACTGGTAGGGAAATGGGTGGAAATCATGCCAGCGACGACCAGGCAACAATATAGGAAGGTTGGCAAGACCGAGGGTGCGCCAATGGGTTAAGGGCATTATGATACTCAGCGGGAATGGTAGGGGTTCGACAGGAGGCGACTTTTTCATCACCATATAATAGTTCTGTGGTCCAGCAGAAACTGCCTCTGCTTACTACGGGCCTGTTTCCACTCGACGGAATAGCCTTCGGCTGACTTAAAAACGCGCAAGCTATTTTGAGCTCCCCCTTATGCTGATCAGTTCATGAAGAGCACCAGGTTAGACTAACTGCCACACGAAACATCAACATACTGCAATATTTGGTATATTCTTCACAATATCAGTGCTGCGCCAAGTGTCTGCAGAAAAAGAGCAAAGAAGAATGCGATAGCAACTGAGATGCTCTGCGGTCAGCACCTACAGCCAGCGAGCTACGATGAGACGCCTGGTTCACTCTCCCGGCCACACCCAGGGCATCTTGAAGCGATGCCGAATGCCGCACAGGTTCATCTCATCCAGAAGGGAGCTATCGATGCATATTTGCCCAAAAACACAGCGCAGCTTAGTTCGCTCGAGCTTTCTCACAGGCCGGCGGTGCGCCTCTGAGGAGTCGAATCGCCGAGTGGAGTGTCCGAAGCCTCACGGTTCAGAGAATTGTGGAGAGATACCCTAATTTGCCCAGTTTTCCCAAGTAGTTGTTCTGTTACAGCAGTGTATCTCCACTGATTTGAAGCGAATGGTTGTGGCAAAGGACAGTCAGGAGCTCGTGAGGAAAGTTTTAGAATTGATAGAGCAATAGACATATGAAAGTAGAGCATGATTATGGCCGAACAAAATAAGTAGATGAAAATATCTGACTGAAAAGCTAATGTATCCGCAATGTAGGCCTACATCCAGGGCGATCGCCAGATAGAACCAGACAGGATAAATTGCCCAGCTGTATTGTATCGGTCCGGCTGGGCAAAACTCCGTCGATGTTCTATGTTGCGAGATCTTGGACTGTTTCTTATTGCAACTGATTCTATCACAGATGATTGAGTGACCGCTGCTTACGTGCATGAAGCAGAAAAATAAATAGAGACTTTTGGGAGCAGATGGTACATACTTTCACTATCTACTTCACCGCGGATATCCACCGCACAGTTATGCTATAAGTCAGGACCGGGTAGCTACGACGCAAGACAGCTCCTGCCCACAAGGATGGAGACATCCGAGCGCCTTGGTATCTCTCCGGCTACAACTCTAAGCCCACCACTCCGGCTTGAGCAGGTCCATACGGTACTACCAAACTTATCTCCAACCCAACTAAACTATGCACGCATCTGAATCGAAGAAGCCAAGCTCTTGCAGGACCACACATTCACCTTGGCCGCCCTGGGGCGCGCATGTGGGGGCTGACTCGAATGGAGGCGGCCTTCGCCAACCTGCGCATCCACGGACCATTCACCCTGGAATGGGTACAACGAGTAGTCCTGACCTTAGCCCCAGGCAGATTCAATTGGTCCAATGGTTGGGCGAGCATAGCCTGCTAGTCGTGGAGCGACCTGGGCCAATCCCGCCGTCGCCGCATCGGATGCCGTTTCAGCTCAGACTGCCCGATCTTCTGTTTGCCAACCTAGACTACTCTCCCGCGCAACGGAGGCGTTACCGGACGATGGAGCCGGCTGCGCTGCGTGGAACTCTTCTTGTCACGGGCTACGCCTGTATGTTGCTCGGCTTCACCTTCGCTGCGATTGACACATATGATTGGTCCGCTTATCGTAGTCACATGACTCCTTGTAGTATGAGAACGCACACTTCCTCCCCTTCCCTTCTCCCTTTCAGCGATTCCTCTTTGTGTATATCTAGTTATTAGATAGCAAGGCATTTCGCCCCTTTACACTTCTGGGCTGTACCCCTATGCCACCGATGAGCAGCATTGGGCAGTGGCGGCCCGGGTCGACCAATGCCATTGGTGGGATACTCTCATCCCCAGGTTGTCGCGTGGACGGCCCATTACCCTGGATCAGATCTCTGGCGTTCTTCCCCGTCTACCTCCGGATGTGCTGGAAAAGGCGAGGCGGTTCATACAGCAACCAATTTATGCTGACGGTGGAAATCCCCATCTCTTGAGGAAGCTACCACCTATTTGGAGCAACAAGGGTGCGTGTCGGAAGTGGAGTCGTTGAATGCGCGGCCCTGCCTCGGTATGGGAGAGGGAGCTCGGAAGGGATAGAATCCTGGCACTCGGGGTTACGGGGATTCATCTGGCATGTACTTACGTCATTTCTCCGATCGTAAACAGACTAGGCAATTGTTTACTTGAGAAAGTTGGGTCGTCTTGAACTAGACACTTGACATCATAGACTCCTGCATTTCCTGTTCTCCCAGAATCATATTCATCGCGAAGACGGACTCCCCAAACGCGGAACATTGTATTGTCCTTTCCATTGGTTCTCCGCCTGCGCCTCCCGCGTGCTCCAGTGCTTCCCGGGGACTGTGCGCCGCTTCTAGCACAGGCGTGTTCCCTTTCTAGCTCACTTCGGGCTCGAAACAATGCTGCAGCGCCAAGGTCTGGGACACGCTGATAGTCGACGCGGAGAGCTCGTGGAATATCGCCAGACACTCCTCGTAGAATCGGTTCTCGTGATCCTGGCGCTCCCACTGCCGCAGCTTCTCCTCGCGGAGCTCAGGCAAGGAAAGTCGACGGTCGGTTTTGGCGCATCGTAGCCGTGTTCGAGCAGCTTCCAAGGCAATGGTTGAGCCGCGAACCAGTGCAATCTGGTGGTCGAGAGAAGTGATCTCGGGCAGATCATGAGAAAGGGGGAGAGGGACTGGCGTCTCTGAGGCAGATTGCCCGAGCTTCGGTGTATGAGAGAAGCGGCTGTAAATGCTGGACGCATGGTCCCTGGTGGCTGGATTTTCAAATATGGACATGATGGTCTTTCAGTCGTTGGTAAGACTCCACGTCGGATACTGCAAAAAACTCCCACAGCAGAAGATGCCGTACATATATTTGGAACTGACGGCCATATTTTAACTATCCCTTGCCCTTATGTAACAGCCTGTGGGCACCCTCAAATTGACTCCGCTCGATCCAGATCAAGCCCGCTGCAAGCTTCATTCCCTAAGCTCAGACTTAGTACTATAGAACCCCAATTCAAAGCATGGAAAGCGTTGCATTTCTATGGGCGTCTCGTTTCGTTGGTCCCTCATGGGATTCCGTGGGTACCGTCATAATTCTAACGGAAAACTGTCAAGGGCGATGTGCACTTATACACGAGTTTTAAGCTTATAGTCGTGGGTCAAGATATAAACAACTCTTCTGGTCTTGGTAGCTGGTCTCGATAGACGTGCAATTCTTTCGAAAGCCTATTAATCTCCACGAAAGAAGGGTTCTACCTTCGAGTGTTCTTTGTCTGTTATACAGTGCAACTGTTATTCGCCTCCTAGCATATAGAACATTAGCCCAATCACGGAGCGGGACCAGTAACAAACAGGATTGATCGCAGTACCCGAAAACGGGAGCACAAGCCATCATGGTTCTTGCGATGCCTGTTTGGATGCTACTGGCATTAACTACCACTGTGGTTAGTCGAACGTGGGCTTTCACTATGGATGTCAATTTGACTCTGCTTTAGGTCACTGGCCTCACTATCTACCATAGAATCCTACATGCTCGGGCTAGGGACATAGTAAGCACTACTTCCTAACTGAGCTGCGTACTAGCAGGTTTCCGGTTGACATTCAACAGGGACTCTCGTCTTAATCCACCTTCCAATACCGACAGAAATAGTATTCCCGCGACAAGAAGTTTGTTACCGGAACCCCTCTACGGAAAGCTCCATAAAGACTAACAGGAAGTTGGAACCACAACATAGCAAGGCGGGGAGAACAAACACTTACCAGGCGACGTACCAGCCTTGGCCTCGACTGCACAGTCATACCCGTGGGAGGGAACTAAGTCGCCCGTGGCGTACTTAAATGCAGACAGCACCTCGATGTAGGCCACCCTGTAATGTCTTAGAACCTTGGTTCTTTTGATCGACCATGACAGCTGGGCGGTTCTATGAATAGACCTAGGAGATGGAGAAGTCAAACAAACTTCTAACTTGGAGATGTTCCATGTGGGTAATTGTATACCCACACTGTGGCATGGGGAACTGAAGGTAGCAAAAGTAATAGAGTAGCTAGTGGACTCCTACAGGAGTACCTTAGATAGAAAAAAGTTGATTCCTGGTGTTTTCAGCAAACGACATCTACTTCCTAGTAAGGCTAATTACCCTGCAGTTGATAGAATAGCTCCCTGCGCACCACTTCCCCTGAATTCCACAACAAAATCTACGTTACTGTATAGCTTGAGATAAAAGAGAAATTTCGTGAGTGCCTCGTCTCCAGCAATCTGGAGCATCTCTATCGGGTGTTCAGCAACAAGAGCATCTGTATCTCTTTCTATTGTTGCGAAGGCCGCAATTTGAGCACCCCGGATTAAGCACCATAAGCTTGATGCTTCACGAAGTTCCGGTTTTCAACTAGATTTTGCGTTCTTCTTTTGAAAGTTGGCTGAAGTTCTCGAGGCCTGCCTTATATCTCACGCCCAGACAGCAAGTATGAAGTCGCATTTCATTGTCTCTGCCGCAGGAGAGCCGAGGAACAGACAGATGCCTCAAGCGGAATGTCTATATTCGCTCCTTTTTCCTCCCGTTTGAGATATGGACATCGCCGCGTATTTCTGAAAGCATATCCTCTCTCAAAAGGTGAAATTGATTGTCAAGGTAGGCAGCCACCCGTTGGTCGCCCGGAAGTTCCGCGATATCCTCGGCGCGACGAAAGAATGGCTTGTCAGTACAGCTAAACTCGTCTAAGGTTGGAAAAACGGCAATCTTTCGGAAGTCACAAAAATCGTTATCATGATGACCTCCCGCTGTGAATGCGGACACATCGATCGTACTTCCGGAAGATTTTACTTGCAGGAAGTGCTTGCTTGTGCCCGAGCTGGCGCAGCTTTGTAGAGGGAAAACGAAACAGTGCCCCATCGTTCACCATCGCCTGCACGTCTGCAATTACATCCACTCCACTGGAGCTTGATCGTGCTAGTAATTCCCGTCATTATCCATGTCAACGTACACGTTGCAATGTCGTCCAGCATTCGGGATGCAAACGCTTCCATCCAAGCATTCCAAAGAGTACGCGGCTCGAGGATGATGACGAGAATTCGCTCAAGAAATTGTCCGTTACACAGGCTTTTGATTCCCGGATCGCTCAAGTATTGCAATAACTTTGCCGTACATTAGTTAATGAAGTCAGCCGTCGTGCTAATTAAATCGAAGTTACTTCTGAAGGGCGGTCAAAGCGCTGTTGCTGGCCATGAGACGCTCGACAGTAACAGAATAGCCATGCTGGTCCAAAATCGCCTCGAAACTTTTTAAAGTCGTTGACATTCTAAACTGTCTGCTTTCCAGTGATAAAATCCTGAAGATACTTGGTCAAGCGATCCGACCGTGTTCTAACCGCAGCCATGTTATAATCCTGTTTGAGTTTGTGAGCTAAAACTTTGAAAATGGACTTTGAACGTGACTGATCATATGGAAAAATCATTTCTTGTAAGAGCGAGGTCCCCTTTTAGCGTGTGGTCGAGCAACGCGATGGATAGCGCCAGACACGCACTGTCAAGCTCGGCCTGGTCTTTTGCACTATCCCCATGAAGCCGGAGCACATATTTCTCCATCCGGTCTACGGCAGCGAGCTGGATGGTGGTCGGCTGGTGGCGGAGCACGATACTCTGGTCTGGACGGCTGGTGTGATAGGCGAAGCAGGTCAGGCGCTGGCAGATCCGGATATAGCGCCGGTACGTGGCTGGCTTCAGGTGGATCTGGATCGGACGGTCCCAGATAGCCGGCCGCTGCAGCAATGTGTTGACACGGGTCTGGTCGAACTCGTTCACGCGGCGATCCGCGACGGTGGTGCAGGCGCGGTGGATCAGCCGCTCGACACTCTGGGTAAATAAATAGCACGAGCAGCGGCTCGCTGGCGGCGAAGTCGTGCCCCTGCAGGTATTTTAGCCACTAGGTTAGCTCCAGCCGGGGGGACACCTCGGTGGCGTGCTTGTTGGCCGTCACGTTTTGGTTCGCGACATCGTCGGCGGCCTGCACCCGCTCAAGCGCCTGGTTCACCTGCGCCTGGACAAACTCGGCGGCGGTCATCGTGGCGGCCTGGTGGGCGGGCTCGCTCTGCTCGAGTGGCGTTACCGCGAAGAAAGCGCTACCAGCGCAGGCGGGAAAAAAGGGCTGCCAGCTCTCACCGGATGCTGGAGAGGGGGACTGGGTGGGTTCTTCCACCGGCTGCCACGCGGTTAATTAGTCCCCGGGGTGCTTGGACTGGCGGTGGCGACGCATCGTGTTGGTGGAGCGGCGCTGCTTAGATATCTGCTAATACTGTTCCTGTATTTGCGTATCTTCTTGTATTTTAGAATCCCTGATTAGTCCAAGAAATTTGTGCCAAGCACGGCTGATCTTTCGACACTCGCGTTGCCAGGCCTCTATAAAGCCCGGGCACTCAGTTTTCCGCCTTGCATATGTTAGGCCGAATGTCCACGATGTACAGTCCCCGGCAAAAGTTTGTATAATTTGTTTGCGGGGCAACCCAACCATGGTTCACCCCTCCATACAAAAATATATATATCTTGCAACACAAAAAACAATTATATTGATTTGAATGTAGTATATGCTAAATAAATGGTAAAATTCATAAAAATATGCAAAAAAGCAGAAAAATTACTTAGTATTTTGTATACCACCCTTTTGCCTCCAAAACTGCCTCAACTCGATCTTTCATACTCTTTATTATTGCGCTTTGAATATCTTGACTGATCAAGGTCCATGATTGCTCTAAAGCTTCCCATAGAATCTCTTCCTTCTTATCATTCGATCCCTTGCAGTTTTCAATGTCCGGATTTAAGTCGTAGACACCTTCTTTAAGTGGAAACCACATGTGTTCAATGGGGTTCAGATCGGGCGAATATTGGTGGCCATTCCATGCAAGGAATTGCATTATCTTGCAACCATTTGGTAATCTTTTGGCAGAATGAATGGGAGCGTTGTCGTGCATAAAAACATAGCCTGGTTCCCAAATAGTAGGCAACATCTCGTCCAATAGAGCAAGATATGACTTTGCAGTATACCCATGCTTTTTAGCTTCAAAATCACGCTCCAAACGTACAAGATCACTGCGATTTTTACCCCAAATAGCTGCCCAGACCATTACCCGGATAGCCTTGCCCTTCTTGTATGGCTGAATGTATTCCTTTTTCCACTTTTCACCATGTAAATTAAGGCGAAACACATATTGGTGGCGCGGGCCGGATCCAAGCTCAACCGACACTCATCTGACCATACAATCTTGTCCCAGTCGCTGTCGGTATAATCTTTATATTTTAAAGCCCAATTATACCGTAGTCTCGCTACTTCCGGTGTTAATTTGGGGCGTTTTGAGCTCTCCATTTACTATATCCTGACTCTTTAACAATCCGGTATAGCGATCGGTGCGGAATCACAACCCCAAGCTTTTCTTGTACCTCCTTATAGGTAATAAAAGGATTTTCTTTAATTAACCGGATTACCAAGCGTTTGTCTCTATCTGTATAGATTTTCGGCCGACCAGATCGTGGGTGGGAGTTAAAATCCTGCCTTGAAGATATTCGGTTCAGCGTGGCATAAATGGTTGGGAGGGGTCGATTCAAGCGCTTTGAGATTTCAAGAGGTTTTACTCCACCTTCATAAAGGCCCTGTATATAAGCTCTCTCAGTTTGATCCAGCTCACGATTGCGCTTAATATTATTGCTAAAAGGACTCAAAGGAGTCCTTTTTGGGGTCATGGTTGGTGTTTAAAGAAATGAGGTTTTTTGACGCGTTGGTTGACGCGACCGGGTGCTTAGCGCGATTATGAGGACTTTTGGCCAAGAACTATATGGGCGGCCTGGATGTCTGCAGGACCGTTTGGAATATTATACACTTGCTTAAATTCGACCAGCAAGTGCACCCGCGACATAGCAATTGCTATATGGCGGAATGTAGCCAGATCCATATTAATAACCAGAAAGTGGTAAAGTTCTCGGTCAAGGATCTTGCTTAATTGGGAGCCGGTCCAGCGCCCGGATTCAGGGGCGCAAATAAAGGGAGACTGAGGCATTTTATTATGGAGTGCTAGTGCTTGCAGCTGCCGCTGGAAAGGCAGCACGAGCTATAAATAGTAAACAAGTAGACCAGCTACTAGTATCTGGTAGCAGCAGCCGGTGGTCAAGCTGTGATTCTGCCATTTCGATATGGTGCTGGATAAAATAGCGGAATCCGGGTATGTGTAGTCTCAGACAAGAAGAGCAACGACTACGTGAGCAAGCCGAACGATCACAGATAGAAGAGCAGCGACGACGTGAAGAAGAGCAGCGACAACGTGAGCAAGCCGAGCGACCACAGATAGAAGAACAGCGACTCCGAGAGCAAGCTGAGGAACAACTGAAGCTCCAGACACAAGAAACAACGCTTCCCGGATTTCTCGACGCCTGCCATGTGCACTTATTTCTCGGTCTCTCCATCCAGAAAGACAAAGACTCGTCCACAAAAGGCGACCCGGTAAACGCCGACCGTAAACTCCGACCGACCAAGATTCGAGGAAAAGAGGCCCGAGAGAGGATGGTAAGTTCGGAGCTGGATTTGGGCTACTTTGAACGACAGACCGTTGAATCACGCGTTGCTTCAGTTATCAAGCAGCTACACGCGAATCCATAACTTCGACAAATGTTTTGTCTGAATGGAGACGTCACCTTTGAAAACCACGCCAATACCCTAACAGACGAGTCAAACATAGTGGCGGATATGGGTTCTCTGAGCCTAACTCAAAGGCAGCCACGTCGCTCCGGTCGCTTGGCCGCAAAATCGGGCAGTGCTAGGCTCTCAGCTGCCAGGAAGAAGCAAGAACGCTACACAGCCGAGGAGTCCCCGACCCCGAGCCGACCAGTTTGTGTTTATAATAAGGGCCCAGAGGAAAGGTCCCGGGTTTATTATTGAATACAAGGCCCCCATAAAGTTCTCTCGCCCATATTAAGTCTGGACCTCAGACATGGATCTTGATGAAGTACTCCGCTTACAAAAAGAGGAATCACCAGAAGACATCTGCCGACTGTTGTGGCGGCAGTGATCACCCAAACATTTTCTTACATGATTCATGGAGGCCTGGAGTATGGCTATGGTGTACTGGTGAAGCGTTTATATTTCTTCTGTGCTTTATGATAACCCTTCCACCGTATATTACTACTTGTCAGTGAGAAGAAGATGTTGGACAAACAACGGATGGACAGGGATCCGACGGCGTAACCGCTCATTTAACTGCGCTCGGTCAGGTACTTGCTTTCACTCTCCGCGCTTTACGAGACCGACACGGGACATCGCTTGGACAACCTCGGCAGTACCAGACTAAGACCTGGGAGATGGTATACGACGATCTTTTGGATGAAATCGCAGAGAAGGACATTCCTTCTTCCGACTTTAAACATCAGCACAGAGTCGGAACGAATACTGTCGTGCATCCCCATAAGGACCAGGTCAAAGTCTGCTATCGTTGCGTCCTGTAGTTCTTCGCAAAACTCGAGGTCTTTTAGTCATGATGATGATGCCGGGGACGGCTTTGATCCTAACACGCCTAGTCGACAACCCCGAGAACTCCACGTTCCTCAGCCGTCGGCTTCCTCGTCCTTAGCAGTAGTGGAAAAATCGCCAGGTTCACGCTCCAAAGGCAAGTCTCAGCAGTATTGCACACAGCAGTGCCTCCTGGGCCTGATCAAGGGAGGAGAATTAGATTGGAAATGTCCCAACGTCTCAGACCATGGAATTGATTGACATCGACTGAATCGGACAACACTTATTCGTCGGCTGGATCGGCAGCTCTCATGGGATAATCTGCAGCTTGATTCGAAGCTGGGGTGCGAATCGCTGCATGTCCACGGGACTTGTGGGGCTCTCTTTAAAATCGTACTGTGGTCGCACGGATATACCTTTCTAGGTAAAGGTGCACCAGTCGAGTTTGTGGATGGCTCGAAGCACGAAGAGCTCGTGTATTCACATCTCTCCCCAATCCAAGGGGTATCCGTGCCAGTACTACTTGGTAGCCTACGACTTCGTCGCCCATTCTATTAGGATGGTATTGCTGAGATGGTCCATCTGATGTTCATGGGTTACGCCGGAAGGAACTTTGCAAGCAGACATAATCTCGATCGTGATCGACTAATTCAACAAGCCGAGAAATCCTTGCAGGCGATTCACGATCTACTCGTGCTTCAGGGCGATCCAATACCCAACAACATGGTCGAGGAAAATGGACGGGTGATGTTTATTGATTTTGAGCGGGCAGCGTTGCAAACCCGACGAATACCACTAGGTGAAATTTCACCTAATCAGAAACGCAAGCGAGAGGCCTGCTCAGAGAAGAGCCCAAACATGCATGTTAACTGTTTTGAGCGCGAGAAGCGACACCTGAGACATGGATTATGATGATGTGACCGTATCGTTCCCTAATTCCATCGTATTCCAAGACGATTTCGATGCAAACTAATGCACGGCTCCTACTGGTCTTCCTTGTACTATCCACATAAACCAGCTTGCGCTATCCCACGTGGAAGAAGAAACTCATTCGGATCCAGGTTTGGGGCTGTTCATGTAGGTGTCTGCTTCAGATTGGATCATATCCATTTGTATCTCACTCCAAGTAGGGCTAGAAGATATACCATCCTCACTATCCTCGTATTCTGAACCCCACAACTCACAGCTTCTGGCCCTTCTCATTGCTTGTTCGGCCCGCAGCCTAGCCCTATCCTGTCGTGCCCTGTATTCCTTGGCACGTTGTTCGATTTCTCTCGAGAATAACCGACAATGCCGACATTCAGACATGTTCCTGCCTCCTTCTACTGCAGCCTCACGGAAGGCCCCGCAAGATCGGCAAATCACATATTGTTCTCCTTGTATGATGATGTGAGAGCCACGGGTATATCGGGTAGTGCCTTGACGAGCATTGACGCCGCAATCCACACAGAATCGTCTCCCTGCATCAACCGCAAACCTTGCTCTCTTTTTCTTTACCCTGTTGTCCGCGAATTTGGACCTTGGGCGTAGACGTAAGCAATCTCGACATGTATACAGGTCTTTCTGCTCGCCAAACGGGGAGGCCTCCACTTCCAGCATCTGGTCGAGACTGAGTGGGGGGAACAGTGCGTGGAAATGCCGGCATACCATTTTTAGTCGAATGAGGCTAGGAAAATTAAGGCACTGAGCAATGAGTTGATGGATTTCAGTGGGGAGGTCAAGAAGTGTAGTAGACCCCGCCATTCTCAACGATGAAGGAACCGAAGTATCGTATTATATGCATGAGAGGGAGTTAGTACATCGGGCACACCCTGTCATAGCTCAATTCAGGGAGAAGAAGACGACAGCGAAGACATCATTCCACAAGTTAGCGTGCAACAAGTATACTCAAGAGGAGGAGAGATGCGGGGATAGAAGTGACGTCAAACCCAAAAATCTCCTTGACGAATATGTGATAATCAGGTGACTTTTGTTGTGGAAGCTTGGAGCAATGGTCTTATGATCAGCACGAAACAATCTGATTGGGATCGGTCTAGCTATGACGATTGGAATCGAGGCCATAAAATCTGTCTCTACTACAGTAGAGACACGTTACCAGATAGACCTATATACTGCCCAGCTGGGAGCCATTCTTGAAGCACTCCAGCTTGCACGGGGACTACTCCAGGGGCATCAAGCCCTGACAGAGATCATAGATGTTAAGGCCTACTCAACAAACCAATCCAGCTTGCAATCAATCACAAATCAGGATACCCAGGGGAGTCAACATATTATCGAACAAATCACTCAACAAGTTAAAGAAATGCTGCAAGACAAAATTCGGCTAACAATAGGATGGACATAATAAACGACAAAGAGAACCGAGGACTCCAACTAGCCAAGAAAGCAAGCCAGTATGCAACCCAGGAGGGCATACCAAGACCTTGTACAATCAGCTAAACAGGATACAAGCATCTACTCTAGCACAGCTCCGGACAGGTCATATCCAGTTAAGCCAATACCCGTCGCACCGCCTCCCCACTTTTTGCAGTAGGGGTCGGCTACACTTCAACGCAAAACACACTTCAACGCAAAAAAAAAATAATATATTGAAAAAATCAATGAATATTGCCTAATATAAAAATGATGAAGGTATACCACGATCCCCTTGCGTATCTATAAAAATAGTGATTCAGATGACTCATTTTCTGGCTCCACAGAAGATTGTGTGGGTGATTTATCGATATCTTGACCAATTTGCTTTAAAAAGAGCTTCCGCACCCTTGCGATTTTCTTTCTGCATAGCTCTATAACGAGACCGTATTTCCTCTGCTTTTCTCTCGTCAATTTGACGCCGAACTTGCCAATTATATATAGGACCTGGTTTGACCTGCCGGCGGGATCGCGTGGTTGAATTAGATGGTTGTTTTTGCGCCTCTAAGGTTTCATCCAATACCGCCGCGGACATGGCTCTTTTTCTCTGCGTTGGATAAAGCACCACGCAGGATACGATCAATTGTAGGAGAAAGCTCCTTCTTAGTGGATCGTAGTAAAGTAATTTGATGACGAATTGAATACAGTGTTTTAGGTGTTTCCACTTTATTTTGCAGTGGTGGCGTTGGAGCCCTCTGTACGGTAGTGGTAGTGGTAGTGGTAGTTGTTGTCACTACTGCAGTATTCTCGGTAGTTAACGAATCCAGCTGGTCAAAATTCTCAATTATATTGTCCCCGTCATATATTTTCAAAGGTTCCTCCTCCATATCTGTTGTATATCCAATCTGTTGCAAGACATGCATGGGATTCCATGGCCGGATCCCTACCTCCCGCCAGCCGGCACGGATTGTACGGGGCTTTAAAGCTTGCTTCCGGATGTTATCAATATCATATAGGAATTATAATTTGTCATATTGCTTGCCATTTATACGGGAAACGGCGTTAACTGCATCGGCGTGGCAAGCTTTAAGCTGTTGAAAGGGAACTGAATCAAGCGGTTGTAACCGGTGTGTTAAATGGGGTGGAAAAGGTAACAAAATAATTTTATGATCTTGACAGAATCGCACAAAATCCATAGTAAGATGGGACTCATGGTTATCCATAAGAAGAAGGCGATATCTCTCTTTTTGTCGCCTGCGTCCGGCAGTATGCTGGTTAAAATGATGAATCCAAAGATATGCAATTTCATCATTTGTATACCCTGATTCAGAGGTTTCAAGAATATAATCATCTGGAAGATTGGTTTGTGTATACCAGTCCTCTAGCCGAACCTTGCCTGGCATAATCAACAACGGTGGAATTAAGTCACCGGTAGAGCTGACACACTCAATTGCTTACCAGTATCCGCGATGACGCGCTTGCAATAGCGTTATTGCGCTTTGGATACTTAGTACTAACTGATTCAATGCGTCCCTGGCCAACACGAAAGCCAGTTTCATCAAAATTCCAGATATCTTTATCTGCAATATTAAACGCCTCAATTTGATGCTGCAACTGATTGTACTACTGCAGAATATCTTCAATATTCTCTGCCTCGCGCCGATCCATCTCAATTACACGCCGCTTCCCTTTGGTATACTGTGGATTCCGTCGTAGGATGCGATATCCCCGGTTTTTGGAGACTCTTGGTGGTGGTTTTAAAGGATCAATATGGCCTCGTTTAAGAATTGTATTAGCAGCCTTTTGAACATCACTAATACTTAACGGAGCGCCTAGGTCATCAAACCGATCAATATGATTATATAAAGCATCAAACTGAGCAGGATCAATAGGCTGCTGAGTCAGTTTCCGCGTTGATTTGCTTGCTCTACCACCGATTCGAGCACGAAGGCGATGATAGGATACACCATATTGACGCGCAGTTTCTGACATATTAACGCGCGAATTTTCGGGTTTTTTTTTATTGTATTCATGTACGGCCTTCTGAATAATATTCTCCTCTACTTTATATGTTGATTCCATGATTGTGGTGGTGGGAATAGCTTCAAAAGTAGTAAAAAATTGATTTTTGCGTTGAAGTGTGTTTTGCGTTGAAGTGTGTTTTGCGTTGAAGTTAGCCGACCCCCTACTGCAAAAAGGGGGGGGGAGGCGGTGCGACGGGTAGCCACCTAACGACCAAGATCCTCTTCCAGAACATGCGACAGAAAAGGTGAGAGTGGACAAAAACTATCGAAATGGAAGGCAGCAACCTACATGCGGCGCGAGATGCCTACTTGAGTGTCCTAACGCTCAAAGTGGGTACCGAAGAGGTAACGGATAATCAAGAAATGGCTGAAGCATTCTGATCCTGGAAACATTCTTTCCCAAAATGGCAGACGCTAAGGAGGAAGAACTTGCGGCTCCTGCAGAAAGGCTGCCATGGGAACCGATCACTAAGGTTGCCAAAGGCACCACTGACCCCGGCGAAGATAGAATCCCGACATTAGTGTGGAAGCACCTATGGACGTATCTGAAGGAGATAATCACCAAGATCTTCACCAAATCAGTGGAACTGGGCTAGTACCTCAGTCAATGGAAACAGGCGCGTACTGTATACGCAAATCAGGTCAATCACAATATACGTATGGCGCGGATAAACATCAACAACGACGAGCCGTGCTGTGTTGTTCCTTTCCCACCGCTTAATACCCTGGGGAAGATACTAGAGGCTGTTATGCCCCGAAGATTTTCCTTCTGGGCAGACTACTTCCAGATACACAGTTTGGAGGCAGACCGGGACGCAACACAGAACATGCCTTGCTGGCGCTGGCCAACGCTATTAGTCGAGCGTGACTGCGATCAAAGGTGGCCACGCTTGTAGCATTTGATCTAAAAGGCGCATTTAACGGGGTAAATAAGATCACTCTTGACGCCCGGCTGTGAGCCAAAGGCATCCCATGAAAAGCTCGACAATGGATTCAAAATTTTATGGACAGCCGAGAAGCCAGTACCACATTTGATGACTTTGAGACAGCGATCCTACCATTAGAGAATGCAGGTCTAGTACAAGGATCTCCGCTCTCACCATTCTCTTCGGTTTCTTCAACTCAGACTTTGTAGATCAACCGGTTGATTACAATGGTGGAACATCTGCCTTTTGTCGATGACTACTTCCGGTAGCGAGCCGGCCCATCGGCAGAGGCGAACCTAAAGTAGATCCCCCGGACTGAAGCATGGGCTCCGCAAAAGGGCTCGTTTGCTGCGGAAATGACAGAGCCGATCCACCCGACCCAGAACAAGAAAGAACACGTTGTAGGACAGATTATTATAAATGGCAAGGTTATCAAGCCCGCCGACACAGCGAAACTCCTGGGGTTATCTTTGACAAGGAGATGCGATGGAAAGACCATACACAACAGGCAGTTAAACGACCAACTGAGGATAGCACCGGGAGGACTAAGACATCTCCGGCCGGAACAGATGCGACAACTCTACCAAGCATGCGTGACACCAGTAGTAGACTACGCATCCACAGTCTGGCACTCAGGGACAAAATGCACCTACGACTTCTGGGAACCGCTCATATCCGGGTGCTCTCAGCCTTCAGAAAAACCTCAACAGCAACGCTAGAGGTGGGAGCCGATATCCATAGCGTGTTGACCACGAATGGTCATTACAGGTTTTCACTCTCTATCGCAAAAGCCTTGAGGATAGTCTCTGTGTTATTTCCGAACATTTGCTACTTGCAACCTCGCACCTCATCCTCTGTTGCCCATGCAAGGGCTCGAGAACCCTCCAAGAGCAAAATCTGCTCCTTTAGCATAGCCAAAAAAGGTCCAAACACTACAGAAGCAGTTGATACCCCTTGCTAGTCAAGATAGCCATAGAGCATATCTGTCTTTGCCTCGTTCTTTATTTCGCCCAACGCACCCTCGATACCCATTGTAAGAATATCAAAGGTGTAGTTGAATGAGTCGGAATTACCCCTTTGTAAATAACTCTCCAACATAACGAGCACCCCTATGAGTGAATGTAGATCCCATGCGTGTTTAAATTGGGTAGAGTTTGAATAATGACTCAACCATTCTTCCATCACAGGCGGAAAGGCTTTGGTGAGGATAAGCAGCAATTTGCCTAGAGTATGCCTATTATCATAGAAGGCTTTGCGACTGACATGACTAATCTGCCTGCACTTTCCGTGGAAGTACCAGTCCAAAAGCCACCTCATGACTCGCACCGGAAATTCGTCGTTCCCCATATTTCCAGATATATTGAGTCGCCATACAGATATGAGGAGGTATATCCAACTTTTCAAGCCATGTCTTGACAAATTCTGTTGACTCTTTCGACGCTTGACTGGGTTGTTCCATAACATGCAAGGCAAGCTCTCTCAAAACCGCTATAGCACAGGGTTCATAAACATCCACGCCTCTGATGGTTTTATGGAGGGCTTCCAATATGCGATATGTGTCGGGAAAAGACACAGTAAATGCCAGCGGTGATATAGCAAGTCGTATACCAATACCAGTGAGGAATTTGGAGGGATCGGTGTTTTCGAGTAATTCTTTAGACAATTGTAAATTTATAGATCGGAAGAAATGCTGGTTTATTTGATAGGTTACCCCCCAAGATAGTCGGCAGGCTAAGAAGTCGGCTATCTCAGGGGCCAGGTTTGGAATAGCATTGATAAGGTAACTGAAAGTCTATCAGTGTAATACCGCGCAGCTATTTAGAATGTACTCACGTAATATTATCAGTCATTTTGGATTGTGGTAGGAATGAATGGGGTTATTGTAGAGGTGCATGAAGGAATTCATTCCCTATTTATGCTTTTACCCCCTTCCTCCGAGCTGACAAAATTTGCGACTGAGCCTCGACTTCCGAGTTAACCTGCAGGGTTGCATTTTTTTTTTTTTTTTTTTTTTTTTCACCCCTGAAAAGTACTTTTCCAGACATCCCAGCATGGACTATTCGGGACGATGCTTCTGCCAGTCTAATAGCTGTATACCACAGTCCTCGAGACATCCTTTCAGGTTATGGCTACTGGTTTTACAGTTTCTATAACATACATGTGTGGAGGATATCCTAAATTTTGCGACTACTGCCTAAGATTCTCAAGTTTACATTAATTTCACGTGTGTTCCATTATTCAAACCACCCAGCACAATTCTCCAGCACAATACCTACACCCCGTCTGCCGATGTCCATAGTGTGTTGAACACGAATGGCCATAATCTACAGGTTTTCACTCTCAGAATTAAACCGAGCCCCTCTTAATCACCGCAAAAGCCTTGAGGATAGTCTCTTTGTGGTTTCCGAACATTTGATACTTGCCATCGAGCACCTCAGCTTCTGTTACCCATGCAAAAGCTTGATGCTCTTTAGGATTCAGTTGTATTGCGTCCTCCAGTTTTGTCCCTGGAGGAGACACACGTTGGCTATTTGTGCGTGGCTTGGAAGCCTCAACTTCAATGATGTATGGAAGGCCAACGTATTTATGCCACTTGCCTTCCTTGAGTTGCGTCCAGATCCGAATCGGGAGTGGATGGGTGACCCGGGACAGTTGCAGACCAGTCTCTTCTCGAACCTCACGCTCAAGAGCAGTTCGTGGTTTTTGGTCTTGTTTTTCGACGCCCCCACCGGCCACCTCCCAATACCCAGGGTTAGTATCACAAGAAGCACGTTGAAGAAGAAGGAGACGAGGTTTCTCCGAGTCAACTGCCTCATTGTTGTCTTCGTCCTGCCATGAGAATATATAGCCACTGACCCTGACAGAGTAGATGGTGCCATGGAATTTAAATTGGTGCGGTGATTCTGCTATGCGGAAAGCTGACAAATCCGTCTCGCAATTAAGATCGAATAACCACCCCGTCACGTTACGCACTGCTGACACCGGATCATTCCGATACTGCAAAAGATAATTTTGAATAGCTGCTGCTGTGTATTGATCTGGAGGCACTTGGTTGGCGAACGAGACCGCTAGGTCGACGATGTCCTTTAACGCCCATTCTGAATAGACGGGTGTAGATAAGGGCCGAATAGAGCCATCCGGCGTTGGCGTTCCCATGACGAGCGTGTCTGTAGGCTTTAAATAGAAGGCAAGAAAATGTTCCTGGATAGCCAGCCGGTCTGCATGGTTGAACGGGACTTTCATATCGACACGGCCGGGGCGCAGAAGAGCTTCGTCAAGCCGTTCGATATGGTTGGTGGTCATGATTAAGATGCGACCTTCCTGTGCGGATACGCCATCAATAATATTTAGAAAGGCAGAAAGTGTGACACCGCTCGGCCGCTCGTGATGGCTCTCAACAATGCTGTTTTCATCACTAACTGTTTCATCGTGCATTTGCGGGAGATTGTCAGTACCGCGATTCGGAATGCCGGCCTGGTCCACATCTTCGAAGAGAACGATACACCGCGGGGGAAGAGTCTGAAACAATAAAGCTAGGCTGTTTTCGTCAAGGCCATTTGCACTGAGGCTGACCATGAAAATGTCGAGTTGTACCAGACTGGCGATGCCGAAACACAGACTTGATTTACCTGTTCCAGGAGCGCCATAGAAAAGATAACCCCGCCGACAAGGGAGGCCACGGGACTGGTACCAGTGACGGGTGCGGGGGTGAAGGTAGTCCTGGACATCCTTGCTGAAGCTTTTCTTCCATTCTGGGTCAATCACAATCGTCGATAGCGGCCGTGGTTTTTTGGAAGACACGCGTGTCCATTGAAAATCACCTTTTAACTTAAGAGCCCGCTTTATGACAATGTGGTCACTATCGTGCTCAATCGATGCCCGCTGTATATCATCAAGGAGGCCCTTGAGGACATGTTTTCTCCACGGGGCGGCGTAAAAGTACAACCTCTCCATATTGGCAAGCCAGGGACTACCAACGTCCTTGTACGGCCGACGACAGAAAACGATCCAGCATCCTTTGTAGGTAAGATAATGCATATCAAGAGGCGCAGGTGTACACCGAATCGTCCGAAGCTTGTCCAGGTACTTTCGTTTTGTCCAGAAGTCTCGTGGGTCATTTTCAAAACGCAGCTGGTCTTCTTCAGATAGGTCTTTTTCCCCGTTATCCTCATCCCAGAGTGATACAAAGTTAACTCTAGTACTAGCCACAAAACGCTGTGTTTGGCTTAAGTCTCGTTGCATGGAAATCCAGCGCATGATGTCATTGTATAGGTCGTCGTGGTATCGGATCTCGGCCGATGATGCGAAGATCAGAAAGAACCGTTGGAATCTATCCCAAAGTGCTGGGGCGGCAAATGTCCAGAAACACATGGACGCTGCCAAGACAATGATGTAGGAGGAGATATCGATTTGGAAAAATAAAGAGACAAAATGTGCAAAAGGCCCGTATCCTGGGATAAAAGCTTCAAGTATTGCCTCCGGCGGTAGCATGCCGGGTGTTAGGTTTGTTGGGTCTATGCTGAAAACCATTAGAGTAGTTGTGTTCTGGTCCGTTGAGGTGTGACGCAAGCTGCGAAGACACCCGCCTCCTTTATAGAGAAGGCCAAATCCTAATACAGGTCTCAAATAGGGGTCGCATCAGCAAATGTACAGCGGAACAAATCCTGTTGTCAAATTTACCGACTATTGAGGTATTTCCACCCGTGCAAGACGTCCACGCGTGCATGCAAAGATACTCGGTGCTTTGTCCAGATCCAACAAACTGCCCACAATACGCTGTGAGCCAATGATAGGGTCTGCTGGAAGAGAAACCTGGACTCCCCATTAACCACTGGTGGTGGCCATCGGAGTTTCCTTTATCCTCTCTGTTCCAGACCAAGGTGGACTAAGGGCTCTGTACAGCCCCTACCAACACCATGGCCCTAGTAAAAGGTACGGTGGCAGGTTTCCGCTCCTTTATTACATAATTAAATAACTCAAATGTAGAAGGGAAGGGGGAAAACAAAAAAAAGAAAGGTAAGGAAAAGGGGGGTTGGAGACGTATGTGCCGCTTTTCCAGTATACAGCTCTGGAATATTCTCGGGCAACGGACCAACAGACTGCAAACAAGTTCTAGACTGGACTAAGCGAATGCTGCGAGAGGATAATTGATGGGTGTCAAATGGAGGTCGATGATCTGTCACTTTCCATTCTCCACACCGTCGTGGACTTCTCCTGGAAACCCCTGATTCGCGCAATGGTACTACGAAAAGTACAAAGTCAAAATAACTGCACTCCTGCCTGCTGTATCCCCATTTGTCCCTTCTGCCTGCGTGCTTTTTTTCTTTACCCTAGAATGTGGACAATCCGGAAAGATATCCTGTACTCAACTTTAATAAAATTTACAGCACGAGCGAAGCAAGCACCAGTTATTAACTCCATGAAAGGCAAAATCATCTTGCCTCACATCTTACTATCTAGGTGCTTTTGCCTCTAGCTAGTAGACACGATATCAAACACACTGCGAATAACCTGGTCCTTACCTTCCTCAGTAATCCAGGTCTTTTCTATGTCCTCCACGTTGGCCCACTTGAATGTCTGGTATTCACCAGGCTCTATTTTGACACGATTCTGCCATTCTTTTTTTTCCTTGGCCTCTGGTTTTGATGATAAAGTTAAGCCTTACCACTTTCTTCCCATTTTCAACAGGTCAGTCTCTTCTCGAACCTCATGCTCAAGAGCAGTTCGTGGTTTTTGGTCTTGTTTTTCGACCCCCCCACCACCCATCTCCAAATACCCAGGTTGAGTATCACAAAGAGCAAGTTGAATAAGGAGACGAAGGTTTGAGTCAACTGTCGTATTGTTGTCTTCGTCCTGCCATGAGAATATATGGGTACTTTATCTAGCCACGGTATGATAATTCCTGACAGAAGAGGTTATCTAAAATAGAAAGGAGTAGAATCAAAATCAAGGCAGTAATAATTATATTTTGTTAACTGCTATAAAATTGGCGCACATGGTTTTTGAGCCCCGGCTGGAAAGGATTTATGTAGCTTAAAAATTAAATGGCTGCACTTATTCTTTGCTTTTTACTGTACCTCTGCTCGCTCTCATTGTGGGGGGAAAGTTTGCCCTGAAATTTAAGAACACACGAGGCTTATGCTATGTACAACCATACAATACAAATAGCTGTCCGTAAAATATATACCGATATTCTTGATCTCTTCTGTAGGCGGAGGTGGTGCTCCTGGTGTCTTGACACCAGTGGTATCGTAGGCCCCGCGTCTATTATTCCAACCTGAGATATGCTAAAAATTGATCAGTATTGTTAATATCAGATATTATAGTTTATCTTGCCTTGCTTGTCTCCTTCTTCTGTGTCATAGCTGCACCGCACTATCTTCTTGATGTATATTGACTATTGTATAATTAGGCCTCAGACATAAGACCAACCTAAACTAAAACGTATTCAAACCTTGTTATGGGCAGGGGAAGCTAAGACGTGCTTCCATCCAATTGCTGTCTGCAGCAGTAGGAAAGGAGGGCCACAATAATAAAAAGGAGCCAAAAGACTAGCAATAGTTCTAGGAGCGATTCCATCGACGTTGCCGTGACAAATGATTCCTGTCTTGGCTATATAGTTCGGTTGGACGCAGCTCTTTACCATGTGAGCAGGTATAGGCTTATATTTATTTGTCTCTCAAATCTATTACCTGGCCAAAAGTGGTTCCCCTGCTTCGCACCCTGGCTTAACACTCGTGGCGCCGTAGGGTGTTCCGGGCTATTTGTTATCCATCGCCTTACCACATTGGGTTAATCAAACCTTATGAAGCCAGAAATATAAATATTTATAACCAAAAATACGAAAACTTTGCATTGTGTCTGATTGTCTTTGATGTTAAACTAAGAAATCTCCTAGGAAACCTCAAATAGTACCTTAACAAGCTGGTCAAGCGATCCCATCGCGAAGAATTGAGGCCCGTACCCGAGAGAAGACACAGTAATCATCCAATTTCCTGATGTATCTTCATATAAAGGCTGAAAATTGTCCAGAATTCCGATTCGCAGGGTTGCATCAGTTTTATCCACAACTGACCTTGGCGCTCCCACACACGCACTTCGTTCTTGAGACAAACGGCAATACGAGCGATTTTGCCATCATTCATTTCCCGATATTGTTCATTCTCAAGTTGCCGCCTCAAGTTGTCATTAATGAGCTGACCAAGTGGGTAATTCAAGGCCTCTGCTGAATTGAGCTTTACCAATGCAGCATACATTTTTGCATAAGTAATCCTCTGCATTGGATACAATTTTTCGCAGAGCTCACGAACTGCAGGTAGGACTGGTAAAAGAGTATAATCCCCTGTCTCATTGAATTTAAGGTGCATAAAGAATATCTATACACTAGTTAGTTGTGTAGAGTATGAGAATTTGGCAACATACTCTCCCTAAAGCATTCTGCAAAGGGAACACCAGCCTTCTCTATAAGATGCCTTAAGTGGTCCCAGGGGCCACTCTCCCGTAGTGTACTTGCAGGTGAAGAAGGCATGTTTCTATGTCCCCAGGAGTACTGATTAGCTGGTGTGGAAGAACTGTCTATACCTCAATAATCAACAATGTAAGAAAGTTCGGACACTCCCAGAAATAGCTTAAAGAAACAAGATCACTCTCTTATATAGCATAAGGGACAAATAACCGCGCATCTGCTTTTTGCCGTATCTTCGCTCTCTCACACTTCAAAAAAAAAAAAAAAAAAAGAAAGAAAGAAAAGAAAAGAAAAGAAAAGAAAAAGAAAATTCCTAGCTTAGGTACAAGAATATTTGCATGAATCGGGTTCCTTTTTTGTGCTTTCCCAGGATAGTAGTAGCTTCCTCCCAACAGGATCACCTAGTAGCTGTCTGATGTGGTACCGATAGCATTTGGTTTCAACTCGGCGAATTGACACCGGTAATTCTTTTGGTGAATATTGTATTATTTGACGCCGCACGTCATACTCTTGTCCGCTTTCACTCAGTATTTCGCCAGATATCCAATGCCTATACTCGCAGTTTTGATCCAGAAGATCAGACACTGGGGGATGACCATGGCTATTTTTCTGAAAGGGAACAGTCTCGCTAATCGACATCTGTCGGTGTGGGTCATACTGAGATTGGTTTGTTACTTCTCCAAGCTGCGTTAGATCATCCTGGTCTAGAGTTCTGCTAGGAGACATATCGATCAGGAATTTGGAGCCGCAATTAAGACATTTAATCCATTCGAAGATGCTGGTCTTCAGGCGAAACATACTGTGTGAAATAAAATAGGTTCTTGTATAGAGGGTCAGAAATAATGACAAGCCAAATAGGCTGACAGTGATGATAATCAAAATGCATTCATAGAATAGAACATGCAGTGAACAATGAATGGATATTCGAGTCTTATAACGTATTCACTAGTACTACTGTATACAGTATGTTAATACATATACAATTGGCTCTTTAAAGTGAGGCTAGCGTATGCAGTTCGATACAAAGTGAAATGCAACCTTTGATAACAGACATGATACTTTTCGATGAAACGCGAATTAAGAAATACATTAAGACTTCGATTAGCCAACGCCACCTCCTGTCTCCAAGCAAACTCCTCAACGCGTCGTCTAGGTTATGCGCGGCGAGAGGTATACGGAACCCCTAATATGGTCTGCGAGGAAAGGAGTCGGATTCGACCCATTGCATCGACGTAACTCTGCAATAGTTGTAGCGAGTTTTTGATCTTCTATTGCACGTCTGAAAAAGGTCCATTGTTTGTCCCGTTTAGAGAAGCGGAGGATGTAAACAGGGAAAGGAAACGTTTGTCGGTGGGCTATTCTGTAGTCGTATCGCCAGTTGTCGATGTCAATCACAATATACGTATGGCGCGGATAAACATCAACAACGACGAGCCGCGTTGTGTTGGTCCTTTCCCACCCATCCATCAGGGGTCTCACAAGACCAGACGCGGCGTTCAAATATCGTCAGGATGCAGAATACTGGTAGGAACATCAACAACAATTCGAACTGTGCGCTGCTCTTCAATAACATTAAGGACTTCCTGATTGATTTCATCCATGATATGCAACGCCATTTAAAATGCTGGGTTCTTGAAGTAGTAAGGTGTATTTGAGGGAAGTTTCTCCCTTTATAGACCAGTTATATGTGTCCGACGCTGCCCCTAGATTACATAATACTTTCACTCGCACTGACGTAATCGGACACCGAGTAGTTAGTTATCCGGCTCTTTTGCCACAGCATGACCAACGATTGCAAATTCCTCTATACTATCTATATTATCAAATGGAGGATAATTCTTATGATGGGAGAATTCTTCTGGTCCTTAATCGATTTCCGGGGGGGAGAAAAGCAAAACACGCTTGGTGTCCCCGGACACTTGGTGTTAGATTACGTTACCACCTACATACCCTTGAAGTGGCTATTAAGTTACACACTAGTCATACTCTTGTTTAGATATTGACCCACCAGAATACATTGTCTAAATATCTCAACATAGCATTCTTCTCCACTACCGCAGAGGTAACTGACCAGGTACTTATTTGTTCCCTTTTGGTCCCTATTTTCGTAGACACTGAGATAGTACTTACGTTAGAGGTCACTGTCCGGTGATGGATAGTTGCAAGCAGCACAGATATTTCCCGGGCCATAAACACAGTCGTGATGGTCTGCGCGGGATTCGCGGTCGCCATGGTACATGTGGCATTTGGCGCATGCTGCCGAACGCGGTCGTAGCGGCCTAGGTCACCGCAGTGGAATAAGTATACAATCCACTCGCACATCTGGCAACTAGTCAATAACATTGAAGCCGTGCATTGACAGCATTATCTCCTTCGATGACTCACAATTAATATTGGTTATAGAAACTCTTAAACTATTGGACTCAATAGTTTCTTTAGAAGTAGTTGTGTTTCCAGCAAAGCTGTCGCTGGCAGCTATCATGGTCTTTATAAGTTCGAGTAATTAGGTGGAGCCGCCAGGAGCATTTTCGAAAGGAGGGGTAGCCCAGGTCTGGGAATTATCTTCCAACCCAGTGTCAAAAGACAGGTTAACTGGTTAACTAAGAGGTACATAATATTCAACAACAAAGATATAATTGGTGTCAATGTAAGTAAGCGCTGCCCCACCAAGAATGTGGTTTCCTTATCAGTCCCACTCAACTCATTAGGAACACTACCTGGCTGATCCTGGACCAACTCCTTCCATAATAACCAGTAAGGCTTCCTATCGCCTTCTACTAATGCATGCAAATTTCTGGGGGGGAGGGGTTGTAATCTAGTAAGTGGTCGTGTCTCATTTAGCGAGTAGAACCCAGATAATTTTGGAAAATAGGGGGCATAACCTTTCCAGGCACAACTCACTGGGTGGTTCCGAATTTGGGAAAGATCTGCTCATCCGCCGATGCCCAAACCTTTTAATTCCTCTCGCCTGGGCTTAGTGTGTAGCTCACTCATTCGAGTTCCATACATTCTCCTACATCCATGAGACGTTTTGATTTCAAGGGCGACGACGCTCAATATGTATCTTTTCTTGAGGACATCGTTCAAAAGTCCGGCTTGCTTCAGCCTGCAAAACTACCTCCCTCAACGGAAGGACATACCCACTCAGCCTATGTGAGTAGCAGAAACCGTCACCAGCATACCCCACCAACTTCGGAAGACGAAGAAACAATGGTATCACGACAACTTCGGATTATCCAGTACGATCCTTTTGAAACGGAGAAGAGCAACCGGCTTCGACCTAGCAAAGAACGATGGCAGAAAGAGCTGGATCGTCTTCTCTCATTGGTACCAAACATCGAGGCATTAGATACAAAGGCCCAGGAAATGGGACTCGGAGATAACCAAATCGTTATATCTAGCCTAGTCGATGGCTTCATCATTGGTAACCATGGTGGCCCCGATGCTACTAGCATTCCACTACCTGATTCCGGGTTTGTACTCGCACTTCGCAAATATGCTCTGTTCACGAAGAAATCCCACAATGAGGCACGGCTCCTTTCATGTCTGGCGCGATTTCAGGAACTTGTCTTTGTCTCTTTCTGTGATGTTGCTCTTGGTCTAGGCGAAGCGAAAGACCGGGTCCACGACGCGATGAGGCTTTACATTTCGAACTCGGAAGGTCGAAACCTCGATAAGATTATATCTGGGGCGCGATGGGTGAACCGATGCATCACAAGTCTCTCAATAACACCGTGGGGCTCACGAAGTCCGGAGATTTTTATATTAGGTAAGTCAGTTCTAGTTATGTTAGGTACCATAAAGCTGTCCGCCTTATTTCTTTTCGTCGGGATTCTTACGTAGTAGGTGGGCAAACTACGAATTTCTATGGCCGATACGCCGAAACAGGCTACAAATGCACGCCATATTTCTTAAATTTACTACAGCAGCGAGCAAAGGGGTTCTCGGGTGCGGAACAAACTACTAGAATCCCCGTTTCTATTCCGTGTATAATTAAATTGTTAGCTGGTACCACGGCTGAGTATGTAAACACTTGGATCAGCAAAATTTAGAGTTGCCACTAACGCTCCTAGACTATCTGATATATGTGATGTTCTTGGATACGATTATAGCCTTACAAGGGACCTATTCCAAAGATACTACGATGGCAAATTCACCGGTCTCAACAGTCAGCAAACACCCCCGTCGCCACCAAAGCGCCGAGGCAACACGAACTTTTGTGTAAACAGTCGGCAAGCGAAAAGACGCGCCCCTACGGATTACTCCAAGAGACATATTTCGAAGTCAATTCACGAGATAGTGCGAATCCCTCAATTAGGTCCCCTGGCCGGGCGCCATAATAGTGAGCAAATATATACTGATCGCAATGACTCAACGTCTTCGCCCGCGATTAGTACCGGTGATGGTTGCCCTGATCCTGACACGTTTCATCGCGTCGCTAGAGAACCCCCGGACTTCGACGTCTTTCAATTTGATTCTTCTCAAGCCCAATTCGGGATTCCTCCCGAATTTGATGTGTTCGAGTCTCCTTCCGCTCAATCCTGTTATCCTCCCGAATTCAACATATTTCGTTTTGATTCTCCTTCGGCTCGATTAAATATACCTTCCATATTTAGTGATATCCAATCCGATCCTCCGACCGGCGCTCAATTCGATGTGTTCCAATTTGATAGCCTCTGCAATACCAATGACGGAGCTGCTGATATCTCTCGGGGTCTCGACCTCGAAGGGCAGAATGCTGTTGGGCCATCACTTCCATCTAATATACAGGTATAATATCAACGGTTTTGGTATTCCGCATTGTTGCCTACTCAACACACTCTATTTCCACATCCCTGCCAACCTTCTTTTCTCCATGCTCCCCTTCTAGCGCCATGCATATCATATTCACTCCTCCGTTTGATTCTAGTACTGGTTCGTCATGAATAATGTGTGCTTGTAACTTTGACAAGGGACGCTCCGTTGGTTTGAGCATCGAAGACCCTTCTATCGGTAGTAAAATATAATGTTTTGTTGGGTTTAGGATTTTCGCGTTTTTGGAGAAGTGGAATACAGTACAGGCGAGGACCTAGAGTCAACTAGTTAGAAGATATCTCCTTTAGGCCGGTATTGGACGATACAGCAGGCGAAGGAAGTAGAGAAGAGAATAGAAAAACTTACGTTATATCCCTTTGTTCTCATTTCTGCTTTCAATCTCTCAGTTCTATCCTGAAGGAATTTTCCGCCGTATTGCCAGCCGAGGCCTGGTTGTTCTATACGGATGTTGGGCCCATTGCGCTCGATTTCCTCACCCAGCTCTTGCACAATCTTCTTAGCACTGTCCCAGAGTTCGCGACTCATACTGGGTTTTAAAATAATCTATGACCTAGAAAGAATACATTAGCAAGAGTATGCCCTTCTACGTGTCTCCAGACTTACCCATATAGTTTGGGGCATAATAAGATATTCTTTGTGTTATGCGGTAGCTGGCTGCTTAAGACTGAGGGGCATAGCGGGGTTTTGAGCCAGCAACAAGATTCACGTGATATTGGGTAGCTGCCCGATTTTCTCCCAACTTTAATATGGACTGCCATCTTAATAGCTCTAAAAATTATCTGGCTATTACAACCTTAGTTATTTTATTCATATGGTCCAAATGTTTCAATTCTTAGTTGCCATGCTTCAAGCACATATCGTCCCATTTGTGTTAAATCAATAGATCTGAAATATGTCACTTATTTAGTACTTCCGTGAAGTATCTCGCACTCTTTGCACCTTCACACGCATTCGATAGGTTCATCTATTTAGTATCAGGATAAAATTTCATCCAGAGAACGGCATGAAACTGGATGCGTAGTGCTGGCACATACCATGCAGCATGGTATCAATCGGATACCACCAGCAGAGGCAAAGTTACGCCGATATGGTCTTGCAGCGTACACCTCGGGAAATCCTTTGGGCATTCACATATGGAACTATACTGATTGATATTGTGTTCAAGTCCTAATATTTGTAGAGTCGTTCCTAGTCAAGTTCCCAAGTGGGGCTAAGGACAGCCGGAATTTAGGGGTTTGTGAGGTAATAATACTGAGCTAATTGGTGCGTATTTAGAGAAAGCAATCTTGGCGGGTTTAACACAAAATCCAAATTCTGTATATACAAAACTAATAGTCTAGTGGTAATACATTAGACCTAGTAATATAGAGATACCGGGGTTCGATTCCTAGTAGGAGCTTTGCGAGTCAATATTGGACCATCTACAACGGATGGTCCAATGTAGATGGTCCAATATTGACTCGTTCCAGTTTCTAATGCTATGGAGGACCCCTGGATATTTTTAAGCGTCTTGTGAATAGACAAGGGACAGGAGATGGGTTATGTGAACTAGCAGCACTTGGAAATAAAAGAAAACTCACTATTATTTCTGACAGTTCCACTTTCCAGGAAGAGGAGTCATGTTACCTAACATATTCAAAAACAACTCTGGCCGCTAGTGTAAATGTAAATGCAAATTGGCCAGCTCAGCAAGTGACCAAGGATTGCAATAGTAACTGGTGAAATATTACTCCGCTCCCACCGAGGGCACAGTGATGACACGTCAGCGTTTTGTGGGTGCGCAGGTGAAGGCGCGAAGGAGTGTGATGGTAGGGCGGCAAGGGCGCTAAACCCGACGAGTCAAAAAAAGCTACTGAACAAGGACATACAACAGCACAGGTTCGCTGGTGGTCACCTACCCAACTAATGTGGTCATAAGTTGGGTGGGTATAGCCTGGGTGACCATACCAATAGACCAATTTTGAAGTTACAGTATTCTCATTATCTATAGCTTTCCCCTTTAGTATCTACAAAAAAACAATTGAATTTCTGCTGCTCTGCCATCGCTGATTCCGGTAATGTGGTTTCTATCCCCGTAGACATTGTGTGTGATGAATTAACCGGTCAGCTAGGTAATATAGTAGAAGAGAATATCACTATATCTTGTATCAAGATAATATATAGAACACTCATAGATAAATCCTGTTTACTACCCCCAACCTTCCATTCCTCAGTGCTAGCCTCTGATAAAATCTTCCATTCCTTCACAACTTGACCTCATTCTCTTCCTCTTCGGTTGAGGGGCACCCAGCAATGATGTCTACCATTTCCAATGGTCTAAGATTGGTATTGTAGTGTGGTTCTGCAGTTAAAGCAGAGGTCACTATGTTAAACTTCACTTGTACTGAAGTGAAGTTCAGCTGGCGGTACCTGATTCACTGGTATTGCTGCCTGGTGGCCGTTGAGCCTTTCAGATCTCTTGGGTTCATCTCCCACTTTATAGCCTCTTTCTCCCTTTATCTCTTACCTCTCACTCTACCGGCTTGTCCAGTCCTTCTGCTCTTGCCGCATGCTATGGCCAGTCTGTTAATTCAGTACGTATAATCTCTCTTCTACCTTTCCTTTAGGGTCATCTGGCTTTTTGTGCTGGGATTGCTCCTCTTGCCAGGTCTGAGACTCTTCTGTCCTCTGGAGCTGAAGCCGTTCTGCATCTGAGGCTTTCTGATCCCCCTCAGAGCTAGAGATGCTGCGGGATATGAGTTCTTTCTATCTCTTTGAGGTTGTAGCCCCAGTTTTGCTAACTACAGTCCCCTATAATCCCCCTTGCTTGTTCCTTTGAAAATGTCCGCTCGCCGCGACTCCGGCACTTTTGCTGCCGCTGCTGTTGCCTCTGGCCCGGCTTTCTCTCCCGGTTGTCCTGTGTCCGGTGAGTACGAGATTGTATATGTCTTGTTCTGGCTAATATACCCTTCTGCTTAGGCGAGGTCGAAACTCCTCTTGCTGAAGCTAATGATCAACTGTTTGCTATGTCACGTCTAGATGACGCTTACCCGGTGCTCATGCTGTGTCGCCTGCTTCTTCTATCTATGAGGATATATCTATTGGCCATTGGCCTTAGAAGACACCATTTCTGCTATAGAGGTTGTGCTTGCCCACCTCTGCCAGGCGGAGAGTCGGATGAGCAGGGCCTGACTGGTGGCTTTGGGGTTTTGTTTCCTGTGTTCCCTTTTGTAGGAAGAGCATTCTCCATGTCCACTTAATAATAGCAATGGAACTTCTGTTTTCCTATTCCTGACCTACTGTCCCCATAGCAGCGTAGCATCTGTAGCATCCGCAAGTTTGTATTCCAGTGATATGCAACCTCCAAGTTCTGGATGATGCCTCAATTCCGCTTATTCTGAAACGAATAGCCACTCTATCCACAGTTTGAGAAGTAAGTTAGAGTATTTATACTCCCGTGATTTGGCAGCAGTCCTTCTCAGAAAACTTTAATGACATTATAACGTTATAACTATTCATCTCTCCACTATTAAAGAACTCTCCCCTTCTCAGTATTTTTTTGGCATGGGCCATCCCATTCTCAGTTATATGCACGCAAATTCTTGGGAGTGCATCCCAGCCCCGCGAAGCCTGGCCACGTGCAAGAAAAAACGAAATGCCCCGTGGGTCAAGGGCGAAGAAGAAAAAGGAAAAAAAAGGGGAGAGGACAAACATCGCTGGAACCAGTGATTACCGGTCGCTGGCAGGTGCAGATTCACTTGCTATTACGTCAAAGTAGTCAGTTGCTGGAGCAAACTATGCTAAGCCTGCTACTCAAATTACTGTTGGAAGGGTTCTGCAACGATATCCAAAGTTAGAGCGCCGTTCTTGTGAGTGTCATAGACCCAGTACGAGCTTTTAGGTTCAGTAATCCTAACGCTTTCGTCAACGATAACTCTGGATGAACTGCGAAGGTCGTTTATTAATGGTATCGCAATGATATGTGACTCAAACAAGGGTGGTGATACTGTCACAGCTGTAGCACTACAGACCACGCCTCAGCAAACAGTTATCTGGCTTGCTGCCAATGAGAGACCGAGCAGCAAAATGATGCATTATATGCAAGAAGTTTTGCATCTTCTTGCGGGTGTAAATACGGAGCAAAAACTTTCAGTAACCGGAATAATCGCGGGCAAGGTCATTGAGTTTTGTGGACGAAGACTGAGACTATTATCGGAGCAAGTTAGCCAAGGCTCTCCCTAAGTGTTTGGGCAAGATTGAATCTTCTAAAAGTGACTAGCCCTGCGTGTTTACATACACCTCTCCCCCATCAGCTCACTCTTCCTCCTGTTTTCCACTCGGTAAAGAAGATATAGGAGTACTGAACTATCATTGGAAGTATCCCAATCACCCAGTAGCTATCCCGAATTATCAATAGTAATTAAGTGGATGAAAGATCTGTGGAGCCTCACGACGGATCATAAGAAATCTCTAAAGGATATTATAAACGTCTGCACGAAGAACCGAATTTATTTTCCGGTTCTTGCTTGTCTAGCAAGAAAAGAGACTGGCGAGCATCAACCATTTACGCAAGCAAAGCACTATATTGGACGTCTAGCACTCTATCTAAGATGTGTTTGGACGTTGGTCGATGGAGCTTTAGAAATCCCCCAATTACTGGGAGACTATCAGCTCCATCAAATCCGGTGGCGACTTGTATGGACTCCATTAGAGGAGATAGATGGTCTGGATCGCAGACCATGGGATTGAATCATTCGACGGCTGGACCGGCAGCCTCAGACAATAATCCACAGCCTGATTCGCACCTCAGCTGCGAATCAGGGCACGTGTACGGAAGTCGTGGGGTGCTTTTTTTAAAATCATGCCGTGGTCACACGGCTATACCTTTGTAGGTAAAGGTGTTCCGATCGAGTTTGTAGAGGCTCGAATGTGTATTCACATCTCGCTCCATCCAAGGAATATCCGTTCCAGTTTTCCTTGGCTGCCTGCAACTTCGCTGCCCATTCTCTTACACATTGCCGAGATTGTTCATCTGATGTTCATGAGCTACGCCGGAAGGACTCTCGCAAGTTGGCATGATCTGGATCGCCATCGACTAATACAAGCCGAGAAATACTTGCAGGCAATTCACGATCTACTTGTGCTTCATGGTGATCCAATACCCAGCAACATGGTTGGGTGACGTTTATTGATCTTTGAGTGGGCAACATTGCAAACCAGACGACTACAACTAGTTGGCATTTCACCTCATCAGAAACGCAAGCGAGGGGCCTGCTCAAAGAAGAGCCTTAACAAGCATCTTAACTGTTCTGAGCGCGAGAAGCAACGCTATGGATTATGATGGTGTGACCGTATCATTCGTACACGAAGATGGCTTTAATTCCGCAAAGCCGGATTTCCATTCAAATCAGAATGCGGTTCTTGTTTGCTAAGACACTTCAACCTTGCTCCAAACGCTAGCCTATAAAAGGTTATCTCATTCTTCCCACCAATTAATCTGGCCTTTCTGTTGATGAGATCGCCCAATGAGAGAAAGCCAAACTCGTGGGCGCTACGCCGACTGCCGTCTCGCTTCAAGCTTCCCCTGTCTTCATTCTGATTAACAACTTCGCGGTGTGGGGGTTCCCTTCTCACCAACAGGCGATATAACATGATGGCCTCACCCGGTCACCAGAGTCCAGGCCCAAGCACTTCACACACTCCCACCTCTGATCCTGACAAGCTTTGATAAGGGCCAGGAGGAATCTCCGAACACTCCTAGTGGCTTCGGCCCCGAACTCGGTGACCCTCCTTACCCTTTAGTCACTGCTGATATTTGGCCACTGGTGGTTGCAGCAATATTAAGTTGCAGATCTCTGAAATTTCCTCTTTCGACTATTTTCCAGGGAGGTGTCTCCCCGAAGATATGTCTTTCTTTTATATCGCCCCAGAGATTTGACAGAGTAAGAAGTGATATTAAGCCATCATTTTTGAAACCTATAAATTCGTATATCTTCGGGTCTTCGTGCAAGCGGTTGGTGTCGCGACCCAGACAGAAATATTGCCAACTGATACGTGGAAAACAAGTATACCGCTTCTAGGCTTGGCTTGAGTTCACTGATGTCTCTGAAGTACGAATCAGAATTATGCATTTAATATGTCGGTTGAGTGATCTTATGAACGTTAATATATGTTGGCGGCAAGAAGACCACTGGGAACGCGCTTTCTGTGGTTGGGTGCTAAAGCAGCGTTGTTCCCTGAAAAGCGGATATTGCCACCAGATCCGAAATTGTGGCCTCCGTACCAAATTCGTGGCCCTCGATGCTTATATAGAGAGATATAACTTTTCGCATACATGCTTTTCAACTTCTATGATACATTCCCATCCCTTTTCGGACGATATAGAATAATTAATTTGATTGACAAGGCTTATATATGTGTGTAACCATGCTGCAGATTATACCAGGCACGCAGCGGCCAAGGCTACTAAAGAACCCAAGCATCTATTCGCTAGAAGCGAGACCGTCGCAGAACCAGTCTGATAAAGAAATCTTCTAGGCAGAGCAAGATGTGTGGCGCCGATATTTATTTAGGCATACGTATCAGGGGGACTGGTCGAGAATATATCTTTTCCGCGGATGCTTCGGGATTTTGGGCATTTTTGGGTTCACAATTGGTACAGCTCCAGATATATACAATCTCTCCAATAGCTCATTTCTTCAGACCTCCTATTATCCAACTCCAAGCCAGATAACTGATACGGCCATCATTAATTCAAGAGACCAAGATTTGTTGGCGACTTAAGAGGGGATTGAAACAGAAGATCTGAAATCCCGCATCGGAGACTAACGTGCATTAGGTTTGACGGTTGCGATTAGATCTCCGGTGGAGGATAGGTTTATATGTAACCATGGTCGGTCCAGGTGTATCAATGAACGAGACTATTCAATCTATTCAAAGTTAGCCTAGGTCGCTACGTCTTTTGCGTGGGAGGTGTAGTGCCAACCGGCTCTGAGTGGACCGTTTTCAGGGAATTACTGATTTACAACAGATGCACGCTGCGCGGTGCAAGAGGTCACCGGGCGATCTGAACCACCAGCAGGACCTGCAATTGCCTCAACAGAGATTACGTCGCGAAATTAGCCGCTTCTCACATGCCACACAATCGTCTCGAGAGGCCAACCAATGGCCAGTGAAACCAAACATTGGGGATAGCCCTTGGCGATCCACGAACCAACGTATAGGGTAGAAAAGCTCCCCCACGGGATACCCAACCCCATCTTCCAGCCGAACCGACAACACTATTATAATACCCAAAAAGTTAAAGGAGAGCTGGACCGGGACACAATAGTGCCCTTACTTCTGGCACACTGCGTTTTCACTGGCACTGGTCCGCAGTGGCCGGTTGGCGATGATGTACTCCTTCTGCAACTTGTCCACTTGCTGGAGGGCGCTGACTAACACTGCTCCAGAATACGACACCGGATGGCACCCCTGCACCGGTATAACTGACCGTCAGCCTCTCGTTCCGGGGCGGCCACCAGCTCAAAAAAAAAAAAAAAAAAAAAAAAAAAAAAAAAAAAAAAAAAAAACCTGGGTCAACAATCTCAGCAGGCACCGATGACCGTGATCTCCAGCCCCCTGCGCCGCAGTCTGCCGGATCCAATTATCCATGCAGTGGGCGGCATCCAGACGCGGCTCAGGCCCCAAGAGCTGGATGTCCAGGCGTGACACAGACTCTCGGTCTGAGCACGTTGTCTGGTGCCAGAGCCGGAAACCAGGGTGCTTTGCCGTTCATAGTCTTGAGAAACGAATGCAAGACCGGCCACAAAAAGTGCCTACGAGCCAGGGAACGAGGAGGTCGTCCAGTCTGGGGTGGGCATGCCTCTTCGTCCATTTCGCCAGTACCAGTGTTCAAGAGAATGCCCAGTGGCGGCCGCCAAGGCCATATGAACCGCGGTCCCTGTCGGCAGAGTCCGGCCGAGTGGTTATGTTCCAGGCCTCCATCCCAGCAGTCGCTGAGAGTCGACAGCGCAAATGGACCGAATAGCCTACCACTGTTAGCCGGCGACACGCCTCCAAGTTGCCCGATTTGGCTAAGGCTTGTTGGTTTTTGCTTACATTGGGACCGCCGACGTGGCACAGGCGCGGCATAGACATTGGTTAGTGGGACAATTCCCGCTAGGAGCAGAGGTACCCTGCTTGGGAAGCTTTTCATTAGGAAGTTTGGACGGGATAACTTAGATAAATCCATTGCAGTAGAATTGGAACAAGGACAAGACTGGTTACGACGCCTTAAAAAAAAGAAAAAGCAAAAGCGAACGAATATATCGGAAATACTGGCAAAAAAAAAACATAGGCAGGCTTACCGGCATCTTGTGGCCGCACTGACATAGCCTTGTAGTTGGTCAAGATGACTGTGTCGTCTGCAGTTGTCGTGGTTAAGGTCCCGACGAACAGCCCAGCCCGAAAAGCCGCTGGGTGCAGTTATAATATTGCCAGAGAAGTGATTCGGCCTTCTCTGAATTATACAATCCGCGACCGATAGCGTTGCGTATAATCGGACGCGACCAAGAGAGCAGGCGCCGGGACTGTCGCTTGTTGTTGAAGAAATCAAATAGGAGACGTTGGAATGCATCAGGGTTGCACGATGGGCTTTTTCCCCTGCAGAGATGTCCAGCACAGATAAGGCCACCTGGTTACGTCCCATCAGCGCGGGCCATGGCTAAATTCTTGAGATGTAAGCGGCAGCGGCTCCGATAACCAAATCATAATATAACCTATAAATAAGTTGAAGTCTTCGGGAAAAGCAGCTGTGCTCAACGTCCGTTCGGCACGCAGTGGAGTCGGGAAGAGTGGATCATCCTAAAAAGACAACTGGGTCGGTTTGTCGGTTTCCCGATTCACCGCCCCTGACGACCAATTAGCTGCGGTCAGCCGTGGCGTCTCAGCCACTCACCTGCCATGAAGTAGCCTAGGCTGAATTCCTTGGCCAGGCCGTTCCCCAAGCCGCCGGGCCAAGGAGTCACCAGCTCGTGGACGCTGGAATTATTACTATGCACGACCGCGAGAAATGGAAGGATTTAAACCACTAACTCCAGGGACGCTCCGGTACATGCATGTCAATTCCCCTACGTGTGTTCCTGCGGCACCGGCCCAAATGGAATGAAGAATGGAAGGACTCAGTTTACGTCTGGTATCATCGATTAGAATCTTTCTCTATCATAAGTGTTCAAACAATTAATCGGCGTCTAGGTGCAAATCTAAGCTGTAGTGCAGGTGTCCGAGAAAGTTAGTCTTTCTGAACGGGATGTTGAAGCACTTGCCTGGCAGCTTGGCCCGTGGGAGATCGCGCGTCGTGCGCCGTAGCATCGCGAGAATGGTGAACGAGTTATATTCAAATCAGCATAAACTATGCACACAGTGGGAAACTGATTGTTCAGAGAGGGAACCTGTAAAGTTATTATATTCCTTAGTTCTCTGTTTTCTGAAGTAATTGCTAAAGAAATTAGTAAAACAAGTGAAATTGGAGCTTTTATCTCTGGCCATCACTAAGCCTTCGCTGTGGTAAATTTTAGACATCCATGGCTCCCTGCGGAGTCAAGCTCTCGAGCTAAGTGCAAGAGCTCCATAGCCCCACAAACCGCGCCCGAGCAAAGGAACTTAAGACAATAATTGAGGAGAGTCCACTACCCCTTCTCACCCCCGGAGACATGATCACACGACTGCAGCACATCAGCGACCAGGAAGGCCTGGACACTGCGGTAGGAACAACACTAGACCTCTGTCTCTCCCCCTGGGACCTCCAAACCCAACTCCAATACGTCCGCATCGTGCACAGCGTTTTCGGCCTATCGGACCCCCTCCCTATGGAAATAGAGTTTAACATACACCTGGTTAAACGCCGGCCCTTTCCAAAGCGCTACTGGAGATGTATAGATGTTAAAAAGCTACGGGATACAGTAGTAACTAGTTTCCTTAACAACCAGGGTACAAGGTGTCCTTCAAACGGCTCGGCCAGTTTATCCGGCAGATCATATAAGAACATATCGAAGCATCAACGCCACGGAAACATCCCGCGGTACTCTCCCGGCCTGGCTTCACACCCCACTGTCACCAACTACAGAAAGAGGCCAACCGGGCACACCGCAGGGTAATCCAATACCGAGCCAGACACCAACAGGAGGGCCCTCTGGCGTACCGAATGGGATTCCGGAAGAAAAGGCGATAAGCCAAGCGAGCGATACACTACCGCCAACAGGCACATCACAAAAAGATCGCTGAATCTAGTGGCAACATCTCGCAGAGCTGGCAGCTTGTCCGATGGTGTAAAGACCGATCCATATACTGTGGTGGGATGCAACGGGAAGATTTTGCCACCACGGAGGAGCTCTACCATCTGATGCAGCAACGGCGCCACCTTGGGCTTGTTGTGCACGGCGAGGGCAGCCAAATCGATGCCGAAGAAGGCGAGGTTCTCGGCAAACAGACGCATGGCCAAGCGACCACGGCCCAGGAAGTCTCATTTTCCGAGGTCAAGCATACAGCCTTCGGGTACAACGCACTTCCAAGAAGCATGGAGCAGTTCACCCGAAGCGAGTTAAGGACGACGTCGACGCCAGTCCCATCTGTGACGCGCAATACGTCCGCCACGAAGCTGTCGTCGCGGGAGTGGAAGATGCGGTCTCGTGGAACGCCCAGCTCCTTGGTGAGGAAGTCGACCTTGTCTGGCGAGCCCACGGTGCAGTAAATGTCGGCGCCCAGCCAGCGCGCAACGTGGATGGCGGCAATACCACGCCACCGGCTGCGCTGTGAATCAGCAGTTTCTGGCCATGATTACATGGGCCTTCTCGACAAAACTCCACAAGACGGTGGCGTATGGGATGATCAAGCCTGCCGCATCCTCGTCGCTAACATTTTCAGGCGCCCGGACAACCAATGTTGCCGGCACCTGCATCTCGGTGGCGAAAACACCCGTCGGATCTCCATAAACACGACGCGCTCACTTATAGCAACATGCTTTGACATTGTCGCCGAGGCCATGGTAACCGTCGCTGTCTGAATGCCCGTCGGGGTCCATGATGTCCATCGCCTCAGCAACATCGTGGAAGTTCAGACCCGCGACGGTGATACGCACTGGATGTCTCCGGCAGCGAGCGATGGGAGCCTATGGCCGGTCGAGCACATGGACTGTAGCATGCCCGGCTGTCCTATCGTAAGATGCTTGGCTTCGGTCGGAGGAGAGGCGTCGGACAGCGCCTTGTTGACGGACAGCGTATGGATCCGGCTCACGAGTACCTGGCCATTCCGCCAGATGTATTCAGACTCAATGTCAAGACTGCCATCGCGGCTCGTTGCCGTCTTTTGCACGTGCCGTACACTGCTTAGTATCCGCGCCACGGCGTGGCTCGTTTCCTTGTCGAGCTTGTCCAACTCGGCGGTTACGAAGTCAATGGCCATCTCACCACGGATGCATCTTGCCATTCCCAACATTTTGCCGTAGTGTGGATCAGAGCATTCTGTCTGGGCGGACCGCATCAGCCAAAGCACCACCTGTCCCGACACATCTTCCACTATATCGATGAAATTTGCCAGGTCTTCCGAACCGATGTCCGCCAGCAAGGGAGCGCGTTCGTCGTCGACGTCCATGAGGGAGATGATGTCTTGGTTGTCTGGCAGCTTGGACCCCCAAATGAACTCATCTAGGGTGTATCCCGCGGCCTCGAGCACGCTCTTCACACCTTGTCCGAACTGGCCCAATTCGGCACTCGGCTTCAGGAGAGTGATCCTCGTGCCAGCGTCTTCAGACTCGGAAGTGTCATCAGATCGAGCACGTGCTACGATGCTGCTGACAGTAAAAAAGTCTGGGTGCTTGTTGTCATGGACGGAGGACTGGATCCTGTGGAAGCCACTCTGTCACAATCTGACATCCCATTCGTCTTCTGAAATTATTGGACGATCAACGCGGCCGTCCTCGATTCCGACCCACCATCCCTCGAAGAGACCAAAAATGAGGTCGGGATATCTCGTATCTGTGCGCGAGCAGGATATGTCAGTTCGCTATTGATTACTAGTAGCTGGAGAGCATGTAGTTTGGGAGACGACGTACCTGAACAAACTTCCTGCAAATACATTTGTCCATCCGGTTTCAGTAGTGTTCGACAGCTCTTCAACGTGTCGGCCAAATTAGGAGTGGCATGTAAGACCTAGATAGCCATACGTCAGTTCACTCACGTAGACGACAACAAATTGGCTGGTTGTTCCCGAGTCAAAACTTACGTTAGAAGCCAGAATCAAATCCTACGATGCGGCCTCGAACCCTTGTTCAATCACATCCGCTGTAATGTCACAGACGGCAAACTTGAGATTTTGGTATTGACTGAAGCGTTCCTTGGTTTGGTTCACGAAACCAGCCGAGACGTCGGTGATGGTGTAGTCCCCGTATAGGCGCTCCCCCTCGCTGGAGTGCAGGGCTTCTAGCACCACAGCAGTCAGGCTGCCCGTGCCAGCGCCTATCTCTAGGACACGGAGCTGCGGCTTGTTCAGACCCAGGACGCGGAAGAAGTCTCTGTTGTCGGACCAAGCGTTGTATTCGTTGTAGACCTTCTGCACGCTTTTCGCCGGCGAGGAGAAGGTCCAAGAAATCTTGTCGACCTTCAAGAATACCCTTGATATTGGTGTAAGCACGCCAGAGCGCTTCAACAATGTTCTCCACCGGGTTGCCCCTGCTCCGCTCGTGCCATTCGACCAGCTTTCTTAGTCGAGCCTCTCGACCAAGGGCCTTAAGCTCCACGGAGTCGGGAACCTTGGCCTGGCCCTGATCGACCCGATCCAATTGATTGGCAACTCCAGCCAAAAAGTGCTTGAAAAAGGGCTGTGCAAGAGATGTGACCGTAGCTGCCACTTGTTGGATCTCGACCGCGCACAGTAGGCAAAACTGTTCCGCGAATATAATGCCGGCGGTCATGTCTCCCGCAGGACGTATCAGTGTCCACGGAGGAGCAAAATCAGAAGCCGGATGCCACTGGACCGACCAGGCGTTCGTTGCAGGTGCCTCCTGCTTGATTGCTCCATTCATTCCCGTGGCTTGGAATCCATTGAGCACAAACGCCACGTCGTTTTCATATGTGACGTTGTAAGAGTCACACAACGCCAACATCGCAGACTCCTGTGCAGTGGTGCGAACATGAAGCGTCGTCCGACTGCCACTGGCGCCGACGTAGAATTGCTCAATAAATGTGGGGAGGAACATCTTATCCAGACTACGATACTCGCCTTGGTGGCTGCGACGGACCACGACTGTAAGACAATATCTAGGGTGCATGGGTGAAGCGCATACTCCTCGCCGGCGTGTTGTCGATTGGGGATGCTGACTGACGCACTCATATCGACGGGACTCGCGGTCACGTTCTCTAGCCCAATAAAGCGATTGCTGTAGTTGAGAGGTGTTCGACAGGGTCTGATACCAGCGTTTCGAATCGGCCTTTCATGCAAGCGGTGCTATTTCCGGCCGAGCGGGACGGGCCACGGCACATCCATCGGTGACCAAGCCCCAGCATTGCTTTGTCCAGGCCCCTTATTCTCGGAAGAAATGGAAAACTCCCACCACCTGCTGTCATTTGAGGCGGTCAGAGAATGCTTCCGCAATGTAGTCACGAGCTCGATGCCCTTGCTCTCGTCCAGGAGCATTGCAGCCGCGATGTTGACATGTTGTACGGTGTAGGTTGTTGATCCCGTTAGCTGCAATGCGGCCTTTCCTGCAATAGCCAATGTAACCCGCAGCGGGCTTGACGTCGCTGCTCTCCAGGACACGATGGCTGACTAACTTATGCTTGCGGTTCTTGCGGAATCTCTAGCTCGCCGTCATACGGGTTTCGGACAGGTAGGAGTTGGTATTGTTCCACGGATAGGTGGACAGGTCGGGCAAAGTGTAAGCGTTTTCGGATACTGGCACTTGAGGCATAATGCCGAGACAGTAGAGGTTGCCGATAGCCACAAGGAAGGTGTGGGAAGCGTCTTCACCACATTCGGCGAGCGAGGTGTAGGGAGCTGAGCGGTTGGTTTCCTTGCATATGTGTCGAAGGGGACCCGTCAACGCCGAGTGAGGACTAGTCTCCAAGTGCGCCGTGTTAGGCATATCGGCCAACATCTGCGATACCGCGGTGCGGAACAGCACCAGGTTCTCGATGTTGAGCTGCCAGCACTGCGCATCTAAGCTTTTGCTCTCGCGCACCTGTCGGCCGCAGACTGGCCTTTGGCCCAAGATGTGGCTCAACGAGAGACTTGTAGAGGTCCCCGATGGTTGCTGTATGATGAGAACGGTAGGCGATCGGCACCCGAAGCTGACAGACGAATAAACCGGGATGCGCCTGTTTCAGGCTATCCATAGTCTCTTCAACGGCCTTCAGGTCACCGGAGATGGTTAAGCTGGCGTTGCCGTTCTCGCAAGCAAGCACGACACCGGGCTTTAGATGCTGTCCAACCTCGGCGCGTCCCACACCCACAGCCGCCATGGCGCCGGCAACCTTTGCAGCGCGCGCGAGCATAGCCACGGTAGTAAGCGGCAATAATCGCCTCTCTCCTCGTGAGCACACCAGCAGAGTAAGCGGCGGCGACCTCTCTACTCGAGTGCCCAACAACGGCGGATGGCTTGACGTTTCATGCAACAAGAGCATCAACGTAAGCCACCTGCACAGCAGCACATATGGGCTGAGAGCGGTCCGTAGGGCTGAACAGATTCTTGCGGCCCCGTCGGCCAACAATAGACCTTCAAATGTCCACTCGGGCGGATGCTCGAGCGACTTCAACACTTGGTTCACAGACCCAATGTAGACCTTTTCGTCGCCACCAAAGCACTTGGTAATAGCAGACCTCTCCAACGGATCGCCGACTACTGTTCTGGTGCCATGGAGTTCGATGACCTTGGTTTCTGCAAGTGGCAACCCTGCGGATGCGTATGTTTGGCGGATCAGCGTCTCCTGCGTTTTGGGATTAGGAGTGCCAAAGGTCCTGGACCCGTCACCTCCGTCTGCGTTGCCGTCACAGGCACGGATGACGGCGCGGATGGGGTTGCCGTCGCGGATGGCATGGTCGAGGCGCTTAAGATACAAGGCACACACGGACTCTCCGCGGGCGAAGCCGTTGGCGCTAGCATCAAACGTTTTGCAATTGCCATCGGGTGCTAACAGACCCAACATGGACATGGAGATGCTGGTTCGGGGCGTGATGATGACATTGGCGCCGGCTACTATAGCTGATGGGCATGAGCCTGAGCGGATGGTTAATACAGCCTGGTGCACCGCCTCAGCCTGCGGAACAGGCCGTCTTGATGCTGACACTGGGACCCAATAGATCGTACTCAAAGGCAAGGCGGTTCGCAAGCGCAAAATCTGACTTGCCCACCATTAAATACGGCTGGTGGTTCAGCAGGTCGACGTTCTGTAAGTCTTGCCAGTCTTCCGTGAAGTCCCCAACAAAGGTGCCAATGTTCCTCCCTCGAAAATTGGCCTCGCCAGCGCTTTCAAAGGCCTCACGCGTCACCTCGAGGAGCAGGCGTTGGCCGGGATCCAGGGTGGAAAGTTCAGCGTTGGACATGCCGAACATGGAAGCGCCAAATTGAGCCAGATCGAGGTCTAGGTAATATCCGTATTTTGTGATGACGGTGCCGGCCTCGCCAGATGGAGTAGGCTTCGACATTGTATCGATCCTCAGGGACGATGTTTCGGGCGTCTCCCTTGTCTACGAGAAAGTCAAAGAGGTCGGACGAGCTTCGGATTCCGCCCGGTAATCTCACGCCCATGCCACAAATGGCGATTGGTGTATTGTTCAAGTCCTCAAGTCCCGTGGCCCCGTTGGTCCCGTTACATGGGCACCGTTGGATGTAGCTTGCATGGTTGTCCCATTCGTGGATGTTCCATTGGCCCGAGAGTGGCCATTCGGAATGCCACCAAAGTGATTACTTGGCGACATGCTGCAGATGAATGTGATGGTGAATGAAGACGGACAGGACTAAAAAAGATAATGGACGTAGGGAATATGTAATTGGTATCTATGTGCAACAAGTGAAATGCTCGTGTACAGAGCCCATCACAACTGGAACGACATCTGGAGTTTCACGCATATAGGCTGGCTGGGGAATAAAGTGCTCAACGTTGATCCATTTGATATTAAGTACATGATACCACCACCGGTAGTCCGAGTGATCCTTCAACATGACGCCACTCACTTCTCAACTTTGTGATTTCTTCATGCTCGAGGATAAATATAGGCATGTTTAGTCCTCTGTGCCGGCTCTTTCATACATGAAAGTTGCCGTTTGCGAAACGAGACCCTACGTACTGAATCGAGGAATGCTCAATGCCTTGATTATAATGCTTGGTTGGGATAGAAGGATTAAGGGAACCCTCCCCTGGACCGCCTGAGCGATAAGGCCAGAGCCGCCAGACCACCATCATTTTAGTCATTGTACGTGATTGAAGGGTTATTCTATCTCATGTGTAGCCATCATAATCCGTTGTTGGTTGCATACGTAACCACAAGCTTCTTTCTTGCGTACAGAGAAAAATGGAAGCCGCTTGACATGCAATCCATCCTTTAAATCCCTCAATTGGTTACTTACCTATGCATGGCTTGTTTTCATATTCACTTATCGTCAGTCTGAATACTAAAATCTTATAGAAAAATAAGCGTGTGTCTCTGGCTGTAGATGATTTGGTGTGAATCCTGACAGCGTCAATACAGGGTTCGTGAGGTGGCACCACTCGAGTTGTAGCACCTTCACGGCACATATCTTCGTGCAAATAACCATTGTGCGCCAAAAATTGAACGGATATACCCGCCATGTGTGGGCCATGTGTGCACCACCTAATCAGCGGTGTTATTCGCCTATTCGCGGCCTAGGTGGCGTTCGCACCTTAACCCTGCCCGACCATGTGTGATGATCCTGTATACCTTGGTAAAATGGATAGATTCTATCTAAGGTGGCGATCTAACGAAACATCAAACGTAGAGAAGGAAGGAAGGAAGAAAGAATTCTATCATACAGGAAATGTGGGAATTCTCTACATTGTGGGATCAACAGTGAATAAAGCAAACTTGGTGCCTCAGGCAGGGTTCGACCTAGGTCCTGACACCATGGACAAGGGGGAAGACGCACCTCATTCCCATTCCGTTTCCTCAGCAAGGAGAGCCCGAAAGTTATCAAGTGAAGCCCCACACGATGCTTGTAGTTCCTCTAGGCGCTCGGCTTCACTCGTGATATCGCAACTTAGCCACAGAAGATCTCGACGAGGATTAAAGTAGAAGGAAGATTCTGAAAATCAGGATGTTGGATTAAGGTATATTGTTTTAGTGTATGAACGCGGGATTCATGACATATCCAGAGGGCAATAGGAGGCGGGTAATGCTCTACGGGAGAACTAATTTCCAAGGGTCTCGAGCTAAAATCTGCCTCCAGGAGCGTATTCAGAGTGCCAACTGGACGCAGGATAGTTGATTCTTTGTATTCGTCGTCGTCAAACGTCTCCCAGGATGCGGCTTCGATGACAATTATATGAGCAAGGAGGCCTCAAGCAACGCCTACAGGATGGTAATCGGGAGTGGATTACTACAATTGCGTGTATTTGTGCAGACCAGACTTTTCTTCTCCTGGTTTGATATACCAAGCCGTATCTGGTAAACTACAAGACTCCTGGCTTCAAGATTTTGATACTACAAACCAGAAATGTTTCTTTGCATCTTCACCTTCTGGCTGGACCAACGATGAGCTAGGATTTGCATGGCTTCAGCAAATATTTGACCGGGAAACAAAGGCCAAAGCTAGGAGGCGTTGGAGGCTTTTAATTCTTGATGGCCATGGATCCCATGTTACCATGAAGTTTTTAAACTACTGTGAGGCTAATAAGATTTTTGTGGCGACCTATCCACCTCATTCTACGCATTCCTTGCAGCCGCTTGATGTCAGTATCTTTGGACCGCTTTCAGCAGCCTACGGAGGTCAATTGGAAGCATTTTTCATGAATCTAAGGCCTAAGCCGTATTACCAAGTCGGGATTTCTTCAGGCTATTCTGGCCAAGCTGGAAGAAGGCCTTATCTGCCGGAAATATTGAAAGCGCGTGGAGAACTGTTGGGTTATGGCCTTTTAATCCTAGAAGTGGTATTGGCACGGTTTAGCAAGTTAGAGGATAAAAGACCTTCTTCTAGCAGTTCCTCTAAGTCTGTTATACAAGCAGAGGATTGGAGAAAGATTGAACAGCTTCTTAGAGAACTTTTTGCAGACTTCCGGGACCAAAACACTAAAATGTTGAGCCGAACGATGCATTATATTTCTACAGAGAATATCCTGCTTAAGCTACGAATAGGGCCTCCAGAAGGCTCTCCAGAATGAACAAAAGAGACGCCAACGTGCAAAGCCTTTACAGTTTGAATTACGGGCTCCTGAGGATGGTAATGCAGTATTCATTCTCCTAATAAAATCCAGCAAGCTCGGGATCTTCAAGCAGAAAAAGAGAAGCAAATACAGCTTTCAAAGGCTTTAAAAAAGGAAGAGAAGCTACGCCGTCAGCTAGAAAAGGAAAAAGAAACAACAATTAATTAAAAAAGGAAAAGAATCAGGGCATCTAATTAAGAGATACGTGCCCAAGCAGCGGAGGAAAAGAAACGCCAGAAGGAAGAGGATCAGTTGGCTAAAGAGGCCAATATACAGCTTCAAAATGACTTTAAACAGTCCAGGAAATGTAAGAAGAATCCTCCGGCAACTCCAAAAGCAAAGAATCAGGAAGATATTGTTGTCCCAGCACCTGAAGTTGTTGGAGAGGCCTCTATCACGGTAAATCGCCGAGGAAGGCAGGTCCGACTACCACATCGCTTTCGGGGCGGTTAAAATTTGTACACAGCTTCTTTAGAACCTCAGTTTAGTACCTAAAAAGATCTCGGTATAATTAAATTGTATGTGGCTCAAAAGCTTTATTTTCGACATTGCGGTGGTGTGTAACCTGACCGTTGGAAGGGAAATTCCCATGGGAAATCGGGATGGGATTCCCGTCCCATAAAAACGGGACGATTTTCTAATATTTTATGGGAATGGGAATGGGAAGGGAATGCCAAGAGATTCCCACTGGGATTCCCCCTTCTTTCTGGATGGGAATTGGGGTAAGAAATGGGATCACACTTACTAATGGGAAGGGAATGGGAATTTGGGAAATTCCCTTGGGATTAGATGGGAACGAGTCCCATACTAAATCACATGATTAATAATTACTGTATATACTATATAGTTACTACTAAAAACTGCTACTTTAAAAATATACTAAACCTAATTAGGAGATGGGACGGGAAATGGGAAGAGATTTTTATAATTTAGGGATGGGATTTCCCTCCCATATTTCTTGGCATGGGATGGGATTATCCCATCCCGAAACCCATGTAATGGGAATCCCATCCCATATTGCTTGGCACGGGATGGGAATCCCTTCCCATTTTCTTGAGACGGGATTCGGGACCACCCCCAGGATCCTTATGGGAATATGGGACGGGACCAGACCTCCCTCGGGATCCCGAATCCCTCCCAACGGCCAGCCTAGGTGTGTTGAAATTGGGTGGCATGCGGTGTCGGGCGGCAGGTAGTAACCTACAATATGTTCGATATTCGGCTAATACCGAATAGGAAAGTAGACACTGTAGTGGAGGAATTCGGGGGATTAGCACGTGACACTACTATGGATAGCTATTATCTTAAGTCCTCATACGAAGAGGTAAAAGACAATCAACAACCTTCTCACAGACCACGGGACGCAATTGCGTAAAGGGCATGTTGTCTTTTCTCCTGCCAGGAACTTGTGGGCTCGGGGCCCACAACTTCTGAACTGTCTAAGATTGTCTCCTTGACCTACTCCTTCGGAGTTCTATCATTTCCCTCTCATTCAACACTATTCTTGAAAATGTGCTTAAAATGATTGTTTTAGATGGTTTCTTGTATATTAATCGACATATGATCATTCTTGTGATTATTATTATAGATTGTTAGGTTGCTTCTTCTGCTAGGTGTAGGGGAGTTCGTTTTACCCCTCTTTTATGACCTTGTTTACGTCACTATTACTACCAACTTATTTGACCGATTCCTCTGAAAATTTGAACGAGGTCGCCCCACCTGTGTACTCGTGGGGATGTTCTAAAATTTCACTTCGAAAGTGGCTAGCAACTATCAACAGCTTGCCTAATCCTCACGGTACTTATCTGGTGGCTAACTATTAATTTGGACCACAGAAGCTTCTAGCTGTCGAGTTCTCCCAATACAAGTACTCTACAGCAGCAAAATTATCCCAGGCTATCCTTCAATACATTTGCCCAGCTGGAAACGTTATTAATAAAAACTTGTAAAACACAGTCCACGATCTTCAAAAAAAAAAAAAAAAAAAAAGGCAGATTCAGTTTACTAGGCCATTCTTTAATTATCTGGTCATGCTTGATCCGCCTGATTGCAACTTTCTTAGGTTGTTGAATGTTCGCAAAGTCCCGGTATACGATGACACAGTTAGCGGGGCGCTGGAAACGGCCGCCATTGAACCATTCATCTGCCGCCCGCCACCGCCTGCCACCCGTGGGCATCACACTGCCCGTTGTAGCCTAGAGTATACCACTTGGGGATAGCGTTGACTCTCGCCGCTTTTGCCCGTTTTCCCTGCCGCCTCACAAGTCCCGCTTGATATATATAAGCCCAACCAGTCCTTTGAACGACGACGACGCACTTTCTTCTTCCTTTCTTCCCCCCTCCCGTCTCCTTCGCCTGATGCACTGCCCCCTTCCCCCTTTTCAAAAGATGCCGCGTTATCCGGCGACTGCCCTTTTCCGGTATGGCGCCGTCCAACCCGCTGTTCTCGCCCTTCAGCTTCGGACTCACCGACAAGCCATCCAGTAAATCTGGAAATCCTTACTGTCACTTCTTTGGTTTTTGGCTGCCCAATGTGCCACCTGAAGGTGTGCTCTTGCTTGTAGTATGATGTGGGCCATTTTACTGGTGCAGTTAGGATGATTGTACGCGGCACTGCGCTCGGTTTGATCGATTTCTTTTTTTTTTGGATATCAGCATCGGCTCTGTTTTACTCTCCTTACTAAGTCTTATCACGTCTCTCTACTCGCGTGATGGATTTATATGCAGAGCCTCTGTAAAGCACCATATAAAGATGCAAGAAAAAACTGCTGCTTATAGCTACTGGAGACGGCATCCATGGCGTCAGCTTAGCTTCGGTGGTTTGGATCGCCCCCCTCTGGAACCATCCTCTCTTGGCTAACTAGGATTTATTCGCTTCAGAGCCCCTGTCTTGTTATCATCGAATAGCAAAATTGCCGCATTTCCTTCATCTCAGGTCAATCTCTGCAGATCGGGTCAAAAGAAAGCATTTGGTCAATAGTAAGTTTGACGTGTGAGGCTTGGAAGCTAGAAATACTGGTTGTAATTGGCACAAGCAAACGGCTATCGGCCTTTAAATGGTCTGGATGAAGATAGACATGTTAGCAGCCTAGAAGGGGAACTGAGACAAGAATATTTTGTCTCGATTCCTGTGAGAAGGCAGAATTATGGGAAAAGTATAAGAAGGCCAATCAAACCTGCGTCGTTGGGGCCATCTATTATCTATGCCCTTTCCTTCTGTTTCCTCTCACCTCACCCATTTCTCTTCCCCAATTACTTGTCCGTTACATGTACCCCTAAATACACTACTTCCTACAATATGCTCCCTACATTTTACTTGAACAACTTCAAGCCATGGATTCCTCCTTATACCAGGTCATTACCACTGCATAAATCCTTAAATCCTAGCAATCCAGTACCCATTGCTCCTTCTCTCCCCAAACTCCGGTAATACACTATATCAGGGGAACTTCAAGCAAAGCACAGCACCCCCACACAATCCAGATCCAGCACATCACACTTCGAATTCGAGTCCAACTCCACCCCATGATTTCCAAGATATTGCTGATGTCCCGACTGAGTTGCGTTTCTTTCGGCGAGATACCCCAAGGGATAATCTATCATCGCCGAGTATATCAAGTTCGCACAATAGCTTGGAAGAGCCTTTCAGGCTGCAAGATGTGCAGAGCAACATCCCTATTAACCCAGCAGTCCTCACTGATAATGGGTTCTGGGAGGCTCAAGATCCCCACCAACCTTTCCAGCAAGATGATAGCCTTATTATCCCAGGGACAATATATCCATATCCTGAGCCTCTACTTACTTTTAGTGATGCACCAGACTACCACTAAGATTCCGCCAAAGAGTCCGCCAAAGAGTCAAGCGGCCAGGGTAATCAAAAATGTCACTCCTTTCACAGCACCCAAGATGACTCGTTATTCTCTAATGCTCGGAGCGAGAGTTTTCAGAGCGGCGAACCGCCAAAACCGCGCAAGCAAAGAAGACAACAATCAACCTTGCGGCCTTCGAAAAGACCACGAGCTCCATCTTTATCACCTTCAAGTGCAAATGGCTTCACCACCCTTTGTTCTCAGCTCACATGTGTGTCACTTGATGAGCCTTTGCAATTTCTTTCTTGGCTGTTCGAAGGTGCACTGCCACGTGTGTCTGACCATGTCTCCCTAACCTGTGGAGATGTGCGGCTAAACAATCGCTCGACAAAACAGCATCAGTCTTCGCAAACTCCGCATATCCTAAGCGAGGCCCAAGGAAACTCCAGGAAGGGCATGCCATGGTCACCCAAGGAGATAGACCTTCTGCTGAAGTTAAGGAGAGATGAGAGGCGGCCTTGGTCAGAAGTAACAAAATTATTCTCGGACAAATATCCAGGAAGGAGCTCTGGTTCAATCCAAGTATACTGGAGTACGAGCCTTAAAAAAGCAGGGCAGAATAGCATTGCACATAAGGTGGGCTAAAGGGAATGACATGCTCATGGGAGCAGGAAATTGATGTTGGTCTCAATAGGGCTATACAGGGAATTACTGGTGGTTTCTGTCGAGCCCAAGGTAGCAATTGGCTCAGGGCCCATCATCATCGGCTAGTGGTAGTGGATTATAAACAACTATAATAACTACGTTTGACACATACGACCATAGGGTGTGGAAAGCAGGGCTTCCCGTCCGCTCAGCCGTACTTAAACCACACGCCGGTCTGTTAGTAGTTGGGTGGGTGACCACCAGCGAATCCCGACTGTTGTATGTCCGTCTTCATCTTTTTTTATTTTAAGTAGATTAACGGATTACCTAAAACGGAAAAGATGAGGACGGATTCGATAATATGTCTCTCACGATGTGCGTATCTTGTGTATCAGCTGTAGAATTGTCTTTCGAACCTTGGGGTTCATTCGCACGTTTACGCTTCTTGCGATGAGACTTTGCAGGGATAATGGTAATTAATGCTGGGTGCGCTTGCTGCTCCGTTTGGTGATTTTCCTGACTGCAGTAGTAGGCAATTATCGAATCCAGGGCACTCCGGAGGTCTTCCTTGATCTTGAACTGACGGAGGGTTCTTATAAATGCATTCAGAGCTTGGATCTTAGTTGTCTTCCACCCATGCTCTTCATAACTAATAAAACTTAGCCCTGTTCTTTCAAGCTTGTGGATTCTTACCTTTTGATAGGGCACTGGATTAGGGACAGAATCATCTCAACGTCTTCAATTAGCTCCCATTTTGCGCCACCAAGAGAATAACTAGACAGCCATTCCCTCTTATTCAACCACTCCTCCTTGCTTAAGTCAGGCCATAGTTGATCGGTCAATCTGTCAAGAGTATATGAAAGGTGATGGCCTGTCCGGGAGGCAAATTTACGGACGGTGGTCGTCGACCTTGAAGCGTTAACACGCTGCTGTTCAATCTGGACAGTCCGATTAATGATAACAGCCAAAACTTTGTGATGTGACGGAATGACCTCTCGAATCTTTGTGAGGTTAGTGAAGCAACTTCGAATAATATTTCCATCGTTTTTGTTGATTAACCAAAAAAGAGCTGGTATTTTAGTCCATATACGACAGCAAAGTTTCAGAGCTTCAACACTTTGGTCTTCAAGTTCCCAATGTTTTGTGATAACCCAAGGAATCTGATGCTGGAGGTGACAGCCTATTCCCATCGACCGATATGAAGTTCGCAAAGAATGTCTCATGATTTCGAAGTTGCGTGGAGCGCCCGATTTGCCGAAGGATTTTGCGGAGTGAGCTGAGTTCTCCAGATCTTATTAAGTCTTCCGGTGCTCACGAACATCCTATTAAAATCAGAATAAACCTAAGATACTGAGAGTTGTCACGAACATTACCAGCAGTGCGAACAAGTTGGTCCAACTCCTGAAGATTGGACCGTATTGCTTGCTTCATCTACAGACAACTTAGCAATAGTCACGGCGTTTGGGAAGATTCCCACCTCTTCATCCATTATTGCCTCATCCTGGAACAAAAGGAGATTCAGAAAAGCGGGGAAGCCATCCGGAAAAAGATGCCTTTTAGGAGCGAGGTGAACTTTCTTTTTTAGTAAGATGCTCTTGTAAGCGCTAATGCAACAGGGGTGAAATATCTCTCCAGATTAATAAAACGATCGAACTGAAGCTGAATCTGGATCCAGAGCTAGAGGAGATAAGACAGAGTATCCCGGCCCGCTACCATAACTATTGCGACGTTTTCTCAAAAAAAGGCCTCTGATAAGCTCCCTCCTTTGAAGGAACCATTGCACCGGATTAACCTAGAAGGAGATAATCAGTCAGCGAGACAGTTGGCCATAGTCTCCTATACAAGATATTACTGGAGGAACTTGAAGCAGCACGTCGGTATGTCGTGGATAATATCCAAACAGGATTTATAGAACCCAGTCACGCACCCTACGCTTCACCCATCCTAATGGCTTTAAAGCCAGGAGGTGGTCTCCGGTTTTGTGTTGACTATCGGAAGTTAAACTCTATCACTAAGAAGGACCGATACCCCCTACCCTTGATTAGCGAATTTATGGAAAGAATTAGCCATGCAAGGATCTTTACTAAAATTGATATCCGGCAAGGATTTCACCGAATTAGAATGGATCCCAAGCAGGAAGATCTGACCACCTTCCGCACGCGATATGGCTCGTATAAGTACAAGGTAATGCCCTTTGGACTTACAAACGGACCTGCAACTTTTCAGAGGTATATGAATAGTCTGTTTCTAGATATACTTGACAAATTCGTGACTATCTATATTGATGATCTGCTGATCTACAGCGAGAATAAAGCGGAATATGAAATGCATGTAAAACTAGTTCTCCAACGGCTTCGGGAAGCGGGGTTGCAAACCGCTTTGCATAAATGCGAATTCCATGTGAAGAAAACCAAGTTTCTTGGTTTCATTATCTCAACCGAAGGAATCCAGGTTGATCCAGCTAAGATCGCGGTGTTGAAGGGTTGGAAGGAGCCAACTACAAAAAAGGGGATCCAATCGTTTTTAGGTTTTTGCAATTTCTATCGGCAATTTATCAAGGATTATGGCAAGAAGGCTCGGCCCCTACACTATCTGACCAAGAATGACATGGAATTCGTATGGGATCCTGCATGTCAAGAGGCATTTGATGAATTAAAAAGGCGATTAATAAATGCTCCGATTCTGCGCCATTACCGCGCGGAGGATCCTGCCCGGCTGGAGACCGATGCGTCTGATGGAGTAGTAGCTGGTGTACTCTCTCAACAGTGTTTAGATGGGAATTGGCGACCCGTTGCATTTTTCTCAAAGACCATGTCGCCACCAGAAAGGAACTATGAGATCCATGACAAGGAGATGCTGGCCATATACGTGCCCTGGAGGAATGGAGAGCAGAATTAGAAGGCCTACAGCGGACAGATAGATTTGATATCTACACAGACCACCGGGCACTGGAATATTTCATGACCAAGAAGAGACTAAATGCCCGTCAAGCTAGATAGTCTGAATTTCTCTCTAGATTCTATTTTTTAATCCGCTACAGACCGGGCAAGCAAAACACCCTCGCGGATATTCTGTCCAGAAGTTATGCAGTAAACGGGCCTACAAGTGGAGCAAAGGATTCCCGGTGTCATGGCAAGGTCAAGGTCAAGTCGTGGGCCCCGGGCCCACGACTTCGAAGAGATTGTTCGCGAGGCACAATTCTCTTCAATTCAGGAGCTCGGGCGAGCTGACTAGTTAACGTGACTGACCACCGAGCTGCGCGGTCCCCACCAAACTGCGCGCTCACCACGAAGCTTTTCAAATTATTCTTATTATTACAACCACAGAGCCATGGCTGATAAATCGAAAGAAGGCCGTGTACAATTAGCTATCGATGCTTATAAAAAAGGCCTTTTTGCTTCTAAAACTGCTGCAGCTAAGGCATTTGATGTCCCTCCAAGAACCTTAATGACGCGTCTTAATGGCTCTACTGCTCGAAAGGAATCAATTGCAAATAGTCGAAAATTATCAAACACTGAGGAGTCAACCCTTATTTCATGGATTATAGATATGGATCGTCGTGGCCTGCCTCCCCGGATATCAACTGTACGCTACCTAGCCCAGCTACTTCTCTCTGCGCGAAATCCATCTGCTTCAGCTATCGGAGTGCTAATGCTGACGGGGGCAGTGATGGAACTGGTATCCTTTATGCGGGTCAAGAGGTACTGGGCGATTCGCCTACCATTACTGCCATTGCCCCCGTTAGTATTATCTTCCCCAAGTCTGTCTTAGATGTCCCGACTACTATTGATTTTGGAGGGGGTTATCCAACCTCCCTGGAGGTAGCGTGGAGCACCACTAAAACTATCTCTGTTGGTAGTATTACAACCGTTACCTCTACTATTACGCGATATATTATGCCGACTACCATCCCCCTACCACCTATTACCACCAACACAATTAATTACTACAACTGGAACATTAGTGACATTGTCACTTCCAGCATGGGAACTCTTATTCCTAGTATTGAGATTCCACCAGTTGTGGTTACAGATAACCCTAACCCGCTAAATAAGACAGGCGTTACTCACTTACCCTATGTGACTCGCACCATTAGTATTCCCCCGTGGCCTTGGACTACTGATGACACCAGCAAGTATCCTACTGTTACTTTTACAGAAGGTAATCCCCCTGGCCCGACATGCAAAGCCAATTGTGGTCATAAATGTTACAGCTTTTGCGACGGACCTTGTCTATCTGACTGCGGCATGGAGAGCTCTTCTAGCTTTATTAATCCGCTAGATACTGATGCTCCTTCAGTCAGCAAGTGTTCTGGGCCTGGATGTGTAAATGGAAAGTGCACTAACCATGGTCTGTGTATTGAGAGAGGCTGTACTGGCAGTGACTGCAAGAGCCGGATATGTGTGGGTGATGACTGCATTCCCACGGCATGCACGGGTTCTGACTGCCACAATGGGCACTGCACTGGCAGTAGTTGCCAGGACCACGGTTGTATTGGCCGTGATTGCGATGGTGGCGGCGGTGGGGGAAGCTCAGGCCGGTGCTTCGGTCCTTTATGTCTTTCCTGGGGTTGTTTGGGCGCTCATTGCTCCAGCACTGACTTCGTTTGTACCGGCCCTCTATGTCGCATTGTGACATGCTCCGGTACCGGTTGCTCCAACGGTGTCTGTACTGGAAAAGTCTGCAAGCCTGAAGACTCGGACTGCAAGAGTGAGGAAGCAGATGCCTGTATTGAGTATATATCCAGTGCTCTGGTCACTCCGGTCTCAACCTATTCAACCACCACTGTGACTAAGCGCTGCGAAACTATTACTGCTTGCTCTGCTAAGCCAACAACCGTAACCAGCACTGTCGACAAGAACGGGCTAATCGAAGGCACTATTTCCCTAATTGACTACGAAGTGGATGATGATCCATCGTTCACGAGCTCTCTTTTTGATCAGATGAGCAGTTTTTATTCATCAGCGTTTGATCCCACTACCACCAGCACGACCACTACCAAAGCCAGCACTTCGACGACGAAAACAACCTCTACTGTCCCAACGGCCACTGAAACGGGTTACAATTGCAAAGGATCCATCCGCTGCGGCACTTTTAAAAATCTACACAAATTCTGTGATATGGCAAAAAGCTTCCTGAAAGATGATATTGTATACGGGTAGGTTTCTTTCTTCTCTCCAACAAATGGGGCTAACTCCAGAACCAGAACCACGGACAAAGATAAAAACTCTGGAACCTGCTACACAGACGGGAAAAATGCTGGCTTTGGCTGTGGTGTTTTTGTTGAAGGGGACAACTGTCAAATAAAGGGAATGCAAATGGCCGCGTAAGTTGTTCCTCTGTCCAGGTTCCACTTAAGCTTTACTAACTTTATCATAGTGCCTATGATCATATCTTCCAGAAGGCGGGGGGAAACTGCGGTATTTGCGGCCATGCGTTTTTGTCGGATGGATGCAAATTAACCGTAAACTATGTCAGTGGATGCCAAACTACGAATGGAATATTGGAAGCATTCATTGGGAGCGGTTCAGATTTCACCACGGCTTCCTCAGTTGATGTAGCATTGTCGTCTGCCCTAGTAACGTTATAGTTTTGTATTATAACTAAGAATATTATACGAAAAAACTAAGAAGCTGAATATTAAAGGAACATATAATTAGGTTGTCTGCTCTGGAGCGATTATTGTTCATGGTGAGTTGGTTAAGTCTTTTTGAGTATTGCAGTACATCATGTCCACGCTAGGCTATAGACGTTCGGGCGGATGAGTAGATTACAGCTAAGCCATGTGGATCTTTGTATGAAAACTAGTGCCTATAATTATAATAGTATTCATGATTAATTCAGCGGACTTGAGCCGTCGGACCCGACGGCCAGCACTACATAAACCTTTTATCTGCACTTATCTCCATTAGTTAGTGGTTCTTGCTTCTCCAATCTAATTTCCACAATGAATCTCCTCTTGCTTCTCTTTACAGCTGTCCTCCACCTAGGGACAGCCTTAGAAGCACCCCCATCATCCAATTCTCTCACCAACAAAATCCACCACCTCAGATCCCAACGCCGCTCCAAGCCCCTCCAAAATATTGAGACAATCCCCCTCCCCCTCCTCGCGGTAACCGACAATATCACCCCCGAATTTCAAGGGAAGTACTACAGCACCAACTGGGCCGGTGCTGTGATTAAGAACCCACCCCCCAGCGCAACTTACACTTACATCTCTGCAACCATTGCCGTCCCAACCCCAACCCCAACCGACAATAGCACATACCAGGCTGCACCCGCATGGGTTGGCATTGACGGCGCCACCCACATTGCTGCGATTCCGCAAACAGGCGTGGATCTGTATGTGGTTGATGGAAAACCGTACACTGATGCCTGGTATGAGTGGTATCCAAACATTGCGCTGTACTATGATGAGTTTGAGGTCAACCCAGGAGATGTAATTGTTACTTCTGTTAATGTGACAGCGTCAAATCGTGGCGTCTGCATGGTTGAGAATCGAAATACCGGAGAGATAGTGTCTAAGACGCTTTTAGCGCCGAAAAGTACAGCGACGTTAGCGGGGATGAATGCAGAATGGGTGGTGGAGGATTTTCATTCTGGGGGTAATCCGGTGCCGTTTGTGAAATTTGATCGTGTCTGGTTTGAGGGATGTGCCACCTATGCGGACGGAGATAAGTATGGGCTGGGAAATGCTACGGTCTATGAGTTGATGCAGGATAATGTGATGATTGCTGATGTTAGAGTCGTGGATGCAGACAAGATGGTTGTGACGCACTTCGCAGCATAATACTGATCTATCTATTACTCGCTATTATCTTGTCTCTCAGAATCCCTGTCGTTAATCATATGTGGTGCAGCGTAAGAGAGGATTCCATTTAATTTTAAAAATCTATATAAGATCCTTTCGATCCTCCGGATCCTTCATCGTACACCGCCAGTTCTCACCATTGTATGGAATTAGCTGTTCGGGCCGAACCCCTAATATCAACCGGGGTAGAGAATCACATCCTCCCCTACTTATCGTGAGGATCTGCCTGGATCCTCGCGTCCCTTCTGTGCTACACGCTGGATTGCATCATTGGCGGGTAGTGCCGTACACCGTCTGTTGATAGGGTGGTTGGTTCGTGACTTGGTTTGGTTGACAGTCTTCTAGTGTATGGTGAGGTGAGCTGGGATACAGGATGTCAATTCCTAATACAATTAGCCTCGCTACTTCCATTTCCAGTAACTGTGAGTGATGAGTCCTATTGTCCTCCCAGTTCTTTCACTCCTTGTCACTCCGCTGGTCCTTTATCGGTCATTAGTTACTGTCTTGCGGCCATTGGATATTCATCGCCTCTGTGACGGGTGGCCGTTTCGGGAATCAGACTGCCTGATTGCCTTTTAGTTAAGGGAATCACCACTGTATATTCACTTCAGGCTTCTTGTGCTCTGCCTGATGATTCCCCTTTAAATCAAGCAAATCGCTTCTCCCTTCCTGTTTTCATTGCTTCATCCATCAATAATCTATTTCGACAACCATCGATTTCTTATCAACTATAAGGGGGCGAAATGCCTTGCTATCTAATAACTAGATATACACAAAGAGGAATTGCTGAGGGGAAGAAAGTAAAGGGGAAGAAGCGTTCGTTCTCATACTACAAGGGGTCATGTGACTGTGCTAAGCGGACCAATCATGTGCGCCGATTGCAGCGAAGGCGAAGTCGAGCAATGTACAGGCGTAGCCCGTGACAATTACGATTAAAAACCGGTATCCAATCCCGCTGATAAATGAGACCCTGAATCGTCTAAAACATGCCAAAGTATTTACCAAGCTCGACGTGGTCCACGCTTTTAATCGGATTCGAGTTAAGAAGGGACAGGAGTGGCTCACCGCGTTTAACACCCGCTACGGCCAATTTGAATACTTACTAGTTATACCTTTCGGCTTGTGCAACGCCCCCGGGACTTTCCAGAGCTATATACAGCCCTGCAGGATCTTTCCTACACATATGATTGCCTTGGAAAGATCGTCCAAAAGACCGGCAAAGCTCAGCAAACCAAGTACTTTAATAATCAGGTTATCAAGCCGAATCAAGAATTTATCTATGACGCATTGGGCCCATTGTGTTCGGCAACTGGTCGAGAGCAAGTTGATATCTGTGTAATTCCTTATGGTCCCGTACTCGGACAGCGGAACCCAATTCCTGGGGATGGAAGTCAGTTGATCGAATACTACGAGACGTAGAAGTTTGATCTAGCTGGCAATATCCTAGAGACCAAACATGAGCCACTGAATGACTCTACATATTCACCATGGACGCGAACGTATGCATATGAAATGACCAATAATAGGCTTATCAGCACCAAAGTTGGTTCCACAACAGATTGCTACAGATATGAAGACGATGCTAGGCTTAATAGCTGCATGATCTATATGGCTGGGTATCCTTTGGCTTGGGATTATAATAATCACTTGCGCTTTTGTACCACACAACGGGTCAAGGAAGGTAGCACGGCGGAGAGAACTTGGTATGTCTACAATTCGCAGGGTAAGCAAGTTCGCAAGGTGACCATGAGAGATACGGGCACCAAGCTAAAAGAGACAATCCATCTCCCTTACTGTGATATTTTTACGACGTATGCTGGAGATGGGGTATCAGTACTGCGGCAGACAACTTTAACTAGCGTGGGCGGATTAAGTGCTTCCAGCTCTCCAGTGGTCATGGTTGAGACCAGGACTGGGTATAGCCTTCTTCGGTATCAGATGAGCGAAAATTTGGAGCTGGATTATACAGGCAAGGTAGTTTTATATGACGAATAATGCCTATATGGATCCACCACATATCAAGCTCGGACGACTGAAGCTCCTCGGAAGAGTATCAACTTGCGAACTACCAACGTGACAATAAAAGTGGGCTCTATCCCTGTTGTGAGAGATACTATGCTACATGGCGATAGACGTCTGCTGATCCATTGCGAACTTTCGGCGGTCTTAACCCTGTATGTTTTGGAATTCGGCTCAGGATCTCTCCCGAGCGGTTCCGGCAGCGGCCCGTAGATAGTTCCCGCCCGGGACTCAGTAGCACCAAAGATTTTGATATTCAACACACTTTCGTTCCCCTGAGGTCAGCCTGTCACTGCTCGGTCTTCCTATGCGGCTATCCCCTGTCCGAGTGCACTTGCCTGTTCCTGTGTGGTTCCGTACGGGGAAGAGGTGTGAGCCAGTTTAGAGCGACATACTCGACTATAGCGGGGTTACAACTATAACCTATACTATCAAAATAAATGTACGAGAAATTTGGGCAACTTTACCTTATTACAGAAGTATATCCAAAATAACTGTGAAGAGTTCACGACCCGCAACCCGAGACCAAATGTATCGGGAGACCGACTGCCGCTAATTCATGGTCGAGTTCGACTGTAGCGCCAGTAATGCAAGGTCAAGTCAGGAAAAGAGCATGTTCTAGGGGAAGATAAGGATAATTATGACAGCATCTTTTTCACCAAACAACCTCGGCTGGGGGAGCTTAGCCATCAGTTACCATGTGATTCGCAATTCGTCACATTCGGGCCGTCCAGATGGTTTGCATTTGGCATCAGCGAAGTGATTCGCGCGACGAGGCCCCCCATCTTTGCTGATAGTTTACAGGATAGCTGTCGAGGCCGTCATTTATCTCCAGTAATATGTTAGTTTGCAGCGCGGACAGAAATGCGGTGGATTCCAATATGGTTTAGATTGTACTAATATTTGGCGTCGTGATTCGTTTCTTCTTGGTCGCAGCAGGGCTCCGGGGGTCGTTTCTTGTGCTTCAACCGCTTTGGCTCTCTTACAAAACAACATGGACATCATTATGACTTGCGATTTGTGTAAGCGACAGCTAAAAGCTTCGCAGGTGTCACAATATCTGCTTCGGGAAGCTGTCCAGAATGGGATTGGGACAGGGGAGCTGCTTCAACGCGATCGTATGGACACTAACTTCCACGGTAATAACCTGCAGACACTCACAGTTCACCCCGGGTGCTGGTCTATCCCCGAGCGGGCTCTAAAACGCACTGAGTTCAGTCAGCATTGGATAAATTATTTCTTAGAATATCTCTATAACCTCTTCCATTCCCTTACACAGGTCCGTTTCGCCCACTCAACCGGTAGCCTTGATGCGGATATCTTTGTTGTGCCGAAGGGGAGGAGAACTCCGAAAAGAGATCTATTTCGGCGAATGCGACTATCTGGTATAACTTACGCTGCTATAGATCATTTCACAAACGTTTGAACGGTACCTGGAATTATAAGCGGCCTTCCGTTGATGGTCTATATAGTCTAAATACAAGCTGTGGAGACGGTCGTGGTGTCGCTTGCGGAAGCGGCTCACCCAGTTGACAACAAGCGTGGTCCCCGCAATTTCGTCGGCGATGTTTTTCAATATTTTAGGGGCAGATAGGATAATGTTCAGCACGGTTATTGAGCATCTACACTACTGTGGTGATAGTAGAACAGGAACAGGAAAACCGAAGTTTCATTGCTCATATTAAGAGGACGCGGGGAATGAACCCCAAAAACCACCAGTCAAGCCCCGGTCATCCGATCCTCCGCCTGGCGCAGGTGGGCAAGCGCAACTTTTATACCAGAAATGGCGTCTTCTAATGCCAAATGGCCAGTGGACAAATCCTCATGGACAGAAAAAGCAGGCGATACACAATGAGCACCGGGCAAGCGCAGGCAGGAGGCAGCATCGTCTAAACGGGACATAGCAAGACGAAGCTGAGCACTAGCTTCGGAAATAGGAGTTTCGACCTCGCCTGAGACAAGAGTATATTAGCCAGAGCAAGACACACAAAGGTTTTATAAGGACTCACATGACACAAGACAGCCAGGCGAGAAGACTGGACCAGAGGCACCAGCATCGGAAGCAGAAGCACTAGAGGAGCGGCAAGCGGACATTTTCGCGGAGAAATAGGCAAGGAGTGTCTGTAGGGGACCGCAATTAGCCACACTGACCCGAAAAGCTCTAACGCCTTAATCAAGAGTCTAAGGAGATAGAAAGATCTCAAGACCCAGAGCAGCTTTAACTCTGAAGGGAAGTGAAAACCTCAGATTCAGAAGAGATTCAGAACAGATTCAGCTTCAGAGGATAGAAGAGCCTTAGGCTAGGAGCAGGAGGAGCAGTCCCAGCTCCAAAGGGCTAGAGAACCTTAAAGATAGAAGAAAGGTTATACTTGCATAGAGAGCAGACTGGCAACAGCACACGGCAAGAATAGGAGGACCTGACAAGCTGACAGTGTAAGAGGTAGGAGGTATTAAGGGCAAGGAGTTAAGAAATGAGCGAGGAACCTAAGAGATCTGAAGGACTTGGTGCTTTTAAGGCAGCAATAGTGAATCAGGCACCGCGAGCAACATTCACTCATTGCATCAGAGCTTACATTTTAGAGGTGATAGATTTCGATTGCTTCAAATCCAGAGTCTTTACACACGATTACTATGTTGAGTTGCTAAAAGACGAATACTATCGCTTCGGAAAGCCCGGCACAACCCCATCCTACATGGTTATCTATGATGCAATCGGGCGCATGTGCTGCCAGCAACGTTATCTTGTCAGTAAAGGCAAAGACTTCCAAATGTTGTCGTCTGCCTAGAGAGAGCTTCCCAAACTAAGCGAGTTCCGTTTGTCGTTTAGCCAGGAAGTGTTTGACATCTGTGACAAGTGGAATGTCCCTGTAATCATGCCTAGAGGGACATCCTTTGGGCACTATATCCATGTAGTTTCAGGTGCCATTCGCCGTGCACGCGTGGATGGAATCCAAATCCGCAGTCTCCGCCTTTCCCACTTTTCATTCCCGTGGAAGTTTAATTGGGAGAGGCAGATCTCACTGGTTTCTCTGATCTATTCCAGAAACTACTCTGCCATACTGAGATACTTCATTTGCAAGGACAGCACTCGTGCTGTCCGTTATGTTGTGAAATTCAGGGGAAACGGGGCGCAGGGTGTGACGACCTGGCCTTGGACACCGCGCTCAGGTTAACGCGGTGACCGTGATGTTTATACGGTTTGCATGTGGACGCCGGTGGGTGGTCGGAACCGCCACTGATAGGCCGTATTGGGATAAGGAAGGGCTCAGGGCACAGGGCTAGGGCTGGGAAGCTTCCCGCCATATCCTCGCTCGTCATGACAACGCCCTTCTACCTTCTTCCTTTCCTCCCCATCTTTAGTATTCTTGATATAGGACTCAATATGATTTTATCTATCTGATTTGCCTGCCGTCACACAGGGAGCTATTCTATCAGCTACAGGCCAACTAGCCTATTAAGCCTAATTAGTGAATGAGAGGGAAATGGTAGAACTCCGAAGGAGTAGGTCAAGGAGACAATCTTAGACAGTTCAGAAGTTGTGGGCCCCGAGCCCACAAGTTCCTGGCAGGAGAAAAGACAACAAGCCCTTTACGCAACTGCGTCCCGTGGTCTGTGAGAAGGTTGTTGATCGTCTATTACCTCTTCGTATGAGGACTTAAGATAATAGCTATCTATACAAATGTCACGTGCTAATCCCCCGAATTCCTCCACTACATTAGGAAGTAGATGTCATTCAGTGGAAACACCAGGAATCACAGTATCTCAACCAACTGAGTCTCTTGCATTCCTATCTGGGTGCTCAACTAACTAAAGGATTGAGGGGTAGAATAGATCGTTAGATATTTCCACACCGCCAAGTCGGTCGGATTATAGTGTTTCCGTAACAACCTCAAACCCGATTATCCTCCGCTCGGGCCTTTCTCCCAATCGTCGCACAGGCAAGATAGTTGGGAACAGGCGAGCCTAGCGCAGGCAGGAAAGTCACGAGAACCACCAACACAACATCCAGAGATGCCAGATATAGAGATGTTGGTGCACTCTCAAAGTACCAGAATTTCTACCCTTTCCGAGTTGATGGCGAACTTAAAATGAAATATCAGAGAGAATGGAGAGAACAGGGGAACTATCTCTATCACGAAAAAGATAAGTTGCGGGGCTATTTGCCAAAGCCATGAGTCCGGTGTCTTTTTCTTTCATTGTTTCAACACTACCACCTAGGAGGAAATATGGGGGGTCTTATAATTTGTTACGGAAACACTATAATCCGCCCGACTTTGGCGGTACGGAGTATCTGACGACCGATTCAACCCCTGAATCCTTTAGATAGTTGAACACCTCAATGAGAATATAGGGAACCGCTTAGTAGGCTCAGTTGGTTGAGATACTGCGATTCCTGGTGTTCCACTGGATGACATCTACGTCCTAGTTAGGCTAATTAGTTGGCCTGTAGCTGATAGAATAGCTCCCTGCGCCTCGTTTCCCCTGAATTGAACAACATAATTCAACATATTTGGCGACTACCCGCGTCAAACGTTGCTCTTTCGAGATTTGTACGTAGCTTGAAATCAATTCTCTTATTCGCTCGTTATCAAATAATATAGAATAATAAGGAGATGTTTAGCATAGGCTAATACCCAACATCTTAATCGGGCATTCAGCTTCAATCACGCAGGCATGTTCTCTTTGCCAAAGATAAATTAGGAATTACTTTAAAACATTGACCTAGTTTTGGAAATTACTAGTCATAAACCTCCTAATTCTTAATTAACTTGACCCAACGCTAAACAGTTTATCCATCGAGCACAGTTTTGTAGTGTACAATATAAAGAAAAGGAGACACTTGCCCAACGTTGCAGTCCTGCGGGGCTGCTTGCATGTCACGTGGGCAGATCAAGTTGTTCGGGTCTTCGGGAGGGTGTAGGATGTGTTATCACGTGATTGAATAGGGCTAGGGCTGGAAATCAGGTGATCTGGGATTTCTTCGAGGTTGTGGGCCCGGGGCCCACGACTTGACCTTGCCGTGACATCACCGAGCTGCGCGGTCCCCACCAAACTGCGCACTTGCCACGTAGATTTTCAAATTAAAGGTCATAGTAGACTCAAGTGCCCTAGTAAATAATGCTGTCTTAATTATATAATAAAATCGCTTTTTTTCGTTGAGATATTAGTCAATTTATAGGGCTGCTTTGTGTGGGTGCGCAGCTTGGTGATCCGCAGCTCGGTGATCGGTCACGTTAAATTGTCGATAATAAATGACGCAATGATAGCACAAATCATACGGAATACCATATTTCTCACAGACGTTGATTTTCAGAACATTATTTAATTGCCAAGTTGGAGATGAATGTCGCATTTCTGTTGAAAATATAGATCAGCTATCTAGAAAGGTCCACGTTCTAACCGCTTTTCTCAACGCCGATCGTCGAGTTGAACATTCTCGTTAACTATACCTCGTACTTAATTGTCTCCGGTCACACTGCTATCATGGTTGTCGAGCTCGACACTACTCTCGCGGAATTATATACCAAGCATGACCTTCCATGGCCAATTGTCGTGGACCTCTATCGAACTTACACCCATATCGATCTTCATGACAACTTCCCACGGGAAAGAGTGTTTGTCGAGGATGAGGATCCCTCTATATACTGTTCTGAAGAAGAGAATCTTCCCCGTTTCAAACAATGGGCCCTGAATTCCAGAACAATCCGGCACTTGCCCATGGTGGGGCCCGCGGATGTGATTCTCTATCTTCCTTACAATTCCCGGGACAATATCAAACGAGCATTGGACCAATTTCCAAAGCACCAGCATCCAAAGGTCCAGTATGTTGATTTGGATAGTCCATATATGGCAAAGGACCGGAAGATGGTGATAAAGGATAAAAAGTTGATTTATTGGCGACCTAAATCTTGGATGGTGGGCGAGGACTGCTCAGTACCACCCGAGCTCTCATACACGTTGAACGATAAGCGGTTTCTCACCCACCCAGAGATCCCCACACCGCTCTTAGAGATGGTTTCATTGCTGCACCAGGATCGGCGAAACACCCTTGTCGGCCGCCGACTGCCTTTTGTGGTTAAATTCTGCCGGTGCAGCTCTGGGCAAGGCACATATATTGTGACTACTGAGGAAGAAAGGCGGCAAATGCTGGATGCCGTCAGCCGATACCGTGAGAGGGGAGGGGAAGATATCCAGATATCTGAGTTCGTTCGTTCTAGAAAACCACACTACGGGGTGAACTTCTTCGTTGGTCGCTATGAGAGTTCGCAGCCCCGTTTCCTGGGTGCCACAGAGCAGGTCGTCACCAAGAATGGCATCTGGATGGGTGGGATAATCGATTATCAGGCGCAAGAGGACCTCGAGAGACGTCTACGAGACACGATCGCTGCTGTGGCACGCACATTGCAACAGTCCTCATACGTGGGCTGGGTTGGCATCGATGTTATCTTTGACAGTAATGACCGGCCTCTGGTGGTGGATCTTAATGCTCGTATAGCTGCAGGAATTGGCGTCGTCCTTTTTTCGAAGCACTTTATGTCCATGGGCCTTCCGTTTGCTCGGATGGAAACTGTATCATTTCCCGGGCCAGCTTCAGGTATCTACGCTGCACTATCTACGAGGATTGAGTCCGGACAGGTGATTATCACTCTCTCAGCGGAGGTCACAGAGTCCGAGTCTGTTGCCTCCGTAGTCTTTGGCGGTCGCAATCGAGAAGATTTAAATGCAGTGGCAGACTGGATTCGGGACGTGCTGCGAACTTGCCTTAACTAAAATGGAGGACGTCAGTCATGTGGAAATACTTGATTTAATTATCTACCCCTGCCGGGCGGTGAGCTGGAGGAGACGGGTAGGTGCAGACCTCGGTCCCGGAGACGGCGAAGGACTTTCGGGGTTATCGCTATATGCTTCGGGGTTATCGCTATAAATTAGGATGTCGTCCAGGTACGCGGTGCAGAAAACATCAAGGTAATCAATTCAGGGTAATACTGGTTCTGGCAAGCCTGCGCGTCAGTAGATGATAAGTGCGAAGCTTTCGTGATCCATTCCCGTATTCAATCAGCATCACCTCGTCGCCCTCTGAATACTCAATGTTATCAACATGGGAGGTGTGAGTGTGACCATCGTCTGTAGCAACCGCATTTACCTGCCTCGGTCGGCCGGCAACCTCGAATATGTTATTTATACCTTGTCCACCAGCGGTAGCTGTATGCAGAGTGTGGCCCACCGCATCGAAGGTTGATGTGGTCCTGTACGTGCTGGCTGCCAGGTTCACCTCTTCAGACCAGTCAAGAAGGTCATCATACTTCCCGGTATATTGGATGGATGACTCTATATAGTTGCCCTTGAAGTCAAAGTAGATATTGGTTTGCGCTCCGGATTGATCGCAACCTTGGTAAAGCTGGCCTCTCAGTTTCTTCGCCTCTGGGTCTGGCATGAAGCTTTCTCCATATCGGTTCTTAACCACGAGGGCTTCATATTCGTCGGTTCTTACCGGCTGGACTCTGACAGCCTCAACTCTCCTGAGCAGATCATAAGAAGTCCGTTTCCGTGGCCCTCCGGACGACCATGCCAGCATTGGCAGGCCAGTACAATCTGACAGGAGCCAGCGGTCCCCCTGTCTATGTTTACACTATGTAGTGGCCCCAGCAGCAGATCGTATCGGGTAGTCGTCACAGGACGGTCCAGTGCATCCGTAAGCGCTGAGATATTGCCACGTTCATCATACCTGTGTCGGATCCTACGGATGCCCCGGGACTATTGTCGAGCTCAGTGAGGATTTCTTGCCCTAGAATATTTATATAGATGGACGTTGGAGTATTGCTATAGCATGATGATTTAGCTGCTGCCTTTTTCTCCTCCTCGGGAGTGCCGGATTTCTGTCTTTGATAGTACCATGTAGGATAGTAGGAGACTCTGTCAAATGCTTGGAAGCAGCTCCCAATATCTTCGAGCGTACAGTGTCACAGCATCATAGTGTATTTGAGCCCACGGTGAGAAGCGTGATTTACTCCATGTTTGGTCGGCGTTCAACACCCCCACCACCCGATCAAGGGGGTCCAGCAGAAATCTAGTGGCAGGTGTATCGGCTATATCTGTTTGGAAGCAGAACTCATGTGTTGGCTTGAAGAATGGCGGACTCTTTGACAGCGTGCCCTTTGTCGGATGCCAGGGCACTGTACAACTGCCATTCGTTGGCTTGGTCCTCTTTAGACAGACGTACACCCTGCGTCGCCCTGTCATTGCCACTAAAGTAGGTGAGGCTAATCGAGATCTGGGCTGGCCCATCCTTGTAGTGCGTGTCACGCACGAGTTCCGCTTGAAATGCTGGAGATACCTTCTCCTGGCCAAACCAGCCCGAGCCATATATTGTCTGCCGCCCTGCATATTGTAGGAGCTCTTCCGCCGTTCCCAACTGATTACCGAAGAACTGTTGCAATTGATCTTCGGTTAGGTCGGCTGAGAATTTATCCAGGCTGTCTCCAACAGGCTCCCCCTTTTTGCCCATGACGGCCACTCCTACCCTGCGGCCGAGGGGGTTAAGAGCCGTCTGGGCTCTGTTCCCATTTGCGTCGGTAATAAGAGTCGGTCGTAGGCGAGCGTAATCATTACCGAACATGGTCTTGTTTCCCATGGCGTCTACATTCTCTATTATAAGCAAGCCGAAGCGGTCACGCTTTTGCCGTAACTTGCTTCCAAATTGATCAATCTCCATTTGGAATGTAGAATTGCGATCTAGCCGCGGGCAGCCTATTGCCGACATTATCATCTCCAAAGAGATTCCGCGTTGATGGTGCCCACCACTCATCTGGCCCTAGTTCCACGTGGCCTCTTTTACCAAGCTCCTGAGCTAAGGTCACTGGAGGTAGCAATGCCCCTCCCGACGGATCCGTCAACACCGCCACAAGGAGTTTCGTTGTAGCAAAGAGCTGGTAGCTCTGCCACTGGACGGAAAACTGCTGTAACTTTCCCTTGGGTAGCGGTCCATCGAGATACCGCCCCAAGGTGCCGCCCCGAGTACAGCGTTCGATTTTTAGCGATGAGCGCCCTGTATCCTTCTGGGGGGATATTACGTATGAGGTCCTCGGCTTTCTCGTGAATTTGAATATCCTGTACTTGATTCAGTGATTTGCAGTCGTTGGCAGCCAGCTCTTCGAAGTCATATCGACTGTCAGTTATAGCGCCTTCTAAACAACGCCCCGGGGATACGTGTGACGAACTCACCATGTAGCCTGTTTGCATTGTTTGTATCTAGCTTTGTTTTAACTCCGCCATCTCGGATCTCCTAATTATATCATCATCCCATTCCTTCTTCTTTCTTTCCTCTCCACGCTTAGAATTCTCGTTGCAGGCACCGAATATAGTTGATTTGCATCAGTTTTATCCTCTGTTTCGTAGGTTATGCTACTGTCTGCGTAATTAATTAGCGTCCACTCCTGGCTTTTTAATAAAAGTGTTTTGTGGTTAAAGTCCGCATCCTGCCGAGAGCGCTGCTTGCCTTGGTGGCGGCGTCGTAACGTGGTTTTGTTGTAGCCATATTCTGTGGCAGTCCGAGCATACTCTGACAATTCTAATAAGCTAAGTGCGGCTTCAAGGGACTCCATATTAATGGGAGCAATGAATTTTGCAAATTCTGTCTCCCCAAAATGGACGCCTCTTAAGACTTTAGCTGAACCTCTCCCGCGATGAAAAATAATATCTGTCCTTTTTTTACTGAAGAGGATGCTCTTGTGTTTGATATAGATCGTCCGATAGCCGAGTCATACAGATACCGTGGAGAAAAAGATACTCGAGGTCATTTAACGCTATATAAACCCCGCAAATCCCACATAAGAAAGATAGCCAGCGAGTGTATATACAAAGGCAAATTTAGTGTCTTCAGCCGAGCCATCTTCGGCTAGGGGTTCGGGTTCAATACCAATTCAGTAATATAGCGTATAGTCTGCGGGTTGGATATCATCGCGTCGTAGTCGGAAGTATCGAATTGAATCCCATGTGCGGCGATCGTATCCAACATCTCTTTGCGCGCGTCGGTGTGCAGCGGACACTACAGAAGGACATGCTTAGAGGTTTCCAATCCTTCCCTGCAGCCACACTAATCGCTCTCGGAGGCCTTGATCTTGTAGAGGAAGTGCGCTAGGCAAATCCTCGTTGTGCATGTCTGTATAATAACGGACGCGTATGGCTTTGGTAAGCCTTTATAAAGAGATTCAATGTTGTCTTGTTTGGGCCTTAATTGTTTCCCCAGATTCTGGAGTTGGTATTTGCAGACCTCAGTTTTCGACTGCTCGTGAAGCAAAATATTAGCATCCGTAAGCTGCGCAAGCATTGGGGGAATTTAATCCTAACATGACAGACAATACATTACCATTGGCCAACAACTCGAAGCGTTCAGTACAGTCTTGCCTAGGTTAGGAGACTATTTAGTCCCTTTAAAATCCCAAAGAGTCAAGCATAGTCAATTTAACCTGGCGTCTTTGAAAAATGTCTAGCTTGAAAAGGCAGTTCAGGACTATGGAGGTGGATGCAGGAGGGAAGGGCTAACAGGCTCCGGAGCCGGATCACAATCACGCAAGATAAGCCAGCAGTAAAGATGGCCTCCAGGATGGGTTAGCTCATGACAAAGAGGATGATACCAATCAAAAGACCATTGTAGATCACCGTAACAGATTTCCATCCCCTGCGCTACCAAGTGCCAAGGCACAGCTCTCGGAAGGAAGCCAGGCAGGAGATAAACCATCTGGTACATAACACACAAGGCACAAATGCCTTCGTGGTAATCCATAATGAATTCAAACTCAATTTCCTGATCAGGAACATTAGTGTCAGCATATTCCAACGTGACATCGGCAATAACTTGGAAGGAGGGCCCGAAGGCCTCATCATGGCCATCAGCCAGGGGGCAGGCGCTAGAAAGGAGCGGTGGCATCGTAGAAGGTGGCTATTTTAAATGATTTGGATATGAAGAGGAGAGGAGAAATGGCAACAAAGGAGGAGAGAATCTGGGGGATATTACAAAAAGACTTTCCAGCCTAGGACCAAAGAGGGTATCTATTGGTATTTATCAATAATATCATTCGCCTATCAATAACAGCATTCACTGGGAATGAGTATTTCCCAATAGGGTAATAGATAGGATAGGTAGATGTTTTAGTCTTTGTTATTTCCAATACCAAACACTGCCTAAACCGCTTCAAGCGGCTTGGTGAGTCCATCTGTGATACTCTGCCTTTCATTAATGTGGTTAAATTCAACCAATCCTTTATCCAGGCAATCGAGCACAATAATGATCAAGCCATATCATTGTTGTTAAAGAGCCCGGCTCTAACATCAAGACGAGAAAAGTCAGCTCCTTACACCCAGCTGTGGATAACAGACAACGAAGGCAGTGTGCGTGTTCTCGGCATTATCGACAAACTTCGAGAGTTGGAATTAATAACAACTTCTCTCTTCCCCAGGTATGGCTACTGCAATTGCTTTAGTGTAAACTGACGCTTCGAAATTGGTCGTTGTTGGGGATCAATCAAGTGGAAAGTCTTCCCTTCTTAAAGGGATAACCGGACTTTCTTTTCCCATTGCTAGTAAACTTGCACTAGATACGCGACGCAGATTGTCCTCCGTCGAACTGCATTAGAGGATGCCGGAGTTCCGGTCACATATATCAAGCCCAACTGCGCAAGCAAATAATGATCTGCTTTTAACTTTCAACGCAACCTCAGGGAAGAAAGAGTTTGGAACTGCCGAGGCCGAAGATATTTGATGAGGCTAGTTGCTGTAAAAAACAAAGAACCACTTTGTTTAACTTGAGTAATAGGCCGCTCGTCACATGAGTGTTCCAGGATTGAGCACCACGGACCTGTAAGGTCTGGACAAGCGAATTTCAGATAATATTATTAGACTTTCAGGTCCACGGCACTGACACCTCAGTGTAGTTGATGTACCGGGATTGTCTCAGTAAAGACTCGAATGCAATTTTTACAGCAATAAATTTTAAAAAGGCCCTAATATCCGACAAAATTCCAAACCATTGAGGGTTGTACTATTATTCGTGACTTGATCGAAAGATATATTATCGATAAGCGTACGATTATCTTGTCAGTCCTACTGTTTAAGCGCTATCCATAGTGCTGACGAACAGCAAGGGCGCGATGGATGCGAGGAACAATCTCGCAAACAACTACACATGTCGACCAGAGTGGGTCAATATAATATATTATTCAGCATCCGCTCGGTACTTTATTCCAATATTTTTCACCCTTTTCTTCAGTTCTCCTAGATTCAGATAGCTAGTTACATTTCATTGCAGATGCAATATTATTCATAAGATTAGTGATACTAGCGTATTTAGCTGGCCAATATTAGCGTGGTTGATCACCTGCCGCCCGACAGCAGGCGGTACCGAATACACATGCCAAGGCGGATGTTACGGCGAAGCAGAACTACCAGCTTGGTATTCTACGGGGTTGAAGAGCTCTACCGAAGTTGTTTTGGCAATCAAGTTTTAACCAACCGTCAACGCTGCCATGTTTAAGTCAATATCACATGGCCGATTATATTACGCCCCCCTGGGAGTTTTGTTAGCTCCATCCTAACACCTCCCCAACGGATGGGAAATCCGATGGCAATATATCCTTAATCCTAAACGCTTTTCAACGCCACCGCAAAGGATTCCGACCGGGTTCTTGGGCTGTTTACACCCTCACCTCTGAGGCGTACACGGAGGTATTGCACCGGTTAAGGTCTGACGCTGACCTAGAGAAATACGTTGAGCGCAGATTACGGTTAGTTTGATAAGTCTTTTGATCGATAAAACTTACTAACACTAGTACTTCAGCTACGATTATGATCCACTTCGCTCATTCTTGACAATCCGAATGCCTACACCCCTTCATGAAATACTCTGTGCAGAAGTGGTAGGAGAGATAACACGCCAGCTAGATATAATACGAAATAGTCCCCATCCTGAGGCTGAATTTGCGAAAAGAAATCAAACCTTTCGCATCGTCACGAGTCAAGCTACCCGAGACAACAAACAATGGAAAGGTGGAGTATATCATACGAGAACCGGATGCATCATTTGGACATTACAAAGCCCAATTTCCGGCATTATATTGAAATTGCTATTCCCAGAAAAGCCGAGAAATCAGGAACCTTGCCGATGATTATATCTTATGCACTGACGGTAGCGTCAATGCAGTGATATGCCTAGATATAGAGTATAGAAACTCGCAAAAAGCGACTATATCCATCTGGCGTCCGGCATATAGCATGCGGGATGGAGTAGAGGTATTTGAAGCATTTCCCCAGGTGAATGAAATGGTACATTTCTTACCCCTCCTAAGAAATATTTGCTCACTGGGCTAGATTTTCCGAACCGACGATGGCCAGCCCTTAGAAACAAACTCTCTGCGGCTAAATCTGAAGGATTTCGCAACAGTGGATCTTATAAAGAACTATACAGACCTGTGCCGCCATGAGATTGTCATATCCTCAAAAAACTGTGTGATTTTCTTTCGCAGGCTGAGTCGAGACAAGAGACACAGGAGCGACACATGGGCTCTACCAACCGGATTCGACCAGGAGTTCAGAAGCGTCGCCGACCTGTAACTCCGGATTCGGATACTCAATCCGAGGAAGAGACAAAGCGAGTTCGTTACGATGATAGTGAATACTACCCTAGTTCATCACCCATACGACTGAACGGCTAAATGGAGGATCGGCGTAACTCTAAACCTGGCACTGATTACACAGACATAAACTACCCTGCACCTTTCTGTATCCCTATAACCTTCACTTGGACGATTCATCTCACCCCAGCAACTCACCGAGTACGCGGGATCTCGAAAGGTCATAGATTAGATTGCAAATAAGGTTTATAAGACAGATGAATATTTAACGCTACGATATTTATTCCCAATCAATACATACCTCTCTGGGTAGAGATGTTGGAACATCGGGCTATCCCTCTTGCGAGTACTGCTCCGGACTGTCTTAGTCAGCACCTGTATGTGATAACTAACCTGCTAGTTAACTAGTTACGAAGGCAAATTCTATTGTACAGACTTAAAGTTCAACGCCTAAGAAATATACGGTCAGGCAGATCAAACCGAATCATACAGATAATTAAGCAAAATTACGAGTTATTTGGATATAATTTGCTGTAGTTTTTCATTTAATTATGAATCAGACCAAGACTCGATAGTATACAATTTATGTTTGCATTTGTTTGTCATCCTGTAGTTATCCATAACGTTGACTAACTGACTCCGAGTTCCCGAGTCTCCGAGTTCGACAACTTAAACGGGTCACGTGAGATATCAAGGTAATTTAGCGACCCACAAGAAACAAGGAAATATTAATTGAGAGCAATTAGCTGGACAAGTATAGTGTGAAATATGCTCACTGGGCTCATATAAATCAGCAATCAAAACAAGAGCAACTTAGTCGAGCTATTGCGATGGTGAGAGCTTGATGGAAAGGGTTTGTCAGAGCAATTAGAGACTTTGCCGGTATTAGTGCCGCACCCCCCCGCCTAGCCGAAGGCGGGGGGGTGCGGCACTAATACCTCAGTTGTGTCCTCTGGGCAACTAGATCATGTGACCTTTAGTGATTACATGCCTGAACCCCACCATCACTGCCGGATTACCCCTCAAAATAATGCTTAAACAATTAACCACATACGTGGTTATTATTCCATGACTCCTTAATATTTAGTATGTCTCTTTCTTTTGTAATATTTTCCCGACTACATTGCACTCGATAATAATTCTATGTGAATGAGGGCGCGCCATTCTTTGTAAGTGTCATACTGCTTTTACTTGCAAAACAAGGGGTAGACTATGTTGTTAATGAAAGAGGGGATCGAATGTATGACAGTACGAAGATATCCTCCTTCGTCAAGCCTTACTTGAGGACATGGGCCTTGCAGTAGGTAATACTATACCACATTCAATAGGTCGTGTTGACGAATCTGTAGGGCTCGAAATTTACGATGTGGCGATTCTCCATTACCCAACCAGTAGAACCAAGCCGCGACGATAAGCTATATACAATCCCGATCAGCATAATAAGCGGTGCACCACAAATAGTCAAAGATGGGAGGCAAAGCCATATCATCCTTGGTTGTTATACTGAAACATATGGTGACTTTGAGAGTACTCCGGAGCTTGATTTTCTGTTTGTTGGAAATTTTTGAAAGATGACTTCCTTTTGGGTCGATTTTATATAAACATGTGGTCGCCAAAGGGATTGAGAGGCACAAACTGTCGCGCATAAGTTTCCCCGGACATATAACCGAAAGGATCAAAAGACTGAAAGAATATTTTTTGAATGGAAGAAATGATCTCAAGCTCATAGCCAAGGCATTTGCAGGTGTCTGACAATCTATGGAAGTATGTTAAAATTGATACTTCACGAGAATAAGTGGTCATACTGTATAGCCTTTCCAGCGATGGATTTCACAATACAAGCAAGGCAGAAGGGGATCCAACCCTCTTCATATATTGGCACTCGTTTCGCCTGTTTCATGCCAATCCTCGTCACGACTTCCTCAAAGCTACGGGAGTCGTAGGCCGCGAAACGCCCAAATTGTGCAGGAGATCGGGCGTCTTCAAAGAACAGTCAGTGATCGTTATTCATGCTAAAGGATTCTTGCACGCACGCAGGAGGAATATTTCCCAGCTTCTGTGGCCCCAACCTTCCTGCAGAAGTAATGCAATGCATCGATTTACCCATAAGGCACCGTATCGGTAGGAATCGAGTGTTTTGTCATCGTAATTTTGGTTGATATAGTATCGCATCATAGAATAAGCTGTTTGTTTGGAATTATCGGCATGCAGGAGAACAGCACAGTAACTGTCTTAGTCAGCAACAGCGTGGTTAACTTATGTATCTAGCCTACATACCAGGCACATAATTACCTCTGTACCCCTTGATCTCAAATTCCTTCATGCTTCTGACAAGAGTTGAACGACATGTGAGATGTCATCCAGGTACTTTAGGCGATGCAAAGAAGGCATGATTAATCGTGGGCAATCAGCTGGACTGTGTAGTATAAAATATGCTCACTAGGATACAATTCAATCAAACTATTGCGATGGTGAGAACATAACTAGAAAAAGAGTACTTATTAAATGCTTCTCAACCTATTGCTGCCTGATCCTACTTCTCGATAATTCTTCCGGGGAACCTCCCTTACCTATAGCGCACTAGCTATCGGGCAACACTTTAAGTCCCGTGTGCTTTAGCCGTACGACGAGATATAATGTCACGTGGTTAAAGACGCATTTATTTTTTTGAGGAAATATCTGGTTTTTTTTCACGGGCTTGTGCAACAAGAAAAGTCAGCAGAAGGAGGGCTTCTATTCAATAATTGTCCATTCTATGAATTATTTTATTTTTTTCGGCTTAGTTTCTATAGGGAGAATTAGGATGACGTTATGTTACTGGCGATTAAACTGCGTGTCCGTTGGGCCAATATTTTTACCCCACTAAAATTCTTCGTCCCATCAAGTCTCTACCTACTACCATACCGCATAGGTGTTAAACTACTCTCTATTCATGTTCGATAGGAAGACATATTGCAGGGGTGAAAATTTCCTTTCGGTGACTGTTATTTTAGTATTTCATCTGTTGTTTCCTCTTTTACTGACTTGGAACAGGTCGGTCTAAAATCTGAGCCCGAAATGCGCAGCCGTAAAGCTGACCTATTCTGGTCCTAGCAACTCTACGTCGTCTTCTTTTGAACGCAATATCCAAAGGACTTTATTATTATTCTATTTAGAAACACCGATATGTCATCTGAGGGATCAGAAAAAACGTTAAAGCTTGTTCACATTGAAAAGCCCCCAACCTCGATCGATAGCCTCCTTACGGATGCAGAGGCCGACGTTAGCCAACGAGCAAAGACACTTAGAACATGCCCTCCTCTTTCGAAAATTTTGCCGCCGGACAAGAGTGTTGTGAAGCTTATGGATTCATATTTTGCGAATTACTCATTAGTATGTTCGACCGGGTCTATTTATGCGAGTCGGCTGACGGCGGCCCAGGTTTTATCAGAAGCATCTGCAAGGGCTGGAACAGAACTTAAGGTGATTTGGGACACTGCAATCCTTGAGGCTGGATTTGTGAATCTTCCTAATATCTTCACCTTTGTAATTGTCCGGTTCTTTGAGATGGGCAAAATCAAGGTTGAGGCCGAGCATCACAATGGCTCACAACTGGTTGACTGGGCAGATGGTCCGATTGCCATCATTAAGAACGCTCGTAGGATCAGAATAACAGGAACAGGAAAACTAATAGGCAGCTTTGTTAGCTATGAGATGCCATCACCACCGGCCCCTTGAAGGAGTTATATTGCTTGTCATTAAACTACGTCCGTTTTGCCTAGAATCAACAATTTAAGAAGCAACTAGCATTGGACTCCCATAACTTTGACTGTTATAATGAAAACAATGTCCAGACATATCGCCCGGCTGGCCATGGCGAGGTTCGTTGACGGCATACACCTGCTCCGGCGGTTCCGATGGTACGTTTCCCGTGTGTCCACTCACTGTGTTGATCTGAGAATGGTTCGTGGACTGAGCGCCATCTACAGTGTGATGAAGGGGCTCCGGATGATAGCCGAGGGTACTGACTTGTGGCATTTCGATTTGTGCAGCGTAGTTGTTTCGCATCGAAGGATGGGGAATTGTTTGTTCAAAATATCCATAGGCGCTGATTTGAGGCATGTTCGTCTGTCCTATAAAATTGTTTTGCGTCGATAGATGAGGAATAGGTTGCGCGAAATGTCCGTAGGCGTTAATTTGCGGCATGTCCGTCTGTCCTATCAAACTGTTCTGCGTCGATAGGTGAGGAATAGGTTGCTCGAAGTGTCCATAAGCGTTTATTTGCGGCATATCCATCTCTGCCATAAACATGTTCTGCGTCAATGGATGAGGAATAAGTTGTGACATGTTTGTCGCTTGGTCGCTTTGCATTTGAGAAGGGGACGTAGTAGCTAAACTCTCGGAGGATGTGAGGTTAAAAGTCTGCTGGGGGTTTGCTTGAGGTTGAACGTGCTGGTCGTCTTCAAAGAAATGTCATTATTTACCTCTTTAAATATGAAACCGGTATATACATACCAAGAACTCGACTCGCCGACGATATGATAGGATTCTGTGCCACAGTACAAGTCTCTGAATTCTGACTTAACTGACTTGGAGTTGCCCTTGAATAGAGTTGCCCTTGAGGAACTCTTCGTTCCAGCACCTCCTGTAATGAACGTTGAAGTGGTCCAAGGATCTTATTGATTTCACCTTCTGCACACTCGTGTAGACCTCTTTTCACGGCTTCACCAACGATTCCCTCTTGCTTTAAGCGGTTTAACATGGAAATCCGATTTGGGTTGCTTGCAGTCTTTGGGACTTCTCTCGTCCATCTATAGACCAGTTAGAAGCAAGGAACCACAGCATGGCCATTAACATACAAAGTTTCCCCCCCGTAGTCAGGGAGAATGTACAACACTCCCAGTCCGCCAAGGTCGTTCGCTAATCGCTCGTACCTTTCGCCCTTGCCAATCCAACCCCGGACAGTACTATGAATCTTATCGAGTGGGTCACTGCTTAAGCTGTCGTTCAGTATGACCTCCGCTATGAAATTAGTTGCGCTGTAGTACTGGCGTTGACTTCCAGGTTCTACCCATTGTTTCAAGCGGTAAAACATGACATAAAGGAGCCTGAGGCGGATCTTGCACAGATCATGATCCTTCTCAACCCTAGTTATCAATTTATACAACCCGGCAATGGAGTCAACTAGATAGTCCACGGGAAAACATGACCCCTCACGGCTGTGCTGATATTCAGATGTTCTTTTCCCGCATTGCAGGGCCTGTGTATTCGGAAACAAGATTTCGCGCTTCGCTGCTATGTCTTCCACGACTTGGGGAATTTTGACTGCGGCATTTTTACGCGTAATAGCTCTTTGGAGATTAGACCGGCGGGGAGAACCACGTATATCTTGAGGGATATGTTGGCAGATACTTTTCACAGCCTTGATAATGGTCTACGGAGAGACAACCTGTTATATGTGGAGCCGCACAATAAGGGCAGGGAATAAATACTTCGTCTTTCCAGTTCCAGAATGAACTATCATCCAGCCGAGTTTTGCCCTCAAATTCCGCATGTTGACAGGCAACCAACACATTCTCGGCTAATTGCTTACTCTCAGAGATACCCATTTGGTTGATAAAATAACAAGCCTTAAAACCCTCGCTTCGCTCGGCGGCTTGAAGTCTGCCCGACGCTATTCCTATTATGGTCTACACGTGACATTGATTCGGACCGTATCAACACGAACACAAAGAACTGTGGACAATGAAGCCGTAAACAGGCCGTAATTAGGGCGAAGAACAATAGGAGTAGTGAATTTATATATAAAAAAAACCTATCCAATGACATGCAAAGGGCTTATTCAGAGGCTTACAGATCGGTAGAACAATAGAAAGGCCCGAAATATATAAAGAACCACAATCCCCCCGTAGATTTAGAACTCGGATCCGCAAAATTTTTGAGTCAAATATTTCGATTTTTTTACGGACCCAACTATGGCCCACCGAGTTGATGGACCTGCCCCCGGGTCGCTGGCGGCCAGGCACCTCGACCTCAGCAATTTTACGGGCCAGACCTCCTCTGCCATGCGGCAATTATCAACCTTCCCCGCTGTCCGCGAGCCGCAATTCCGGGCCGCTGGGGCCAGACCAAACTTCCGCAGAGCCGTTAATGCAGAAGCAGTCATGGGCCAGGCAACTGGACTTAAATACGACCCAATGCACGCATTGTGCGCGGGGCTATGGGCCCTTTACCCTGTGCGTTTCGTCCGCGGGCCGCTTTGGTGGTAGTTGTGCAAATTGCCACTACAACAGTAGTGGAAATCGCTGTTCCCTGCGCCGTTTGTAAACCCTATTCGGTCTGTAAGGATATCAGCTAACGACCGTAACAGCCCAGCCGGAGGAAGAAGGAGTGGAAGAAGAAGAGGAGGAAGAGGAAGAGGAAGAGGAAGAGGAGGCAGAGGAGGGGGACCGGGGGGAGTGGGCCGTTTAGGGGCGTATACAGTCCGTCGCGCTGCCCCCGCTGCTAATATCCGCAATGCCCGCCGGCTACACCGGCTTTTTATCATGGCCGCAACGAATTTCGACGCGGCTGCGGCTGGCCTTGCGGCCGTCGCCCGGGCTGCACTTAATTGCGGACGATTTTGCAGAGGACGCCGGTTTCGAGCCGGTGGGGATCCAGACCTTGACAGTCTGGACCGTGAGATCCTAGGGGACGACGAAGACGGGAGTGAGTAGGGGGTTTCGGGTGGGGTTTTACGGCCTGTGATTAGTGTTTTATAAAGGCTGCGGCCTGGGGCTGGTCCCCGAAGTCAACGGTTCAGAGGAAATACTAACCGTAGGATTTGTAGACATTGTAGAACTTCAGGCCATACCACATTTTCGGTTGTCCTTGCGTACGGTGACAATAGGATGCTCAGATTCTTGACATCCGTAACTCTGGAGAGGGCCACATACAGCTGACCGTGGGAGAAAGCAGGAACCCGTAGATCAATTCCTACAGTCTGCAGTGACTGGCCCTGTGACTTATTTACAGTAATTGCAAAGCATGGACGGACCGGAAACTGTGTACGCGATAGTTTAAACGGCAGCTCATCAGCATTTGAATAAAGCGTAATGCGCGGGATTACATGCTCTATCCCACAGTAGTCGCCTGTAAGCACCCGCGCCTTGATAACATGCGGTAATAGATCCGTAATTAAAAGGCGTGTTCCATTGCAAAGACCCTCTGACGGCCGAAGATTCCGAAGCAACATAACAGGCATATTCTTTTTCAGGGCAAAATGGAAGGTGGAAGGCCCGGCAGGTCAACCGACTGCAGGAATTCAGTTGTATAGTCATCTGTATCATGATGCACGTTATCCTGTAAAGCCTTATCAACAGAATAACGGACCGACAGATCACCTGGCAGGGATGCGGTAACCTGGTTATTAAGCTCTGCGAGGTGGATATTACGCATGGTCAATATAGCACGGCCCGCAAAGAAATCCGGGTCCTGCTGCCCATGTAATGAAGCGGTGGGAAATACACGCTCACAAAGCTCCTCCAAGGACTGTACGGTCCTATCCTGTAGGAATACAGGTAACTGCAGTGAGCCGTACATGTCCTTCTTATAAGACATATAACTCAGCCAGTCTGCAAAAGCCCGATTTACGCCGGTAGGCGGCAGCCGCATATTGGATGTAAGATGAAGAAGCGTCAACTGGGGCCATATAAAAGACCTCTGCAGACAGGCACCAGTAATACCGGACCGTGGAGCCCTTGGTACGACCGGAAGAGTTTGGGCAAAGTCCCCGCCCATTAAAAATGGTATTCCACCAAAAAGTCGTTCGTCGTTACGGACATCAGTAAGGAAATTATGGACCGTTTAAAAGCTAATCGGTGCTGCATGGGCACCTTATCCCAAATAACAAAGTCCACAGTCTTAAAGAATTGAGCCCTTGCGGTCTGTATATTAATAGAAGAGACTGATGTTTCATTCAACTGTAGGGGAATACCGAAAGTAGAATGAGCTGTACGGCCGTAGGGTAGAAGTAAGGAGGCAATTCCAGAGGAAGCCACGCAGAGTATTGTTTTCCCTAAAGACCGCAGGTGATAGTAAAGGGCCCTGTACAGGAAGGTCTTTCCAGTCCCTCCCGGACCTTGCACAAAAAACTGGCTGCCTCCCGACGTTCTACAGCTGCAACGACTTGTTCAAAGCAAGATTTCTGGTCATTATTTAGCTGCTGTACCATATCCACGGTGGTAACACCCAGGCTTTCAGACCGTAGATCGGGCATAGTTATAATATGATCGGATGCTATACCATGCCATGGCCCGCAAAAGTCTGGTAACTGATAGTCACTCAGAGTCTTACCGTGCTCAGATAACTTGCCGGACAGCAAATACAACCCGTAGTCAAAATGACGGTCCTCGAGACTTGGCGGATTCTCCATTCGGTTGATCCTGCGGCCCAGATCACCACAAATACTATCCTTAAACTGATCCCAGAGCGCATGCGGCTCCGTAACATCCCCGAAGACCAATGCAACACTTAAAAGGTTCCGGAGTTGGTGGCCGGTTGCAAAACAGCCGCCTCGTTAAATGCAGCAATCCATTCACGATCATTATCTAACAGGCCCATTGCTTTACAGGCCTCTTTAAAGGTGTCATACACAACAGTATCCACAGTACGGAGGTCCTCAAAGGATATCGAGCCAACCCTTACAGTTAGTAGCAATCGTATATAAAAGTGCTCACCCTGGTTCGGATGACAATGATACATACGCCCAACAGCAAAGCCCGCCTTACGGGCTCTCCACACCTGCTGGCTACCAGACGAATCCCACACAAAATGCTGGGGCATATGGGCGTAAAGATAGCAAGGCAGGTCTTTACAGGCCGCATACGCGTTGTAAGCAAAGTAACCCATTAATATAGTCCGGTAATCCTCCGCTAGCTGGCGCACTTGGTCCGTAGACTGGCCGACACGGTATGGGATTATATGGCCACCGGGAGTATGGACCTGTAGGGCCTGTACTGACGGCCATTCTTGATGAACTGGGTAACCTAAAAGACGCCATACAGCCTCCGACGGCCCAACATAGCGGGCTTCAAGATACTGGCTGACCTCACTGTTCAGGTCAATGTGAAGAGTTGTACGGTCCGGACCCTTATAAATATATTTAGTAATATATTTAATAACCTCAACACCACGACAGATCTCAACATTAATATGGGCTTTGAACCGCTTTAAAAGATACGGATTGTAAGGGACCACCCATATATCATCAATTTCAATTAAACGGCCCCGTAACTCTTTAATGAACTGGCCTGAACCCAGACAACGGCGACGGTACTGGGGATATCCGTTTTCTTGCGGGAGTGTCTCCATTATACGGCCCTTTGGGAACCGCTTGGTGCAGTATAAATTACCCGAGTCAGGATGTTTATCACAACAGGGGGCTTTTGATTAAAGTCCGGACCGCAGGGGTTGTGGATCATATGTGCTTTACGAGTTCTATAGTTCCGGGTTAGCAGGGTAGGGAGCTCTGCACACACAATCTCGTCAATATAAGGCCTGAAGAAAACGATCACGGCCCGCTAAAAAAAGAACTAAATGCATATGTGGGAGGCCACGCTTCTGGTACTCAATGTAAAAAAACGACCGTAGGATTTACCGAAAATACCACGTGTATGCACTCTCGAATAAATTCGGTCCGTTTTAGGTTAAACACGCGGGCTACCAAGTCCGGACGGTCCTCCCAGCTCTGGCCGGGCAATAGTTCCCGTGAAATTTCGTTCCATTTCGGGTTCGCAGTAAATGTAATAAACAAAGAGGGCGGCCCGTAATATTGACAAATTGACATTGTGTCCTGATATAGCTGCTGCATAAAACGTGGACTGCCAACATGGCTGGATGGTAAAATAACTCTACGGCCAGATTCAATAGTCGCTTCCACATCCCTATCTGCATGGGCAAGAGCATCAGTAAGTCCAGTGTATAAATCGGCCCGTATATCATCCTGGTGCCTTGTAATCCAATCTAAATTGGACTGCTCGATCGTAGCCCAGGCGTCAACTAAATACTGCTGCCAGAGACGGCCCGCACACAGCCATGAGCTAAACAGGTTGGTACGGGTGAAAAGACGATACGAATGAAAAAGCCTGGCTGTAAGACGCTCATTTTGGCGCTGGCGGCCCATATTCTGCAGCTGCAGACCCCACTGCCAACCACCATCACCGTAGGGAAACAGCAATGGATACTGTAGCGGGATGTAAGCAGAGTGAGCAGGGTTAATTTTAGTTAGTCCTGAGCCTACTTCGGGCCGCCGAAGGCGCAACACAACATCGCGAAAGTTTAAATTATTGTCTTCTGGGCCCAAATCGGGCCGGGGAAAGACTGCAGCAACCTCGCCAGCGGTTGGAAGATTATACCGACGGCGATCATTGCCCTCTAGGACTTCAAGATGCAGAGAGGGCGCGAGGAGCACCTGTACAGGTGTCCAACGGACCGCGGCTGCCTCTAACTGTTCCCATGCAGTTTTATATATGTTGATAAAGGGACTCACACAGCGTAGAATACCGTCCAACTTCTGCAGAATAGATTTATTAAGGACCTTATCTGAAGTACAGCGAGCAGTATTCGCAGCCTCCGGGTCGTGGAACCATAGCTGAGCGTACTTCGGCTTGTCACCTTCATCAGCAAGTAACGGTCCTTGCAAATGGACCAATTGGCCCTGTATTTGAACCGGACCGTGTTGGCCAGCGGTACGGTGGTCAGATTTCATATTCATAGACGTGAAACACAGCGCGCCATTATAGTGGCGGATGTTACGGCGAAATTCCCGATTCTCAGGGGTGTTTTCAGTATATAAGCGGCTTAATTCATATGGTGGCTCACGGACGGGGGAGGTTGCACTTCACCACGAAGGCAACACTTTGTAAAGACGGGATTGCGGAGTGTAGAACCGTTTTCTCGTTCACCCTTCCAGTGTAAAGCTTGCATATGGACACTCTAGATCCATCGGCCCAAATCCAACGGTCTATATATTATCTGAGATCGGTAGCCGAGCGGAGAGGACCGTGCAAGCCCCGTATGCCGGGTCATTATCAGGGTCGCTTGCGGCTCGTCGGGGTCGTCTTCAACAGGGTTTGCAGGAGGGACTACCCTTGGGGTACAGGGTTAGAAAGACGATACTCATTCAACTAAAGCCAATTTAGAAAGACCGCAAAAATAGGTAAACAAACAGACAGTTAAACAGCGACTGAACTTGCGCCGGTAACATTCCGGTTCGGCACAGCCCACGAGAACTCCTGTATATCCTTAAGCAGCCGCAACGCGAGCAGTGCTGGAACCTTCAGTGCAACACGCGGCGGCGAGGCCTAGGAAGAGCAGAGGTTCTTCGGACCGTAGATCAGGAGGAGGCAACTCAGGGCGCAGGAGCACGGAGGCAGTAGGGGATACTGGGCGTGAAGCTGGGCGTGAAGCTGTGGAGCAACCAAAGCAGTGTGTTGGCGAAGTCGAGCAACCGGTAAAAGTGTCAGAAAGGTCTGTAAAGGCTGCATAGACAACTTACACGGCAAGTAAAGCATGTTGCGAACTGCTGAGAAGCTTGCGCCCCTAAAGGAGCAACACGTGAAAAGTCAAGGACTTTACAGATTGTTTTACAGCAAGAACAATATTAGTATCCGTAGGAACAGGTTCAATGACGGACCGCTTGCGTCTAGGCATGGACATAAGCGCAGGCTATATGTATAGCAGAATATAAATAACAACCAATTCCATATTTACCAGCCAGAATAACGCGAGATAGAACTACAGATCGGCCGAAAGATGGCCCTACGGGCCGTAGAATGGCGAAGCGTAGGCTCTATACTGGCCGTAAATCTGATTCCACCCGTAAACACGTGACTGCGGTGGATCCATTATGATTCTGTTATAATATAGTAGAATATGGTAGTACAATATGGGAGGTAAACTTTGGGATTCCCAAAGTGGACAGAGAGCGGCGGCAATCACTTATACGCAGGCGATAACAACAGGATCAACATCTTCGGTAAAATTATGTTCCATCTTGGCATGACACAGGCTTCAGCACTGGCCGCGTAGTGTTTGTCTCCGCCTCGAAGCCCTCTTTCTACCAAACGAATTTCTCACCAGTAGGGTTCAACAATATGTTTAGTTGAACATTGAGTACAAGGAAAGTGGAAAATTGGAAAATATATGAAGATTTTTATTTAAAAGAAAAAAAAAAAAACTCTGAAGTAATCATGGGGATTAATAATGGACAGCATAGCTAAGAGGAACTTTGTTCTGCTATTAATAAAACACAGCTTGGGGGACCACTATCTAATCTGAAAGGTACAGAGCGCAAGGCGCTGTTCAACTTTATGAAACGGTTTTGGGTGGAATTCTACTAGAGCCCCAGTGCGAAACTGGGTTCCGGGTCGTGAATTTATGGGGTTCATAAATGCCACTATCCTCAAGTTACTATATAAGTTTGAATAAGAGTGCGTTTTAGGGGGTTGGTGTAGTTTTACATACTCATAATAACATGTCCATGTGCGTCTGATCTCGCCGTCACGGAAATCTGCCGTCTAGGGAAATTATGTTAATCTCTGATACTAACATGGCCTTGAATCATCCTTACCAAAGCTTGAATAAAATATTCCATTAGCTCATTTTCATCATCCAGCCACTGCTGCTGGCGCGGTGTGATTGAGTCGCAAGGCAAAGTCTGAGCACGATCAAAATCAACCCAAACCACCCTGGCTGAGCCTTCCTGAACCATCATATTTCGTGGATATGCATCCCCATGATAAACTCGAGCTTCATGGATTTGTGTAAGGATCTGACGGAGTTTGAAGACCCTCTCCGCCGAGAAGGTAGATAGATCTATCTGTCGAAGGTTTGGCACGTATTCAAGTAAAATAGCGTTGGGACGCAGACGGTCCGCGACGAACTCTTTCAGGTGAGGTGACCACTCCATTGGGTTGATTTGTTTTATCAGGCCATAGAAATCGGGGACATATCCTCGGTCGCATAAACCATGGGTTTTCAGGCGAGTATAAGCAACGCTTTCACATTTAAAAATATCGACTTCGCGGTCTGTGGGATCGGCATGGGATGCTTCGGTACTATGATACTAGGAACATGTTAGATGCCAAAGTTAGAAGGTCTGGCTGGTTGCGTACCACTTTCAAGATGCACTCTTGTCCGCGCCAAAGGGTGTGGAAGATGCACGACGACTCCGAACTCTTAATCTGCTCAACATATTCTACCTCTGATATACTGATTTCCATGGCGTTTGAATATGTGGGGGACAGGGCTCCTTTAACGAAGGGTACGAAACATTAAACCTTTATAATGCGATTATCGAGTAATTTTGGGACTCCAGGGGCGCTGAAGCTAGACCTATTCCGGAATTGGTTCTTTATGGAATAGCGCAAAGCAAACCCCCACAGCATATTTTATGGGAAGTATGTGGGGAAGTATGTGGGGAAGCCTAGCGCTCTGCTTCTATGTATCTATCTGTATGCTAGTTACGCAGACTTACTTTGCAATCCTACATTTCAAAAATACTAAAATCGTATACGTCAGTTAACCATCTGTAAATGTAGCTGTTTGTGACGCCCAGCATGCTTAGACAATGTAAGCGCCTCACCTAAGCAAACTCCGTTTATAGGCAGACGGCATTGAGCCTAGAATATAAATTCGCGGTACCTTTCACAGAGAGAGAAGCCATGAACATAACTTCTTTCCTGACTACATTTGCAGCGCTATTCTTATTACTTATCATGGCTCAAGTTACTCTTCTCGCTTACTTGCAACATGGGCCGCCGACATTACCAGTCATTGACCAAGGGCAATCAAAAGATAATACAACAAACCTTAAATATTCCGCTGATGATATCACGTACGTGGGACACTGGGCTACTTTCAACTTAAACACAATCCTACAGCAACATCAAGGGATGCTCAGAAACAGCCGGATCGAAAATGAGCCGATGCCTTCATCGCCGCCTCAAGCAATCAACTCCGAAGTAGGTCTTCGACAACGCTTCGTATTCTATTTGAATTCTAGGGTCAGGAGGTCACTTCGCAATGGATTCAACTACATGGTGACAAATAATCTACTCGGCAATCGCACTGTTGTGGATTTCGGAGAAGGAAACTTGGCCCAAATCATAGACCTGTTCACACCTGATACCGCATACTACGACCCGCTTCTCCCAGCTCCAACTAGGCCGAACCGTGTCCCTGGAGACCTGAAGCCCTCTTTCAAGTGGTCTCTCGATCTGAGGAACAGCTCATCCCCGTATGAGAGAAGACAATTCAAACAAGCGTTATCACAAGTCAACTATTACATGAAGCAGCATAAGACTCGATTTGGATATATGCTTACAGATTGTGAGCTTGTCGCCATTAGACGCCTTGACAATAACGGCAGATTGGAGTTATCTAACTCCATTCCGTGGAATACAAGTGGAACTGAAAGCCATCCGCGACTTACAGTGCTGCTTGCCTTGTGGTACTTGGGAATGCTAGCCTCTGACAATCAACAATGGAGTTTATCCTAGAATATGCCAAAAAAAAAAGGGGGGGACGAAACAGATGACCCGTACTCCCGTCTGTTTTTTCCTTTCTTTTTTTTTTTTTCTCGGATTTTCATTTTCTGGTTTTCGGGGACTTTGTCTTTTCTTTCTTTCTTTCTCCGTAGGTGTAATGCTTCAACAGCAATATAGTGGCGTGTACTTGACCATCAACTGTTCAAGCTGGGCCCATAAGTGTGTATGTGACAACTGTGTATGTAACTATTTGTTGTACGTACCTAATGGAATTCATCAATAGCAACACAGCGTTTAAATTCCAAAAATACAATGCAACCACTTTTGCATTGCTGTAATTACCCACCCACTTATATGACTTACAGATCAAAGTAGCCCAAGTGCGTAACGCCAATGCTAATGGGCCAGGTATTATCCTGTCCTTGCCCATAATATAGCTCAACATGCTTTGTAGAAACACCTTGCCGATCATAGATGACCTGGTGGAGCCCATTAAACCCTTTTCTGAATAGTTTGTCTTTAAAGACAAACTATTCAGAAAAGGGTTTAATGGGTCTACGTACACTGAATGACTGTGGGTCTGCGGGTCCGTTAAATCTAGGCCAATTGATGCGGGAACTTGCAATTTAGATAGAAGTGTAGAAGGAAATGGTCGACATTTCCTTGATATCCTCTATTGAGATATGCCATCAAAGTGGAAATTCTCAATTTGCTTTCGCTTGTGATAGGCTATATGTTTTGAACGCAGTAAAATCACGCAGTTTTTGATCCTTATTTACAAAATGCCGAAGCAGTTGTCTAACGCATTTCGGGTGTGCCGCATACTCAGACCGCACAGAATTTGGAGACTTGAACTTAAGCGCTTGCTTGATATTAGCAAGTTTTCTTTCTACGTATATGGGATACAAATTCTCGCATTGTCTTGGATCCCTTAAACTTTCTAATGCTCTGGCCTTCAAGTTTCTGACATCTGCAAGTGCAGCGTGGCTTAATAAATTCTACTGTACTGCCTCCCTAGAAGTGCGTGTTTTCTACTTTTAATAAGCGTTATTATATTACTCCCTGCACTTATTCTTCCCTCTTTTGCATCTATGTTGCCATTTTTGTGTTGCCTTGGCCTTTCACGTAAGGCTACCGACTCGTATTTCCAAGGTTTGACCATGCATGACCGATATAGAGGTTAGATCATCTAGTCTCTCAGCCAAAGGATGGGCAGATTGAAGAGGATAAACCTCTAGCCTCTCTACTAGAGGATGGACAGACTGAAGTGGATGGACGCCCTGTTTTTCGCAGACACTACATAAAGGAAAGAGTTGGGGATAACCATTATAGAATGGTGCGCCAAGAGAGTTGGCGCTATATCATCAATCTCAGGGAGGAAGTGCAAGCTACTGCATTCAAGCTAATAGATGTTGAAGAGAGGGTGCTTCTCGAGTCAGAGCGTGGTCGTCAGCTATTGGAGGATCATAAAATATGCAATCGTCTTGGGTGTATGAAATAAACGAAATACCGCTTTGTTTTACTACGTTTCTTCCAAGATAGAGAATCCTGCGCCCGAGTCTCGATTGCATTTATAATTCTCTCTATGCCCGACAAGCCTTTTTTGTCTTTTTTTTAATCATGAATACTTTGATAAGGGCAGGCCAGACCTATTATATCTTCCATACTGCATATATTGGGCCTCATATTAGGTCCTGCCTTTGTTTTAAATTCAGGTTTTCATCAACTATGGCCAACAAGTCGCCACATGTGAATGTACAATTTCGTCCCCAGGATGTACCTGCGCTCCATTGTCTAGACTTTCCCGGTTTTGAGAAGATTTGGACCGACAACTATCTATTATTAAAGAGCCAACACCCATGCCGTATTGAAGAGTGCCAAGGAAGCCAGCCGCTTGCTTCTGTGGGTGATATACTAAGCGACCAGGGGTATGTGATGCAGTGCACGAATTTCAAAGACCCGGAAAAGCCAGCTGCGTCAAAGGGACGGCCCCAGATTTACTTCATCTACAGTGGTGAATCTATATACAAATTCAGCAGTCGCCTATCTTAGATGGCACATGTAAGTTAACCATGTCCTAACTATGTATACATAAAATTAATCAAGGCCCAGCACACATATCACTACATATGACTGCCTGAAAATGCCAGTAAGGGGTAGTCATATAGGTTTGGTCGGCACCGTGTTCAGCTCGAAGCTCAGGCGGAAATAATGTAACGTAGGAAGGGGCTTGGTACTCGTAAGGTATTCGATCGCCGGTGTTAGAGCTGGACCTCCGGCGGAATACGGATGGTAATACTAGGTGAATAGGGCCATACTATAAAAAGCCATGAAAATCTTCTTGATACTGATTTATCTCGTTTTCGCTTTTCTACTTTAGAATGCTCTAATTGCCGGTTTATATTCCAGGAAGTCGTCTGTTCTTTGCAGGTCAATATCCTTATTGTTGATATCAACACATCTCCTTGTTCCAGGTTTCTTTTGAAGCATTCTGTCAGTGACAGTCATCCTGGGTGCTTGGAAGGGGTTGGAGGGCAAGTCGAAGACAGCGACAAAAACTTGCGTGAAGCTGCTGAACGCAAGGTCAAAGAAGTGACAGGAGTTACTGGCTTATCATTCCTTGGAACTGCTCAGACAAAGTCATCGGATACTGTTGAAGTTGATGGGATACACCATTGGGTCCAGTTTACATATATTGCTACTGTTTATGGGCAGCCTGGCTGGAAGGAAAGAATACGCCTAGAAGGAGATGGACGTCAGAATCGGGTGTGGGCAAAGAAGGATGATGTGCTGATGGATCGGAGTGTATTCTGTGGAAGTCATCTAGAGACTATCCTCGAGGCCTTTGATGCCTTGGATAATAATTTTGACATTGGCCGCGTCGATTACAATCACCATGACATTCGTCCGCTAAGTAACAAGCGGACCTAGCCAACGTTTCGCTCTATTTGGTTGATACTTGAGTCAATCCTGCTCTATCAAAAAGGCTCTTAATACTGTAGATTGGTTATCACTGCCCCGTTTGCGTTTATGTTTCTTACAACTTTCGCTGGGGTACTATAATACGACGGTAGTGTCAGGTCAAGCTATACTGTACTTACAAGGAGCGCTAATTTGCACTATGTATGTCCCTTATATCATAATGGACAAAGTATAATAGCTTCCATATTTACATTAAACTAACACAAGAGAATATACACAGGGTGGTGAAGGACATATTACTATAAGTTGTCTAATCTGTCTCAGGGTAATGTTTTGCCCATTCGAAGGCGACGTTTCATAATTGTGTATAACTAGCCGTGTCGTTAATTAGTCATCGAACTTTGGCCATGGACGGCAATGTTTCCGTGGGTACGGGGTGTCTGGCCTTCCAGTTCAAGTCCGCGCATCTGATGGAGCATCTGGGTCACATGTGCATTCGTGATAGAGAACCCCGGGAAGAAGATATCACGGAAGTGGAAAGGGTCTATAATGAAAACCCAAAGCATCATAAGGAATGTTTCCAGTATTGCAAAGGTGGGGTCGAATGTGAAAGATTCCTTAACTCCGGCAACAGGTATATCGCTCCTACCCCAAGTTTAAAGACATCCAAAACTAATCTTTTGGATAGATTCGGAGGATCTTGTCGCTTTCCGCCAGTTCAGAAACTATCTTATTGGACCTATCCTCTGTATAGCAGTATATTCTCAGAGATATAAGGGCGTGATGAACTCCCAGTGTTCACCGCATGTTCTTGCCCAGTCCCGCGACGGTGCTGTTTGGCTCTAACTTTCTCCGATCTTTTGTATAGCCTCATTAGTACTTCTCATGATACGCTATGACTTGTTTAGGTGTCCCGTTTGTGCATGCGGTAGTTCCATGTTGGTTAAGGCGTCTCTACACCAGTGTGCGCCACGCAATAGACTGGGAAAGGAGCCCCGATGATAATCAGGAACGCTCGCCTTCATTCCCATGCAGGCACAATGAGATCCAACATCAATGTTCTACTCATTTCAAGCAAGCTGAACCACAGAATAGCTCCATGGAATATCAAATCCCAGGTCCATCTTCCTATGAAGGGGGTCACCATCTGCCGGTTTCGATCAATAGACGGACTTATTCTTTGTTTCCAAGCCAGTCGAAGCCTCCTCCCACCCCGAAGACACTATCTGCCATACCAGCTTCAGTAGTGAATTTAAATCACCCTGTGTAATATAGAGAGCCGTATAAATATCGCATGGTGCCCCCTATCATAATTTCCATTTTCCCTTTCATTTCAGCACCCCATCGTGCTCTAAACAATTCGGTGACCGTTGCGCAATATCTCTGTAAGTGCTTTGCAGTTGCTTCTATCACAAATCGCTAACGATACTTAGAATCACCCCTGTCCATTTTCACACATATAAATCATACGATCTTACTCAAGATGTCGTCGGATGCTGAAATTTCCGTCGCTATTTTCAAGGACGGTGGTGGTCATGATCACTGTGGTCATGATCGCTGTAGTCATGATCGCTGTAGTCATGATCACTGGAGTTTCTTCATTAGCGGACTCCAGGGAGAGGATGATAACTTGCTCCAGGTCAGATGGTCTGATCGCGAATTTCGTTACCAGACGGAGAGATTAAATGATCTACCTTCACAAAAACTTCACGTTTGTAAAGTGAATGTCGACAAAGTTAGCCGCATTAGAGAAGTTGCAAGTGATCTCCCCATCCAGGATCATAATTCACTTTGGAATTGTCAAGATTTTGTGCTTGATCTTTTGTATCAGTTGGTGGATAAGGGGATCATTTCGGACATCGAGATAGTTAACCAAGTGGGTAAAAATCAAGAAAAGGAAGGCTCGGAAAACCCCTGCATTCCTTCCGATAAGAGACACTAGTATTTATACCGCCAGTCTCGGAACAGTTTCGGATCACATCATTTCCTGTATGGTACCAAACGTCAATGAATAAGTTGCACATTTTATCATAAAAAAGTTTCAGGTATAAAGCAATGCCCTGAAATGAACGTAGGGTTTACCTTCGCTTCTATAGCCTACCAAGAAAAACTCTCTTTGGATGCTCCCAAAATCCCTTTTATGCCCTAGTCCCCTAGAACCTGCTGTTAACAGGTACTTAGTGAAGGGAAAGTGCATTGAATAGAACTTTTATATAGCAGTAGTTGTTGTTATTAAATAAGAAATACCTTACGAATACTGTAAATCCAAAGCATAAAGCTGTATTAAATAATAAAGTTTCTTATCTCTCATCCATACACTTTCCATACGTTACCTCCGAGACGCTCGACGAGGAGAGGGCCGCCCCTACAAACCTCTTTACGCGTGCGGTGTAAAGTAGTGAAGTTTCTCGGGAACTCCAATACAATCAAGGTCAAGATTAGTATCATCACGAGACCGAGGAGCTTCAAATTCAAAAATTCCAGGATAGGAGGAACTAGTTAGTTTCCAACCGGATTACTAAGTTGACCGGCTGGGGCGCTTGACTTTTTTTCTTATATCTTGTACGGATTCCTATTCTCTCTGTTTCTCTTTATCTGTACAGATTCGTATTATCTTTGCAAAATGCCACCATCTTAGTCAAGATTCTATAGCCTAACAGGTCAGCGTCATCTAGAAAGTAAAGCATGTCTTGATTGTGGTATTTTACCTTCTATTTTAATTAATTTAACTAATTCTTCTTTTTCCTGTATGTCTTATGCATTATCTATCTCCCAACGATTCTCTTCCTATCCCCGTATATCACAGCGACAGCCAGTATTTGCTATTATCCAGAGTAGACAGCAACATATCACTCGTCCAACCTCGTACAAAGCAACAGTGGCATATTATCGTCGGGCTATTTACACGGACGATCCAAGAGTATCAAGAATATTAAGTGAAATCGGTTAGTGTAAAGATTATAAGGAAATACTTAATGCTAACTAGAACAAGATAGAATTCAGATTCGAACTACTGCGCATATGGTTGATACTATCGAATATTTTATCTTTGAAGATCTTTTACCTGGCATAATCCAGCTTCCTCTTTATAAAAAAAGAGGAGGACAAGACATTTCGACTAGCTACCAAAATTAAAGAACGAGTACCAATATTTATTAACTATACACTATCCGGACGTCCAGCAATTGGGGAACTGCTTGGTTTGAATATTGTACGGCCAATGGTGAGAGAGACTATCAAAACTCCTTGGTAATTAGAGGGCTATCTTGCATTGTACAATGATGACATTCCTATTAAGAAAGAGAAGGAAGAGAAGGTTAACATTAAAAAAGAAAAAAAGAGAAAAAGGAGAAAATCCTCTTTTCTAAAAAAAAGCTCTGTACTAAAGAATGCATGATCGAGCGTCCGAATACTATTAATTGTACCAGAGGATGAGACTCTTCTCACCGCTATCACTTTCAAAAGACTGTATTTAATCGTCATGGCGTTGAAAAGATCCTAAATTGGCCAGGTAACTCTCCAGATCTTAAGGCAATTGAGTGGGTGTGCTTATGGCTAAAGAAACGTACAACTTCAAAAGGAGCTCCGTGGACAAGATAACTGCAGAATCAGCATGGGAAAGTGCTGGGGATGAGCTGCCTCAGGAGACTATACAACATTGGATGGAGCGTCTCGTCCGTCATGTTCAAGAGATCATTCTGTTGGAAGGACGAAACGAATATAAAGAGAGACATAAAGGAAAGGATTTACGGAGAAAACTAGAGTTAGGGCGTATCTCTCTAAACGCCAGAATTTAGGAGATGGACCACTATTCTAGTACATTGTATAGCTTCACTTTGCACTTTTTGAGATTATATTTGGGCCGTTTGAGCCATGATAATATATAATTTTATGTGTCAATTTTATTGCCAAAAGTACACCATATAAAAATATATGAAAAGTTACATTACAGCCATACATGGCATTACTGCCAAGACAGAAGTATGTGGGTCCAACCTCCGAAGACACTGTAGTAAACATATAATATGATAGCCTGACCAAGCTGTGCCGCTTATCCAGGCTCAATTTCCAACGCTTGTAAGCTACTTAAAAGCACCCTACCTCCTCCCGACCTAGAAGAATTGTGTCACCCTTGAACCACAATCGATCATGGATATTAAGCTCCTCTTAAATTCTACGGACGATTTGCCCAGACAGGACCAGGATTTGGAGAATACCACAACGAAGGAACGACAAAGTCAGGGGATAGGAGAGTCAGCCTTGTCTGCATGTTCACCAAATCAAGTACATCCCCCAACAAAGCCATTTCATCCGTGCTTGACATGTGGATGCTGCCCAGCTTGGATTTACTGGGCCGGATATATGTGTCAGATGCATCGACAAGCAAGTTTGTCTAGAAAACCATTTCGCCCAGAAGATGATGCTGCACTACTTTACATCTTTGATAGCGCACTTGATTCCCCGTACCGGGCTATCCGACTTGCTCTGGGACATGGCCGTACTGCGACGGTTGCTCGACAAGACGCCCTTCATGAACATCTGCCGGACGTATCATGCTCTTTGCGTCGTTCACTAGTACATGCATACAAAAAAATCAGCTGGGAGTAAGTTATCCATCACGATACTGATACTGGACTCTAAGCATGAGTAGATACGGAAGGATTAATTGGAATCCCACGCGATATTATAGAGACTGGGAAATTGACGTAATTATTCGTCCCCCACCACAAATTCTTCAAGGCGAGCGTTTCTCTTTACCCATTATTGTTAGAGCCCCTGATCAGGTGGCGCTTACAGCAACCATGACGTGTGGTATTACAGCAACTCAATGGAGTTATGAGGAAGTCCCCCTTTCCGGAGAGATTTTCTATCTGTTCAGACCCCAAACACTGGATCAACCCGGCGACTGGCGCATGCAAATATACCTGCAAGGAAACAGCAACCACAAACATACTTTCGATATAAGAGTTCACCCTAAACAAGGAGGCGGTTGATTCGCTTACCATAGGATAAATGTTTATGTTTTTGCACAAGAACCTATGCTGTTTTCCATACGTTGCCAATAGAATCTAGGCACAGACTGGAGATTGTATGATAATTTTACGAACTACAAGATCTAGGGTTATCCATATTCCTTACACATGTAGACAGACAATGAGGACAAGAGTTATATAAAAGAACCCGGAAATTGCATCTAACAGTGACCAAATCAGGAAGTAAACCAAGGAATAAAAAAATTACAGATCTAAATGCAGGGGCTATAATGAGTCCGAGATTTCTTCTGTCTTAAAGACCTTGTTTGTGGATATACTCGTTCAGCATATCCGGAGCAAATCGTCCAAGCTCAGCTTGAGAATGCCACTGCAGCTTGATGCAAAGAAACTCCACACCATCTTGGGCAGACCTGTGGGCAAGATAATTTATAATTATGTATCCAAGAGGTAGTAGGAGTATTGAAGCAGTATCGCAGGTAGTTTGGGTTTGCGCTACTTTTCATTAGTCACATATGAATATGCCGAAGTCAAGAACAAACGTACCATCAACTTTTGCCGTGCTGTTGACCGTTTCAGTGACTGGCAAATGTTCCCTAGTATTCTGAGAGCGATAGGTAGAGCTACTGGTATCATGGTCAAAGGTTTGCACACCACCGTTGGCAGCAAAGCCTAAAAGTAGTTAGCATATACCCTTAAAGTCCTTTGGTACCACTCGCTTGGACGTGCAAATTTATTAGATGCTTCCGAAAGTGATAGACCATGGAATAAGGTGCCCATATCACGAGTGAGACGTTGAACTTCCGTGAGATTTTGGCAAGCCCCCCGTCCCAGACCCGTATATATGTCGTCACATTGAGGCCCATTACATACATGGCTTCTCACAGGCGATTGCTGAGAGCTCTCAGGGATTCAACGTCCATTGTCAACATAACCACCACTAGCAGATACTAGGCTTCACGAGAGTTTGGACGGGGTTTCCAGAATAGTGTCATGCTCGGCGTCGGGTCACAGATTGACACTATCAACGAGCATAGGATTAAACCTCGTACCTTCCTGAATTCCTGACGAGTCTCTCAGGTCGGTAAATGGATAAACAACCCTGCACGTTGTACTGCTAATACGCAGTCGACAGTCTGCAGCTAACGTCCAGAGATGGCCACATCATTGTCATAGCAAAAGACCAAATGGTCGGCCACAACTTGTTGCCTGGACGGATAATTGGTCCTCGTGCTCTCTAGTGAATAATACTAGATATCTCAGACTTCCGATGTAGGCTATTTTTGCAACCCGGCTGGAATACACCTGTCTACAAATGCAAGAGATAGATAGAAGTGGGATAGCCAACGCATTGCAATCGGCGGCTGTCTCTGTTCTGTATTTAGAAAACTTCAAGTTTCATAGGTTGTTCGTCATAACCCACCATTCGCCGTTTCACCATCCTGCAGTGAAAGGCCTTGCATAGCTTTGAAAGCAAAGCCACTAGAAAACATGCGCCATACTATCACCACATATGCCGGGGTTGCAACCAAAGCCAGGGATCATAAGACAAAGCCCGACCATTTTTAACCATGAGGGACGTGAGGACTAGATGGTCAGCTTCCGGGGTAGAGCAGCACTATCTATCTGATGTCAGTAGGCACAAGATAGTAGGTCCTGCTTGGCAATGAGAACGGACTAGATGATCCATTGGTCTATACTGACCGATTGTAGGCTGGGCATAATCAAGGTAGTCATCAAGGATACACAAGCTCGAGCATATTCCGTCAGTGATTTCAAAGCAGACAGTGTTTCATGGCTTTCTCGGCCAGGATATAAAACAAGGCCGCATTCCTCTTATAAACGCCTGATCCATTTTGCGTTGCTCCTCTTCAAACGTTCCCAATTCAAAAAGATTCATCCACTATGGCTAACACTCGTCATCAACAACACCAGTCTTCCAAAGCGCTTCGGTCAGGCTGCAGGCTTTGTGGCCAACCTGCTGTTGCAAAGAGAACGAAGTTAATCTTCAATTCAATTCAATTCAATTCAATTCAATTCAAAGTTCTATTAACCTGTTGCAGCCCGACTATTGAAGCGTCTAGCTATGCAGGTGCTTCCCTAATGAAGCAAGAACCTGAGGTCCTAAACGCCATATAGAGTCCCACATAAGAAAGACAGTAGCGAATGCTCGCATAAACGCGTACAAAAGAAAGTCAGCAGATCGCTGAATGTAAAAACACGCAACTAAACCGAAAGGTAACCGAAAAGTACTTTCTTCCTCTCCCATCCTGCCACATCGCAGCAGCGTCGTAGTTCTGCGTTATGACCCTTCGTCCCCTGCTTCACCAAGCTGTTGTATTGCCTCCTGTTTTTGATTTTTGCCGGGTTGACTCCTGCCCGGTTTGTTTGGGGCCTTCTACCCATCGTCTTCAGCGTCTCATTCCATGGCTGCGAGGCCTATCTGGTCATGGTCTTCCGGGTCGTTTCCGGCCGGGGGTCGAGTTCCACGTGTTGGAATTGCCCGAGAACCCCGGTTCGCAGCATAAATTCAGCGACGTAGCGAATCGCTTGTGGGTCAGACATTAACGCGTCATAGTCTGTCTGGTTTATTTGAATCCCGCGTGCGGCGATCTTATTAAACATCCGCTTCCGCTCCTCGGTACGCAGCGAGCACTGGAGGAGGACGTGCTTTGGGGTCTGCGAGCCCTCCGCGCGGCCACACCGGTCGCCTTCGGATGCCTTGATCTTGTACAGGAAGTGCGCTAGTCCAATCCGCATGGTGCGCATCTGCATAATTATGGAGGCATATGCCTTTGGGAGCCCTTTATAGAGCTCAATGGTCTTCTTGTTTGGAGCCTTAATTAACCGCCGTGTCGGTTTCGCGCCCCTTTCTCTCTCCCACTGCTTCTCCCACCGGGTTCGAATTCGCTGGCGAACCGCGCGTGTGGCAGCGGCGGCGAGCCGGATAATTGTACCTCCGAACCTTCTTCTAACCAGTGTGGTGCTCACCCCCTCACCCAGCGGAAAACTCTAATACCCACTATTATGTTAGACCTGCTCGAATATTGGCTACTTATCAAGATCTTCAAACGCCGGCACTCTTGGCAGCTAGCATAGCCAACGAAAAACTTGCAATATATTGCTGCCTAGACAGGCAGCATTGGGATAAGTTGATCAGTCTGTTTTCGGAAATAGTGTAGGTCCATTATGATAAACATTGCAAACACCGAGGACGCCATTTGTTTTGATTCTCTACCCAATTGTCTCCTGGTGCCCAAGACTCTCACTTCGCCCCAGTAGCTTTATAAATTAGCATTCTGGAGTTGTAATCACTGCGATTTAGTCCTTTCTACGAATATACTTCAGGGATGAGGAGGAGCCGAAGGAGGGGAAGGTATTTATGTACGGGTGATGCGCAGGCTCTACTAGAGCAACGTTTCGACCGCAAACTTTGGAGTATGTAGATGGGCGGAAAGCTTGGATAATGCACTTATGTAATGGCAGAAAGAAGATGGGATGTTTATTCAAGCTATTGGACATGGCAACTTGCTAAGACTCGCGGAGGTAAAGGTGCTGATAGACTACGCTGTATGATTCACAATCCTCTTGATGCTAGTTATAATCATTAAAATAAAGCACACTGGCACGTGTTGTCCTCCGAGTAGCCTCCCCAGAGATTCTTATAATATTCAGTTTAGTTGATTGAGAAAGGCAGCGAGTGTCCAGTATATTACAAGTGTAATCCGGTAAGAAAAAAAAATACCTTTTGAAGTTTATAGCGGGGGGTCAGATTAGTCGAATATAGACATTGATTAAGTACTCGAGGTCATTTAACGCTACATAAATCCCACAAATCTCACATAAGAAAGATAGCCAACGAGTGTATATACAAAGGCAAAGTCAGTATCTCGCTGCGCGCAACTAAAATTGAAGCTCCCTCTCTCTGAACCATCCCATTATGTGGTGGCCGGCATGGCCACCGGCGTCGGTCCCCTCGTCCCCATCTTCATCCTGTTTAGTACGATTCCTCGCGGGCGATGTCGTACCGGTGCCTCCTACCCATCGTCTTCAGCATCTAATTCCATAGCCGCGAGGCCTATCAGTTCGGTGACTTTAGTAGCCGAGTTATCTTTAGCTAGGGGCTTGGGTTTAATATCAACGTGTTGAAACTAACTGAATGCCCACTTTTGCAGCATGAATTTGGCGATGTAGCCTATCGCCTGCGGGTTGGATATCAGCGCGTCGTAGTCGGAAGTGTCGAATTGAATCCCACGTGCGGCGATTGTATCCAGCATCTCTTCGCCCGCGTCGGTGTGCAGCGGACACTATAGAAGGTCATGCATAGGGGTTTGCAATCCTTAGCTGCAGCTAAAGCGATAGCTCTCGGAGGTCATGATCTTGTAGAAGAAGTGCGCTAGGCCAATCCTTATTGTGCGCGTCTGTATAACCACGAACGCGTACGGCTTTGGTAAGCCTTCATAGAGCTTCACTGTTGTCTTGTTTGGGCCTTAATCGCTACGGAGGTGGACGCAGGAGGGAAGGGCTAACGGGCTCTGGAGCTGGATCACAATCACTCAAGGTAAACCAGCAGTAAAGATGGCCCCCAGGATGGGTTAGCTCATGACGAAGAGGATGATACCAATCAAGGGACCATTGTAGGCCACCGTAACAGATTTCCATCCCCTGCGCTACCAAGTGCCAAGGCACAGCCCTCGGAAGGAAACCAGGGAGGAGGTAAACCATCTGGTACATAACACACAAGGCACAAATGCCTTGGTGGTAATCCATTATGAATTCAAACTCAATTTCCTGATCGGGAACATCGGGGTCAGCATATTCCAATGTGACTTCGGCAATAACTTGGAAGGAGGGCCCGAAGGCCTCATTATGGCCATCAGCCAGGGGGCAGGCGCTAGCAAGGAGCGGTGGCATCGTAGAAGGTGGCTATTTTGAATGATTTGGATATGAAGAGGAGAGGAGAAATGGCAACAAAGGAGGAAAGAACCTGGGAGATATTATAAGAAATGACTTTCCACCCTAGGCCCAAAGAGGGTATCTAGTGGTATTTATCAATAACAGCATTCACTAAGAGTGAGTATTTCCCAATAGGGTAGTGGATAGGATAGGTAGATGTCTTAGTCTTTGTTATTTTCTAATTCCAATCTCAAATGCTGCCTAAACCCTTTCAATGTGGCCGCTTCAAGCGGCTTGGTGAGTCCATCTGTAATACTCTCCCTTCCATGAATATGGTTGGATTCAATCAATCCTTTATCTAGGTAACCGAGCACAAAAATATATGAATTATCAAGCAATATCATCGACCTTAAAGAGCCCGGCTTTAACATCAAAATAAGAAAAGTCAGCTCCTTACACCCAGCGTGGATGACAGGACAACCAAACTTCTGCACAACACTATCGGCATTCTCTCTTGCAGCAAGCTTGAGGTGCAGCGTTGATCTACAATATTACTGTCTGAATAAGTGTGCGAACCCTCAACTGTATCTATCCTTATGTCTCGCTCTTGGTGGACCAGAATCATGTGACTAGATCGGGGTAAAACCCCCGCGGAGCACACAACAAAATAATCATCAAGAAGAACCAAGAAGAGTATAATCAAGAAGAGCCCGTGCCAGCTCAATTCATTTAAAATAAGACCTTTTCACCAATCGTACTCTATTTACCCTTTGGGACTAGCCAAATATTTGACAAGTGTTTCCATAACAGATGCTATCAAAGCTAGAAATAAACCTTTGACCTGGTCAGGTCTTGTTCTTTCTATCTTCGATTTCTGCACGGAGGGATATTGCCAAAAGAATAGGTCCAAGGTATTTCATGTGAGTGGAATCCAGGGTATCCCAGGGGCCGAATTGGTACATAGTCATAAAGGAAGGGGACTCGCTGCGATGATTCTTGTCTCCCAAATATTTGATGTAGTTATCGTCGTACTTAGCAACCGTCAGGAATATCTCGTGCCGATCTTGGGAGACAATAATGCGCCTATTCCCAAACCAGCATTTGGAGTTACTCTGGAGTAGAAACGGTTTAAGGGAAGGAAGGAAATATACATTTTCTCGTCCCCATTAGGCTTTTCATCATCACTTTTAATCCAAGCCACCATTTGGGCGCTCTCTTGCATTTGGATGAGAGCTGGTTTCTTTGATCGTGTCACGGGTTTCACCTCGATAATAACCTTGGCTATGCCTCGGCGATCATTGAGATATCCATCAGTCCTTGCTTCAAAACTAGCCCCCTCAAAGTTAGCTTTGAAGGCCCTTCTGTGCAAGGTCCAGTTGTTGGCGAATTTGAAATGAATAGTCAGAGCATTCAGGAAGAGCACCAAGGCACAATTCACAATCTGTTCATCCTTCGTAGGAGGGTATAGCACGTTCTCCAGTTCTTTAGGAGCAGGCGTTATCTCCCGGAATGGACTCGGAGTATCTGGATTTGGGGTCTCTGGAATAGCAAAAGGATCATCGAGACCAATATCTTCAATGTCTAGTGTCTCGAAGATATTGGTGGACTTCGAGGGTGTCTCCAAGCGCACACCAGCAAGCTTTCTACCAAGTTCATTCACACGGGCACGTGTTCGATGTGCAACAGGAGTCGCAAGAGTCCGTGGATCCGTTTTATCTTCGGTGTTTGCAACCTCAAGCTGATAATTCCGGGCAACGGCAAAATTTCCTTCTTCAATATTTGGAAGCGTGAATCCCCGACAATATGTGTGCCATGAGTTGTATTTTTTTAGCATTGTATCCGCCTCTGAGATCAACAAGCTCATACCAGGCAGCGTTTTCGGCAGGTCTTCTACACGGCGGGACACCCATAGTACACGAAAGAGCAGGAATTGTTCATACTCAATTTTTGAGGCAGAAGCAAGCTCCGCGCCGTGTATGGTCTGGCCAGTGAGACCCATCTTAGCCATTGCATTCTCCCAAGCCTTGACATCTCGGGGTAGTACGTTTAGCATGCCAGATATGGTAATCTACACAGATTCTGAAAATAGGGAAGCGAAATAAAAGTGATCAAAGAGAATATGACCTCGAATATGAGAAACTAATTGGAAGAGAGGACAATCAGTCAGGGAGACTTACGCTGGCTCTGTTCGCTCTTATACCCCTGACTCTCAATAATATTCAATTCTACTTGCTACTATTTACGTCTCAGGCAATAGCCGGGCGCCAACCTGGCGAATTCGAGACTGGTGGCTTGGATTCTATTGTTGGGCCCCTTGGACGTCATCAGCGCGTATATGCTGGCTGCAAGTACAGCTTAGCTGGGGTGCTGAGGGTTATAAATAGTTCGATAGAATTTTGGATATGGCTGGAGGAATTGTCAGGCTCGTCTCATAAAGAACTACGTCCTTTACATTGATTGGCAATATACAGTACAATTAATTTGGTGGTTGATTATGATGTACTGTGATTGGCTGTGGATGTATTCCATGGCGCTTACGTGACCCCCGCGTCCACCTGACTTGTGGTCTCTAATTGGTGGTTGCCGGGTAACCCAGCATCAAGCCAGGTTTGGTTTGTTGATCCAATTTGGAAACATTACATTCAATCCTTTCTTGGCTCACTGCCCGCCAACTTGAAGACATAAAAACCCTCTTCCTTTCCCCTCCATCGACTCAAATTGATTTAAACTAGGTTCTGCTATTTTATTTAATACTCAAGTTCTTTTGTTGGTTGCATATCTTCCCCACCATGTTAGCGGCTATCGAATCTCCCACCCGTCGCAAGATGCGTGAGGCGTTGAAGAACATAACGCAGAGCATTAAGGGCTTAGAAGTTGATAAATTTGACCTGCAGCAACTGAAACATCTCAATATCCGCGTTGATTCCTTGGTATTGGATGAATCATCACCCCATAAACCATCTTACTTCGCTCCCTACCCAGGCCACTTGGTTCCAAATCCTGATGATGATGCTCTTGGTGGGCCCTACAATGGCCTAGATGATGAAACAGAACATTCTTTTACCCGCCCCATCGATCGCGCATATGTGATGAATATACACCTTTCGTCTTATATTTCCTACTGCGATACATACGCCAAAGGGGAGAGACCCCCTTGGACTTCCGGGTGGTAAGTAACCCGCTACGTACTTAAGGCCGCTCTTCACCTAACGTGCGTCTAGTGTCGGAGACTACCCGTTTAAGGGCTTATATAAACATGACCAACCCGAGTTTGGGTGCTATCATATAACAGATCTGAACGGTCCTACCTACCCACACGTCAAGGCAGTCATGTACAATAACTTGGTCGCCATGGATTCCACAATCCTTTACGGCGAGCTGCTTCCGATTCTCCGAATTATGCTTACGCAGCTTTGGAAAGCAAGATTCATTCGTCAGATGGTCTCACCGGTAACTATTTAGCCACTTTTATCCCTGGTCCAATGTTTCACTGTTAAGCACTAACATATGTGACAGGTCTTAATTTTGTCACTTATGGGGCTAAAGGCCCGAGTGATTGAAGCATATTTCCGGGACCATACTCTGATCTTGCGGCCGACCAAGATTTATGATTTCACCCACGGGAACAACGCAGCTTTCAAAACGTTTGTCCAGTGGTATATGGGCCAGCCAATCGGGAATACCGTTGAGGCTTTCTGATTGCTGATGATCATTTCTTTCTTTCGGTGGTGGTGTCTTTGATTTCGCTTTTAGGGATAGGAAACTTGGGGGTGTCTGGTGCATATGTTGTATTTTGGCAATCTGGAACTGGCTACTGTAGGATTAAACTGGGATTTTATTTTTCAGTATGTATAGTACGTGGAAGTAGCATGTTTTCTATAAGAGACGAGACCAGCCTTCAGGAGCATGGGGGAAAACTGGGACGAGGGTTTTCATGCCCATAGGGCAGTTGCTGAGTGACAAGTTGTTCTAGAATTCTTTTTTTGGGTTCTCTTTTGGATCTGTATCCACTACGAAAGTCCGGAAAGCCTAGTTGTCGGAGAATTCGGCGACTGGAATTATGTGAGCATGGAAGAGTTGTCTAAGCTTAAACTAGGAACCGTTTCTGACGATCATATTTTTGAGAGTACCATGGACAAATTTACAGAATATCATAAGCCACTGAAGCCTTGGGTTAATAAGCTACGAAAAGCGGCATTTCCATATGGCAAAATACGAAGGAAAGAAAACTAAGCTTTTGTCTTAGATGCGTGAGATAGTGCAAAATGCACAAGACACCTTGCAAACCACCTTTATAACAGATGACTTCTGTTACGCCTGAAGACTTACCCTAAGTAGTTTTCTCCAAGGAATACGGAGGCAAGTAAAGTTAGGCGACAGAGGACTCAGTAGTAATTAGATTAAAGATCAGCGGTTACTGCCATAATTATGATACCACAGCCAAAGCCACATGGTAACTGGTATCTTATCAGTACTGACCTTTTGGTTCATTTGCTCAAACAGCAGCTGGACGAAGACTTTGTCCATAATCGCATTCCGTGAGACACCGCGGTTCCTGTCTTCCCTGGAGCAATCAATTAGGTAAAGATTAACTGTTTTTGTGGAGCTAGAGAGATTCGACACACGCTGTTTATACCTGGGGGAAGTGGGGATACAATTAAGCTCCAGCGCGCAGCCGAACTACGCTACCAGATTTCGAGGTCAAGAAAAGAAATCTGCTCCGTAGGGGTCAGGCATTGGGGCCTGGCCTCACCTTTTGCGGCTGAGGAAGTTGCGCTTAATTGTTATATAAAGGGTATTCGCAAGTCCCTTTCTTACCAGCAATGAAAAATTAACCTTTCAATGATATGCTTGGCTTAATTCAGTGATCCTGCGATAGGAGCCGAACGTTAATCCACACTAGCACAGATGCTAGTTCTCGTCTTGAGTGAGCGATCGATTTTAGTGAGGGTATTGTTGGGTATGACAGAAGCAAGATACGAAGCCCATCCAAGTTAGTTATGAAGGGAAAAGCGTGCAACAGAGAGTGCATAAAATAGCTATGAGCAAGTATTTATAATGTAATACCAGCTACTTGGTGCTTCAAGCTAACAAGCTGCCAAGTGGTTTCCCCTAAAAGGGCTTGGACAAAAATAAGTCCCTGGACTTTTGTAATTTTTCACAGCGATGTCCCGCACAGGAGGTCAGAGCTGAAGGGGCTGCATAAACGAGGCGTAAATGTGAAGCTCATAGGATCAGCAGCTCCTTAGTGTGCATGGTATTGATTCCTTAGCGTATCTCATAGGTAATACACTAAACTCCTTGGCATCTGATCGATCACTATGGAATAACATTATTCCTGTTATAAGGAGTATTTATGGATGTACCTACTGTAAGTAGCCTCTGCGGGGTCAGCAACCTCATCTCTAGAGCTGAATATTACCTGTTTACCTTCGCCAAGATGGGTCTCTCTCAGAGCAAAGCGGTTATTGACAAGGTAATTGTGGCTTCGACTAGAGCAAGTTATGAGGGACGACAGGACATCCAAGAGATCCTCTCTGACAATGAAGTGAGTTTCTTACGTCTTTTATCCAAGATGATTTGTGCTGATAATCGGTAGTTCGTAGACAACCTCCATGGACTTTGGCAGCAAGTACCGTACCCATTCCAAAATCGAATCGCTCCTGTTCGGCAAAGCAAAGTCACATGCCCTTCCCGTTTTATCAATCACAAAAAGAATTCAGCAACTTCTATGCTTGCTGCTTACAGGCGCAAGGGCTACCTAGCAAGCTACAAGGCGGTAACTCGTTACCGGAAGCAACGTCCAGAGAATCCTACAGTTGCAGCATATAAAGTAAAGAAGCACTTAGCCTTTCACCAAACCGGAGGCCACCATCAGAAAAAAAAGCACGCCAAATTTCGCAATCGGATCAAAAGCTCTCACACTACAAGAAACAGCCAGAAACAACGACCAGCAGATGTCACGTCCGACAATTTGCAACAGCTGATAGATGACGTTAGGCAATGGAGATCTAATATTCCGGGTTTCTTTCATGAAGAGGGAACAACTGAGCTTAGCTTCCACAATCCACTTGCGGGAACATATAAACTCTTAAAACAGCTGGAGCAACGAAACGTGAGGGATGAAATGCGCATACGACTCCTGAAGGTGATGTTTCACCGACTGTTGGAAAAAGTTTGCAATCAGTACGCTCGTTCAAAGGATATCAAGAGAGTTATAAGAGTAATTGCAATATCTGGCCTGGTCGATGATAACTCTGAACAGATTGAGGATTGTATTAAAAGCTGGGGCAAATCTGGACGAAGACTCGATTGTTTGTGCAAAGACCTTAGTGACGGTGATACTAGGAATGAGCGTCATTTGGGCAAATTGTTTCTCTTACCGAAAAATATCACTAGCAACTAGTGAGTGCTACAGATATATGCTTTGTTTTATAGTCACTGAAGGAAACCAGCCTTGAGAAACTCGGATACAAGAGCCGGAATCGGCTCCAGGCGATTGAACGATTGAAAAATAGCGGCATACGTACAGACAAGCTATACGAAGATATTGATGAATTTGCAGGTTGTGTCTTCTTGTATTTATGGAAAAGAGTTGAAGAGGCAATCACACAGGAAAGTCTTCCAGTTGGGCAACAGCTACAAGGCAATTCAACCGGATTCGAGCGAGCCAGCTGCCAAACCGTCAGCAGCGATGAAGTCGCAACAGAGTTGGCCACTCAATCATCCGTGCAGAGAACTTCCCAATCCGATATTGGTTTGCACGATGCAGTGGGGACTCCATTTCAAACCCAACCTGCACTGAGTTCCCACAGTCCAGCCAACCAGAGTGCTGCAGTTGACCTTAGTAATCTTGTCCAACCTCTGACATCTGATATGGAGCCACACCTCAGTGCGGTCATGCCGGGCCAGAGGGAAGCTGATATATGGCCTCTCATGCAGCGTATATCTATACCTGCATCTACAGTTGTCCAATATGGCAGTGGGTCCGCGGGCATGCAACCTACAAGTAACCACCAATTTCCAACGAATAACTGTCCTTCATTTCCGCAGCCTTATATCGAACCTCTTGGGACTGATATGGAGCCACACCTCAGTGGGGTCATGCCGAACCAGATGGAAGCTGATATATGGCCTCTTATGCAACGCATACCTATACCTGCGTCTTCAAACATCGACTACTACAATCAACCTATGGAAACACAACCTACCAGTTCGAACCCTTATGTCCAACCTCTAGGAGCTCATACGGAGCAACACCTCGATGGAGCCATGCCGGACCAGATGCAAGTTGATATATGGCCTTTTATGCAACGTATACATACATGTACAACTGCAGAAGTTGGAGAGGGAATGATAACTACAACCCAGCAAGGTTTTAACCAAGGTTCCGTGCCACAGCATGAAAACTCCAGCGACACAGATACCCAACTTCGCGCGACGCAGAATTACCCGCATTGCAGCTTACTTAGTTCACGGGAGAGAGCCCAGTGTCTGGATTCCAGTCAGCGGTCAGATCCATCATCGAATACTCTGGCCGCAAGTCACGTGGCGTCTGAACAGCAGTCAAGCCTAGATGGCCAACATTCTGGCCTACCATACTGCGAAGTGGATCGGTATATAAGTAACAACCAATATGGCAACTATCATTATATTCCTCCAGCGACGACAATAGGAGCATGAGCCGTTACCCCCTAATCTCACCATTTTCCAGGTGCATCCTGTTTAACTACCACACGAGGGCTTGCGAGGAGCCTGATTGACGATGCCAAGCCGCTTGAAGAGAAGCGGTAGGTCGCCAGGAAATATCGACTGCTCATTTCATGAAGATAAGCGCTGTGTCGTATGGATTAAACTTTGCATCGTCTGTTGTAAAAATGAGGTTATTCGAAACCCCCTCTGACGGTATCAATTTTTTGTCGGGTAATGGGACAATGTACATCGCCGAATTTTTATTAATAATCGTCCTTCCCAACGGGAAATGCCATATAGCCCATCCCCAGTCCTAGACTAAGTTCAGCCAATTTGTTGTAGACCCAATATAGGATCACACGTACCTTCGGAATTTTCAATTCCTGAACGAGGCTACCAACTTTCTCTGTAAGCAGCTCTCCCCCATACATAATATCACGATTCTCTGCGGTGAGGCGAAAAACTCTCTTGGAAATAAACGAGTCTTTCGATGCCGTCTCCGGTATAATGTTTCTAATCTCATCGACAATTTTCTCGGCGTTCGCCGACAGTTGGCGGCTCATCCTTGACGTCCTCTGAAGACAATCGACTGCAAATGAAACGGAAAGGCTCCCAGGGAACTGCGAACAAAATTTCTAAAAATTAGCATCGCTAATACAGTAAAAAATGTTTAGGTATACCTTCTGTTACAACTTTATGGGTCGTTTCGATCGGTGGTACAGTTCATTCAAGTTGCTGCCACATGAGGGGTAGTGGGGATTCCTGAAGTACAGGAATTGGGCCGAAAGTCACGTGGTATCATTAGTGTTGGAAGCGATGGAGTCCCGACGATTAGCTAGTTTTATTGTCAACATACTTGACCAAATTGTTGGAGCAATTTGTGAATACAAATTTACGTAACTTCCTGAAGCTAACCTCATCATTGTTATGTTGGGATATGTGGTATCGAAGTGATTTATTATTGGTCTAGTATGAACACCGTGCTGTACTAGAGAAGTTTGGACGATTCTGTGCTCAGGACCCATTATCATACTTTAGGAACGGTCGCTAATTTCTGACCTGCTTATCATTCGTTCTGAAGGGGGGATACACTCGCAACAAGCTGGATAGTGTGTTCAATCCCAGTCGTTTTCAAGGTCATGATGGCACGATGACCATATGGATAATCATGAGTAGTATCTGAGTACACTATAATGAGATGAACATACTGAAGGCGGCAGTATTGAACGCAGAATGCATCCTACTTTAAACGGTACGAAAGGGAGCCCTACGTCTATCTCGTAGGCAATTCTTTCCTCATAGATAGATCTAGCTACTAATATTGACTAATGAATTCATGACTAGAGACCAGTGGAAATGATATGTAAAGTTCAGTCCTGCTAAAGTAACATATCAGCGTACAGTGGAAAAGTTGGCATCACTTCAATTTGGTACATACGCAGCAGGAGAATAAGAGAATAAGTATAAAACACAGGAAATAAGAGATCTGCTATATTGCCTGTTGTTTTCATAAGTAGCCATGGTTCATTTGGTCGTAGATGAAAAAGAGAGCAGTAATATCCAAACACCATAAACTGTTAGAGCGAGGTACAAACCATTCCCAGGTATAGACTGGGCATGGGCATGCTAACTACCACGTCAACTTAGTGCTAGTTTTGTCTTCCACCAGGTCTTTTCTCTACCAGAAAACTGAGCTACGTCATCCAACCCCTGGAGAACAGCAGCCTTTTGAGTAGGCGACAGGACGATCGACCCTTTGGAACTGAGATCGTCGGCTAGGGACGCGGCATCAGCTGCATCACGCACCTTTTTCGCCGGGGTGGGTCGCAAGCCACAGCAGTTTATCTTGAAGACTAGAAGGTCTATTTCTGAGATATATGGGAGAGACCCGGGCTGAATAGCCAACACTGACGTTGCCGCAGAGGGTAGATAAGGAGACTGTGATAATGCATTACTATGTGGTCTGAGATGGACTTCTACCAAACTGCTTACCTGCCAATCAGGGGTGATATCAATTTGTATAAGCTTGCCGTTCGGGCCCTTGTAGAAAAAGAGTTGGGCCTGCTGCTGGAAAGGACTGGATGACATAGCAAGCAGCTTATCTTTAACTACTTTGGGAGCCCCTTGAACGGTGATGAGGAAGTCAACATCCTAGAGGGAAGAGGCCGAATTAGTAGATGCTATAATGAGATCATAGACCACACATAGAATTCAACCTCAGTAGTGCGATAGCCTCGAAGATACTTCCAGAGACTAAGGCCTCCAATCACCGCGATCTTAGCATTCGCAAAATCAGGCAAGGACTTCAAGATGCGAATAACAGCACTAGCAGCTTCCTCTAGCTCAGCGAATGACGGAGCAGACATGGTTAGAAGACAGTGTAAGGCAAAGAAATAAATAGAAATCGAGCCTAAAGAATAGAGCAGATGTAGAGGTGAGGAGAGAAGAATGTAATCTTCAATACTTCAACCGGAAGAGAGCCCATATTTATATGTGTATCCTGGTGCAGGTGGTGTTTAAAGTGGCAATGATTAGGGAAACTCATTGGTAAAGGCAATGCTAGTCATCTGATTCGCTTTTCAAGAGAGAGCACTGGCATGACAATATATTTGGTGCTACACCCCTCCCAATTTCCCCCCCCCAACGTCGTGGATTTGCATCCCAGGAGCCTGTTAGTGACACACATAGCCACCCATGGCACATATTCAGCTCCAAATTTTATCTGATCTCCATCTAGAGTCGCCGGCTGCATACGATATTTTTAACATCAGTCCAAAGGCGCCGTTCTTAGCGTTACTGGGAGATGTCGGCTACGTCAAGGATGAGGGGTTTTTCCGTTTTCTTCGCAAGCAGCTGGTGATCTTCCGTATTGTTTTCCTGGTCTTAGGCAACCATGAAGCCTATCATAGCAATTGGGCTAAGACCAAGTTGGACGTGAAACGCTTCATACACAGTATTGGTGATTCCCCTTGCAAGAGCGAGACGCTTGGCAAGCTTGTCCTGCTCGACCGATCACGCTACGACATTTCACCAACGCTCACCATACTTGGATGCACACTTTTCTCGCGCATTGTCAATGAGCAGGCGGAAAGTGTTAGTTTTGGCTTAAACGATTTCTACCACATTAGTGATTGGTCAATTAAAGCACATCAGGAAGCGCACATTGCCGACCTTGCCTGGCTGAATGGAGAAATCAGTTCAATATCTCGGCTGGAGCCAGATAGGCGTGTCATTGTTTTGACTCATTACAGCCCCTCGACACACGAAAATGCTGTCGATCCCAAACATGGAAACAGTAATATTTCATCTGGATTTATGACCGACCTGTCAAGCGAAGACTGCTGGAGGCATGAGATTGTTAAACTTTGGGCTTTTGGGCACACGCATTTTAATTGTGACTTTCGAGACCCGGTGACCGGAAAAAGGGTGGTATCAAACCAAAGAGGCTACTATTTCTCCCAGTCTACAGGTTTTGAAAGCGGGAAGATCATCAAGGTTTCAGCTTGGTGAAGGCGGCTAATTATTTATTATGCAAGGTTCACCAGAGAAGAATCGTCCGTAGAAACAAATAATCAAACTCAGATAACCCGAGCCTGGTAGGTCTTCTCGACCGTGATGTTCTGCCTCGTATTTAAGTCATAACGAAGTCTATCCAAAAGTACATACATTTTTGAATCCCCCGATTTTAGAGCTTGATAAAAATGTCTACAACCATCTCTCATGTCTTTTTCATCAAGAATAGGTGTTCCATCAACATACTCAAGCATATACGTCAAGATTGCCATCCAGTAGGCCTCATAGATACTGCCACGGTCTCGACATAGCAAAAGGATAAGGGCTTCACAGTATCTGAGAGCGGTTGGGATTCGAACGGGCGACAGTGGAGAGTTGAAGCGACCTCGGCCGTGGCCTAGACTTGCTGATGGAAGCTGAGTGTCCGACGCGTACATGATATCGGGGCTTTTCCCATGCGGAACAAGCCCGAATTCTGGTAATTCCCAGAGAACATCAGACTTCCGATACAACGATACCGTAAGCTCATCATCAATATGTAGGTGTCTAGTAGGCGGAGGGCACCGTGACGATGTCTGATGTGGGCAGTCTGAGTTTCGTGTGCAGGTAAGAAAACCAGCTCTCGAGAGGGCGGAGTAGGAGACTTCTGTGAGAGCGTCTGGAACGACGAAGGCGACGCCCTGTTCAAAATTTAGTGTTATTTCCATAATGGCTTTTGTAGCGAAAGTACTGACGTCAACAATAGTGGGAACCCCATAGATGGTTAATAGATAGTTGCCCCAGAGAAGAGCTGGGACACCAGCGGTGTTAAGAAGACGAGAGATTGATGTGACAAGCTCGTCATTCAGTTTTTGTCCACAGAAGTAAAATCCAGCCATTATAACAATATGTACCAAATATTAGGCAGTCCCAGACTGTTTGAAAGCCAAGGTATAGGAATAGCAGGTGGATGATAATTTTATTTGCAGAGTGAATTTCATCACGTGACCAGGATTCCACCAAGTCCAAGTTAATGAGGTGTTGCACAATATGGCACTCAGGCGTTGGCGGGCGGCCCTTTAAGGAGTACCGGCGATGATATTGCGTAGTGGCGAGAATTGAGCGCAGATGTTCACTCCGTATCCTCCAAAAGCTCGATTTGTCAGTAACATGCAGTATCTATGATTAGAACTAGTATGCAGCTAGACATGAGAAATACTGGCACAGAAGTCCTTGTAGAAAGGGTACGATGTGAAATCAGAAGCATGCAGTGGGACGTGGGAAGTCATCGATTTCTGTCGACCTGGCTGAAGGCGGTGAGACTCCGCATTCCGCAGGCAAATGCTTGAGCTTTTCCCTACTTCATAGGCTTTACCTAAAGGAGATGAGATTTTTTCGCGCGAAAAAATCTCATCTCCTTTAGGTAAAGTGGTCGTATTATTATTGACATGGTATTCGCGTAGGATTGCGCAGCGATCGTCTGTGTGGGCGGAAAATACGCCTTGGCGTCTCCTACCTGTTGAGCTAGTTATGCTTTGGTGCGATCTTCAGAAAATGGTTTAGTGCTTCTGTCCAAACTGCGCTAAGTCTGTACACACGTAAGTCGCTAGCTACACTGTTTCTTAGGATTCTAGCCGTCTACAATCCCGCAAATGAAGCAAGGTAATCCTTATTATGATCTCGAAAAAACCTAATAGAGTTTGCTTATCTACTATTAGTGGGTTTGATCTTCGACTTCTTTTGGAAGTGGATGTTGCAGCTTTTGACCGGGGATCGTTAGCCCCGAGCTGCGAGGGACCTATTCATGGCGATGGAATGTTTGGATATGCTGCTCTAAAATGATCATCCACCGTTGAGACAGGTACTGTGTTTTGCTAGCTAAATGTACTCAGGAACATCAATGCCGAGTATTATTGTCGATACGTCCTTCGAATCGTTTCCGCGACAATTTAGGCCACATATAGCTGGCATTTGTAGACTACCCTATAAAGTGGTACTGAGCGATTTCACTGCCCCTCCTCACGGTCGTGTGCATTTTTGGTTTGATTAAGTCCCAATGCTACCGAAGCTATGTATCCCCTTTTTGCATCTATGTTGATTCGATTGGATTGCCTTGGCCTGTCACGTAAGGCTACCAACTCGTATTTGCAAGGTTTGTCATGCATGGCTGATATAGGAACAGCACACTTATCAAGATTATAGATCCGCTAGCCTCTCTACTAAAGGACGGAGAGACTGAAGTGGGCGGACGCTCCGTGTTTCGCAGGCACTACATAAAAGCAAAGGTTCGGGGCACCCATTATTGTATAGTACGTCAAGAGAGTGTGTGCTATTTCACCAAGGGAGGGGAGGTAGTGCAAGATACTACGTTCGCGCCAATGGAGGTTGAACAGGGGAGGCTTCTCGGGTCGGAGCGTGGTCTACAGCTATTAAAGGATTATAAAATTTGCAACGGTCTTGGGAGTACACAATGATTTGTGCGATTCGGCTTTTTTTATACTCTGTTTACCTCTTCCGTGTTAAAAACCCAGTGGCTTAGCCTTAATTGCATCCATAGCTTCAGGACACAGGCCGGCATTCTCTAACCCCAACAAGTCTCTTTTGTCGCTTAATCTTTTTAACATAAGTACTTCTTTGTTTATACCAGATCAGACCTATATTACATCTTCCATACTGTATACACTAGGCACCGACCATTGACTTTATCCTTGGCTTCACATAGAGGGTGCTGGGAGGGCTTTAGGTGATTACATACATTTCTGAACTAAAATCTCCTTCAAACAAAATTTTATCTGCTACTTCTTCTATGCTGTACTGGGCCTCATATCAGTCAAGAGATATTGGTGGAAGCGGCATGCTAGTGCACTGAATCGAATTTAGTTCGGATGTAGACAGGAATAAGGCAATAAAATCTGTCAGAGTTCTATCTGAACTTAAAGGAAGGGGCTTGGTATTCGTATGGTATTGGTTAGCCGGTGCTAGAACTGGATCTGCAAAGAAGAATGGAAGTTAATACTAGGTAAAGTAGGCTATACTATAAAAGCGATGAGAAGCAGGTAGGAGTAATAGTTCTACTCTTCCCAAGTGGCAACCACTTTCTCTTTCCCTCTCATTCTATACAACCGCAACAGCTGTTTTATATACTCAAAGTTTTGCCGAGAATGGTAACTTCCATGTCCAGTGACATTTCCCTTGATACGGATTTATCTGGCTTTCGCGTCTCGAAATTAGAATCTCCTAGTTGCCAGTTTATATTCCAGGGAATCGCCTGTTTCTGGCGTGTTAATGTCCTTCTTATCGATGAAGATACATCCCCTGGTTCCATGCTGCTTCTTAAACGTTCTGCTAGTGACAGCCACCCTGGGTGCTTGGAAGGGGCTGGAGGGCAAGTTGAATACGGCGACAAGACCTTGCTTGAAGCTGCTGAACGCGAGGTCAATGAAGAGACAGGAATTACTGGCTTAACATTCTTTGGAACCGCTCAAACAAAGTCATGGGACACTCCTAAAGCTGATGGAATACACCACTGGGTCCAGTTCACTTATATGGCGACTGTTTATGGGCAACCTGACTGGAAGGAGAGAATACATCTGGCAGAGGATGAGCATCAGATTGGAGTGGGTAAAGAAGGACGATGTGCTGAAGATGGAACGGAGTCATTCTATGGGAGTCACTGGAGACTATTCTTGAGGCTTTGATGCTGTCATAATAGTTGAACTTGCGTGGTATTATTAATTAAATTTACCACGGTCTTCGTCCGCTAAGTGGCACGTGGATTACGCGGCTTTGTATTCCATGTTGTTGACACTTTGGACCAGCAATATCGATCCTGCTTCGTATTAAGATTGGTTATGTCAATAGTTTCTGTCCATTTGTGCTTATGTTTCCTACTCGTTACACTATCCGTGACTAAAAAGCAACGGCAGTGTTCACGTCAAGCTATACAAATAGTGCTAATTTGTACTATGCATGTGTTGTATATCATAATGAACACACCAGAGAATAACAGGGTGGTAAAAGAACAATTACTATAAAGTTGTCTAATCGGTCTCAGGACAATGGTTTGCTTATTCTAAGGCGAAGCTTCATACTGTGTATGATAGTCGTGTCGTTAATTAGTCATCGAGCCTTGGGCATGGAACACGGCAATGTCTCCGTGGGTACAGGGTGTCTGGCCTTCGAGTTCAACGCGGAGCATCTGATGGAGCATTTAGGTTACATGTGTATCCATGATGGAGAACCCCAGGAAGAAGATGTGAGAGAGGCGGAAAGGGTTTATAATGAGAGTCCAAAGCACCGTATGGAATCTTTCCAGTATTGCAAGGGGGGGATTGAGTGTGAGAGGTTCCTTAACTCAGGCAATCAGGTACATCATTGCCACCCCGCGTTGGAAGAGCCCCAGAACTTAATTTGTTAAACAGATTCGAAATATTGTTGCAAGATTATTGAATATGGGTTTTCAGGATATCAAGAAGCAGGGCCCCGCTATTATTGAGTTTTTCACCGGCACTGCGGGAGAGCATGAAGAGCAGTTTATGAGAGCACATCCATCACGTGAAGCAGTCTCTATCTTCCGCCCATTGAGAGAGCCTGCATACTGGGGTAACGGACTATTCAAACTTTACACCTCTTCCCATCACCAGACTGAGGTTCAGTTCCGAAATACAGATAACAGGGATGCGCATGAGATTGTTGTTGGAACCGATGAGGTTTTGGTTATTTTCGGTGGGCTTCATATCCAGCTGTCGCCGAACAGTGGGACACGAATAGTTTGGCAGGGCTTCTCAAAGCGTCCAATGCTAGATGACATCCGGTCTCCTCTGGCCCTGCCATTTATGAAGGTCTAGCGTATTGTTTGCTATCCTTGTTTTGAATGGTGGAATCACTCGGTTGCCGAACGGTTGCGAGGATTTCTAGGAAGAGTTGGTTAGCCAATTGAATTTAATGTATAGCTAGATATCGTTACCGGTCGTTCCTATATAAAATTTGCAATATCCCATAAACTCGGATGTTAAATTAATAGCAAGGCCTTTCAGCCTAGCGTATGCACCTTCCTTAAGGAGCTGGATAGTATTCACTATTTCCGATTCATAAAAATGGGGAAACTTTGATAGGACTGGAACCATCACCGCAGAGATTCCAGGTATTCCGACCTCCCGCTCAATCCTGCAAAGCTTTTGACCGCATTCAAACCAGCCACGGGCTTGCGATGTGTCAGGAAGCCGGTGCTCACGAATAAATGTTCTGCACAAGCCATGATTAGAAGGGTGTCCAGAATGGTACCATATATCAAGAGGCAGTCCTAACGAGTGTTCCAGCCAATGCTCATAAGCTACCGAAAGGGATCTCATAGCTAGTAGGCGCTGGAACAGCTCGCTTATGGTGGGTTTTCGTCCTCTGCTTGGCCTATTCCGAAGGAAGATAGTCCGCATGTCTTGTTGATCTTCATATAGGGTGACCTCGTTAATAAGGGATGTCTGATCCCTTTCAAAAAATGTTGTCAATTCCCCTATTTTGTTAGATGCACCACTTAGTATGTCACGAGCGGTGACAGCCCGAGTGTATTTGATCTCTCCAGCCATGGATATCCAATGGGATTGAGTCCTTGGTAAGAGAAGAGGTGAGAACGGAGCCCATGCAGGTGTGTCGCAGGAGTGGGGAAGAGGAATGAACTGGGAGATGGCGCTTTGAGGGAGTCGGGGGGATGAAAGCTATGTCCGGAGCGCTTGGTCCCTGTCCCCTTTTTAGCCTCAGCGCCTACCATCTATGTCATACTAAATTATCCACTAATGAAACCAGTCACAAGGGGCGTGGAGCTCTAGCCCGTGGCAAGGCGCGAACTCAGGAGTAGATCACCCTCGCAGATAATATTAGCTTTATCGTCTCAGTGCACCAATACTGGGCTAGCCAGGCTAATACCGTCTTGGAATAGTCTTCCTACAATATCACAGCCTGCAATAGGCCCAAGATTAAGCAGTACGACGCATTTGCCATTCTTGTGAGCCACAAGGATTACAGTACTGTCTGATTTCCGGGCCAACGCATATACCGCTAGTTTGCAATAGTGTATGTATAGCGTTTTTTTTTGGAATGTAGCATCAACAGGGTCCCAGATGGGGCCATAGTTTCCATTTTAGTTGCAATATCGTTGTTTCCCGGGATATCCGTTTACCAGCATAGCACTCCCCGATAATTGCCAAGAACGATATCAATATTTTGTTTTGCTGGCAAGATTCCGTTATTTTACCCTCTAGTGCATGCTTCCCACCAGGCTAAGACATAGCATCACATATATAGACGAAGATGAATGTTCGCATGTGCATATAAGATCAGAAATTCCTTCTTCCTATAAATACAGAGCAAGTTCCGTCCAAATCTTGTATTTGCTCGCGTATTCAAACACTTCAGCCCATAAAATTCCCAGTGGCAAAGATTTTCCAGCCATGAATACTGCACTTAGTACATCTTCTAGTATTGCATTCTTGTGTCGTGGTTGTTATGAATATCTATATCCCGCTATCTTTGAAGGTAGACGCTACAGCTGTATCCAACTGTCTGAGAGATTCCTCTGCGTTTTTTGCGAAGAAGAAAGTAATCGAGGATTAATAGTATGTAAACCATTTTTCTTCCAAAGAGTCCACTGCTGACCTCTATAATGATTTCCGAGGCGTTGAGAGAGCGGGTACTAATCGCCCGCAATATGCAGCAATGGTTTGATTCCCTTCGCCAAGGAATTGAGGAGGACATGAATCGCAGGGAGGTACCCCTATACAGTTTATGATGTCTTGCTAACTTTGGCACTTAGTGAATAAAGTTGTATATACGGTTTCTGGACGACTAGGTGGGAAATATTAATTCAGCTGCTGCTCCGGTGCTTCCTCTGGACAAAATATTTGGAATAAGTTTATCGTTCCATTAAAGGACCTTGGAGAGAAAAAGTCAATCCTAGGCCTTAAAGAAGCTCCGGATTTTTCTTTGCCTGTAATCCGCAGTTATTTAAGATGGACATCATGAAGTGCCTTATCCATCGTTGCTTTTGAGTATGCCCTACTTGTAAAGTCGAGACCTAAGGATTGTTCTTTTCTAAATGTAACCATAATAGTACATAATAGTACTTGTGGACACAAAATTGGCTAACGAACCCGATATTATAAAAAGGTGCGGTTTATTTCTCTTTTTTTTTTTTTTTTTTTTTTTTTTTTTTGAAATATGTATAGGCACGATTAGGACCGCCCATAACTGAAAACATAAATTATCAATGTGCGAATAACTCTCTCGTAGTCAACTCCATATTCCTCATAATTTTATGAGACTAATCAACCATCGCTATTACAGTATAGAAAAGTTTCTTTAATTAAATAAAATGACCCACAAATAAAAACGGAACAGGAGTAGACACTCCCTCCCGATATCCACACTTCCTAGTCTATATGATTGAGGAGAAGCGTAGCCCGGGTTTGACATCAGTGATCATATCATCCAATCAAGTCTAGCCCTATTGAAAAGAGAACCTACCATGTATTAAATCTTTGTCAGGTCTAGGAAGGCTTACTTTAGTCGAAGATGAGTGTCTAGAGTACTTTTGCAACATGGCTTCTACTAATATTCCTTTTTCTCCCCAACTTGAACCTTCTTTCTTTTCTTCTTTTTCTTCATCACACATGGTTACTTTGTGTCCATACAATATTTTTTCGTTTCAATCATTCATGACTGTGCGTTAAAATAATACGTCTTGGATTTTGTATTAAATCACGCAAGCAGAAGTATGGACCCAACACTGAGTTGTCCCGTGGCCTACATCGATAAGAATCAATGGCCTCAAATACAGCCATCTGACTCCTTCGGTCCAACTGCTACTGAGATGCTTCCCCTAAGAGATGGAGCCACACTTCAGCGCCATCTTTATGACACAATGGACAGAGACACATTCAGAGAAAGCACCATGAAAAATATCCAAAAGTTGAACTCGCTTACCTGCATCTCGCTTGCAAAGTTCCTAATCAACATCATCGAACCGGGAAAGAGAAGAAAGCATCCATACAAGGATGGGGACTTGGCAAGGCCAAATTGGTGGCCGACTGGTGTTCGTCATAAGGAACCAGATCACTTACTTAAAAAAGGTGGGACCTCCAGTGACGCCCTGGAAGTTTGATTTTTTTTTTTTAAAAAAAAAAAAAATAAATAAACGAGAGAGTGTGAAGAAAAACCAAGAGAAATAAGCTAATACATAAAAGATCGGACTGAGCTCTTGACCCATATTTTTGTAGACCCATATCTATGGCAATCGATAAGGGAACCACTCGGACAGGAGATATTTGGACGACGAATAGGTTTCGAAATAAAGGCTGTGGTTTTGAAAGATATATTCAACGTCGCCTTCCAGTATCATGGGAATCGGCATAGGTACAATATAAACCGTACGTGGGAGTGTATTAATATCCTTATCCACTTTCTAACCTGCTGACCAATGTGCAAAGATAAGACCGCCGACTCTCCATCTATTCCTATCTCACTGAGTGTGGGTAACAGCATTTCCGTGTCTGCCCCATTAGGGGAGAAGGAAGAAGCCCCAAATGATATAAATCTTATGGAACAAAAGCAGTGTTTGACCTACGATATAGGTATGTTGTAGTATTAATTTGTGCGTAGTGGCTGATAGTTTACCAATGTTTCAGGGCACGGTATCTTCGAGCAAGGATCGACTCCTCAGTGTTCAACTGACATATTCGGAGAGCAATTCCATCTACAATCCGTGCCTAAATTTCTGTGCTCTCCTTGCTGTGAAAACTTACGCCCTTTCATCTTAAATGATAAACACACAATTTATGGGAACTTTCCTTTGTTATCATGCTGCTGTTGTGAGAAAGAGAGCAGTTATGGATTAATTGTGAGTAAACAAGTCTAATTATTTAGGAACTAGGGCTAATATTTCCAAGATACCTGCTCCTCAGGCAGTCAAAGCAATACAGTCCCGTGACCAGGGTGAAGCATCAACATGGTTGTCTCAGAAAAACAAAATGTTAAGAATTGGGACCACTCTGGATATATTGCAAGAGAATCAGTCTGAACTATCCGATGGGGGCTGTCCACACTTTACCAGCATATATCACATGAATGTTTATCGTGAGCTGCTGTTTATTCTTCTTCCAGCAGAGGCTTGTTCCACGCTTGCCAGACACCTGATTAACTGTTTTCTAAATATTATAACTCTTGAAGCGTCGTTGTGGGAAAGGGTTAACTGCTCGAATGAGCCATTAAAATCTGGTAAGGGCTCGTTATTACAACGCTAATAAAGGACATTGTCTAAATTTTTGACAGACAATGTGGCAATTTTAAAATCCGTCTTTCACCAAGTCTCTTTTAAGGACTTAATCTCATCGATCCAAACAATTAGTCAATCATTCAGTGAGAAGGAACGCAAGCTAATATATACCATTGTTGATTCACGGAGAATAGTTCTTGAAGGCCCGAAAGAAGGTAAAAAGAAGAGCTATATGTTATCTCTGCCTTTAACTAATTATATGCATTATAGCAGAAACGACTAACCACCCGCCACGATCGAACTTGCAACCAGACCGAAGAAAGGCTCAAGCTACCAGAGACACCAGTGGCTACGGCATCGACCAATGCAGCAATTCCGTCTCTACAACGCAGAGCTCCATACCTACGCAGTCCCAACGTGTACGTACTCCGAAATCACGCAAAAACAGAGAAAAGCCAAAAGGTGGATGCGCTAGCTGCTATACCCAGAGATCTCCGGTATGGAGGATCGGCCCTAGTGGGGTACGAAACTACTGCAATGCATGTGGACTGAGATGGTCCAAAGAAAAAAAAAGACATGCTCCAAGAATGTTGTGAGTAAGTGTGCCCAATTGTTTCATGGAATGGGATGCTTCTGTTGTTTTATGCTGCCCCTTTAAAAGGTTTACTTTTGCTGTATGTTTCATGGCCACTCCTTGATAATTTGGTTATTTTAAGTTGTTTACCTTGTTTTCATAGTTAATTGGTACAGAGAATGTGATTAGTTTAACTACTTTCTGGGATTTATCATAACAGAAACATCTAGAAATTTAATCTTGCCTTCACCAAGGACCATACTGGTCTTTATTGCTGTATGACCAAAATATTGCTGTCTCTGTGTCATGAACTCACAGTGACCTGTATATGTTCGTCCATTAATAGCCTTGTATACCCTAGAATTGCTAGAACTAGCCAAGAACTAGCCAAGTCCATAAAATATTGGCATGTGATTTTCCTCATAGTAATCAAGAGTAGGTGTGGTAACAATAGCAAACTGAACCCTCAGAGTTATGACCACCGGGCAGAAATACAAGCCTCACAGCTAACATACTGTTCCTGCCAATGGCGAAAGCAAAACCATCTCGTGCCGCAGAGCTCCTCAGCAGAATCTAGCCCGTCCACGCAGTCCTTGACAAAGCCAAGGCGCTCTTTGTACCATGGTAGTTTTTCCTTTCTATGGGACAGGATATATTTATGTTGACCTATGACAGGCTACAAGGATTATCTTAGGCTTTCTTTCATATTCAGGTACACCGTCGAGTCTTGTTTACTCACCTGTTTTATGGCTATAGTTAGAACGACTGTGAGAGCTAGGATGAGGTAGTGTGTTTTCATGGAAAGCATAGCTTTTATGATTATCAGTTTGATTTTAGGATACACTCAAGGTGAAAACTTCAGAGTCTGCAGGCGTGATTTTCAAAGATCGTTTTGAATGAATGGCGCGGAAAATGCTACATTTGCTGGGACAGTAGTGTGTTTTGTTTTTCGGGGGGCAAGGCAGGTATCTGGAGATGCGCTACTCGGTAAACTAGAATAGGAAGAGGGAATGATTTAAATACCTTGCCTTGCGACACCAAAATGATTCGCAAGTTTGTTTCCTAACCAACTTTTGCCGGTCATATCATTATTGAAAGAAACTTAATGTTTGCCTTATTTACCCGTCCAATATGGAGATTAATTCACATATTGCGCTTAATGAAACAGTCAAAAAGAATAATTGACAGCAGCAAAGAGGGGCTTCTACCTGGCAATGAAAGTCCAACATCTGAATAACGATTCCAACCGTGGCGATATAAGGCTACTTAATTAATTATTTTGATAATATAGTATATATATACATCTCCTACATCACAATCTTTAAATGACAAGTTAATCGAAAGAGGTATGCAAGTATTCTTAAAGCTTCTTATAACTAATTACGCATAAACAAGGACGATAGTATCAAGTGTTGTACACTAAAAGCTAAATACTTGGGGCAGGATGGCAGAAGATAGAGTAAACAATGAAGCCAATGTGCTTTAGTTTGTCACTGTAACCACTACCACTTTTGTAGTGGTGCTAGGTTGAAAGGGAACAAGACTAATATTCCACCTTTCATTATTACTGATTTTGCTAATAAACTGGTTCTTTTTCCTTCCTGGATTTAGAGCAAAGTGAGTGGAAGTGTCGCATAAATACCAGTTATCCCGCTGACCTCCAATGAACCATACTGGTTCAGCTGAATTTACCCGGTATAATATGTACTTAAGTCCATTGTCTCCAAATGTTGTTTCTGCGGCACATGGATGCTCCAGAGTGGCGTTATAGATAAAAAAGGACCCATTTAGTGAGTAGAACAAAATGGTTTGACCAACCGCAGCATCTAGAGATCTAGGTTCAAACTTGGTAAAATCGCCAGGATATACTCTAACCATCTTAGTCAGGCTCTGTTGTGGTGTTGGACTGATTCTGGATAGCAACTCTGTACTTGTCACATGCATTGAAGACAAAGAGATATGCTTTCCAGGAGTTGAGGTGGGAGTGCAACTTGGCGATTGTGCAATTATACTTTCAGGGTGAGCAGCTGGTAGTGTACTTTTCTGTGTGCTTATAGATTTTGAATGCCATTTAATGCCGCCTGAAGTAGCTTTTGGAGAGTAAAATTCTGTTCCCGTTATACTTTTTTGGTGAGAAGAATGTGCCTGGCTTATAGATAACCTTAGATGCTGAGTAGATTGTGATATCGGTGTCTTTAACAGGCCCGGGAAACTTGGGTGATGATGAGCACATGTGCAATGTGGAGGCGAGATTGTAGATTCCAGTAAAGTAGAGGCTATACGAGTAGTCGACGAGCTAACCCGTGCAGGTGGGACCAACTCAATATCAATACAGGAAGTGTATAGCTAGTAATGTCAGCTTTATTTTATACTTGCTTCTAGACTGGATACACACCAGGAAACCTTCTCCTACTAGTTGAGTTGTATTCCACATCCAGTATATTGTATAGACATCTCCGGCTATTGCCTCGGGTGGAATTTGGAATGTAGCAGGGCAGTACTTCTGATAGACGGAAGAGTATGCATGGGCTCCTAATACTACAGCCTTGTTAGTTTATAGATTATACCTTGCGAGTTCTCATACCTTGACCATTGACTCCGTCGCGGAATTTTAGTACTTCAGATAGACTTCGATCATCAGGGGTTTTCTGTATTGACGTGCCGTGCCAATAAACAGATCCAACCGCACCCTGCCGTTTATATGAGCCGCCAAGTGAATAGCCTGCGCATACCACAGCACCTGGCGTCGCCCTTAGTCGATGCCAGGGGTCTTTTTGGAAGGGTACCCTTTGATGCTTGTTGCAAAACAACGCGGAGGGATTTGTGTCCAAAATAGAATATCTGCCATAATAGTTGGAGCCTGTTATGGTAATGAGAAATAACACTATGGCTAAAAATAATAAAAGAGGGGGGAGTAAAGAAGAGGATGCCATGAGAAGAAACAGAAGAGAGAAAGAAGGCGAAGGAACAAGGAACTTTCTACTTACTGCTGAAGTTCCTGGGATACCCTAAGCCGCCTTCAAGCCTATTAGTCTCGACATTTATTACCTGCAGGTCCCTAAGCTATCGTGACGGTCAACAACCAGTCAGGTGGTTATCTAAGGGCAACTCTACCTGCAAGTGCGCCCAGACAGAAGCCACATAAATACTAAGGACAAGAGGTATAATCTGAAATACTGTTGGAAACATTTTGATATGTTTATAGATTATGGTATAGGAAGAGATTTAATTCTCTCTACCGGGTGAGGAGCAACCTTTGTATGAGTCTTTAAAATACTGCTTATTCATCACAGGACTGCAACACCTTTTGGTATCGCAGCTTTAAATAGTCCTAATTTACCTGACACAGGTGTTAAGAATCCTTCTTATAATTCATCCTGGACCTTTGAGCTATGTATAGATTCAAAAATCCTTTACCCCATCCAAAAATATCCCTGGTTTGGCAAAAGCTATGCCCTAGATCTTTTCTTGATGCATTCAAAAAGCCACTGCAACCGGGAGAGGTCGAGATTTCAATTGTAATTATAAATGGCGCAAGTCATGATACAAGAAATATACCAATGTTGGTTACCCATTGGGACCTGAGAACAGATGATGCAATAGTAAGTATAATGTTCTGACCTGGGTTGACTTCTTTATTAACTTATCTATACCAGTGATGTAACCTAATCTGTGTGTTTTTCATAATTAAGAAAGTAGGCGGAGGATATGTATTGTGACTATTTTAATATTCTATACGTTATATACTATAGTATAAATATCACGAAAACCCTCTAAATCATGTCTCCATCGTAGACCTCATTGGTCTTCATCCCCATAAGACTAAAATACTGCTGCTCTGCGTTGCGGAGTCTCGCAGTAACCTGTACAAGTGCATCCTCCATTAAATGAAAAATTCGAAAAGTCTCCTCCTGAAACTGCAACAAAGCATTCTTTGATTCTTTGTGCCACTGAACTTCAGCTCGCAGGTAACTAACTTCGTAGACAAGCTCCTCAAGCTGCTGGCGAAGGTCTTTAGATGTTCGTTTCGACTGTTGCAAGCGAGAAGGGAGTCTTTCAATACTAGACGTGGTGCATCCATGGCGTAAGACTTCATGGTCTGCAGGAGTGATTTCTTCAGAGATAGTTTCGAGTGAACGGCGTGGAAAATGCTGCATTGCTGGGAGAGGAATATCTTGTAGGGGTTTTCTGAGAGAAGCTCTGCTCAGTAAACCAGGACTGTAAGGACTTTAAATTCCGCTCTTGCCCCTGCGATCCCAAAATAGTTCGCAAGGTTACTGGTAACCGAATTTGGTGGGCTCCAATTGAACCAAACTTAATATTTGTCTTTATTCAATCCAGATATTGATTTACTGTACCTAATAAACTACTTAAAAAATATGACTGACAGCAGTAGAAGAGGGGGAAGAATAATAAAAAAGCAAACAACCCAGAAACCAATATCTCTGCCCACAACTTTCGTCTTCTCAAGATCGGGTACAACATGTGATGGCGTGGAGATTCCAAAAAAATCCTCCATGGGAACAAACTGGTTCTCTGCTTTATACTGTTGAGAACTTAGATCCTTAACTTGATTTCTGTCCTCCATCAGGTATCGAGCCATTGTCTTCTGATGCTCAATGATATGCTGCAGCATGGATTGTAGTAGTAGTGTTTTTTCCTCTAGATTCTGGAGTTGGTCTTTGTAGTCCTCAGTCTCTGCCTGCCCATAAACGTTATATCTAAATATACTGGCCATTTCAAATTCATTCGATAAATGCTCCGTGATCTACTATTAGTAAGTATCAATAGCCATCAGTTTCAGCCCATGTAAATTTACCGAATCTTTAGTCATTCTGCGCTTAATAATAGTGTATACCCTAATGATAATTTTCTCTCAAAGCATGTAAACTATTACACATAAAGGGTAGTTAAAGCGGCTATGATTATATATACAGTGTGAATTTATTTCACATGGGCCTAGAAAGGCCTGGCACTTGCGAAACTAAAAGGTTTCGCAGAATTAATCTGCTGGTTTAGATTACGAGGATCCAGAAAGTACAAAAGGACGAAAGGAGTAACTCTAATTTCCATCTTCAATAAAACTAACATTAAGGGAGTTATGACAACACCAGTATGCCCAGGGGCACTCGCTCGTGTCAAGATTCCTTGTCTGCCTCTACCAGAGTGGATACTGTGCTTGAATCACTAGGGTCGGCTGACACATTTCCATCTGACGAATGCTCCCACTCAAATCCAGGGCTCTCTGTGAAACCTCCGTCTTGCGAGATCTCTTGTAAAGCCATCTGCAGGTGGTGCACCATATCATCACGTTCACGTAGTGCAGAGTGAAGTGCACTAATTATTCCGCGTTGCGATTCGTTCTCGCGAAGAACATGTTCAATATTTGGCATTGTAAGAGTTTTGTCTCCGGTTTGGGCCAGTAAAAACAGCAAGGTCCCATTAATTGTACGCTGGTTTGCAAGACGCATCTGCAAGTCCTCAACTTTCTGTCTCTCCAGTGTCAAGTTCCGGCATACAGACCGCTCAGCTTCGATGAGTTCGGCCAGTTTAGACTCTTGCTGCGCCCTTGCCTTTTCAACGGAAACACAGTACTCCCGTATACGCTGATAAGCATTGTGGTCGTGGCTGATCCTCAACTCCAATTGCTCTTGATATTGCTGGGATTTTTGCTCCCTATCCAGGATGTTTTTTATAAGGCAGCTGATAGGACCCACTGCGCAAGCATTCTTGTATCATAAATCAGCGCCGAACACTAATTAAGGACATTATACATACCTCTGTTTCAGGCACGGGAATCTCTGCAGGAGTCTGTCTATTGTGGAGGGCCATAATAAAGATTGGATATATGCAAGAAATTAGGCTTGATCCAGAGTAATAGCTGATCTTGTGCAAATGAGGGATAAGTAAGGTGGATGGAGAGTCTATTATATACGGTTGGTCTTTGCCGTAACTAAATAGTAGCGCTCCCTGATAGAGAGGAGGTTGAATGTAGTTGTTAAAGCGCCCAATTAAAAACTGGAATAATAATAAAAACTCGGCCTGAAAAATAACCACCGTCCCGAATATGACACCCATAGAACACGAAACTCCTGGGGATGGGCGGCACTTTACCCTCCGGATGCTAATAGGGTTGAGGGTCAGGCCCAGTCAGGTGGACCCCGAACCCCTCATGATACTACACAGCTCATAAATTTGGCAAGTCTGCACACTTATTACTTGGGAAGGGATCCAAGAAATCAATGAGGATGCGTGCCACGCCAGGATACCTGGCCAGGCAGAAACAAAGGCGATCGAAATCATGAGGCGGCTAGGCCTGAGGTAGTAGAACAAGCACAAGGTTACTAATCAGTCAGGTATTTAGTTTTGGTATTAATATTAGTTGGTATGCATTATTATATTCTGAGAGGAATATAGATGAGACGTATATTTTCACACAGGTATTCCATATAATAGAGTATATTTTATATACTAGCTACATATGCCGTCTTCGTCTTTATTAGAATAATTAAGTCAGGCTTGTGCATTTTCTGCCCTAGGAATAGATAATGCATACGCAGACTATATTCATATGGGAAACTAATCCATACGCAGAAACATATGCGTGTGCATACTTATGCGTATGGGAAACCAATCCGTACGCAGAAATACATGCGGGTGTAGACTGTATGCGTATAAAATACCAATCCGTGCGCAGAAATAAATGCATTCGTAGACTTTATGCATATAGAATATCAATCCATGTGGAAAAACATGCGTACGCAGATTTTATGCATATGGAATATTAATCCATGTGGAAAACCATGCGTATGTATACTTTATGCGTATGGAATACTAATCCATGCGGAAAAATACATGCGTATGCAGACTGTATGCCTATGGAATACCAGTCCATGCGCAGAAATAAATACATTTGTAGACTTTATGCATATGGAGTACCAATCCATATGCAGAAATAAATGCGTATGCAGACAATATGCACAGAAATATTTCCTTTATCATCAGGTCAATCATTGAATCAGGTCTTTTATTAGCCCAAAATAATTGCTTTGAGTGGTTGTATCATCTTGGTGAGATTACAAAGGGCTAGAGCCCGTTTAACCTCTCGGGCCAATGTCCCTATTATCCCTGTTGTCCCTATTGTCCCCATTGTCCCCGTTGTCCATATTATCCCCATTGTCCCCGTTGTCCATATTATCCCCATTGTCCCCGTTGTCCATATTGTCCCTATTGTCCCCGTTGTCCCTATTGTCCCCGTTGTCCCTATTGTCCCCGTTGTCCCTATTGTCCCCACTGTCCCTATTGTCCCCGTTGTCCCTATTGTCCCCGTTGTCCCTATTGTCCCCACTGTCCCTATTGTCCCCGTTGTCCCTACTGTCCCTGCTGTCCCTGCTGTCCCTACTGTCCCTTTTGGCCCTGTTGTCCTCTTTGGCCCATTGGCCCTCGATCCATGTCACGTGACTCGCCACCTTGTTTGTTTACCGCTCATTTTCTTCTTCCTTTCTTCCCTTCTTCAACGATTCCTTCTTGTACATAACCTATCTTGTAGGTTCCATGGGTTCAGCCCTTGATAGAGATCAGATATACGTAGCTGGTGTGAGGATCGGGTGTGTTGATTTGTACGGTACATGTTAGCCAAGCTCAGGAGCTTAACTATTTCACTGGACCAAAAACCACTACATCTGATCCCAATAGTAGCGCACTGTAATTAAATTTATCCGTGCAATTTGCTTACTTCATCAAAATTATACATTTTAATGAACTAGTATCAAGTGAGGAAAAATGATTACCAAATTAATTGCGATATTAAGTACAAAACTAGGTGTGATTGCCAGGCATCTTGCTCCCTGTTATAATCTCTCTTAAATTCTGTACCAAGTGCATATCCTTCTGCATAATAGTCACGCGCTTGGCATGAATCGCCGCCAAATTGGCCACTAGATGCTCGTAATTAGTATATTAATTAGTATATTATAAAAGTATATATACTAGTAAATTTAGTGGCAAGCATTGCCTCGGATGCTTCTTGAAGTGCCTTAATTGCTAATTGCTGCTATTAATATTCTTTACCTTTACTAGGACAGCCTGCGACTTCTTTACATATCTCTTGAACGAGTCTTGCAAAAGTAGCTTTTGAATTAGCAGTTTATGGCCCTTTTGGTATTTCTTGATCTCCTGCAAAGCTTTTCCTTTAATATAGTTAATTTAGCTATTAGTAATATAGTAATTAGTGTAGTAATCTACTTACTTTCTTGCCTTCTTCTTACTAAACAAGCAGTCTTTATCTTGACCCGACGGCCTTGAAGATTTGGAAGGCGTTTACCGGCACCTTTTCGAGCTCTGCTTTCTAGATCCATCTTGGGTGCCTTGCCACCTGAAGCAGTACGAGCATTGACTTTGGTTCAAGCCATAATATGAAGTATGCACGGAAGGACAAGAAAATAAAATAAAATAAATAAATAGTAAAACAGTGTAGTATTACAAAATAATTATAAAAAATAAAAAGGGTAGAAGGCCTGGAAGAAAAAAAAGTGAAAAAAGACAAAGACTTTCTAAAAGGGTAATATAAACAAAGTAATAAAAATATACAGCTAGTTATATATTTAAAATTTTTTAATTTACCTTTTACTTTATCCCCTTTCTTTCTTTATTTCTTAATATTCAAGGATATCCATCCACATTTATCCAGGCTCCAGTATCTAGCTTAAATTTATTAAGTCTATACTACAGTTAACATCCCACGGACACCACGCCGAACGGCGGCTCCCACCAGGATACTACAAGTTAAGTAAGATTTCTTGGTGACAATTTCTATATCTAGTGATATACTAATTATTATACTAATATAAAATAGAATGGGGGATTCCAGGTCCTACACCTGAGACCAAGCAGGGAAAAAAAGAAAAGCAGAAAATAATCTATCTATAATCCTAACTAAAAAAGCACGGGCAAGAACAGCAGGGCTAAGTAATATTACGAAATTAGCGGGCAAAGAATCAGACCGGGCAGCAGTTAATATTTAAAAAGATTAAGGAGTCTACAGTATAAAAATCTGTACAGAACCCAGGAGGAGCTGCTTGATATGGACGAGACAACGAAATGGCTGAAAGGTATTTGTATTTATACTAATATTGTATATTATGCTAATTATTATACTATAGAACTTAAAAAAACCATCAGCCGATGCAGTACGACAGGTTTAGGTTATTCTAGACTGACTATCTACAATATTTGCAGAATCACCCGGCCTGGGAGAATATAATAAACGATATAATTCTTATAGCGAGGTACAGCAGGATATATTGAAAATTATGTAACACAGTTTCAGATAAACAAACCAGGAAAATGCGCAAAGATTATTAAAGGAAAGATTAGCACGGCATTTTATAACAAAATAATTTGGTTTATTGTCTCGCTACTAAAAGATACTATCCAGAAAGTTATTTAAAAAGCAGACGGCTAAATAGAATTGATATTAATAATATTAATAGTTTATGCAATAAACTAATAATGTAGCAGCTATATACCCTCCTAATATTTTTTTTACTTCGGAAGACTGGGCGTGCTTCAGAACTCTTTAATACACAAAATAATTTAATCCTACTGGTTGGATTATATTGCCTGGTCCGGACTTCTAGTAGGATAAATACGATTTTGCTCAGCATAATAAAATAGATAAAAAGGAGTGGATTTGGGAAAAACAGCTTATATTTAAAATAGTTTATACAAAATGCATGCCTAGGGACTTTAATAAGGTTATCTTTTATCAGACTAAACTAGTTGTTTTTAAATAGTAGTATAAATTAATTACTATATTAATTACTATATTAACTTTATATTATTTATTAAATTAAAGTAAATGCGTTGCTATCTGCTATTTTATTTAGTCCCTTATTATATATAAGCATATCCATATCCATCCTATCAGGATTTATATTAGTCTGTACTAAACCAGTCCAGTTCCAGGCACCAGTAGGTTTTTTTAATAAGCCTAACTTTGGTGTTTTTTGTGACAGTATATAACTGTGAAGTTAATGCCGGAGTTGTTTATATACCTTAACATAAATTCGTGTACCATTATTGTAGCTATCCTGAGCATTAATTCTGTTAAATCCTAGCTCGTCAAGTTTCATTTTACACCAGGTTAGTGTTTTAAAAGGTAAATACTTATTAACATCTATATTTTTTATATATATTAGCAATTATATTCTTTATATATTTAAATTTTGTACTTACTATAATCTGCAGTACACTCTTTAATCTCTTCTAGTAGATCAGGATTAGGAGATAAACTATAATCTTTAATTTCTTTATCTGGCCAGTGATAAAGCTTAACTGGCTAACCAGATACAGAATTTGGGTGTCTTGGTTGGCAGTAAATAAAATATACATTCTATATACATATAAACACATGCACTTGTTTTCGAATAATTAGCATATAAATTGTTATAATAGCAATCTGATTAGAAAAAGACGTAGAGTTATAAAGACCATTATTAGATAAATCCAGAAAATAATCCTATTTATATTAGTATAATTATTAGTATAATAGCTATTATATACTTACCCGCCATCGAAAAAGTTCACTTTTAGAAAGCTGGCCCCACCAAGATTTAATCCGTATATTTGCAGTACTAGTTCCATAGCGAAAGCAGCTATTAAACAAGGCGTCAGGTCGATGTTTTTAAATAAACTAATAATAAGCTATGCCACTAATAGTGTCTTAACTCCCTAATCTGCTTGTATAATCTAGGTAAAACTTTCTGCGTGTTAAGAGTATAAATATACTACTAAAAAATATTAATAGCAGTACAATTTAATACTCCAATATAAATCTAGATAATATACCGAGAATATGTATTAATAGCTGCGTAAATCTTAATTCCCTAATATTATAGTTTGCAGTATCTATTTATAAACTAAATATAATTAGGTCCAGGCACTATATATTCTCCACGGTGCCGTTAAAGATTATTTAAACAGCGTGTAACCCCTGCTGGATCAAGCTGTTATATAAATGCAAAAAGACGGTCTTTAATAAAAGTAAGTATAATATAATAATTAATATAGTAATTAGTTTAACATACCTGGAAACAAGATGCATTTGTGTACGGAAGTATGTATAAAGATAACCATGGCTATATCCCTTAATTATACTTTTATCTAATTCCTCTTGGACTATTTTATCAAGTATTTAATCAGCCTCTTGTTAATTTTAATAATCCACCTTTTTATAAATACCTATTTTTCGACAAATTCGAACAAGCTGCCATAATGTAATTTGATAGCCTTCCTTTTAAAGAACCTCCAATATATTTTTCTGACAAGCAACAGTTATAAAATAATATTGTAATTCGAGCCCGAAGATGTGCTATATCAGCCTCTGGTATTTTAGAACAGATTATAATTTCCCAATCTAACAAACGCCGGCGGATTGTCTTTGTTTCAACTGAGATATTATATGTATTTAAAAGATAATCAGAAATCTTTGCTACTGAAACTCTGTCTTTAACCTTTCCAATAATAATATCCTTGTAAGGATCAAGATTAATTAAGGGACGTCCAGCTATATATAAAGCAGGCACTTAAAACTAATAATTTTAATATACTATTCTTTTAAGTATATAATATATCTTAGTGTAAGGGGCTAGAGCCCCTCAGCCTACTCGGGCCCTCAGCCCTCGTGTTTCCTTTCTCCTCGCCTGCCACATGATTAGTATATTGATTAGTACACTCTATCATGTGACTTCCCCCCTTACTTCGCAATCGTCTCATCGCTGTTTCCTCTTCTCTTTCCTCTTCGACGATTCCTTTTGTATCCACCCTAGTTATTAGGTTATAGAGGTTTAGCCCTTGACATTAGGAATCGTCCTTGTCTGCCTGTCTGCCCGCTCGCCTGCCCGCTTGTCCGCCCGCTCGCCTGCCTGCCTGCTCGCCCGCCCGCTTGCCTGCCTGTCCGCCAGTCTATGGGAATATCTTTACGATGTCCGACCCGAATCCACCTCCTCCTGCTTGTGCAGCAGCTCCAGCAAGAGCTCCAAAACCAGCGCCTTGATATTCAAAACCAGCGTAATGAAATACAGCAACTACGTGCGGACCTTGATGCTTCCCGAACAGATGTCCACCAGCTTCGTACGCAGCTTCTTTCCGTCCAGACACCCAGATCCCGCCTGCCAGATCCGCCTCGCTTTAACGGTAAACCATACACGCTTCGCACATGGCTCCCGTCAATTAAAAGCAAAACTTCGATCAGACCAGCTCGTAGGAGCTGATGCTTTTGACTATGTATGGGATCGACTAGAACAGTCTCAGCAAGCTTCTGTCCTGCACCTCCGCCAATCTGCCGAAGAAAACCAGCTATGGGATCCTGAAGTTATTTTCTCTTTTTTTCAGCGTCTATGCCATAACCCACGGGAACAGCAGGAGGCTATTCAGCGCTTTACTTCTATACAACAGAGGGATGACGAATCGCTTATCGCCTACCTTGCTCGTTTTGAACGACTTTCATATGAAGCCAATGTAAACTCATGGCCAGATATATCACGTGTTACCACGCTACACCGGGGCTACGGCCTAATCTCCGTCGAATACTAGAAGACTCGAATAATTCTCTCTTTGATCTTCCCTATAATGAATATATTGAACTTGTCCAGAGTACCGATCGGCGTACCCGTCCTAGTCCAAAATCAGCCCCGAAACCAGCTTTGACCCCGAATACAGACCCAATGGATACTGATCCGGTCCGAGTCAACTCAGTTAAAATAAACCCCAATCCTGTTCATGTTGGCTCTGTGAGAGTAGCCCGAGCTGCTTCGCCTGTTTTATCTGATTCTTCTCATGAATCCACCACCTCTGACCGCCGCCGTTTCCGACTTGCGAATAATTTATGCCTTTACTGCGGTTCTAATGATCATTGGATCGCAGACTGCGATGCCCGCTCTACTTTGTCTGATACTTCCGAGAAACCTCCGAAAAAGCTTACAGCCCGCGCCAGCAACCCGCCTCGCTATTAGGCCTCCTTCGGAGGCCTTATATAGGAAGGGGGGAGTAGTGTAAGGGGCTAGAGCCCCAGCCTACTCGGGCCCTCAGCCCTCGTGTTTCCTTTCTCCTCGCCTGCCACATGATTAGTATATTGATTAGTACACTCTATCATGTGACTTCCCCCCCTTACTTCGCAATCGTCTCATCGCTGTTTCCTCTTCTCTTTCCTCTTCGACGATTCCTTTTGTATCCACCCTAGTTATTAGGTTATAGAGGTTTAGCCCTTGACACTTAGTTTTGTGTGCAAGACTAAACCTAATTAAAAGTATATTACCGAATCCTAATAATACTTAGTTATTATTAAACTAGTCCAAGTTGTTAGAGCTTATAGAGATAATCGATTCTTGGATAATTTATGGATGCTTAATTTCTTGATTAATTAATTTTTTTTTTTTTTGAACTACTTATATGGAGATGTTGTGGGAGCTTGCTTTTTAAAATAACTAGGCCTAATCGGGAAGCAGTGCTTCGGTATAAGTTAATATAGTAATTAATATACTAATTAATAAAATAGGGCTATAGTTATTAAAATAGACTAGTGGATAAAATTATATTTCGCGTATTTTCCTATATATATAAATAGATATATCACATTAACTAATATTTTGCGTTTTGTTATTTACCTACTCTTTTAATCAAGAACTTTTAATATGTCTTGGACACAATATTGTACCAAGTATGCAAATTATTAGCATAATATTAACTGTGCGGAATATTATGCATGTCCTCACTGCAGTGCGGCTAATCCTAAAAACAAATAGACCAAAAGCCTTTATTGCTAAAAACCAACTACTCCCCTATCTGCAGTTAAGGTTATTAAACTTTTATCTAGCCTAATACCACTAGCTATTAAAACCAAGCGTGCCGTACCTTATCAAGGTAGCTCTATGGCAGAATGGAACCGGGAAAGAATAAAGCCCGACAGGAGTCTATTATACGCAGCAATAGTACCTACGTCTCGTCCAAATCAGGCTCTGTACTGCATAGTACACGATCAGGATCACAATTTAAACAAAGTCCTCTATAATTGAGTCTCGTCTTCAGCCATGTAGGCTACGGGTTGCAGTTTGGCTTGGAAAATCAGAAGATATAAATTAAAAGTATGGGGCAATAGTGAAAATTAATAAGTTTTATTAAATAATATAGTAAAATATATAACTCTAACTTTTATATAGGGAAGTTTAACCTTACTTAACAGACACTCCAATCGAAACACAAGAATATTTTATTAATGTTCTTTTCCAACGGGTCCCGATATTGCAAATAATATCAAAAAATTATTAAATTAACAAATTTCTCAAAGGATTGCTATAAAAAACATGGTGCTATAATTTTTTTATTAGATATTTAGAAAGGCACACTCTCGTTAATTTTAAATAAATATTTTAATTTTAATTTAAAAGCACAGGCTTGGGATATACACATATATATTATCGAGGCTAGGATCTTGATTTTATAGATATTAAGCCAAAGCCTATGCCTGCCAAAAAAAAAGAAAGAACAAATCGAAGTAGTTCCTATTAAAAAGGAACCAGGAATAAGAAAGAGCCAGAACAAAAAAAAAGACAGGAAAGCTAAAGCAGATTTGGAAAGCATTAGATTAAGGAGGAACCTGGTACGATTAACAGCCAGATTTTCCTACTATTGAAGAACTTTGTACAAAATTTTAGAAAAAGAAGACCCTGCCAGCGAGGAGAATATGAAACAACAAAACAGTGGTGAGATAAATGCCCCTGCTGGAAGAACTCGGTTTAAAAAACTCGTTTTGCATAGAACACTGTATTATTTTCTCCCTGATTACTGCTTGCTATATTGATTGCTACATTTATTGCTATATTTATTGCTACATTCATTGCTACATTTATTGCTACATTCATTGCTACATTTATTGCTACATTCATTGCTATATTCATTGCTACATTGATTACTATATTAATTGCTATATTTAATTACCTTATATATATATAGGTACTACGCTTAATTAAAAAAAAAAAGTCCTTCGGGATTCAATCGAGTGTCTTCTTAATGTAGAGTTTTATTGCGTTGTTGTAGTAGTCTGCGCTGCGGTTTTTTTTTTTATCCTTGCGTACTATAGTACTATGTTACTTGTGAATAGCTTTAATATTATAATAATTTAGCATAGGCCACCTTTTTTTAACCTACATGCACTTAGCAAGCTTAACTAGTATATAAATTATTCTCTCTTCTCTTTTTCTCCTCCAACTATCTCTCTCTGTCTCTCTATTACTTCTGTTCTCTCTGCCGATATTGCTAATATCTTCGAATGATCGAAGCTACTTAGTAAATAACTGAGGCGCTGGAAGAACCTCAGACTACCAATATTTCGGCCTTCGATAATTCTACAGACCCTATTGCCCCCATTGCCCAAACGGGCCCTCCTGTTTCTATTGGTCAGCGACGACTCACAACAGCCGACATTCTCTTTATATTTACATTCTTTTTCTTTCCTTCTCCAGCAATTTCTCTTTGTATCTAGCCTACATTTAGGTGACTACAGGTATAGCCCTTAACACTACCACCACCAGTATCATGCTCTTTTGTAAGATATTCTATCTATTTGGCCGCGCATCTGAGGCGCTATCAGCCTGAACGTAGAATTTATACATTACTAATCAGAAATTGTGTGTGCGTGCGGGAAGTGGCAATATAAAATTTTTGAAAGCACGTGATTTTGTCCACATGCTCGATTCAGTCCGCCGTAGATAGTTATAATTTCGATAAAACTGGCTTCCAAATTGGTGTTAGTAAATATTAAACTGAATCACGGCCGATCAATCTCATCTTCCCCTAATTCCCCATCATATCCTTCCTCTACCACAACTGAATCATCATCATCGTCATCACTGTACAAGAATTCCTCATGGTCACTCTGTGCCTCGAAGCTTGGAACCTGAACGAATTGGCCACTACCACTGTCGGGCCCTTCTGCGCGCTTCGTCAAGAAGAACGGATGGTCACTGCGAAGTCGCCAGCCCTGACATATGTATCCCATCGGGGTATGTGAAATATCCTGTCCCTGGCGGCGAAGAGACAACCACTCCTGCAGGAAGTTGAAATGGCCTCTAGCAAGGGCCTCCATGGTCTTCAATGAATCTTCAGGATCTAACTGGAGGCGATCCAACAGAGAAGGATATTCACAAAAATTAAAGTACAGTCGTCCTGCTAGAATGCCGAGCTCGAATGGAAGCCATGCTGGTGGAACCCAGCCTGTCGGGAGGCTAGGAAACGCATAGTAGTCCAGATTGTTGAAGTGTAGCATTCTCTTTGTGAATGGTGCCGCATATAATACTAGGTGCACGGGTGACCTTGCAGCTGTACGAAGAAGAGAAATTGCCTCTTCGGCTTCTTCGGGAATAATAACAATACCGACACCAGTCTCGATACTCCAAAGAAGCCAGTTGACAGGACGCTATACACAATCCATTAGAGAGTCCAAGGCAAGGTGGAGGAAAATAGTTCATACCATAAAGTTATCATTTGTTTTACCCGACTTCATCACAGTTCTCGTGAACTCTACCGAAACGTAGAGCTGCGGAAGGAGTGTTGAAGCGTCGATTTTGTGTTTCAGCCCCAACTCTGATGATTCTAGGACATATGATGCATTCATATAGCCACCTTTATCTTGTAGAATTCCAGTCTGTAAAAAGTTAAGAATGGATTTATGTAGTCCAGGGAATTTCAGCGCTTTCATGGCATGAGGACGTTGCATTTCTTTCTCCTCCTCAATTTCGTAAGCAACCTCTCGCTCTTGTTCTACCTCCTCTAACGCTGAACTGGTCACTGAGCCGTGACCCACATGCGACTGTCGGCGACTCTCCCTAAGCTCTTCCATAAAAATACTTAGTTTTCCACTAAGAGGCAATTTGGCGGTATCCAACGAAGTTGCTATATCATGTTCCTTGTCCGACTTCGGCTCATACAGCTGTTCCAGTGTCTGTTGCTCACTTTGCTGCAAGTACCCCATATATGCCTTGCGATGATCAACATTCGTTAGGAACTCCCTATAACTTTCCACTGCTTGCATCCGATAACAGAAATCTGCACCTTGAGCAAAGTATAGAGACTGCAAGTCTCTAGTATTCGTGCAGGTCTGATGGAGAAGCCAGGAAATGACATCCGATGAATCAACATGTTCCTTTGCACTTTTCTGACGAACATCTAGAATGCTCTGATGCACCTCCAGTGGAGCAACAAAGGTGACAGACTGCGTTGTGCCCAACTGACGTAGCCTCATTGCAGCTAACAGAAATCGTTAGAACCCACTCCACGTACAAGAAGCATTAGACATGAAGAAGGGATTTTTACCTTGGACCGTGTGGTCTTTCGTTTGGTTTAAGCCCAGAGTTAACGCCCCACGAGCTTCAGGCGGCAGCTTTAGATCGGTACCTCTAGTATGGGCTTCGTCCAAGTAGACCAAACAATTATCCATGTTATCAGCGAAAGGGGTTGCTACAAGCGGAGCAATCTTCCCGTTTTGGTACTGGACCCAGGGCTTATTGTCCAGTCCGAAGTAAATCGCAGCCTGAGCCTGGGTATCCTCCTGGAGCCAAGCCCTGACAAGCGTCCGGTTATCCATTTCAAGGATAAAAGCCCCCGCGTCGATGAGGACTCTAATCTTCCTTTGCATAAGATAAGTGACGAGGTCTAGTTCTGAGAATCGGCTACCATCTTTGGTGACCGCAAGCTGGTATAGTCGGTTTCTCTGCTGCAAGAGGTAAGTGAGAACCTCCGCATTGGTGTGTAGCAACTGAGGAAGATCTTGCTGTTTAATCGTAAGAGGAAGAAGCCTTCGATTATCATTGGTGCCACTAAAGCCACTTGTCAACCCCGACCTCCGGACCCCAGCAACTGGAGACATGACAGTCTTGTTGCTAAACAGAGGAATGTCCCACCCGGAGGCCTGCACTTTAACACTGAACTGTTTCGCGTGGGCAGGGAATACATAATTCTTCAGGAAGTGATTAATAACAACCATCTTCATGCGAAGATGCCGCCATATCTCGGTGACTTGGCCTTCGTCATCGACGTTGATGGTGTTCCAATGCCTTAATGGTTCCGGTAATGTGAGTGATGCCTGGGTCCACCGATCATACTCTGTGGCAGGATCGTCAGATCTTAAAATTCCCTGCAAGCTCTGGAGAAGTTGAGGCAGGCTAAGGCCTTGGTTATAGAAGGCAAGACAAGTGAAAAGTATGGACACATCGGGATGGCCCCATTCAGCTTGGTCAGAGGGGACGCCTTTGGCATGGAATGGAACAGCCATGGGATCACGACGCGGATGCAGTCCGTATTGGACGTTCCATCTTTTCTTCAGGCATAGGAGCAAAATACCATGCACGAGTAGCCCACGCAGGAGGTATATGTTCTTCCGGACCTTGGGTGCATCCGGAAAAAGTCCTGAAACACATTTTGAGACTGAGTATTTTATGTGTTCCTGAGAGAGGAAGATTCGTATTGCTTCTTGCTCTTCCTGTGTGCAGTCCCGAATGGGAACAAGTGATATTTGACCACCGCAAATATTACTTATTATTCTTTGCGTCAGGGCCTCTTCGGCATCCTTTCTCAGAAAATACGCCACAGGGAATCCTGTGGCTGTCCGTTCCACAACGTTAATGCTCTGTGGGAATTGTTGAGCAAGATCATGTAGATTATGTGCAACAAGACCGAGGACAGCCATAGTGACTTCCCAGCGATTGGGGTGTCCATCAACCGACAGCAGTGAACCACTTGGATAGATAAGCTGTGTCTTAACAGCCAGAGTGAAATCACACTCGTCAAGGATATCACGGCAAACTTGATCCATCCAGCACTGGGCTGCAACCATTTCGGATGCTTCAGGGATTTTCAAGTCGGATATTCGCTGGATCCCGCTAAGTTTAAATGACAAAACATGTTCGGGAATCCCCACAATGATGGCTGACTTATTTAATTGATCCTCATGGATCCAACGGTATTTCTTAATAAGGTCCGTACCCGTTGGTGTCCGTCGTGAGAATGGGATATGAGTTATCTCTCTTTCCAAGAGTCCTCCCAGGCGGGACTGAAGGACCTGTATAGTTTGCGATAACAGAGCCTTCGGTACTAGAATCCTAGTAAGTGTTTTTCTGTCGGCTAGTATAGAAGCAACCATTGGCATAATAACAGATGTCTTTCCTTGACCCATATTCATTTGCAGAACGGAGTTGGAGCCTGAGCTGGGAGAGATTATTTCTAAGGCCACGGTAGCCTGATCCTCGCGAATCTGCATATTCGCGTCAATTTCCAATAGCAGCCAGTCCGGATAATCAGAAGGCTGCCAATTAACATGGCCGCGGTTCCTATACTCTTGGTGCAGTGTTTCCTTGTCGTTTCTTGTAAAGGCTTCCTTCATCCGGATCAGCTTTTGTAGCTGAACAATCGCCAATCCATATGCAATTATCGCGTCTTTCATACCCGGCCCAAACAAGCAGTGTGATTTTGATCCAAGCTGTTGGAGGATAGACAAGGGCATTATACATGGCCAAAGATTGCTCTGTTGCAGCCACACGAATCTCGAGTCTCCATGTGATAGGGACTCGACAATCTGATTATAATGCTGATCTACACACGTGCGAGCTGTGTGGATTTTATTGTTGAACCACCTAACTCCCTCCAAGTAATCGGTATTCACGCTGATCTTTTGCTTTGCTTCTCGCTCGACCAGTTTCAGTGCAGCAATACTTCCCTTCAGATCTTGACCATATTTCAATTGGACCGGACAATCTGAATTTATAATAGCACCGACAATTGACTCAATCTCCATTGTTTCAGGCTTGATATATGCCTTGGGTTTAATAAGCGAAGTCTGCCAGATGGTTGCGGTCGTCTCGCTAGTCAATTGTTTAAGGCTCTCTGAGTTGTGGTATGCGTTGATCATAGGCCCTGGCTTTTGCAGAAGCGCCCCCCCTAAGAGAGGAATAGAATAATCACACCTTTTGTCTCCGTATATTTTATATGGCAGACATGTAGGGCTTTCATCAACAGAATTTATGGGAGCTGAGTGTTTGTCGAGGATCATTTGAACTTCTTGAACATAGTTAAACAGCTGCAAGTTCTTGTACAATCTTTGCCACTCGGGAATAATCTCCTTCATAGCCAAATGAACATTTAGATATGTCGATTCAAACCCTTCTACAGTGGGCTCCGCACATGGCCACTGGTTTTGCAACAATGCCGCAAATCTCTGACACTCATCGACACATCTCAACTCATGATCCTCCCTAGCGAGCTCCAGCCGACGGATTTCCTGGAGAGTTTTGTTCCTTTTCTTTTTCTTTCCTTGTATAGGAGGATCTCGGTATGGCTCATAAAATGGCATTGCCAGGTTGACTAGTGCATCAAGTTTGATCTCTTCGCCCGCCTCGAATCCAGTGAACAATGAATAAGGAGGATATTGAAGCTGCTTGAGATCATCCAGCAGAAAAAATGCGACAATCGATCGCAAGACTTCCATGTCAACGCCACTTTTATACGCAACGATTCCCAGCAGGAACATAAGGTGGTAAGAGTCTTCCAGTTTGCTGTCTCTGCAGAGAAGAACCAAACTGCCCCATTCGTGACCAAGATCGATATCTAGACACCCATTTAGGGAACTTGTTGTAAAAGAACTAATATATCCACCAATAACAGGCCATTTCTGGAATATTTCCACCAGCTTGGGTGTCGTACGAAGAGATAAAGGCCGCTTCCTAAGCAAGGTCACAACTTCACTCACATTAGATGTGCGTCGAGAACTTGTCCAGCCATCTCGCGTTGCATATGGCAAATCTTGTGGTGAATCGGGTTCTGCGAAAAATATTCCTCTACGTTCATAGATTGATCTTCTCCAGCGGGCCCGTTCTTGGAGGTGTATAGCACTAGACCACGTATCCATGTTATGGTTTCCAATCTCTAAGTGAAATAGAGACAATATCTCTGATTTCTCCACGATTGAGTCAACAACTGTTTTGTACCCATCGTGCTGGATAGTAGTCGTCAGTTTGGGATCCCAGAACACCGACTGCTGGCATTTTCTGCCTTTCGGGTAGTATTCTCGTCTTGGAGTCAAAGTCGAGAGCGTTTCCAGTATTTGAAAATGCATCCTGTTAAGAGGAGTTGAAGGTTGGCAAGATCCCGACTGCAAGCAAGATAATGCTTCTTCTGTGCCTGTACGGCCTGTAAGGGGGTCTGGCAAAAAGAATGAAGTCAATGCATGCAGTTGTGCCTTGTTGTACAGAAGCCGTGGCTCCGGTGGGCTGTAGAGACGCCCGAGGATGTTGTCAATCGTGTATCGTGCATAGGAACCAGTATTTTCTATTCGAACAACAACGTGCATCCCAAGACGCTCATAGAATGGCCTTCCCAGCATTGTGATAACACTACGCTGTGAGCGATTGTGTATATTGCGAAGGATGAGCATGCTTTTGAGTCCATAGAGAGTACCTGCATCCTGATTTGGATCTATCTCTGCGGCTAGCTGCTTACACTGCAGCAGACGTTTCCTATTAACATAGAAAGTGAGGTCCATTCGCTTTAACTCCACGGAGAGGGCTCCTTTCAACGACTGGACCACCATCAGCATATGAGGTTGTTCAAAATCTTCGAAAATTTGTGCCACCGAGGCGAAAAGAGCGCAATGTGGATCAACCAAATGGACATGTCGCCGCATGACTCTGCGAGTCAGGACGTTTATAGTCCAGGCACTATCTCTCCAAATATGAGGTTGTCTCCTAATTTCAACAATTCCAGATTCGATGTCCATCCAGTGAACGCAGTTATCAACTAGTTGGACCGGTAAATCCGATGATTGTCCGTAGCCAAACACATAGCGAGGAATGAGCTCCAATAATTTACCAGATTTCTGCGCTCGTATAATTAACTGCTGCTCTCGATATCCTATATGGACACGGTGACCGTCCTTATCCATCGCAAGCGTATAGCTCATTCCGGGCATGCTCGACGGGAAAGCAACAAGGCGTTGGTTGCCAAATAATTCCTTCAAGCTTTCCGAATCCCGAATATCTGTTGGCAATTTGCCCATCGCTCGCCCATCCACGAGTAGGTGGCCCTCGAGTAGATGGTAATGCAGAACTTGGGGTTCGGTGTGTTCTGCAGCCTGAACGGTTGAAGTAACCCACCACTCGTGCGAATGTAGTAGAAATTCCCACTCAGTATATGATCGCGAGTTAGAAACAACATTCGGCCAGAAAGCATCAATGGCCAATCCTAAGCTGGCGGGATATTTTATAACTGACTCCCGAAGTACAGGGCGCATGGCCTCCATCATCTTGATGTCCCGAACAAGCATACTGCGCGTCCATGGTGTGAATTTACTTAGGTCGATCACCAAACTTTCTTGCATAGCTAGCGTCGCCTCAATAAAGCAGCGGAAACTTTCTGCATCTAGCTCTAAGCTGCTGCGAGCCTGGGGCACGAATGTCCTACGGCACAGGAGGGTAGATATAAAGCAGTACTTAGCCGTTCTTTCTGCAGTGTCCGCTTCTTGGGCATTGCGCATCTCGCTTCTCAGAAGGGTGATCCAAGTAAGTGTGGCTTTCCGAATCGTCAACAGGAGTTCTTGCGCTCGTCTGCGTGATTCCACACAGCAGAAAGCGCAAAGCTGGTTTGTCAAGATAAGCAGGGTTTCCATGTAATTGCTCTCACGCCAGTTAGACGATACCATTTCCACATGTACCATGATTTGCTCAATTAACCTGTCACAGAAGTTAGAATCCCTAAACACGAAATGCACGGCTCGTAATGTATCGTCGGTCGCGTTTAACCTGGGTCCAGCCTGTAGTGCGAGAAGACGAAAGAGCACCATCGTATCCTGAAGGCTGAAGTTAACATTTGAGGATCCCAGCTCGCACAGAATCGAAAACCAACGTCGATTTTTGCCGCCCATAAGATTCTGGTGTGCAATAAACTCGTGGATGCTGATGTTGGATGGGCATTCGGGAATTTTGGCAATGGATGCATATGATGAAGGGCCTGGCCCGTCAGCTGCAAAGGCAGAAGAAGCGTAGAGGGCTGAAAATGGCAGGTTTCTGGGTAGATGCATTGCAGAATGATGCGCCAAAGTCAGCTCCTTGGGAAAATTCTTCAGCCATATTTTGCGTTCTTCGTCGTAGTATGAAAACTTCAATCCCAACGGGAGCAAAACATTTCGAGTCTTTACTGGGAATTTTTTCGATTTGTAATGTGTCCCTAGATATGATTTTGTATCAGACGCTAAAGAAATTCCTCGTCTACTGTTGATGCTGCTGCTATACATTTTCAGCTGGGTGTAATCACAAAGCAACATTTCCGGCTCATCTGAAGCTAACGCTTCTGCCTGATAGCAGAGCGTTGTGATAATATTCCATGTAGAATTTCGATAGGCCGCCACAGGTTTCGGTAAGGAGAGTTCGAAAATAATCGCCCTCTTTTCAACACGCTTGCTCTCCGGCGGTAGAAAGTCCTCGTGGACATCTATCTTAAGGCGCCGACAACACCTACCGTAGTAACAATGACTACATCCCTTAATATCATGGGTCCCATCTGGATGCCTTCGGTCAGTGCAAGAGCTGGATGCCTTTTTCTCGGTAAGATCCTCGTATTCCGCATTAACTCGTTGCAACTCATCCTCCTTCCTATTTCGAGCTGCTAAAGAGGCAGTCTCAATTTGTCCTTGCAAGGCACGCATATTTCTAGCTTCCTCCAAGTCGAAATATTGATCTGTAAAACCTCCAGCATCTGGATCAGTGAAAATAGTCATATTGACCGTTTTCGCTTCCGTACAGCGTCTATCGAGATAAAGCTGGATCCTCTGAAGGCGTTCCATATCAACCCATCTTGACAGGAGTAGCACATCCAGCATCTCGGGTTTTATCCATGGGTGGTAGTCCTTAAGCAAGGGATATGCGACTGTCGCACACCGGTCCATATGCATCCACATCTCGAATATGCTAAGAACAAAAATACTTATTTGCTCGGGATCGTAGTCGTACGCATTCCCAACAGCACCAATATATTCATTAATTTGATGTGCGAGATCTATACATAGAGCTTCACAACGATCCTTGCTCTCTGGGATGTCTCGTGCATCGGATTCAATAGCTCGCTCTTTCTCTGCCAGTAAGAAGTACCGCGTCATCAGTGCTCCGAATTGCTCAGTGGTATCCTTTCTAGAATGCTGCCCAAGCATTGCTGGATCTACCGTACGTTGAACCCACGTTGAAACTTGGGACGGGTTAAGGATATGTCCCATATACCCCAAACTATTCCGCAACGCCAACTTTAAGTCTTTGTCCTCAGCGCGATTTGGAAGCAGCGGTATTCGTCGGCAAAGCGTGTTCCTAAAAGACTTCCATTTTGCTTCAAAGATAGCGGTTGCTTTGCTGATTGACTGTTGACAATATGGCCCAATGGTAGCAAACACCCGTGCATATGCATCCCGCACACCCTCAGATGAATTTTGCTTGTCCGTCTCCAATTTTGCAAGGCGGCGACAGAGCTTTGTCTTGAGGAAATTACATTGCTCTGGATCGATTGTATTGACAGAATCCGATAATAGGCGCGCCATCAGAGTGCACATTGCGAATTTATACTGTATACGTCCTAGTTCAGCTCCCAAACTCAAGTAAAGCAGCCGTTGGATGCACACTCGGAGGGCAAGCCAGAATGGACTTCTTCTCCACGGCAGCTCTGCATTTTCCCAGCACACATCATCTTTGACACGTTTACGGAGTACTGGTGGGTATATCCGACACCCGTTCGACTGCAGCAGTGTCATAAGGAACTGGGTGATTATCGCGGGATTAACTGTATCGCGAGTTTCGGAAATCTCAGCCCCAGCCTTCCGTGTTTTGGGTGTAAATTCATCCAGAACTTCGCAACTTGCCCGCTCGAGAAATGCAGCTAGACTCCTGAGGAATACTGGATTATCAAACACGTCGAGCGGAACAGACACTGCCGATCCTGGAAAGTCCCACTGTAGAGTGCCTTTTGCTGCGAGAACTGGCTCCGCTGCGGGTGAAGTTTCGAATGCTTCAAATATGACTGTTTTCTCGTCGTCACTACGCATCATCACTGTCAGATAACCCCTTAAATCATAAATTATTCTCGTACTTCAATACACTCACTGTGGCTTTCTGATAAGGATGCACGCATTTTGTGCACCGACGTATAAAATAATCGCATTGTTCTGCTGCAGCTTTGTAAGTGCATTGAGCAATGATGTCTCATTAATGCATCCATCATGGTTCACTTCCTTGCATATATTAAGCGCTTTCTCAATGGCTTCCCAAGCAACCGCAGCCTTTTCGTCCAGACTACCTTTAAGACTTTCGAGCGCGTCGAGTACACGGTGCACCAGGTCCTTTTGGACGTCTTGAGCTTCAGCTTCAGAGTCCTGCCGACCAGGTAGTCTCGGGGGTAATACGAGATGATTGAAGGTCAGTGTGAGGGCACTATTTTGTGCAATCATGATTTGAGATTTGAGTTTCAGTATTCAGTATTTTTCGAGCACAATATGAGTTGATGGGAGTAAGAAGGGGGGGGAGGAGTTCAGTGCATTATATTTATTTTATCCACGCTGGACGCGAGCTGTTATTAGAATAAGGACAGCCACTGAGGCAGATGTTACCATGCGAATTGCAAACGCATGCTAGTCCACGACTCAGTTTAGTTACCTCTAAGACCAGTAGCTATCCAGGTGGGATGAATGACCATATCCCTGCTCTGGCATTGGCTTGTCCAACCAATATTTCCTACGCAATGATTAGTACTTTTGCCAGGCGCCAACCAGGTTTCTTTTATGACCATCGTCGCGAATAACAAGCCACGTCTTCGTCATCTCTGCGATGTGACCAGCTAATGGGCTCAGTGTGTCTTTACGCCTAAACGAGGGGGTGGAGATTTCGCCCCACAGAAGAGCAATAATGGCCAGCAAACGGCCGGCGCCAGGATAATGAAGCGATCATATTATTAGGTCAGCTAAAGGGTAGCAGAACGACAAGGGGCAAGTGCCATTAGTCTATTTACTGGTGATAATGTGAAAAGAAACTAGAGGACGTGTTATCTGTGACAACCGGTTTGTAAGGGCCTGCGTGAAGTCGGTTTGCACGAAGTCGGTTTGCACGAAGTCGGTTTGCACGAAGTCGGTTTGCACGAAGTCGGTTTGCACGAAGTCGGTTTGCGCGAAGTCGGTGCGCGGCGTTGTTTATCTATCTCGTTGGTGACGGAGGCGGATGGGTGTGAGATCGGTTTGCAGTATTCGCTGGCTTGCTTGTTTGGCGATGGGGAAGGAGCAGCTGGGTAACGTAGATCACGGGGTCATGCAACGCACCGCGTAATGCAACAACTTCCAACTTCCGACGCGTCTTTTTCAACCAACCATGAAATGGACCACAACGCTCATATTGCAAAAGCGATTTTAGAATTACAATCGCAGGAACGCCCTAAATATGCAGAAACTGTGAGAAAATACAATATCGACAAGTCCACGCTATGGCGCCGCTTCAAAGGCAAAACAGCCTCAATACAGGACGCGAACTCCTATTCGCGACAGAAACTCACCAGTTCCCAGGAGAAAGTTCTTATTGAGCATGTTAATAAGCTATCCAACCGTGGTATCCCACCTACCCCTCAAATGTTGAAAAACATCGCCGAGGAAATTGCAGGGACCACACTTGGTGTTAACTGGGCGAGCCGCTTCCGCAAGCGACACCGTGACCGTCTTCACAGCCTGTATTTGCGGACTATAGACCATCAGCGGAAGGCCGCTGATAATTCCAGGTATTTTCAGCACTTCTTCAGTTTAGTAAGATTACTTTTTATTGCTTTTTTACCGTGGATTCGAGCTACAATACGCGAGCAAATTCTGTTAGGTTATTATATACTAACACGATTTAACTAGCTCAGCGAGAAGATCGAAAAATACAACATCCACCCCTCAAATGTTTATAATTTTGACGAGAAAGGATTCCAAATCGGGCTCTCTCGCTCCACCAAGCGAGTAGTCACCCGAGAGGCTCTTAGGCGTGGGAAACTTCTTGGAGCAAGCCAAGATGGGAACCGGGAGTTTATTACCTTAATTGCGGCGATTTGTGCCGACTACTCCCACCTTCCACCAGCCCTTATTTACAAAGGGGAGTCAAATGACCTGCAGGAGTCCTGGCTTGAGGATTTTAACCATTCAAGCGAAGTAGCGTTCTTTGCTAGTACTGAAAATGGCTGGAGTTGTGATGCACTGGGTTTACACTGGCTTCAGCGTGTATTTAACCAGTATACCAAGCAAAAGGCTGGACGAGGCTACCGGCTTTTAATTTTGGACGGCCATAATAGTCATATTAATCTTAAATTTATTGACTATGCTGATCGGAATCGAATTCTTCTTGCAGTATTACCACCACACTCGACTCATCGTCTTCAACCACTAGATGTTGGGCTATTTTCCGCCCTATCTACGTATTATACTCAGAGTTGCGACAAGCTAATGGCGACTAGCCAAGGGTTAATTCATCTTAGGAAACGGAACTTTTGGCTCCTCTTTCAGGATGCATGGAATCAGGCATTTACAGCCAAAAATATCGAGGCAGGTTGGCGAGCCACCGGGCTCCATCCGCTTAACCCAGACAAAGTACTGTCCCATATTAGCAACCAAAGTGATATTACCCCGCCGCAGACTGCATCATCAGATACGCCAACAAAGACTCCAGGTTCCCTTCGTGCTATTCGGCGAATAGCTCGCCAGTTCCGCAAGGAAGGGCTGGTAGATCCCCGAGTTTCTCAGCTATCACGCGCCGCAGAGAAACTGGCCACAAAACATGAGATATCACAACATGAAAATCGGGACTTACTAGCCGCGCTTAATCTGGCTTGTAACCAAGGGAAACGGAGAAAGGCCATGGGCCTTTTTAATATCGAAGAGAATGGTGGTCAACCATTTTTTTTTAGTCCAGCAAAAGTGGAACTGGCGCGGCAGCGTCAAATTGAACAGGAACAGGCCAACGAGCAGCGCAAGCGAGCTACTGAAGATCGCCGGCTCCAAACAGCCTTAGCACGTGAAGAAAAGGCTCGAGAATCTGCTAAAAAGAAAGAACAACGGGCTGCAGCACGCCAGGCATTGCAGGACCAGCGTGCACAGGAGAAGGCGGAGCGTGCTGCAGAGCGCAAAGCTAAGCGAGCAGAGAAGTTAAAGGAGGCAACCAAACAAGAAGCAGAAAGAGCAGTACGAAAGGCTGAGCGCCAGGCTATTCAAAAAGCCAAGTTACAAGCAACCAGCGCTTTAAATGTTGGTGCGAGAGGGCATAAAAGATGCGGTAGTGGCGACAAAAATAAGGGCCGTCAAAAGCGGCCTCGCGCGACAGGCGCTCAACAACGCAACGACAAGAAAAGGGGGAAAGCAAAGACCGAATCTAACTCTTTAATAAATCAAAATTGTGATCCCACTAATTTAACAGCTAAAGCAGCTCCTGTCGCTCAACACAATTGCAGGAAACTGTGGAGGCCAGTTTCTCAGTCGCTCCGATCTGGCCGAGTCACAAGGCCACCTGGCGACAAATTTTAAGGCAGAAGCGGGGTATATAGATTCTATGGTTAATTTTGCACATTATGATAATGTTTAATAATATTTTCAAATGTTGTGTTAAATACAAGATGAATTTTCGGTTTTGCTTACCGTACTTCACCGCCCAACGATCGGAACCAAGAAACGATCGATTTTGTATACACCGACTTTTCGTTTCGTAGATTTTAAAGCATGATAACAGATAACTCTGTCAATATGGGATCAATTGAATCAGCGTTAGAAGATTTGAAATCGTTGGGACCGGGAGAAGTTCCTAATTATACTTTTTTTGCGAAAAAGCATGGTGTGCACCGAGTAACCCTGTCAAGGCATCATAAAGGGCTTCAAGGCTTCAGGAAGGACCATCACGAAGAACAGCAATTGTCACCCACCAACAAGAAAAATCGCTAGTTAGATGGATCAATGGGCTCTCTAGCAAAGGCTTATATGTCTCTGCTTCAATGATAAGGAATTTTGCAGAGGAAATGGTAAAAAAGCCACCAGGAAAGAACTGGGCAACCCGCTTTATAAAGAGACACCAGGAGGACCTTGTCTCTCGCTATACAACCGGTATGGACTCTTCACGAAAGAAGGCTGATTCAGCCTTTAAATATGCTTTATATTTCGAGTTGCTGGCCCAGAAAATCGATGAATACAACATCCAGAAGGAGAATATCTACAATATGGATGAAAAAGGCTTTCTTATTGGTATCCTTTCAAAAGCCAAAAGGATCTTCTCCAAGCAGCAATTCGAGAAGGATGGCATTCAGCAACGGCTTCAGGATGGGAATCGTGAATGGATAACCTCAATTGCCTGTATTTGTGCGGATGGGACCTCATTATCCCCAGGTCTTATCTACCAAACTGCCTCCAGCAAGATACAAAATACCTGGCTTCAAGACTTCGATCCAACTGAACAATATCCAGGCCCTTGTTCATCCTGCTGTTCCCGGAAATGACGGTATGAGGCGTCAGACCTGAAACCTCGAAGACATTAGGGGCAATGACCCTTATCGATGGCTTCTAGATAATCTCTTTAAGGGCGTGGCACTGCCTTTCCAAGCCAACCATGTTGTCCTAAAAGAGACTTACCAAATGGATTCCTAGCCAAGCCACACTAGTCCTAGGTAATGTGGTATTGTATTAATATATGATATATCTGGATATGCTAGCAACATATCGTTTCGGTCGTCCGGCAGGGATGCCCAATGTATACTAAGAGCCCTAACTGTTAATAGGATCGAGAAACTTGGTGCTTTATCACACCAGCCCCCCTGCTTGGGTTACTGGGCTTGATAGTGTCCTGAAGAAGGAGGTGGAAAGTTAAGGTCCATATCCTCCCCCCAAGAGAAGGTATGGGAATAGGGGTAGCTTCTGTTCGAGGCTCATAGTTCTCTCAGAAGCTTCTTTAGCCGGTGAAGAAAAGTCTCTAGCCAGTGAAGTAATGTATCAGGACAAGCCATATATTGGAGAACTCATCGTCTCAAAGAATCCAGTTAGAAACAATGCAGTGAGGCGTGGGGGGGGGGAAGGAAGGTTCCTCTCTATGTTAGAGATCTGTTGGATGGTGTATTGCACGTCATGTACACAACACCATTCTCGAATGGTATATAGATTTACTCGTACTTGTGTTGATAACCAGCATGGTCAGGGCGAGAACATATCCACCGTTCCGTGTGCACCTAGCATCGTGTCTCCAACCTCTGGTATCGTATCACTCGCTTTGTTGATGCAGGGAACGGCTTATGCGTTGGACAGTACCATTCCGAACTATCTAGAAGGATCACGTGGAGATGTTCAAGCCGTAAGATTAGCTCCACACAGTTGAACGCTGCCACTAATTTCTAAAAATTGGAGTAAAATTTAGGTTCCAGAAGTTAGCCCAATGAAAGCTTCCCAGAACTGTTGATCGTTATAATTAGAACAGCCCTTCTAGCAAAGGGATGTAACAAACAGACCGGCCAACACCCTAAGCCTAAATATCTGTTGTCTGGACACTCTTCGAGAAAAATGAATGCAGTGGAGTTTTTAAGAACTATTTGGTTACATACTTCTTGTTTCTTCGCCTGCCTCGTTCAAATCCCGAACCGAAATGCATTCTTGGTGCCTGCCCGACTGCCAGTGGAACCCCCTTCCGCAATCGAACGCAGCTGCGACTCTTATTGATAAACGAGCTGTGCTCTCTAAGAGTGAGCATCCGACGATCCGCGCGGTCTCATGCACTGATATCAGACCAGGATAAGCTTAGCGTCTCGGAAGAAACAAGAGGCAGGTTGATTCACTCTCAACCCAACAGAACTTAAGTGAAGCTATCATAGAGTTACCTGCACGTATTTTGATTATTACGTGATCTCTAAGGCCAAATTAAAACGGTGCGGATGTAAAGGGGCAAAATGCCTTGCTATCTAATGACTACGTATACACAAAGAGGAATCGCTGGGGGGAAGGAAGTAAAAGCGAAGAGGGAAGAAGCGTTAAGCTCTCATACTACGAGGGGTCATGTCGGCGAAGGCGAAGGCGAGCAATATACAGGCGTAGATTGCGACAGCGGAAGGCGATTCGCTTTGTACAATCATCGATTATAAAAGATACCACTTTCCCGTTCAAATAGAATTATCCTAGCACATGAAAATTTAAAACAGCAAGATTAGAATTCTGTATCCAATTCATGTCCTCTTACCCTCCCCAGTGCCCCGTACGTCCAATCCCTGGCCCTTGTTTCCCTATTGGACTTTACTGAGGTCTCTAACCCCATATTCCCAACAAACCTCCAGCCCTATACACTTTTTGCTTTTGGCATGGCGAATACGAGGTTTCTTCTTAAGGCCATTCGACTACGGGGTCCGTTCCAAGACGAGGCTCAGCTACTGCCTGATCTTATCCAAGTCCTTCTTAATGACTCTTAAAACCCACCCCTACCCCCCAATTCCTAGCGGTACTATCTCAAAGTCTTCGAAGTTCTATTTCCATAAACCTAAATGGTATCCCCTTTCTGCCCACCCGCCGGTGGAGGTTTGCTTGGATAGTAGCCTGCATTCGGACGCTCGAACCACTCGACATGAGCCAGAGGATTTGGGGCGAACAACCTCCGCCGATCCTTACTCCCAAGCCTTCGACTCTGAGAACACTTTGCTGGGGCAAGTCCTACTAGGCGCCGAGAATATTGATCCTGCCATAATAAATAATATTATCTTCCCGGATATTGAGCACATCCAAGCAAGTCAGGATCCTGCTGTCATAGATGGATATCTGTCACAGAGCCCTCGCTTTCCCATTACAGGTGCGCCCTTTCAGTCAAGCCAGCATGGTGCAGAGGACATGGTGATGCTTGATCTCCAGTACCCAAGAGTGGCGAAGCTTTCAATCAGGCACTAAACGCCGCAAGAATCTTGCTTTTCCCGCCTTTCGTTGTCAGTTCTTGGCCATGTCAGTTGAAGATCGACTACAATTCTTGTCTTGGCTGTTTCATAGTGCTTTATTACATTGTGTTTCTACGTCTCCGGACATGAGTACCATATCTGCGCAGTAGTCTTGATCTTAACACGCCAATGGCAGATGATTTTGACTGCGACTACTAAATCTTAATCGGCAAACCAGCTCACGCCCACAACAATTATCCCACAAGAAAGGGCCTACCCTGGTCTATAGAAGAAGACCGTCGTTTGGTAAGGCTTAGAGAGGATCAAAGCCTAGCTTGGTCGGAGGTGGCGAGACATTTTGCACAAAAGTTTCCGGGGAGGAGTAAGGAATCCATACAGGTGCACTAGAGCACGACATTCAAGAAAAAGTGGTTACGTTATTATAGCATAGCGATTAACACGAGATACTATGCGCTTCTCCCTTTCTATCCTCCCTGATGTTGTGTGCAACCCACTCTACCGCTTCCACTGCATTTAATGACGAGCTCTTTTCGTTACCAAAGCAACCCAGTACTCTGTCATGGTTGTAGATCATGGCATCTGGAAACAGGTCACGTTAATTGGATAAAAATATATCGGATATGAGATTTCCGTAACCAAATCAGTTGCCTGGATATTCGTCCCGTCGCCCCAAGGGCAAGCACTGGAGATCGTAGATGGCGAAACAGATGAATTCATCCTGGCGAGACACCCACCGCAATGAAAGAATGCGTTCCCGCTATCCAAGTGGGTCAGTATATCATGTCATTATTTAAATGGCACATCCACAGCCTACCTTTTGGCTAGACTTGCCCCGACGGTTAGCGGAGCATGATCCCAAGTCCAACTGGCTGTTGAAATGAGTGCCATTGATTGCAACACAGCCAGCTGTCAAGACCCCGTTCAAGGCCAAATGGACCGCATTACAGGTCGAGGAGAATATTCCACCCCTTCAGCTAGCCCAACATAGAACAAACAAGTCCGATACAGGGCCTTCCAGGTCACCATGGCTAAGCGAATAGTTGGTCCGGATGGCTGATCCGAATGCGTGACGAATACTTTTGCGAGGAACCCAACAGATCTGGGGCCCTGACTCGAGCCTAGATTCTTGAAAAAAGGATAAACGAGTCCCGAATGCGAAGTAATTCGTTGACCAGGGAGCATATTGCTATATATAAATATCCAGCCCGCATTACAGTCGGTCCATCCGAACCAAAGCGGTATGACTGCGGCCAGGACATGATTGCTCAACAAATTCCACGAACGAAGAGATAAAATTGTTAAAGTAATCATTAGTATCCTGACAAGGCTGCTGCCCAGAACCGACAAAGTAGCCATTGATCAAACACATGTTGGCTCTTCTAAATTTACAGCCGCCATTTATCAGCGGTAGGGAATCTGGAATGCACATTAACTATGTAAGCCCATAGGTTCTGTTAGCTCGACAGAAGTCAATCTGCTGTTCTGCACACCTGGGAGAACAACTACGCCTCACAATGCCTTGAAGGACAGTAGATCCCGCACGTAGATATCCACCATTAATGACCGTCCTTAGAGGGAAAAGATTTCTCTGAGGACACTACCAGTCTCCCCGCTAGGCACCTTGAACTACTATTTGTTGCCGGTCCACTGGTAAACAGAGTTCAAGTAGCAAGTCAGCCCAAATCCTGATGGCAGATCCGCCCTGATCGTCTCCGAACAACTGCAGTCAAAAGAGCCCCACGCCATATGCCTTGTGCCAATGCATTCAATTTCCACCGGCCCCAAATGTCGAGGAATGCGTACCGTCATGGGCTTCGACGATGCGCATTTACTCGATTTCTTACCATGACTGCTGGTCATGTCAAGCTAGCCAGCCTGTTCTGGGAACTGAAACAGGTCTTGATCTCAGATGCTACACGGTATTACAGCATTCTTCTCAGCCGCGCTGGAGCCGGTGTTCAGGAGTTCCAGATGAGACTGTTTGCTGAGCAGCCAACGGCGACCATCTACAGCTTGGTGTTGGCTGGACACACCACCGTAACACTGGTGGAAATCAAGATAGAGGTGGTCAAGCTGCTCGATACGGCCGTTTCCAAAGGGTTCAACATAGGTCAGGACCCGACAGACAACCTTCTCGGCATGGCTGAAGTACCAAGTGCCGGGGAGAACACCGACGTCGAGACGCTCAAGGCCTTCTTCCGAAATCTCCAAAGACTGCAGGCCCTGGTGCGACTCCTGTAGTCATCTTTTACGTCAGCCCACCAGATCGCCCACACGCCGAGGTACTCGTTCGTCACGCAATGGGCCGCCACCGTCCAGGAGCACGCCACGCTCGTGGGCATGCACAACGAGCAGATGTGCACGGCACCCCTGGCGTCTAGAATCGATGTCTCGCTCGCCGCCTTGACCAGTCAGATCCAGCTCCGTCAACTTCTTTGGCGGCACCGGCTGCAGCCCCCACGAAGTGGGTAATGAGCTACTTGAAGATCTTTGGCAATGCCACGATTGGGGCCTGTCACCAGTCCGGCGGCCTATTTCGTTAACCTTCTCCAGATGCTTAAAAACACCCCTAGCGATTCCACCAAGCCAACCTCTCCAAGTCTCCTTGACAAGCTTGCTGCCCGACGACCGGACCAGTTGACTCTGCAGCTGCGACCTTGCCAATGGAGTGATGGAATCTTTCATCAAAAATGTCGGCAGCCTGGTCCCGCAATCGCCAGTACCGATCCAGGGGTTAACATAACAGACCAAGACCAACCATGTCACTCACGGAGCCGGAGCACACGGACTACGCGTCTACCACGATCAGATTGCCGCGCAGACGTTTCGTCTCACTGTGTTCCTTATAGCTAGGCGCTTGAACTCCAGCGCCTCTTCTTCTCGCATCTCAACACATCGCTATCAGAGGTGGTGGCGCTGTTTGGTTCAGAGTCCCGGCTGTTTCCGGCAGCAGGGGATGGAGTCACTTCTCCTACCCCTGAGATGCTCAGACTAGCTAAAAACATGTTGGAGAGCGTGTGTACCGCCGAGCATCTTGGGCTGTCCCCTGCAGATTACGTCGCAGTCATAAACTCCTCCATGTTCTCGCTCGACTTCTTCAAGGCGGTATACGACCCGAGCATGCAAGAAGAGGTGTACATCCAAAAATAGGACCGTTAGGCACACGGGGCAGTACTGGGACTACGAGGCGGATGACCGATAGACGGCAGACCGGCTCATGCTGTCCGAGGAGAAAGAGCTGGGGCTGTCGTTCGTAAGGGCCAGCTGCTCCGCCAGGCGGAGATGACAGTCGAGCAACTGCTGGAGCTTCTCAGGGCGAGACTGCTCCAGGGCCAGCTCGTGCTCGAGAACGCGGGCTGCTCACCCACCTTTTCCGGCAAGCTCAAGTGCCTGAGACTGCGCCACCGGACAAAGCAGACGCGCCGCTGACGTAGCCGGATTGTAGGGTCTTGCAATCATGCATCCGGCTCTGGCGCAAGACCGGGTGGACGTTGCAAGATCTCGACTACGTTGTCGTTTCCTTTGGCGCCGGCGACGCAACGAACGGCATGTGTCGCAGCGCAGACCATCACTGAAATGGCGGTGGTGCAGCGCATATCGACTCTAACGGCGGTCGAGGTCTTCAATGCCTCTCTGGGGCCTCATGGACACGAATGAGTATAGGTCGCTCTACGCACGCTCTTCCTGAAAGGCAAGGCCGGCCGGTATAACCCCGTGCTTGGACGGGATGATCAAGGGCGATACCTCGCGGCGAGCGCAAGTCTGAAGGCGAACCGCGCGCCGCTGCTGGCGGCATCCAGGCTGACTGAAGGGGGCTTCTTGGCCGATTGTCGCTGCTGCGAAAATTTACAACAACAAGCTTGACCTGGCCAACGTGACTGGTATATACCGCATATCGGTCTTCTGTCACATGCTCGCGATGGAACCGGCTTACTGTGAAGGGTTCCAGGCGTTGCTGGATCCGAGCAAGTCCGCTTTTGTGAGCCCTCAGGCGGCACTCGACATAATCAAGCAGTTCCAGCAGCGTGCAAATGGCGGCATAAGCTTAGAGCAACTGCTTTTCCTCACCGGCAACGACAGGGCCATGCGTGTGAGAGCTCTCGACCCAGCAAGTCGCATGCGCCGCGTCGGACATCATGGTCAACATCCATACCAACAAGGAGGCGCTGCTGGCAGTCGACAAGGACACGACGACAACTGCGCCATCTAACGCCGCGGCTACTTCCGCTGAACTATTCGATCCTACGACCGCACACCTAGCCGCAGCATTTATTGAGAGCAAGTTTGCCCGATTGCAGCCTTCCTGCGGCGACGAAGTTGTTCACGCCTTACTGAACCTTATATAACCTTAGTGCTTCCCGGGACACCCCTAACCGAGGACTCAATGCTATACCAGAGTGTTCTGCTCCCGTACTTCTCTTGCAATACCGAAGAAGCACATAAGGTCTTCTTCGAGTAGCCCGACCCGATAGGGACCAACGACGAGAAGGCCATTGCGCGCGAGAAGACGCTGAATGCCCGGCACGTGTTCTTCCTGCAACACGTCATAGGGCTGCTTCAAGCTCGGCTGGCCAGTGATGCTGTGCTGCAATCTCTCACGCCCCTTTTCCCAGACTCGAATGCTGCTGTGCTGAGTCTCTTGCCGGGGACCGTCCGTGGACCTAAGTCGCAGGACACGTCTCCAACCCGAAAGCTCTTCTGGATATCCTGAGTGGCCTCGCAGCTTCAAACGAGGCTACTCTCGGAAAGTCTCGTCAGATGTAATCTTCAATCTTCAGTCCCATGTCCACACACTTGTACCGCTTCTTCGTGCCCGATACGCGCCCTCGTTTTCGACAAAGGTGCAGGTGGGTGGATGTCAAACCAAGTCCATCTCTTGAACAGACAGGCGTACAGCTTGCGCCGCTCCGACAGCGGCGGGTTGGCGGGGTGCTCCTATTCGATTCAGTGGAGTCCCAGTCAACCTTTTTCCTTCGGCGCTTTTCTTGCGCACGACACCATTGTCCTTGCACAGAGTACCCTGCGATCGGACTGACAATCTATCTACTAGCTTCAAGTTGAGCCTGGAAGACGTGTAATTTTTCCAACGCCAGTCGTCCGATACCGACCTTTCCATTGACTGGGGAAAGATCGATTACAAGGAAGTACAGCTTCTGCAGAGCTACAGGGAGCTGTCTCGCAGGGCTAATGGGCCTGCATCTCTCCTGGGCTTCATGAAATGGACTCAGAGATCGCCCATGATGGAACCCTGGTCAGCAAGCTCGCTGGACTCACGGATATCTCTGCATCGCCGATTGCAGACTATCTGGGTCGGAGGTTCTCGGGTCAGAGTGAGCAGCAGAAGATCGAGTTTTTCCGGCGAACGGCAGAACTAGAACAGCTACTGGACCGCGTCGCATTCATGGATTGCATGGAAGTGCCTGGGCTGACTCTCAAGCTCTTATTCGCTCTAGCGACACCGGTACTCCCACCTACTGCGTCCGCTGACTGCGAGAACGCGGCCCAGATTCGGCTGCTCTTGCAGTCGACACCGCGCTCGGCAAATGGCGCGGATCCGGACGCAGGTGAACAGCGGACTGCGGCGGAACCAGCGCGTCGCGATGGTGAAATACCTACAGCATCGTTACATTCGGGCAGAGGCATCACAGGCGCGGACGGGCTGTTCAAGTTCCTCCTCATCGACGTGCAGATAAGCATGTGTCTGCAGACGTCACACATCAAGCAGGGCATTTCCACGGTGCATCCTCGGGCTGGAGAAGGCGGAGCAGGTCTCGAGCAACACGGTCAACGTAGACCGCTGGAAGTGGATGGAGGGCTACAGGCTGGGGGACGCGAACCGCAAGGTCTTCCTCTATCCGGAAAACTGGCTGGACGCAACCCTGCGCGACGACAAGGCCGAAGTGTTCAGGGCGCTCGAGTCAGGCATCCTGCAGAACGACCTCGACAGTGCCAAGGTGATCGATGGCGTCGACGCGATAGCGGATCTTGACGTGCAGGCCTAACTGTGGAAGAAGGCCGAGAACTGGAACAGCATGTTCCATTTCCTCGCACAAGGACCGCGCCATACATCTACTACTATCGCACGCTCGGCATTGTGCCGGGTCCCACGGACAGGGGGATCAAGATATACTGGCAGCCCTGGACCAAGATTGACGGTGAGGTCCTGTTCGATTTATTGGGGGGTCTGCAGTGATTGTATATATTTCCCATGATGTCCCAAACTCGACTAGTATATTCTGACAGGTCCCGGTCCCACCTTTGCTGTTGTGCTGTTGCCAAGTAACGTTCCCGCACCGAGCCCCAGTATTTTAGTCATCGATGTGGAGCGGCGGACCGATGCAGGGGCAGGGGATGGCCAGCAGGAAAACCAGCAGGAAAACCGGCAGCCTCGGTACCTCAACTATCCGCTAGGTCGTTTGTCGCTTCGAGATGCGCGGATCGCAGGTCATCCTAGCTGACCTCAGCGTATCATCCAACCTTACCTGATCCCTTTAAGAAGCTCTGGCGATCCACCATCCCGACCATCTTCGTGAAGATGTTGCATCACATGGAAAAGGTCAGCGACAAACGGTATATCCATCGGCAGAGGGGCGGGCGGCCGGGAGCCGCTGCTGGGCAATTATAGTCACCAAGCTTGTGGACAACATCCCCAGGAAGGACGTGCAATGGACGCTGTCCTTCAACGATTCGCTGGTCAAGAACGCGACCGGCTTTATCCAGGACATTGTCACCACGGAGAGTACCATCTCGTACGTCACGTACCCGCCCATCGCTTCCACCAGCACCTTTGTGTCCGACGTGTTCCAGCGCACGTTCGACCGGGACCTCGTGTCCATGTCAACGACGTACGACAGACTCGACCAGGCCTATGCCTTTCTCGCCAACGTGCCGGCGGACGACACGTACCTCGCCTTCGGGAAACGCAACGGTCCGGTCCACGAGCTCTCGACTCCCTATGCCATCTACAACTGGGAGCTCGGCGCGCACGCTGTTATGCTGCTCATGAAGAGGCTTCAGGTCAACCGGCAGAAAGACCTCGCCCTCCAGGTGGCACACTTTGTCTTCGATCCAACAGTAGACGGGACCAGCCTCGCCCGCTGGCTGGCTCTTCCCTCCCTTCAAGGAGGATCATCATCAAGCACATTGAGATCCTGGTGGCAAGCAGCGACGTCTACTTCCGGCAGAATACGCTCGAGGCTCTGCCGTTCGCCATCCAATGCTACGTCGAAGCGTCGCACGTCTTTAGCTCGGCGCTGGTACGTGTTCCCAGGTTCGCGGAGCCGACGTACAAGTCCTACGCAGATCTGGACAAGGTCTTTGACGACTTCTCCAACGCCGCCTTCGACATGGAGCTGGACTTCCCCTTCTTCAGCGACCCGGCATCGAGAAGTGGCGGCGCCAAGGCGAACGGCCCCTTGAGTCTCACCGGCACCCTGAAGACTACGTATTTCTGCGTTCCCACTAATCCCAAGCTCATCGAGCTCCGGAATCTCATAGACGACCGTCTCTTCAAGATCTGCAATGACCAGGATATCAACAGCGTCTTTTGAAGCCTCGCACTCTTCGAGTCGCCCCTGGATCCTGGCATGTTCGGCCGGGCCGCGGCCGATGGAGTTGACGTCTCTCAGCTCTTAAGTAACACTGTTGGCCCCATGCCCAACTATCGTTTTCAATTCCTGTTGCAAATGGCGCTAGAGATGTGTGCCGAGCTCAAGTCGATGGGCTCCTCGCTAGTGTCCATCAAGGAAATGAAGGGCACCGAAGCGCTGGCGAACCTTTGTGCATGTCAGGACAAGGTGATTCAGTGGTTGATGATTGAAATGAAGAATACGGCAAAGGAAGCCGACGCGAGCATTGATGTCCTTCTTGAAGCGCGCAAGGCCCAGGTGGCCAGGTTAGAATACTACCTCACACTCACGGGGTGTGACGACTAGGTCCGTCCCCAATGACCCAAGATTGAGAGGATATCGCGAAGTCGATCGAGAAGCCGACGGCAGACGATCTTCGAACGACGTCCCACGAGAAGCTCCCGCGGCTCCTAACTGAAAAGCCACCGTTCTCGATATCGCGGCGAGTGTCATCATGATCATATCGGACATCAACGAGGCGGCGGAGACCCTTGGCGTCGGAGTCTCCATCGATCCCGTCACATAGAACATGTGCGGCCATGCTGATCACATCCAACGTCATGCGTTTCCAAACAGGACGTCCCAGATGAGGGTCGAGATGTGCGAGCGCGATACCCAGCTCTAGCAGCCGCGGGCCGATTATACGCGGGACACGGAGGCATGGCTCAAGACAAAGTACAGCAGGGAGCAGCTCTACGAGTGGATGGACATCGTCGTCTGGAACCTATACTACTAGACTTATCTCGCTGCTGACGATCTCGCTTAGAAAGCTCAGGCTTCGAGAAGGGCGATCAGCCCGTGTTAGCTGAATACGTGTATTAGCTACTATCGACAATTATATAATAATATAGATCTGCATTGAAAAGTATACAGTTTCTATCTATACAAATCTATCTGGGAGAACTGAATAAAAAGGTGAAAAGAAAAGGGAAACAAAGTCGGACCGAGCGGATGCTGAATAATGTGTAATATATTGGCCGACTTTGGTCGACAGAAAAGAAGCAACAGATTCTATACATAGGTAAAAGATGTGTCGAACTTTCCCCTTCGGCCAAAAAGGTGTCTAGATCTCAATTAAACTGATACGGTAATCTTCTAGGTTAACAAGATGTCTTTCAACGTGCAACTGAGGATCTAAAGGTGCTACCTGAAAAAAAAATGATTGATATAATGCATCCAACTTTTATGTTAAGATCATGAAAACACCTGTTGTTTACGAGGTCCGAGTTCCGTCTTATTTATTGTCTGATGGTGAGGACCACTGGCTTTTGGTCGTTCTTCTTGCCGGAATGCCAACATTTGACGCATCAACTGTAGAATGGCAGCTGTTTTGTCCATGTCAAACTCACTCACTCTAAGCTTTCGTCGATACTGCTGCACACTCTCCTTCAATAAACACTTTAGTGTAGAAGCAGGGTGCAGGTGTATTGGGGCACGACATTTAAGAGAAAGCGGGCACGGTCATCATGGCATATCGATTGATACAAGGAAACAATTTTTTTCCATTCAACAATATCTGTCGTGGTTCCAGCATACACATATTGTTTGACCTTTCTGACCTAGGCGTGATAATATATGCGGATAGGCGTGGGGCTCTTGTTTCGTACGAGTCTTCGCTTCTCGCCCCAGTTGGTACCATGCACGATCAATCCCAATGATGAAATAGGGCGAACAGCGTCTCGAAGCACACCGGATATGTCCCCGCGCAGCAGACGAAACTGGGAATCCAGGAGCCGAAGGACGCCTGTTTGGTGCTGTTTATTTGGTGAATGTAAGGATGACAGGTTGGAAGAAATCCGATCGTAGGCTGCGCCAGATTTAGGAGAACGTGGGCAGAATTCAAAGGTTGGAAATCAAAGAATGATCATTATCGTGGTGTCGACCCAGACCACAGAGCTCAGGGAAATCAACTGTGATGGTGGGATTCCCTGAAACCTGCTGCAAGAGAGATTCTAATGTCCAGAGATCGGCTTTTATTCGTCGTGGAAAGTGCAATGCCGCATCACCCATGCGGACAATATCTCTAATCTTGAGGGTGTTCTCTCTGGCCACGCGGAGATCAGAGATAACATCCATATTGCCAAAATGTCCTAGGTCAAAGCGATTGCACAGCTGCTATACGGCTTTCTTTAGCACCGTTCTGATCGCTGCCCCTTGATGCAAGCTCAGGATTTTGGGGAGCACCGCTGTTACCTTCGATAGAATTTTCCTTACGCTGTTTAGATCGCGATTGTCCCTTTCGGACTTCAATTGGACTAGATAGCCTACTATCTTTTCAAGAAATTTAACTCCACGATAGCCATTGGGCTAAATATATTATAACATTATAGATGGTCCCTACCGCAGCCTCAGGTATAAGGGAATTCAGAATCTCCTCCGTAATTAAACGAAGGAAGTGGACAGCATAAGAATTAAACAAGATGTACCACAGTATTAGCGCGGAGACAAGTCAGCTTCTACAATTTGTCGCACACAAGTGAGGCCCGCCTTAGTCGCCAGGTCGGAGCCGGCAGCATGTCTTGGGCTTCAGGACTGATGTCTGATAAGGAATTTTCGAGGATGTCTTGTATCTGTGCCGGTGACAATTCACACTCTCCCAATCTGGAAAGGAATAATCTCTTGATCCTGGAAGATTGTAGGGACGGTCTGCTTCCATATCACATTTTCAGTATCAAAGCCACATTTCACCTTGTAACATTACATTTCCTAATCCGGGAGTCCCTTTCATTCGCCTATGCACCATAATATTATGATCGCCTCGCCCTTTTCTCCCTTGCCCATGCCGTCTTCCACTACCGCCATCACTCCATGGTCGGAATTAGCGACATGTCACTTCACGTATTGAACTAGTATCCATGAATCTAGGAAATGTATAATTTTCTTCATACACTTAAAAGAAAAGGAGAAAGCAGTTCTCCGACCGCAGCATATAGCGTCGATCAGTCTGTACACAGATTTAATAAACTGGGAAGTAGTTACCTTCATACCTTAGGAACCATTAAAAGCATATCGTAATAAAGCTCTAACAACCATTAGAGCAAAATATTCCTTGCCGCTTGCAAGTCTCCAATCTCCTTCGAAAACTGTTTCTGTTTCCGCCTTATCACTGATTCCTCACCTGCAATTTCCTCGAGCTGTTCTCTAGCAAGATTGCTGACAAGAGATGATGAGAACAGCTTCATAGTGCTCTGCGATCTGTAGACTAAGTAATATTAAATATTGTCAACAAACCACTTTCTAGCTACTTTGTAATAGGATCGAAGGATGCCAGGGAGATCCTGTATTGTATGTTCTGTATTGCTCTTATGTTGCGGACGATAAAGATAATCTACTCACACCAATTTTCCATGGAAGCAATCACTACATACCCTTTCTTCTATTATTCAGTTTAGTCGATCTTGTCGACTGTGAAGGATTAGCAAACTTAGGCAAACAGCATACTCAAAGGCATCGTCATACCGTTTTTCAAGTGCCGTTAAGATAGTGATTCAATGTCATCGGCGTGCCTGGCCGCTCATGAAAAGAAGAAACTCTACTTTCTGAACCACCTTTTGATACTTCTCTAGGAGCTTGTCCATCAGAATGGATAGTGAATTGCAACATACGCGCGGGTCAGTGCAGGCCAGGCTTAATAGCGTGATGATATATCCGTGTACCATGGCAATGATATCACTGACATATCCATCTGAGAGAGCCGTCCACTTTGATGATTGTTTTTTCATTAGCGTCGAAAGAAGAACGAACTAGAATATTCCAATCTCAAATCCGAGTGAATCACGATATTGTTCCTCAATCCATGGACATATGTCTCCGCGGAGAGGCTGCACAGCTTCACCTGACTCTGATCTATGTCAGGTATATTGTCTAGTCTTCTTGTCGCCAAAAAGTTAGATCCAGAGGTTTCGTTCCGATCTAAAGCAATAGACTCCGATATATCTGATTCCTGAGCAGCGTCGATTCTGAAGTCATATTCGTGGCTCAACAGAGATATATCATCGGCGAAGAGGTCATGTCTGCTAACAACCCTCGTAGCCAGTCGAAGGATTTCATCTTTCTCAAAATCATCATGCGAACTATAGTTCAAATTAAGTGCATGAGATGTGATGCCTTGAAATAATAAAATTATATCAAGTAGATAACTTGTTTGCTGCTCGGAGTCTGACGTTCTGCTCCAAGTGTCTGGAGGTGGTCTTGACAGGCTTTCAGCTTCGCTGATCTCAGACCGTACCTATGTTTATTGTCAATGATAAAGCACTCTCCAGAAGGTAGGCATGGTTACCGGTGGAAAGGCTCTGCGAGCGTTTGTGTGACATCGACATTCCCCGGTATAATTGTGAGTATTGTAGAACGAATATACCCTTGTACCATATCACGGACCATGGCTTTGTCGTCTTTCGTAGTCAATCCCGGCGTTGTCTTCCCAAAGATACCGGGCACATCAATTACACTGAGGTTATCTTTTTTGAGGCCACAAATCTCCAACCGTAGAATACTAGTGGAGGAGGCAAGCCATCGTCTTTGGTTGTTGAAAGTCCCATCAGAACGTGAGCCTAACAGATTATCTATAAGCTTCAAATTTGTCTCATCGATTCTGCTCACCTCTACCATGGCCTTCGAGAAAGATTCTGCCGCCGTGGATTGTATATCTGGAGCCACCCATTCCCTCAGCTGTGAAGCACTTGCTATCTATGTTGGGTTCGGGAATTATAGAAGCCGTGATCGTTCTTTCAGTCCCTTCTTCCGCCGAAAAAATATTTGTGTGGCAAATCTCGTGCAAAGACCGCTGTCTCGCGGGAAGCTAATCTCGTAAGCCCTTCCAAGACAGGACTTGTACCGCTTGATTGGTCTCCAACTACAACTAGCTGGGGAAGATCGACGCATTCGCCCACATTGCACGAACAGTCTATCGATCTTGTCCAGCAGGGCCGGATCTGCAAGCGCTTGGTTCTCATTCACGTTGTAAGTCATCATATCAAACAGGGCCAGGATCTTTGGTACGTAAAAGTTTCTAAAGATACCGATTGACTATACGTACTTATATATCTCAGCCTCCATTAGGTAGAACGAAGTGATAGCAACAAGACCATCCAATTTTCCCCCTGACAGTCTGCATCTGTGTCGCGCATCCGTAAATTTTGTATCCAACAGGCCGACATTCTCACGCAGCGAATGTGGCCCCGGGTATGTGGTCAGGGTGTCTGCATGCATAAGGTACCCAGCATGATTGACCAGAACCTGTAAAAAAAAAAAAAGAAAGAAAGAAAGAAAAAGGGGGGGGGTTGTTTCGCACATATTTGTCAGCATTT